TTATATTTATTTATATATAAAATTATTATTATTATAATTAAAAAACTTCTTATAAAATTAAATTTATTAAAATTATTTAAATTATTTTTTAAAACTTTAAATTTAATTATTATATTATAATATAATTTAAATTAATTTTTATTACTTTTTAAAGTTTTATAAAAAGCTTTTTAATAATTATAAAATTAATTAAATAATTTTTTTAAGCTTAATTATATATTTATAAATTAATAAATTTAATATTTATTAATAAGCTTATTATTATATAATAATAATATAATATTAATTATATTTTTATATTAAAACTTTATATTAAAAACTTTATATATTTTAATTAATAATTTATTAAATAAGAATTTATTTTTTAATTAACTTAAATTTATAATTATTAATATATATCTTTTTATAATAAAATTAATTAATTTCTTTATTTAATAATATATTTTAAAAAATTAAAAAGATTTATATAGCTTTTTATATATTTATAATCTTTTTTTAATTTATTTTAAATTATTTAATTATTTAAAAAGTTAAAATAATTTCATTTTCTTTAAAATAAATAAATATAAAAAGTTTTAATTTTTATTAAATTAAATATTTTTAAAAAATATTAGTAAATAAATAATATAAAGAAATAAGGATATAATTATTATTAAAAGTTAATTTTCTTATTATAACTTAATTATTTTAAGTTATAATATAATATTATTAATAACTTTTAATTAATATAATTAATATAAAATAAGCATTTAAAAGTAATTAATATTAATTAATATTAATAATTATTAAATATTAAAGTTAGTAAAAGTTAATAAATTAATTAAAAGTATTTATTTAAGTAATTTCTTTAATTAAATAATAAATTATATTAATAATAATTATAATTATATTTAACTTATTTTATTAAAATAAAAATTAAAGTTAAATATATAAATATATATAAGTAAAAATATTTATTATTAATTAAAATTAATATTCTTTAATTATTAAAAATAAATATAAAAATTAAAAAAGAAATTAAAGAAAAGAAATAAAATAATAAAGTAAAAAAATATAAAAAATATAAATATTAATAAAAAAAGATATTTATATTTATATTAATATTTTCTTATATATCTTATTATTTATAATATTATATATTTTAATATATATTTTATTATTTATTATATTATATATTTCTTTTATTTTTTTTTATATCTTATATATATTTTATATAAATTAAAATCTTAATTTTAATATTTTATTAAATTATTTCTTTATTTCTTTATTTATTAAGTAAATAATTTAAAATTAAAAAAAAAAACATTATATATAAAAAGTAATTTTAAATATTAATATTAATAATAAACAATTTAAATTATTATTTATTATATAAAAATATAATTAAAAAGCCCTTTTTTATAAATATAAAATTTAAAAGAATGGCTCTTATAAGCTTTAAAGAAGCTATTTATACAATATTTAAGTATTAAAATCTTATTAAATAAAATGCATTAAAAACTCCTATTTATCCCTTAAAAACCTTATTTAAAAAATTAATAATACTTTTATATTATAATAAGCTTATATTAATCTTTAAAAATATTATAATATTTATTATATTAAAATTAAAAGTATTTTTTAAAATAAAAAATAATTAATTAAAAAAGTAATTAAAAAATAAAAATGCATTATTTTAATTATATTAATAAAATAAAATAAATAAATGCCTTTATTAAAAAATTAATTAATAAAAGAAATATATTTAGCCTTTTATTAATTATTATTACCTTTATTTTATACTTTTAAAAAAATAAATCTTAAAGCTAAAAATACCTTTAAAAAAACTTAAATATAATAAAATTAAAATATAATTATAAGAAAATTATTATAAAAACTTAATTTAAAAGCTTATTTAAAAAAGCCTGTTATTTAAAAATTAAATATAAAGCTTATTAAAAATATTAAAAATTCTTTTAAGTATATTTTTAAAAGCTATTAAGAAATAATATTTTAATTTCCTTTTTTTATTTTATTTTTTCTTATAAAGCAAACTTATACTTTTTTAAACCTTAATTTTAAAAGATTAATTAATTAATTCTATTTTTATTATATCTTTATTAATTCTTTATTAATTTATTTATACTTTAATTAATTTATTATAATTATTAATTATAATTAATTCCTTAAAAATATATATAATTTTAAATTTTATATTATATTCTTTATTCTTAAGTATAATTTTAAATAATTATAATATTATTTATTTTATTAATTTTATTAATTATTTAATTTTAAGTATTTTTAAAAAAGCTATTAAGATAAATATTATTAAAGTAAAAACTTTATTTTTATAGGTTTTAAATTATAAGATAAAATACTTTAAATATATATTATATAAAGTAAATAAAAAAAGAATTAAAGATTTAATCTTAAAAAATATAATAATTATAAATAAATTTTATATTAATATAATATTAAAAATGCTTTTATAAAATTTAAGTATTTAATATTATAAAATTAATTTAATATTATATTTTAAATTACTTAAATAAAGCATTATTTTTTTTAAACTTATTTAATAATATAATTTAATCTTTTTTAAATATATATTATTATAATTTCTTTAATTTTATTTTTTATTATAAATACTTATAAGTATTATAAATATATATAAGCTTATAAAATTTTTAATAAACTTAATAAAATCTTTTAAGCCCTTTTAATATTTAAATAAAAATTAAAAGGATTTAATAATCTTTTAATATTTTTAATTTAAATACTTAAGAATTAATATTTTTAAATTATTAATTTAATATACTTAAAGTATAAAATTTTAAAAAATTAAATAAATTAATTATAAGAATTATTTTAAAGCTTTTATTAAAAAAATAATTTAATATAAATTATTAAAAAGCAAAAGCTTAAGATTTTTTTTTAAATCTTATAAAACCTTTTTTATTATTTATAAATATTAAATAAATTAAATTATAAGCTTATAATAATAAATAAGTTTTTAAGATTTATTTATATTTTCTTTTTTATATTAAAGATTTAAAAATAAATATTTAGTACTTTTTAAGCTTATAAAAGCTAAGTAAAATAATAATATAGTTTAAATATTTATAAAATTAAATAAAATATTAAGGTTATAATAATTAGCTAATTTATAAATATTAAATATATTAAATAAATAAAATGAAAGGGTATTAATTTAAAACTTACTTTTCCTTAAACCTTAAAAATAAATAGCATTATAAAAAGGGCTAATAAAGTAATAATTAAATATATTTTAATTATATTATTAAGGGTTAATTTACCTTTTAACCTTTAGTTAAAAGTAATATAAATTATAGCTTAATTATATAATATATTACTTATTTTAAGAAAAAAAGAATATACCTTAAATAGTTTTTTATATATATAATTTTCTTATTATTTTTAATAATTTAAATTAATATAAATTTATTATTTTATAGCTTATTTATTACCTTATTAAGATAATATTTATACTTATAAATATAAAGCATATATATTTAAAAAGAAATGTAAAAATAATATAAAGAAATACCTTATAAAGAAAGAATTAAGAGCTTATATTAAGTATTTAATTAATAATATAATATTTAATATTTTTTAAATTTAAATTCCTTTATTTAAATAAATAATCTTTATAAAAAATATATAATTTAATAAGAATATATTTTATAAATTAATAATAAATAAAATAAAAAATAAATTTTTTAATTCTTAAAGTAAAATTATTAAATATTAAAATTATTAATATTAAAAAGATTTAAAATTACATTTATATTCTATTTTTAATACCTTATATAAAAAATCATTTAATTAATTTAAATAATAAATTTAATATTTATTTTATATTAAAAAAAATAAAATTAATACTTTTAATTAAAACTTAGGGGTAAAGATTTTTAAATTTAAAAGGTAAAGTTTATTATATATTATTTTCTTAAAAAGCTTAGGAAATTAAAAATAAAAACTTTTAACTCTTAAAAAAACCTTAAATATATTAAAATAAGACTTTTATAAAAGGAAATATATTTTTATTAATAAAGCAAGGATTAATAAATTTAAGCCTTTTTTTTAAAGATTATATATACTTAACGCTATAAAAAATTAAGAATTCTTTTAATTAATATAAATAAGAAGAATATAGGAATAAATTTAAGAATTTAAACCTATAAAAAGATTTTCTTAAATGCATAATTAAAATAAATATTCTTAGGAATTTTTTAATTAATTATTATATTTAATAAATATAATTATATTTTACCTTAATATAACCTTTTAAAATAACTTTATAATTATTTTTTTATTTAATTAACTTAAAAAATAAAAATAAAGAATATTAAAAAACTTATATTTTTAATTTTAAATAATATAATAATAATTATTATTTAAGCCCTTAAGATTAAGTTTAAGCTTTACTTAATATAATAATATTATAAATATTTCCTTTTAAAATTAATTATATAAAAAAAGGCTTAAAAAGCTCTTTTTAAAATAAATAGCTTAAGGTAATGCATTAAGAAATATAAAGCTTTATTAAGCTTAATATTTAAAAGATTATTAAGCATTAAAAAGCAAAATTAACGTTGCTACCCTTAAAATAAATATATAAATATAAGCTTAATAAGGATAAAATAATTAAATTTTTTAAGATATAAATTTATATTTAAAAAGACTTATAATTTTATTTTATTATAAAAAGCATATATATTATAACCTTAATTATAAAATTATTTTATATAATAATAATAATTATTATATACTTTAATTTAAAAATTTAATAATTTAATATTATAATTATATTTTTAAATATTAATTAAAAAGGGTTAAATTAAATTTATTATAAATTATTTAATAAATTTAAAGAATTAAAGAAATATAAAATGCTTTTAAAAATATTTTATAAATTTAAAAATTCTTTATTTCTTTAATATAAGAATTTTAATTATATATTATAAAATTTAAGCTTAAAACCCTTATTAAAAAAGCTATGCCTTTTTATTAATTTAGCTTATAAAATAGCAATCCTTTTTTATATAAATAATATTTTAATTATATATCCTAAGAATAAATATAAATCCTTTATAAAAATTAAAAATAAAATTAAGTTTATATATAAAATAAAGAATTAAACAAAGGCTTAATAATTCCTAAGTATATAAATTTTTAAAAGTTAAGAAAAGTATATTATAATGCTTTTTTATAATTTATATATTAAAAAAATAATAAATAAATATAACTTATTAAAAAGCAAAAACTTTTTATTATTTACTTTAATATTTAAAGAAAAGCTTAAGCCATTTTTTAAATAAGCCTTAAAATAAAAAATGTAAGAATTTTAAAAAAAAGTTAATTTTATTCTTTATATAATAATTATAATATACTTAAATATAGCATTTCCTTATTTTATATTATTAAAATTCCTTATAAACTTAAATTTAAGTTATTTTAAGGCAATAAATTATATAATTTAATATTTATATATTATTTACTTTTTTAAATTATAATTTAAAGGGAATTAAAAAGCTTAAGCGCTTTTAATAACTAAAAATGCTTTATTTATTAATAATAAGAAGAATTAAAAATCTTCTTAAAGATATATAATAATCCTTTTTAAAGACTTTATATATTAAAAAGCATATAAATAAGTAATTATTTTTATTTTAATTATTAAGGTTAAATTATTAACTTTAAAGCTTATAATTAAAAAAATAATAACTTTAAAATATTTATTTAAAGATATAACTTTAAATTTAAATAAATCTTAAATTATTTATTATAATAATTAAATAATTATATACTTAATTATTAATAAATATAAATAACTAAAAATAAAGCTTAAATATATAAATATTTAATAAATATAATTAAAATAAAAATTTAAAAGAAATACTTTTAATATTATATACTTAAAAATTAAAAGAATACTTATAAATAAATTTATTAAAGTTTTATTATACGCTTAATTTAAATATTTTAAAGCTTTTTTAAATCTTTAAAATATAAGGAAAGTAGTAAAAAAAATTAATTTATTTATTAATTATTCTTATTATTAAATTTTTATTAAAAACCTTAAAAATTATATTTCTTAAAAACTATAATATAATCTTTATATAAAAACTATTTTATAATTAAAAACTACTTTTTAATCTTTATAATAATATATTAATTAATTTTAAATCTTTTTTTAATTATTATAATAACTTCTTAACTTTTTTAAAAAACTTTCTTAACTTTTAATTAAATTTTTAATTATAATTTTAAATTAAAATTTAATAATATTTATTCTTTAATATTATTTTTAAAATTAAAATATTTAATTATAATAATAATATAATTCTTATATTTTTTTATAATTTTTATATTATTAATAACTTAATTTTAAAGCTTTTAAGTTTTTATATTAATTTTATTACATTACTTTAAAGTAATTATAATTTAAGCTTTAAAACGCTTTATTATATCCTTATATTTACTTTTTATAGCCTTTAAAAGTTATTATTATAAAATAAAGATTTTTTAAATATTAAAAGGAATTATAAGAATATAATTAATATAAGTAGGATTAAACTTTTTATATTTATATATATTTAAGGCCTTTTTTTAAGTATATTAAGATTTTTTAAATGCTAAGAAATTGCTAAATTAAGCATAATAAAAATAAAATATAAATAATAAAAGAAATATTAAAAGTAGCTTATAAGAATTGCCTTAAGTATAATAATAATAATAATTATTCTTATTATTATAATTTATATAGGAATTATTATTATAATTATATATAAAACTTTTAATATAAGGAAAATAAGGAATGTAATGTTTATTAATCTTTTTAAGCTTCTTTATATTTTTTTTATACTTTATTTTAGTAGTTTTTTTAAAAAGGTATTTTATTTTAAGCTTTAAGTTATTTATATATGCTTAAAGGTTCTTTAAAGTTATATTAAGAATTAATATATACTTAAAGATTCTTTAAAGTTATATTAAGAATTAATATATACTTTAAAATTAATTTTTAAATTAATTAAAAAATTTACTTTTAAGTATATTATTTAATAGCATTTTAATAAAAGCATTAAAGCTTTTATTATTTTTATTAATAAGCTTTTTATTAATTTAAGCATATTTAATCTTTTTTTAAATTTCAAGGGTATAAGAAAGTAAAATAATTTAAGGCTTAAAAGCTTATTTTTTATTACTTTTAGCTATCTTTAATATAGTTTAAAAAATACTTAAAATTAATAAAAGTAAATATTTTTAAATATAAATTTAATTAAAAAATTTAAAAAAAAGGTTTAATTATTAATTATAAGCTGCGTTATAAGGCTATAAGCGGCTAAAGTTTAAGTAATAAAGTATATATATTATAAGAAAGGTTAAATAATTAATTACTTAATAAGTTATAGCTAATATTTTTAAATATAAATTAGCTGCTTAAAAAAGTAAGGCAATTAATAAGGTAGGAACCGCCTTTTAATTAAGGGGTATGTTATATATACATTCTTAACCCTAGTTTATAATTACTTTTTAAAATGCTTAAATAGCTAAATTTTTTTTATTTCCTCCTTTTAAATTACTCTTAAGAAATAAATGCTTTTATAATTATGCTTTTAAACCCCTTACAACACTTATAGCCTTCCATAATTGTTTTAGTAAACCTTGACCGCAAGGTAGACTTTCATTTTGCGATAGATTAATGACTTACTAGAAAGGGCAACTGGTTTATCTCGGTTATGGAGAATTGATAATTCTGGCCTAGACACTCTGGAACAGCATCAGCCAGCTCCTTGCGCAAACGTTCCCAGTACTCTCGGTTGTTCAGGACATGAAACATTGTCACTGCCAATGTTCGTCCAGTCGTTTCTGTGCCGGCGAAAATCAAAGTCATGCCCTCGTCGGTCATCCGGTCAATCGTCCTTTCTTCGGGAGGTAGAGTACCGTTGTGTAGGGCAGAGACTATGGCAGCCTCGCCATCCAATGTCTCTAACCCTGTGTTTGTTTCCGGCTTGTTTTCCTGCCTCGGGCGTCCCTTCACAGCTCCTGCCAGCTGGTGTCTGACTTCAAGGCGAGCCGTCTCCATCGAAGCAATTCCCGGATGGATGATTTGGGGAATAGGTAAGGGGAATTGCCGCAGTATCCTGGCCGCCTGCGGCACAAACGTGGACCAGTGGTACCAGTTAATCAAGCCGAGAATGCCGTCGCGCTGCGGAAACTTGAAATTTTCGACGTTGAGAAACTTCCAGGAAAATCCAAACACATATGTCGAGATAATGTCGCCTGTGAGAGCCGCAAATGCTGCATCAAGATCGACCGCCTCCCCAGCGTCGGCATAGTCAGCAAATCGGCTGACGAGTCTGGCGATGAGGCTATTCGTCACAGGCTCGAGCCCCACAACGGCCCGCTTTGAGAAGTAGGGACTGAGGACCTCACGGCGGGCGCGATGGTGCGCATGCTCAATGGTGCCCAAGGTGGCGTTCGGGACAGTGAAGCCAGCGGTCGTGACTGGGTCCTTGTCGACTCTACCCTTGCCGGCACCAGAATAGAAGTATTTAGCATTAATTAATGTTAAATTTAATTGATTTTTTTATATTAAGTGGGTGTTAAAGTTAATAGAAATTAAGTGATGTTGCAAAAATCGGCTATAAGGTAATATCGGCTACTTAGGAGTAAACCATGTTATTATTAATTTAAAATTAATATTTTATAATATAATATATATATTATTAATTTAAATAATTGTAAATAAATTAATAAAGTATTATTAATTAAAAGCAAATAAGATTTCTTTAATAATATAATTAATAAAATATTAAAAATAATTTAAATAATTAATATTAATAAAAGATTTATTTATATAATAATAATTAAAAATAAAAATAAATTAAAAATTTAAATTTAATTAATAATAAATTTATTATTAATTTATAAATAATATTATATTAAATATTTAAAATATTAAAATTTATAAATTAAAATTAACTTTTTATTATTATATTAATTATTAAAATTAATTATATATATAATGTTAAAGGTTTTATTATATAATAAATATAAAATTTAATAATTAAAAGTTTTATTACTTTATATTATAATTATTTAAAGGTTTAAAGTTTAATTCTTTAATATATTTAAATAATATAATTCTTTAAGCATTTATTATAATATTAACTTATTAAAATAAGAATTTAATTATAAATATATTTATTTAACTTAAAAAGTTTTATTTTAAGTTAAGGAGGTATATTAAATTTATATATACATATATAATATAGTTTTAATTTAATTAAAGCATTTTTTTATATATTATAATATAAAATTCTTATTTATTAAAGCTTTAATATTAACTATTTATAATATTTATTATGCTTAATATTATTATGCCCTTATAATATATTTAAAATTATATAAATATTTCTTTATTTTTAAATTTTTATTTATTTATATATAAATAATTAATATAAAATTTTTATAATTATAATATTAATTAATTATAATATTAATTAATTATAATATTAATTAATTATAATATATTATTATGGTTTAAGCTTGTGCTTATAATAATTAATTAGCAAGCTTTATCCTTATAAGAATAAGCTTTAGCATGGGTATAAATAAAAAGCAAACCTTTTCCTTTGCATTTTAAATATAAACCTTATTTAAGCACCTTATAATAAATAACCCAAGGTTAACTTATAATATATATTTAAAGTCCTTTTATATTATAAATTATAATATAATTATATAAAACTTAATATAGTAAAATTTAAAAAGAATAATAATAGCTTATTAAGCCCTTTCTTATTTTAAGAAACTCTTATTTTAGGAATACTTAATAACTTAATTAATAAAGATAAGGGCTAAATTTATAATAAATAAAGAGGCAATTAATATTAAAAGGGCTTAATTTTTTTATATATTTAATTAATTAAGAACTTTTTATAATTTATTTTTATTTTATATTAATTTTATAAAAATATTTAAGAAATAATTAAAAAGCTTTTTAAAAAAGGTTTGCCTTATACTTAAAAATCTTTTTAAATAAAGGTATATTAAGTTTAGCTTAATTATGTTATAATAACGTTATAAAGAAGGGATAATAAAATTTCTTATTTAATTTAATTAATTAACTTATATAATAAAAGCTTAAAATTAGTTAAATAAATATAAAATATTATTAATAATTAATAGCTTAACTTTTATAATAAAAGCTTAACTTAATTATAAAAAGTAATTAAATATATTTAAGGCCTTTTACTTTGCCTTATAATAATATAAGAGTATTTTTAATATTATAATAAGGGAAAATAATACTTAACCTTAAAATAATAAAATAATAAATATTAATATTATAGCAATCTTAATAAGTAAAGTTAAGTATTTTATATATAGTTAACTTAGTTATTATAAGCGCAATTACTTTAATTATTATAAGAAAATAAAAATATAGCTTTTATTAATTAAGGCTAATAAAAGGAAGGAGTTTATTTAAAAGGATATAAAATCTTTTTTATAAGGTAAGGCTTAAAAGTATTGCTAATTTAATACTAACTTAAGTTTAAAGCAAGCTAGCTATATATTAGCTAATTTAACATTATAAAAACGCTTAAAATTTAAGAAATTCCCTTTAATAAAGCAAATTACTTATAATTAAGCGTTAATTAATTATAAATTATATAATAAATTTATAATTTTAAGGTTTTAAGTAAGAAAGCTTATATAAAAGGCTTATATTAAAGGATTATAAAAAATGCCATTAATTTAATTATTAACTTATATTTAAATAATTATTTTTATTAGCTTACTTTAATTAATATATTAAATTATAAAGTATAAAAAAAATAAAATTATAAAAATATAAGCCGGCTTAATAACGCAATTAAAGCACTATAAGTTAATTAAATAACTAGGTAAAAAGCAATATTTAATTTATAATTAAAATAATGTCTCCTTTATTTTTTATTATATAATTAACCCTTTAAGAAGCCCTTTTTACGGCCTTAACTTAAGGAAAGGGAATATATTATGATTTAAGCTTATGCTTATAGTAATTAATTAGCGGGCTTTATCCCTATAAGAATAGGCTTTAGCGCGGGTGCAGACGGGGAGCAAACCTTTTCCTTTGCACTTTAAATATAAACCTTATTTAGGCACCTTACAGCAAACAACCCAGGGTTAGCCCATAATATATATTATAATTATAATATTTAAAACAAAGTATTAAATTTTAATATTTAAATTTATTTATATTTTATAATATTAAAACATTAAAAACTTTTATTGAATGGCCTTTGCCATATGGCTAATGTATGTACGTACGTGGTTGTGCAATTGCGTCTGTATTCGTTGTTGTTCTAGCTAACTATCAGAACGACGGCTTCTGCACGGTGGCCAGATAAGGCCACCGTACCAGTTGGACGGGATGACTAAGCCCGTCCTATCGAGGGGATAGCGTACGGTCCAATGGAGTGTTATTCCAACAACTTTAAAATACATTTGCAAATAATAAGTATTTTTTTATTAAAATATTAATATCTTTATTTAATAATGTTTTTTTAAAGTTTTCATTATTTAAATATTTAAACTCAATATTATAAAAATAAAAATAAATTAATAAGTATTTATTTAAATAATATTAACATACAGAACGTGCTTTTCCTTCGTGACAAGAAAACCAACCAAGCACCACACCCCAAGTAAAATGTAGTACACCACGTTGTATGTTGCTATTTCCGCGCCCTTGACCTGGGAAAATGGAGGTATATAGGTTCCAATGTTATCCCCTCCATTCATAACTGTGATAGAAGCAACTTTTAAAATACTCCGGATCCCATCAGACTTGGTAGAGTCGGTCACCGGAGAGCCAACATCTAGGCTTGGAATCATAAAATCCAAAGACTTCCAGACTCCCCTTGGATAGGAAGCAAACCAAGAAACCCAATCGGTTCCGACGGGAGCACGAGCGAGACGCCGAAGCCAATCATGCTAATGATTATGACGATAGTGAATCCAAGGAATTGTCCGGTCGTGATCTTCAGAGGCGTCAAGGCTTCGCTGCGAGCCGACTCGGCAAAGAATGTAACCAAGACGAATGCATCGTCAATGTTCGTGACAGCGAACGTAACGCAAGCAGTCCCGATCACTTGCCCAAACTGCATGTTGTCGAGAGAAGCAACAGAAACGGTTTGCAAATAGTACGGAAAAATGTCAACGACAGGAGGGGAAATACAGCAAAGGAGGAAAGAAATGTGATTGATGAGAGTTGCGTTGCACGGGTAAGCCGCTCAGCCACCATGTCATGTCCGATTCTGGCGCGTCCCTGTTTGCTTACGAAACCTTGCGCGCCGTTTAGTACGGAGCATTGTGTCCTCGGGTCCGAACACATTGGAGTAACAGCCAACAAATAGGGCAGGCAGAGCCCAGACAGCAGGCGTGGACAGGGGTCCCTTCTTCTGCTGCCGGACCCCACCTGCCCTGGATTGACATCGCGTCACCTCACAGCCAACAAATTGAATTGTCAAGCCTGGTAACAAGACTTCATTGTCTTCACTCCCACGGGGGCCAGCCACTGTCTCGCCCCGTCCATTTCTTATTTCCTCGCCTGGTTGCGCCCGCCATGTTTTGTTCTATTCCAACCATGCTTTGCATAAATCATTGAGCTTCGACAACATCGTTTACGCCGCCTGCATTGCTCCTCACGCATCCAACCATGGTCGGCCCAGGCGAGAAGGGCCTCGCCAGCTCTCGATGGGCGCCCATCAACACCGGCCGCCCACCGTACTACTGGACATCCAACAGGTTCAGGCAATCCGCCTCTTCTTCGTCTACCTCCTCGACCTCGAACGCGATACACACGACGACGACAACAACCACAAGCACGCAGCCCCCTCCGCCCATCCCGTCGACGAACACAGTAGCGTCCCTTTCCGACGGCATCACTTACACCGGCAACCCCTACGAGGCCGACGCCTCCGCCCTGACCCGCGTCCCGACTCCCTGGTCCGAGCTGAGCAGGTTCATGAAGATCGCGCGCCGCATGCGCTGGAAGCTGCCCTTCCTCGGCCAGGGCTACCGAGCCGCGACCGACCGCGCCCTCAACACGCCCGACGATCGTGCCGAGGCAGAGCTTATGTTCAAGCTCGACTTCTTCGAGTACTACATGCTTCTCGAGAGGGCGCTGGTGCACCTAATGGGCGTCTTTGGCGTCAAGATCACGGGGGCCTTCAATGGCACAAGGTCAGGCACCAGAACCCCTAACGGAAATGGGCGGAGCGGTGGTGCCGCCGCAGGGCAGCAGCAACAGCCCCAGAGCGACCACCGCTTCCACGCCAACGTCCTCGACGCCCTCGACGACCCGCGCAACCCCCTGCACCCCGTCCTCGGCGCCGGCGACGCCCGCTACGCCCTCGCCCGCGCCAAGGAGCTGCGCAACCGCTGGAAGAACGCCGACGAGCCCGACTCGGTCGTCGCCGCCTCCTCCATAGCCGCGGCGAAGCTGGCCGCGCGCCCGCTCGAGGACTATGATCTGGAGCGGATCCTCGAGAACATCTTCACCGGGCTCGAGGGCGCCTACGTCATTGCGGACCGGTACGTCGCCGGCGTGCGGGCGCTGGCTGCCGAGCGCGGGCTGGCGGCTCCGGGGGCGGCGGCCAATGGGACAGCAACGCCTGATAACGCTGCTGAAGAAACGCAGTGGGAGTTCATGGTTGATGCCATGGACTGGGAGGCTGTATAAGCAGACTACGGCGGGGTATATCAACCGGACGGCGGCAATAGACACTGTGTATTTGCATTGGGAGGTGTTGTGCTTGTTTTCATGGATTTTTCTCGCTCCAGACTGGCATCATTTCGAGGAGCACGGCGTTCAACCGGGACTTGAGGGAATTGGGACTGGCTTAAAAACGGCGTCTAGATCGATACCCAGCGGCCCGTGGGGAGCACACATAGCATGTGTTAGCGTTCACCGGTACATAGAATCACCTAGATACCCGAAAATGCATCGGCAGCCCCTGGGGCGAGCCTAGATCAATCAAGACCAGAAGCATCGAGGCTCTGTGCTGAATTTAAACGGCTACATGTGGGACCCTAAATGAAATGATCGCTCGTGTGAAAACATCCGGCTAATTCTCATCAATCTCCAAGTCAGCAGCTCACCGCTCAAGACACATCTGACCTCCCGACCTCTGGGTTTCATCAGTGCTGCCGCACGGTATACTTCAACCTCATCTGCTTGTCGGGCTTGTGAGCAGAGTGCCGGTTCCGGCTCGTGAACGGCGCCCGGCTCAGCCTGGTGCCCTTGTCGTCGTACAGCTGGAAGTCGAACATGGCCACGAAGAGAGCGCCAATGATGCTCATCTCGAGCTTGGCGAAGCGCATGCCCAGGCACGGGTGCCTCCCGACGCCCCAGCCGAGGTACCCGAAGGGCACCTTCTTGTCCTCTGCGCGCTCGGGCAGGAAGCGGCCCGGGTCCCACTCGTTGGGGTCCGTGTAGACCTCCGGGTCGAAGTGGACGTCGTCGAGCAGGTACAGCGCGAAGCCGTCGCGGGGCACGACCTCGCCCGAGCCGCCGATGGCGACGTCGCGGCCCGAGATGTTCTTGCGGAAGGCCGTGCCCACCAGCTGGAAGCGGATCGTCTCGCGCAGCGCCAGGTCGATGAGCGGGAACTCGGCCTCCCAGTCGTCGAGGCTCAGCGTCGCGAGCACCTCGGCGGGCGTCTGCGAGGGGGACGTGCGGTGCCTGGCCAGCGCCGCGTCCACCTCGCCCTGGATGCGGGCGTACCACTCCGGGTGGGTGGCTAGGTAGCAGAGGAGCCAGCCGGCGTTGATGCCCGAGTTGATCTGCCCGGCGAAGAGGGCGCCGAGGGTGAACTAAGAACCTTGTTATGAGCTTATTTCGGATTTGTGGAACCTGCGGGGCTAACGAGGGAGTGTGGTAAGACAGACTGTGGGGTGCATGCGGGTGGGTAAGCCGTGATAACGGGGCCTTGGGTGGATTACGGGGCTTTCTATGACGTGAGACTGGCTAGCTAGAGGGATGCGGATGTGGCGGCAGGGCTGTGCGGCTCCAGGACGTTTACCCCAGATGGTGTGAAGCAGACAGACGACACGTCAAGACTTACAGTCAGGATCCGCACGATATCCTCGCCCGTGTCCATGAGGAACTGGAAGGCGTCCTCGTGCGTCTTGCCCGTCTTCTTCCTCTCCTTGGCGATCTTGTCAAAGATGACATACAGCTTCCCGCCCGCGATCGTCTGCCTGATGTAGCCGAGGGTCGGCAGCCAGGGGAAGATGATGCGCGTGGTGCTCGTGTTCCGCTCGACCTCCTCGAAGAGGCCCAACGTCCTAGCAAGCAGCTGCGGGGAGTCGGCGATCTCGGTGGCGCCGACGGTGCGCATGGTCAGCTGGTACACGATGTGGTAGATGTCGTCGAAGGGGTCGAAAATGCCCGTCTTCTGGCCGCCGTTGTTCTTGACAATGGCATCGAGGGCCGTCGCAGTGTCGGTGGTGAGCAGCCTGAGGTTCCGCACGAAGTTCTCCTTCTTCATCAGCTTCGTGATTGTCCGGCTGAACCACTGGCTGAATTGACTGGCCGAACCAGGTTCGTTCTGTTTTCCGACCTGGGGCGACGCTGTGAACATCACGGCATATCTGTTCCAGCCGGTGGGCTCCTCGTCAGTACCAAGCTTGCTGGAGACACCCTTTCCCTTTGGTCTTTTTGCTCTCCTCTCCATCCAAAGGGGCTACTCACCCCTCCGACATGTTCAAGTCCTTGGAATCGAAGAAAGTCTTCCGTCCCTCGGCTCCCGACATCCCGACCAGCCTATGCTTGCCGAAGTAGAAGCTGAAATTCCCCGAGTTGGAATGATTGAGGGCTTCCTTAAAGAAGTCGGCCCTGCTGGTGAAGAGTCGAAGGGCTCCGAGGAGGGGATAGCCCTCCTTGATCTGCTTCGGGGCAGTCTTGGGGAAGGATGGCTGCCATTGTATCTTGATGAAGACGGCGAGGACGGACAGGAGGAGGATATAGATGCTGGCAGGCCAATTTTGGTATGACAAGGCAGAGGCGAGCCCCGTTGAAGTCGCCATGGCTGACAGTGGACGGGGTGGTCCAAGAGCAGTATACACGTGTTATCGAGCTGGGAAACCAAGCTCCCGGATGGCGGGGAGTGTTGGGGCAGACGAGCTGGCTTATAAGCGACGCATGATTGACACACAGCCAGCTATGCTTTGGCTGTTGGTTGCCACCTCCAGCAGCCAAAAGGGAAAAGCTCCCCGTGGGGGGGCATCAATCGAACGGCCCGTGTATCATGCTCCATCCCAATACCACCCTCCACTCGACCAACCCCTGGGGGCCCCTGCTGTCCGTGAGGAGCCGGCCAATCAAAACTGGGGACGTCGTCAGTACAAGGTTCAGGCGGGAAGCTTGTTCTGTTGGCTCTTGCTCCTTCAGACGGGAACATCACTCTCCAATTGTTGTCAATTTCACGAGTACGAGCAAGAGAACGTTGTTTTTGAACCAAATCTGGTCCGCGGAGACCAGTAGAGTGCTCTCTGTCGCACAGCCGGAACTCTCTGGTCGATCGGCACAGGTGCAGAGCCGCAGACTGTCAACGCCCCGCACCGTTTCCCCAGCCGTTGCTGCAGACCGCCCAGGAGGTTTTGGATGCAGACAAGCTAGCGGACATTGTGGCGTCGACCGTTGAAGGCGGCGGCGGCCGCTATGGTCGACGGATTGAGCTGGCTACCGCTAACGGCGACGACAGCCTGTCTTCCGACTGCTAATGAGGATAAGAGGAAGTCTGAGAGTCCGAGGCCTGAGGGCCAGAGGGTTTGATGGGGGTAGTTGACGGTGTCCCCTTCAAAGTACCGGCAGCATCATCACTTAGATAGTATCAGTCTTTTGAGGTGACGTGCTCATGGATCAACAGCGGCTTTCCATGGACGACGCTGCCTGCAGGAAAAGACCCTACCTGGATTGCAGTCATCGAATCTCTTCACCACATGGGATTGTCGGATATGACGTCGCACAGCAAATCAACTCGACTCACGGATGGCAAAGACTTTCCTAGACATGCAGTGGAAGGATGGATGCGTGGCTACTGCCTGCTTTTCAGCTCTCACTTTCCCACGTTGGACCATTCACTGAATGGGAAATGCATTGGACAAGATGCACTGCGTACCTATCACCATGTAATCCCTGGCAGATGCCTGCTGGTCAGATTACGGCCCGCACACCAGACCGAAAAGCATCCAGATGAACCCGAACGCCACCAGCCGACCAGTGTTACCACCAGAAAAGAAAAAGCATATTCGTTATTCTCTGAAAACAAATTCCTCTACAACGCTCTCTGTGGCGGCATGCCTGAAGAGACGACAGGCCCGCCATGCAGAAACGGCAGTGCTTCATCCACCATCTAAAACAGCCCTACCCTCCATACCCACCTAACAGCTTACTCTGTGGCAACCGGCCGGTCATGGATATCCAGGCAGACGTATCCAAACCCTTCATGGGGCCTGATGGACGTATTGACGAGGAAATGGACAACTTCAGCGATGTGTCTCGATGTGGAAACATGAGGGTCTTTCAAGACAATGGATTGAAAACTGGAGGTCTCAGTGTGTATAAAAGAATTTCACATTGACTATTATTAATCCACAGAGTGGTCGTTGTAATACCACTTTACCTTTGATGTTACTGTTCTTCCACACTACTATAGTTGTGAACTGGCATGTGATGGTTCTATAGAATTTGGCTGGTTCTGGAACTTGGACATGGTCCCTCGAGCGGCCAAGTAAGCAGATTATGGAAACAGATTCGATAAGCATAAGTCACACAAGGGAAGCTTCGAGGCACCTTTGAGAAGTACGATAGTCCAGGTAGAACAAGGCTGTGGCTGCTACCCCACCCGGTGCTATCTCGCTCAAAACAGTTCTCCGTTGACCTCAGAATTTCCCCCTCTTCCCAACAAGCAAGCCTCTGACATTTCAGCAGGACCCATCGATAGGCCACGAAAACGCATTCACACCACGCCTATGTACCTACCCGAGTACCTTCGTACAAAGAGGCTTGCGCGATTTGTAGACAACCCATCTCGAGTACTCGCCAGACCCGAATACAACCGTAAACCATCGAGCCCAAATTATCATGACTTCCTCCTACCAATATCAGTCATTAAGCTCGCCAACTACGGAGATTCGCCTACTCGACCTACTCCCCGGCCGCGGAACCATTGAGTGCCGACTGAGGATCACCGACCTAGCGCTGGCAAAAGACACTTACGAACCGATTTCGTACTGCTGGAAGTCTTACAGCCGCAAAGGTTGGCCAATATGCACATATAGAGAGAAGAAGGAGGTGAAGAATTATATACTGGTGCGAGTTGATGGTTTCGGCTTCCACATCACCAAAAGCCTTGCCGCAGCTCTCCGACAGATGAGGCTGACGAGTGAAGTCAGAGTGCTTTGGGCTGACGCGATCTGCATCAACCAGGCAGACGATGTAGAAAAAAGCGCACAGGTGGCCATGATGGGCACAATATTCCAGAGTGGCAAGCAGACCCTCGCCTGGCTCGGCGATGCAGACTGCTGGACTGGAAGGGCATTCAGGGCCTTGAAGATACATCTGGGCCAGATACCAGAACATTCTAACTCAACTGGGCTCTACCAAGACTCGGGAGATGAGTCACAATACCGTCTAGGGGATCCAGGAGCGGAATTACTTCACTCAGGGTATCTGCGGCGCGCCAGGGAGCTCTGTCAAGATATTCTCTCATTCCTATCCTTCCGCTCTATCCTCCAACGGCCTTATTTCGAGCGCGCTTGGATTGTCCAAGAAATCGTTCTGTCTGAAAACGTGCTGGTTATGTGTGGAAAACACAGGATCACCGGGGACGAGCTGTACAACGGGCTCCTCGGATATAAACATAGGAGGGCTATTCCTAATCGAGCAGCATTGATTGGTAATAGCATTGAGGATCTATGGGATAACCTAGGGCGATATTGCTTGGACGAGATCATCAACAAGCTCTTGCACACAAAAGCTTCTGACCCAAGAGACAAGCTATACAGTGCTTTAGGGCTCCACCAGAATTGTCCTGAATGCGGGCTCATGGTCGTCGATTACAGCAAAGATGTCGACGAAGTCTTCCTGGAAGCCACCAAGCTCCTGCTATCGCGAAGCCCCTTTTTGAACCTTTTATCAATGAGCTACTGCACAAGTCGGCCAGACGGAGTGCGTGTCCCATCTTGGGTTTGGAGCCCACACCCCAGGCCCAATGACTACCAACTGTCCTGGGGATCAGGCGCGGAAAGTCCGTTTTGCGCTACCCAAGGCTGGCATTCTCAACCTCAATTCCAAGGTCGACGGCTTGGATTACTTGGGTATGTCTTCGATAAGGTGAAGGTAGTTGGCAAATGTTTCCCCGCCCGTCCCGAGTATTGGACCCATGGCTTCGTTTCAGAGGGGTTACTATGTTATTTCTCCTGGGTAGTTGTTTCGGGAATATATGAGCCAGGTATCACGAAGGAAGAATCGAACATACGGGCCTGCGCCTTCCGTTGCACACTCAAACCTCTCAAGGAAACGTGGACCATAACCGACAGAGAGAACTCAAATTGGTTCGATCAAGAGGACACTGTTGGAATATTCTAAATATCTAGGCTATTATTAATACGGGATATCCTTTTCCCCATATATTTGCCACTATATAAAGGATAATAACTATAAATAGGGGCCTTCCCTCCTATTAAATAGATATTAGCTAGCCTAATAAACTAAGCATTTAACGCTATTATTTTAAAGGTTATAAGCTCCGGAGCTAACCCAAAATGGCAACGCTAACCTAATACGGAAAACGCACATTACGTAATACCCCTAATCGCCATTACTTTTCAAACCTTTTAAATAAAATAAGCTTTATACTTAAAGATATACCTTTTAATTAATTACCCGATTAAGCTAATTAATAAGCCCTTAATTAATTAAATCGCTCCATTTAACATTATAAATTAACCTTATTTCCTAATTAAGAGCCCATATATAAAAACCATACCTTCTTTACCTAAATACTTAACCATTTCTTTATTAATACTTAACCTACCTATATAATTTATATATTAATTAAGAGCCTTTATTAAAAATAATAAAAGTATTTCTTTAAATTTTAAAAACTATACTAAATTAATATTAAAAACGTAAATTTTAATAAATTTATAATAATCTTTAAACTTCCTTAAAAACATTTAACTATATTTTAGCTATCTTTAATTTATAATATTTTAAAAATATACTATTTAAAAACCCTTCTTCTTTTCTTTATAATTATATTACTTTAATACCTATATTTTTATTCCTTAATTTATTAAATTTATTTAAAATTTATTATATCTTTTTCTTTATTATCTTAATTATCTTAATAAATACTTTACTTATTTATCTTAAAATAATATTCCTTAATAAATATAATGTTTTATTTCTTAATAAAATAAAAAATTATATATATTAAAGCATTAAAATTTAAGTTTAACTTAAGAAAGAAAACGTTATTAAGAATAATCTTAAGAATCTTTTTTAAGGCTTATCTTTAGCTTAAAATAAAAAAGCCTTTATTAATATTAAACTTATATATAAATAAAGGCTTATTATATTTATAAAAAATATAAATAATGCTTAAAAAGCATAAGATATACTTAAATTTTATTATAAACTCTTTAGGTTTATAAGCTAATATTTACTTTATAAAGAGTTCTTTAATATTAGTTTTAATAATTTTAAGATTATAAAAAAAATATATTAATAAGCTAAAGCTTTTTTTAAAGGATTTAAAGGCTAATAATATAATTTTTCTTAAATAAGTTATAATTAACTAAATTTTTTATAGCTTAAATAATAAATATATTAACTTTATTTAAAATATAACTTAAAGTTTTAAAAAAGATTTAAATACCTATATAATTAAACTTTTCTTTTTTAACTTATTAAATAAAAGTAAAGGTAAATTCTTTAAATTATTTGCAAAAGCTTTATATATAAAGGGTAAAAAAGATAAAAAAAAGATTATTATATACCTTAATTATAAAATAAAGGGCTATATTTAAGAGAATTGCTATTTCCTTTATTTAAATAAGGTACTTATTAGCTAAAAAATAAATAAATAAAGAAAAGAAAAGGAAAAAACTACTTTTTTAAGGTAAAATATAAGTTAAGAGAAATAAGAGAAAATGTAAAAGTAACTCTTAGCTTTATTAGCTAATATAAAGTTTTTTATAGCTTTAAAAGGCGCTTAGGAAAAACTTATGGCCTATATAGCTATAAATAATTTAATAGAAAATATTAAATATAATAAGAATTTATTAAATTTCTTATAATTTTCTTTTAATAACTTAATGGAAATTAAGGTAAATAACCCCTTATATACCCTATATATATATATAATAACTATAATAGCTAATAATAAATTTATAGGAAATTAATAATATATAAATTTTATAAAAATAGCTATAAATATTACTATAAATATAATAAGTTTTTAAGATATTTATTTCTTTAATATTATATATATAATTAATAAAATTATGAAATAAAGTAATGTAGGTATTATATTTATAAATAAAATAAGGGACTTAATAATTAAGTTTTTAGAAATAAATATTATAAAGAAATTCTTTAATATATATTATATGCCTTTTCTAAGTTTAAATATACTTAGTTATAAATATATAAGTAATAAAATTAAATTAAAATTAAAAGGAAATATTATTAAATTATACTTTTAAGAATAAATAAGCTAATAACTTAAGAATATTAAAAAAATAGCTTATACTTTATAAGAATTAATATAATAAAATAAATAAATAAGCTTAAATATACTTTTTAAAAAAAATATATAATATAATAAAATTTAAATATAAATAATAAAAATAAAGAAGAAATATATAAATAGAATTATAAATTAAGCCATATAAATATTTAAGCTTTAGAAATATTTCTTTAAAAATATAAAATAAATATATTAATAAATAAACCTATTTAAAAATATATAAGTAATTATAAAGTATGCTTAAAAGCTAAGCATATAATTAAAATAAATAAAACTAGCTTAAATAACTAAGTATATAATATACTTAAAAGAGTACATAATAATATAAGCGGTTCCTTAAAACTTATATATAATAAATATAAATATTATATATTATTCCTTAATAAAAAACTTAATATTTAAGAGTTTCTTTACTTAAAAATAAAGATAAAGCATTAAAAGCTTTTAATAATTATAAAAATAAGGTAAAAAATAAATATAATAAAAAAATAAAAGAATTCTTTATTAATAATAAAGGTAAATATATAAATAAAAGATTTAAAATCTTATTAAATAAATACTTTATAAATTACTATATAACGCCCTTATATATAAAAGAACTAAATGGCTTAATAAAAAAACTAAATTTAACTATAATAAATAAAGTAAGAAGCCTTTTATATATAGTAAATTTACTTATATACTTATAGGGAAAAGCAATAAAATATGCTATATATTTATATAATATTATATCTTATAAAAACCTAAGGTATAAGTACCCTTATAAGGTAATAAATAAAAAGAAACCTTATATAAATAACTTAAAAATATAGGGATTTATCGTATATTTTTAGAATAATAATTATAAAACTAAATTAAAACCTAGAAATAAAAAGGGCATATTATTAAATATAGTCTTAAAATTAAATATATATCAAGTATGAAATATAAATAATAAAAAGCCTATATTAATTCAAGATATCCAAATATTAAAAGAGTAATATATAAATAATAATAATAATATTAATATTAATAATATTAATAAAAATAATAATAATAATAATATATATATATTCCTAAAATTGCAAGAATAAAGAAAAGAAAATAGGAAAGTAAATTCTTCTCCTATTTTAAATAAGATAATAATCCAAGGGAATCCAAAAAACTAAATATATACTATACAAAATACATTATTAAATAATTAAATATCTATATTAAATTCCTAAGAAAATATATTAAAATACTGCTTAACTATAGCTAATATTAATAAACCTTCTTCTTTAAAAAAGGTATTAAATAACTTAAAAAAACCCTTATAAGTTAAATTTATGCTAAATGAAATACATAATTTATAAAAATAAAATACTTATATAATAATGAATTTACTACCCAGCAATATAACTTTAAGGGGGAAATAAGTATATAAAAAGAAATTTATAAATAACCCAGCTATTATAAAGCCTAGTTAGGTAATAAATAATAAGAATAATATTAAATTTAAATTTAAATAAATTATTTATAGATATAATTAAAAATTAGGTATAAATTATTTAAAGACTTTTTCTATAGTTTGCTACCCTAAGACCTATATTATGCTATTAATAATAGCAATAAATAAAGGATATTATATATATAGTTATAATATTAAAAATGCATTTTTACATTTTAATATTAATTTTAAAATATATATAAAATTACTTATATATATATATATATAATAAACCAAAATATAAAAATAAAATTACAAAACTAAATAAAGCTTTATATAAATTAAAATAATTACCTATGCTTTAATATAAATACTTAAAAAATATATTAATTAAGCTAGGATTTATTATTTGCTTATATAATAAAGAGGTATTTATATACCCTAATAAATAAATTATATTTATATATTATATAGACGATATTATTATTATAAGACCTAATAATAATGATATAAATTTAATAATTAATAAATTATATAAGAATATAAAATTAAGTTTTTAAGGAAATTTAATAAATTTCCTTAAAAGCAATATATATATAAATAAAGAAGATAAATAAATAACTATAAACCAAAATAAATATATGAATAAAATATTAAAAAGATTTAATATAAAAAAAAAGGTTAAGAAAAAGGAAATAATCCCTTAACTTACATTATATACCCCTAATAGAAAATTAGAAAAATACACTAACTAAGCTAATAAAAATACTATAGAATTATATTAGCAATAAATAGGGTTTATATTATATGTTAGCTTAAAAATAAGGCTAGATTTAACCTATTTTATAAATAAGTTAGCTAAATATATGGCAAATCCAGGATTAAAGCATATAAAAGAATTAAATAAAATATGGGGATATATATATAAATTCCTATATATATTTAAAGTATATAATTGCTTTGGAAATAATTTATAATTAATAGGCTATATAGATTTAAACTAGGGTAATGATATATTTATTGAAAAAAGCACTTCTAGTTATATATTTAGCTTATATGATATTAATAATAATAATAATAATAATAATAAAATAAATCCTATAAGCTGGAATTCTTAGCTATAAAAAACATTAGCATTTTCCTTTATAAAAGTAAAATATATAGCTTTAAGAAAAGCTATAAAAGAAGCTAAATATTTATATAATTTACTTAAATATTTTAATAATAATTTAAATATTAGCTTTAATCTTAAGCCCTCTACTATATATATAGATAATAATAAGGCTAAGAAATTAGCTAAAAAATACCTTATTTTATAAAAGAACTAAATATATAAATATTGTATATCATTATATAAGAGAAGCAATAAAAAATAATAAAGTAATATTAAAATATATAAATTTTAAGTAAAATTTAACAAACTAGCTTATAAAACCAATAAATAAACTATATTATAAAGATTTCAAAGAAAAGTATAGTTTAATAGAAAAATAATATAAAAATATTAAGCCAAAGAATAAAGAGATTTTCCACTTATATTATAATGCGCGTAAAATAAATTAAGGTATTTACTTTTTAATAATTAGGGTTAAGATTTTTTCCTCTACTTATAAAATATATAAATAAATAAAGCGGACTTAATTATATATATATATAATATTACCCTAAATACTAAAGGTTTTCCCTTAAAAGAAATAACTAAAATAATAAAGGTTTTTCCTAAAAAATAAGCATTACTTACACAGCCTATATATACCATATATACATACAATTACAATATACCTATACTGCGTTTATATACATTTAATTCTACATAGAAAACGTATTTCCATAATATATATAATATAAATAAAATAACGTGTAACTTTAATATGTAAAAATACCGTAATATATCATAGCTATTATAAAATAACTAGTAAATCTTATATAAAACCATAATTTAATATATAATACCCTACTGGCTATAAGTTCAAGTTTAAGTAACAATAAATTTTTTAGTTTTTTGCCTAAATATATAATACTTAATAAGTAAGTTTTTCCCCTTTTATAAGGTTTTCTTACTATATAACTAAATATTCCTTTTTTATAAACTAAATCCCTTATATATAAAATAAAATAAATAAAAGGGAATTAGTTTAAGGGGGGCTGTTGGAATATTCTAGATATTTAGGCTATTATTAATACGGGATATCCTTTTCCCCATACGTTTGCCACTGTATAGAGGATAATAACTATAAATAGGGGCCTTCCCTCTCGTTGAATAGACGTTAGCTAGCCTAATAGACTAAGCATCCAACGCTATTATTTCAGAGACACAAGGGACTTTGAATCATTCCATGAGGAAATCATGAAGCGTTTCGAGAAGTTTCTCTCTCCAGGGGGCGACAAGACAAGTGTCCGGGCAAGGCTGGAGTTATGGGCAGCTACTGCGTCTTTTCATCGGCACTTCATTGGCAGTCACACGCACGCTGAACCTTGGACTACGTTCGCCAGTGGTGGTGCAGCGATATTTGATCGTCGCTTTGTGAGGTTGGAATACGGAAGTTATGCAATGTGCCCGCGGGACACGATGCCAAACGACAGATTAGTGCTCCTCCAAGGAGCCAATGTGCCCTTGGTTCTTCGTCCATCTGGCGAAAGCTGGGAGCTGGTTGGTGAGTGTTTCGTGTATGGGGTCATGTATGGAGAGCTTTGGGACCAGGAACTGTGCAAGATGCTTTGGATAGAGTAGCACAGCTTGCCAAAATTCATCTGGACTTCCTACCCGGCTGAAGTTACCGGTCTGTGAGGAGAACGCATGAGTAGCTAAAACATTAAGATCAGTACTACACCAGGGATGCTCTTGAGAAAGTCTCAGATGGCGTACGGCTTCTTGAACACTTCTCAAACAAGGTCTCTTCGCACTTTGATGCAGGAACGTGTGCTCAGCTAGAAATCAAGGTCACATGGCCTTTTTTGTTTGATGTGTCCAAATCACCGGCAAACCACACCGACTCTGATCATGACCAAGTATGTTGTTGAATAAGATCATTTCGGTTTTCCGTTATCAAATTCCATTTTGAAACCAAAAATTCATTAATCATCATAATGCGTGGTCTACACTTCTTAACATCGTACACATACACAGACCTCCCGTCCTCCATCGAAAAACGCCAATTACCCTCGAGATAAAACACAAACCAATGCACCAACCTGCACAAGCACAGTATCGTCCACCGAAATCCAACTACTCGGCATACCCAACCAGCATACTGCAGCACTCCCACTCGGCGCCAGCGGTCTGCCTCCAGACGGCCGAGGTGACAGCCTCAACCTGGTCATTATCCTTTGCCTTGTCGCCCATCTTGTACAGAGTAACCTTGCACATGGTCGACATGCTCATCAGGCCAATCTGGCTGACGACCCGCGTGTCCTTGTCGATGCGGTACGCCGACCAGGGCTTGACCTTGCGGAGCCTCTCCTCGAGCTCGTCGTAGGTGACAGGGTGCGAGGTCCCCAGGGTGACGGGGTCGATGACGACGCAGTCCTTGGCCATGTACTCGAGCACCGAGTCGGGCTCGTCGCAGTAGGCGCGCCACAGGAGCGTCTCGCAGTCGATGGCGTCGGCCAGGTTGCGCTTGGCGATGGTGTTGCGCTCCTTGGGCTTCTTGGCCCCGCTGTACTGCTTCACGTCCGACCCTTCGCCGTGGAAGCCGCCCACCTTGCCGTGCTGCTGCTGCTGGCCCCCGTCGCCGCCCGTGAGCCCGCCCGTCAGCTGGCCGAGGCCGCCCCCGTTGGTGAGCCCGCCTGTGAGCTGGCCGACGCCGCCCCCGTCGGTGAGACCACTCGTGAGCCCTCCGACGCCGCCTCCTCCTCCTACTGTTTTTGTGAGACCACCGAGACCTCCCAGCGGCATATTGGGCGATTTGTGGTTCTGGTTGCGGAGAAGAAGGTGATTGTTGTGGGTCGGGTTACTGGATCTGGGACGTGGGCCTCCAGATGTCGTGTAAGTGATAAGAGCTGACTCAAGTCAGGGATGTTCTTGGTATTCTTGGTGTATGATTCAAGATATCAACACTGCACTTCTTGGCTAGTTGTCTAGGAGATGAGGATTATCTTGCAGTCTGTTAAGTTTGAGAAGGCTATACGAGGAAAATTTAAAGTAAGGGATCGCGGGGAAGAGCTTCATCTGGGACGCTGCCGCTGCTTTATCCCAGCATCAGCAGGCCCCAGAAAAACAGGATCTCTCGAGGGCTGACTGACGTCAAAGGCTTTCGGGCCCGATGTGAGTGGGGAACAGGACCCTTGGCCATTTGGGGTCTGGGCCTGCCCACACGCCAGCCCTCGTTTGCCCTACTGAGCCAGCGTCAGCCTACGCAATACCGCACCCATGCGCTCTGCATCATCGGACTGCGCTATGCCTGCATCCGGTAAGAAAAACGGCTGATCTCCATGCACCATGTCCCAGAATCCTTGCTGCCTACCTCATCTCGATCGACTCACACAGCAGACTATGAGGTATTCCAAGGTTCTGGATTTCTGTTACCTTCGATGCCGTACACATGCTTCTACTTCCATGTGTAGTACTGGAGCGGCATGTCTTGCAGCACGTGTGCCGTCCTTCCCGTGGATGAAGCTGATTGTCTGCCACTGGTATTATGTTCCTGCTGAGGCGGACAAGCAAGGAAACCGTATGAAACCCCCGGGTCATGTCTCCCCCCTCTAGACCACAATCTTCTCATCATGCGAGTAAAATTTGTGATGTTTTTGCATGACCATGCTGCAAAGATGCCGGCAGTCCTTAGCAAACCTACTTAGAACCGCACGTGTTGCAGGTCATAAAAGATAATCTGAATCACACGCCAAATGACGACAATGCTTACCTACTGAGACTATGCCGGCAGCCAGAGTTACTTGAAAGTTCAATAGCCACTTAATGACTGCATTTGTATCCCAGGATCATACATGATGAAAGGGGAGATTCACTAAAAAGTGTACATAGAGTGTTGCAACTATTGGCCCTGGACCGGCTATGAGGGAGTGGATGCCGCTACTGGAAGTGCTTCCTATGCTCTCTAAGTAATCCACCGTGCGTTATATAACATTATACAAGGCCTCTGGTACCTACTTATACTTCCACCGATTGGGGAAGGACAGATCCAATTGGTCCGACTCTACTATAACCATCTCATTGGCTATTGGCATATACCTAACCAATAGGTCCTTAAATACGACCGCCTCCATTCTACCACTGTGCCTGGCCTTCGCTTTCTTCCGGTGCTCATGGCTCGGATCACCCAGGCGATCCTTTTCGTGTTTGCTCTTCTCCTTGCGCTCTCATCTCTAACATCTTCCCTAGCCTGGACCGTAATGGCTGCTAGGCTAAGCCAACAAGCGAGAGATAGCCCATTGCAAAACAGACTTCAGGGAGGGCTCTTATTTAGTAGGCTGAATTTCGCCTGAGGATAGTGTCAAGATCCAATGAGTAAGCCAATATCAAGGACTTTGTGGTCGGCTTACTAGGTTACTCCGTCAGAGATTGTATATTCAATGTCTTCAGCCTCATAATATGACTCACTTGGGTGATATGGATCTGTCAGTGCGGGGCCGCAACGACTGCTGACCTCAATCTTTCCAACTGATGTCGAGGAGGCTTGTTCTGGGTCTATTCTTTCACGGAGCTGTTGAGGGATGTGGCAGGAAAGGCCGGGTCTGGCAAACATGCGATTGTTTGTATTCGAAGTGGGCCTGATGGCTGGAATCTGACTGCAGAAGGGGCAGAGGGCACTCTTTTTAAAGACGTACGTAGGGCATAGACCCCCTATTCACGTGACCTCCCCATTCACTGCCATAAGGGAGGTGAACTACTGTGATGGCTTGGGTACACTTGCTTGTATCCTGCACCACCAGAGATATCGAAACATGGTCAAAGCGGCGGGACCACTCCCACAGATATCGACGGCACGTGTTCACGTGATGTTTTCACCATGTGAATGGATTCAGACTTCACAGTATCGATTAGAGATTCCCTTTTAACCCCGCAGTCACTGCTTCTGATCTTTCAACAACAACAACAAACGCGACTACGATCTGACACTCGCAATCCACGCAATCGCCCTGGGAATCAACATGCCCATCAGCGAGCCCTTCCGACTTCTGGACCTCCCTCGGGAGGTTCGTGATGAAATTTACCGTGGAATGCTTTGCGACTGGCGAAAGGATGCTGCGCCTGGCCACATTCTGGTGAATGGCACGGTTCGGTTTGCCCCCATGCGCCGCAGAATCGAGGCCAACATTCTGCTCGCCAACAAGCAGATCTACCAAGAGGCGAAGCTGGTCCTGCTCCAGGAAAACCAGTTTGTCCTCGTCAAAATCGGCGTCAGAGCTCGCCACATTATCCGAGCCCTTTTCCTCCCTTCCCAGGTGCCTGTGGTCACTGCAAGGCGTGATTGTGCCGCTGTCTTCAAGGACCATGTCGTCATGACACACTTCATTGACTTCTATCTCGTTGACTTTTTCAACAACTCAAACGCCAATTTTAGGAGGATTGGTCGAATCGATCTCATCCTACTGCACCGAGACCTTCCACAGTTCTGCAAGGCCGTAACTCGGCTCGACTTGTTGGGCCGTCATTTCGTCCACTCGAAGCACGAGGTTACTATACACAACCCCTTCGCAGTAACCTTGAGCCCACACTTTCTCAACCGCAAGAATCAGGTATGAACTCCCATCATATGACACTCTGCTTGCCGTAATGCCGTATTTGTGGGCCAGGCAGAAACAGTGGCTGACACTTTGGTCTCCCAGGAGCGCCTCCTCGAGCCGTACACCAGGGAGCTCCGAGGTTTTGATGACTTCAACATCGACGGCCATGTGCAAACAGACCTGGCCGAGGAGGTTGTTGCAAAAGTTCAGGAGGAACCGCCACCCCCGGACCCCGAGAAATTCCTTGAAGACCTCCTGCACCAGAAAGAGCTCGGGGACCAGGCCCTTCACGGCGGAGACCAAAAAAAGGCCTCCAAGATTTGGAAGGATGCGACCTTCTCACTTCTCCAAGCAAGCAAACGCAGAACGTGGCCACGTCTCAAAGAGGCCGGCGGGGGGGACTTCACCGACCGTGTCAGCGAGCTGGCCTTCCAGATCGAGAGCAATCAGGCGCAGAGCTCCCTCGAGGCTATGCGGGGAATTCCCCTGCAGATCCAGATCAGTGAGGGCTGGAGCTACTTTGTGGATACGCCGGAGTGGAATGACAGGCCCGGCGACCTCATGCGCCGCATGGACTATTTGGCAACAGACTTGCAGAGGGCCTGTTCAGATGCCGAAAAGGTTGGAACACTTCTCGGTACTGGTTGGACTCCGAGCGACGAGCAGCTGGCCAGAGTCTGCTACAGCCTGGCTCAGGGACTCCGCCTCTTCGAGCTGAATGTTGATCTCGCCGAGCGGAAGATCAATCGTGCCGCCGAGCTTGTTCCCGATGACCCTCTGATTCAGGCGGAGGCACAGCAGATCAGGGTGTGGAAGGCTAGAGTCCAGGGTGGTTGGACCGTGTAATGCCATGAGTGCGACGAGCCCCCCTCAAAGGACACTTTTCACCTTTCGGCTTCTATCTATCAGCCCATACAGGAGGATGGTCACTTCACAGTCAGAAGTGGAGAGAGGAGCTCATAACACGAGCAGGATAATAGTGGCTGACGCTCTATCAAGTGGGCTCATTCAAGAGCGCTGCAGGTGTCACTTTTTGGAAGGGATGTGATAATAGTTCAATGAACATCTCCCTCAGTCTGTGTCCATTCTTGACACCAGTGCCCAGGTGCTTTGATGATCAACAAGTGAAAGTGACCCCTGACTCTGATGTATTTTCTGCCTGCATCAATGTAGCAGCAGGCAACAGTGGTACCAAGTCAGTAGTTGGTGAGCTGTGTAGCAACCTTGGAAGAAGGATGCAGTTCAAGTCTGACGAACACAAACATTCAAAGGAGATCCTTCAGCCAGGGCTCCCATGACCCGCATTAAGTGATTGGCTAGACTTGATGGGGCTCAAAGGCGGAACCAGCCCAAGTGCTTATTCTTAAAGCTTCAGCCCAACGCACAATCGTTACCACTGGCCAAACACCACTGCAAGGCCCAAAATGTCGTTCAGACTGAGCACAGAGGAAATCCTCAAGGTCAACAACAAGATCAACACCTTCGTCATCGTCCGCGCCGGATCCCTCGACACCAAAGATGTCGACCTCTTCGTGGTCATCCCGCCGCCCGACACGCGGGATCCCTCCCACCAGGCAGCAGTCGGCTCCATGACACACCTCTGCCGCACCTGCCGCAGCGCGCTGGGTTACCTTTCCTACTACTTCGAGACCTGGGCCTCGGGCGGCGGCGGCGGCGGCGGCGCAGTCGAGGGCCTCCCCTCGGCCTGCCTGCTCCACGACGGCGCCGACACGCTGCAGCAGGGCGAGGACGAGAGCTGCCACCTGTGCGTGCTCCTCATGTCGGACCTGCGCACCAAGAGGATCAGCCTCGAGTCCGTCGGGCAGTCCAGGATCGAGATGTGCTGGAAGTCGGACGAGGCATTGTCGCGCCTCCATTTCGCGCTGACGCATGGCGGTCACCCGCGCTCCACGGACAATTACTGGAACTTCCTGAAGCTGCAGCTGTGGCCTTGCTCCGAGCACGGGACTGAACTCTTCACTGGTGCTGGGAATGGGAGCGACGGCGGCCTTGAGCGGTCCAGCAGCACCAACTCGCAGCAGACTCGGGACCTGGCCGTCGAGTGGCTCAATGTTTGTCTGGCCAACGAGGATGGGAGCCATGGCCAGTGCAACCAGGGTCAGGGAGACTGGCTTCCGACGCGTCTCTTGGATGTCGCCTATGCGCGTGAGACTGGGAAGCTCAGACTTGTTCTGCCCCATGAGCACCCAGAAGAGTTTGTCTCGAGCAAGCAATATGTGACCCTCAGTCACTGCTGGGGTAATTGGGGGGCCGTAACACTACCTATCTTGACGATTGAGAACTTGAGAGAAAGGCAGGACACCGGCTTGAACATATCGTTACTCCCAAAGACGTTCAAGGAGGCCTTGGAGGTTGCCGAGTGGTTCAAGTGTCAGTATTCTCAGCCCCCAAACACCCGAGACTACCTATCTATCTGCCATCACACAGCTGACACAATGCCCAAACAGGCCGATGGCTATGGATCGACTCCCTCTGCATAATCCAAGACAGCACCCAAGACTGGCAGCGCGAGGCCGTGATGATGTACAACGTCTACAAGACCGCCCTCCTAAACATCTCAGCCGACGACTCCAATGACGCCCGCTGGGGCTGCTTCCGCGACCGGGACCCCCTCGCCGTGCTGCCCATGCGCCTCCGCCTGGCCCCAGCGTGGGAGGGGGAGGACGGTAGCAGCAACCCGGGTCAGGGTCACTGGCTGACCCCGGACTCGACGGGAATTTTTGAAGCCGTCACGAAGGCCCCGCTTGCGAGGCGCGCCTGGGTGTTTCAGGAGAGGCAGCTGTCGCGGCGCGTCCTGCACTTCACGAGCAGGGAGGCCGTCTGGGAGTGCTGCGCCGGGGGCGCCTCCCAGTTCGCGTGCGAGACGTTCCCGCGCGGCTGCGCGGCGTTCCCGGTGCTATTCGGCGGCCGGCCAAAATATCAAGGCCAGGGCCTGAGCGGCGGCGGTGGCGGAGCGGAGGGGAAGGAGGTCTATGACACGTGGGACATGCTGTGCCGGTCGTACTCGGAGAAGAAGCTCAGCCACGCCGGCGACAAGGCCGTGGCGCTGTCCGGCCTGGCCCGGGAGATCCAGGTGCTGCTGCCCCGGGACGCGTACGTGGCCGGGATGTGGAGGTCGCTGCTGCCCCAGAGCCTGCTCTGGAAGTCCGCTGACTCCAGCGGGCGTGTCGATTCCGAGGGCTACGTTGCCCCCTCGTGGTCTTGGTTGTCCATAGACGGGCCAATCTCGGACTTCCCTCCCCACGGGACCTCCTCGCTCCCGGTCACGCAGGTGTTGGATGTCACGGCAGACCCCGTGATTCCTTCTGAGCCTACCGCGTCTCTCCGTGGGGCATGTCTTGACCTGAGATGCTACCTGCGACCCGTCGAGATAAAGCCCGACTATGAAGCGAAACCTTGGTACATGCTGGCCGTCGGAGGAGCCAAGGACAATAAGCTGGCAGTTGGCGACGGAGGTACGGAGGTGGGCTCCTACGATCCGCCGGGCGACAATAACACATTTACCTATTCATTCGATATGCCTTTTACGGGGCATTCTGGGCCAGAATCTGTATCGGCATATTTCCTACCGGTCTCCATAGATGGTCCCGATGAGACTTACCCGACAAGAATAAATGGGCTACTGGTGGAACCCGTGGGCAGCGACCACACGACGTTCAAGAGGGTGGGCACCATGAGCTGCCGCGGAACGCACTGCCTCCCGATCTTGTATAGGTCTCGTGACGTTGATGGCAAGATTACAGAGAAAGCAGGATCCACAGACCAATGGAACAAGTTGCGGAGTCTCCTCGGGGAAAGCTACGATAGCTGGGAGAGTATCAGGAGGGATAGGTATCGACGTCAAATGAAAGCGGAGGATAGTCCTAGTGCCCCTCCCGGTGACAGTAGCCCGCCTGGGGGCTCCAAGCTCAGTGAAGGGGATCAACAGCCAGGAATCACCGAAGTCGAGACAGAGAATGACGGCGACCAGCCAACACCTTCTACACACGCAGAGGTGGACAAGGTGAGAGAAGGCATGGGAGATTTGCATGTTTCAGGGGAAGACAAGCCCTTGGAGCCACCCCTGCCTGCAGTGAATTGGGAAGGATTCGAGCCGTTGGAAAGGTTATACGCGTCCGACGGGGCGTTCATAGGCAGCGAGTTGGAACAGCACTTCTCGAGAATGGTGGCGAGGCAAATCAGGCTGGTTTGATCAGTTGACGAGCTTCGAAACTGGTGGATCGGAGGGTAACTATTTGATAGCACATGTGATGATAGACAAGAAACTCCCGAATTAAACCGGCCCACCGCTGCCATCGGAGGGTAATTAGACAAACAATTGGTCGAGCGGACGGCCATCCAGCCACATTGGGACTGCCCAGGAAGCACAAGATGCACACATGCAGGCAGACTAATATGTCGCGGTGTTGGACCAATGATCGGTGGGAGCCGCCTCGTCGAAGGATCGTTTCCTGGTTTATGAATAGGCCCGATGAGGCCGGGGAAGTAGCTGTTCTCAGCAACGGGTGAAAGCCACATCGGCCCGCACAGAGCAACACACCAGTCAACACATACCCGTCCACACATCCCCAATCCCGATCACAAATCACTTCGAACCAGGAGTCATGCACACAATATCGTAATGAACGTTCTTTTGTTCTTCATTCCTGAGCTAACGTATAACTTTGCGGTTCAACCGAGTTCCATCCCAAGGCCAGTACCGTGCGTGACAGCACCTGCGCGCACTCGACCCACTCATAGCAGCAGTGCAGATGTAGACAAGAAAAGACAAACTGCCGACGCGTAGAGTATACACAGGACCGCTGTCCAACGCAGCAGTCATCGAGAAAATGACGCATCACGCTCCCAAAACACCCTGGTGTCATAGCTGGATCTTTCCAACTAACGTCGAATCCGACTCGACAAATACAAAGGCTCCTCCCAGATCTTCGGCATGAGAAATGCTGCCGGAATATATATCCAATTTTGCCGTCTCTTTTGGTCTTGATAAAATGTCATGCCTCATGCGTGCCTCCCTGTCCAATCCAAAATGAGCCCTTATATCAGGTAAAAGATAAAAAGTAAGTTGAAGAAGCGAAAAGATCACAATAAATAATCGCTAGATGCAAAGGCAAAAGAGGTCACCGCCGCCGAAGCGCTGCGCCAGTCAAACACTGACGGCTCGAAAATTCTGATAGGACGCCCACCAATCGAGACTACCGCATGAAGTCCATGTCCGCCCCCAGGCCATTATTCAGACCCAACGAGCTCATCGTACTGATATCCGAATTTGCTCTCTGCAGGGCTTGAAAGTCGGCGACCGTACGAATGGTGTGTTGGTTGGGACCCATGGCGAAGCTACTCGTACGGGACGGCCCTTGGCGGCTCACCACGCTGTTTGTGTTCATGCCCTGAGACATCGCGTTCATGTACGCGATGCCGTTACTGAATTGCTGGCCGAAGTTGTGATTTTGATGATCGACGCTCATGTTCGGTGGGTGGTCGAGGGGAGTGCCCAGGCCGTGTTGTTGTATGTCGTGTTGCAGGTGCGTGTTGATGTTCTGCATCGACGAGATTGATTGTTGCGGCTGGTGTTGTGTATGAGGTGTTTGTGGCGGATTGGGGGCAGGCGGTTGTCCATTCATTGACGATGACGCGCCCATCGGGTTCATCATGATCCCTGACATGGAGTTATAGTTCTCTGTGAGGCCGTGCGAATACTCGCCGCCTGGGGATGTGGCTGGCGGCGAGCTCATGAACGGGGAGTTCATTTCGTGGTTCGACGCCGACCCTCCTTGCGAGCTTCCAGAATCGACTGGTGCATCTTCCATGCGCGGCGTGTATTTCTTCTCGTAGTCGTCCATCAAGGGGGGCTGAGCCATTCCAGCGTTGCCAAAGCCATCAAAGATGTCCATGTTGCAAGCTTTGGTGGCGACATTGTCCGGCACGTTTTGCAGCATAGGGTTGGCGAGTTTCGGCAATGTCTCGTTGATCTTGCTGATGAGCAGAGGCACGAAGCGGTAGTCCCCATTCCGTAGTACCGTCAGAACGTTCAACAACGGGTTGAGCTGTTCATGTGGGCCGGGTGAGAAGGGGTCTCTGGAAGCAGGATACAAGACAAGGACCTCTGTCAGGGAGCAAGCGACATCAAAGAGCTTTGTCAACTGGTTCCAATGCGTTAGCGGGGGATATGCAGGGAGACAGACACCTGGATGTCTGGATGTGGGTGAACATACGAATGATACATTCAAGCTCTCGGAGTTTTGCTGAGGCATGGATGAGATGCCGGCAAGCAAGTTGCTTGCCATGTTTGCGGAGTATTGCTGGAACACCGTTTGGTCCTCGCCGTGAGCGCCGTTGCTATTCAATTGCCAGATCATTGTCTTCAGCCACTGCTGGTTATGCCTGATATCTTGGTACTGCGAGTCGCCGTAGCTGTGGAAGGCGGGGATGATTTCTGCGAGCTGCTTATGCAGGTTGTTCAGGTAAGCAGAGGGCCAGTTGCCGCGGTTCTTACTCCACATCCCGAGGAACGCATCATCAAATGGGCGGAACAGATTGGAAAGATGAATGAAGCTGTTGAGCTGGTGCGCCATGTGGTCAGTCGGGTCATCGCCGAGCGCCGGTGGGTTGATGGATGCCTGTAGTGTCACCGGTCTATTTCGGTGCAGTGCATAGGCTCTGTGGGGCCCAGCAAGTTAGCGTGAGAAGACAGTGACATGAGAGAGCGAAATGCCCACCTCTCCGTGACGAAGAACAGCCAATACAGGCGTCTCCTTCGTGAAGACTCGACATCATCAAACTGGATGTAAGCCTCCTCCTTGTTCATCCCGATGATGTGGATCATCGTCGCAGCTTCTCGCAGGTGGAACCAGGCCTTCTCATGCATCTCCAGCCCGTTGAAGCATGCAAAGAGGAAGTAGCTCGTGCAGAGGGTGTTCAAGGTGGGATTCTCGGTGTAGTCGTATCCCTTCCGCACACGGATCGCTTCCTCCAGCAGGACAGTGCTGGACACAATATTCGCACCTGGCATACTGTCGAGTCCATACGGGTCACCTGGAATGCTCATGCCGGGCTGGATCATCATGAAAGCGGACAGTGCGGCCAGCAAGCAATAAGTATCCAGGTTCTGGTCCATGTACACAGCCTGTTGCTCGAGGCGGTGGCGGCTGAGGACTGGCATGTTCGGGTACATGTTGGCAAAGAAGAATTCGATGCACTCCTTGACAATGTCGCCGGTCAAGAGCCCCGGTGTGGGAGCCAGCGTCGGGACCGCTGGAGGTGCGTTTACGCCATTCATGCGGTTCTGGACCTGTGCAGAGAGGCTGGTTTGGCGTTGCGTCTCACGCAATTCGCTGATTACCTTGGCTCGCGAGCCCTTTGGTCCCTTCTTCTGCGGAATCGCGTGGTAAGTGCAGCCGAGCTGGGCCGTGTGGCAGTTGCGGCAGGGGTTGACGCCGTCGCACTTAACCTTGCGACGGTGACAGGCGTCACAGGCCCTTTTGACGGCGGTCGTCATTGTGCCTGAGGTCATTTTTGGCGTGGTGTTTACTCTGATTCACAATTCCGGTGAGTCGTGACGAGAGTGGTTTGAGACGAGTTTCCTCGCTGCTCGCTCGGTCGATGAGCCCAGATTACTGTGGCTCCCGGGGAGGAGTCGGGAGACCTCGTGGCAGGTGGCCGGTGATGAGAACCTCCGCGGCCCCGAATGCTGAGGGCATTCGACGTGTCGAATACAAGCGGGTTGGCTAATCCTCAATGCGAAAATGGCATGCAGTCTGCTCGGAGATGTGGTGCGCACAGCTGGGGTTCATGCAGGAAGGGGGGATTGTAATCGGGCCGTCGAAGTTTGTGTGAGTGGCTTTGGGAACCCAAATCGAAATCGCGGGGGAGACAATCCGGGGGAGCGGTTCCAACGGGTCCTCCAACGGCTGGTCGGTCGGTCGGTGGGCGGTCGCGTGTGCAGGCTGCAGGCGAGGCGAGACGCACAAAAAAAGAGACGTCACGAGGAGTTGTATTCAGGCTATTGCAGAGGAGCGTAAAGGAAAGAAAACCCAACAGCAATATACCAGGACTCGAGCTGAGGTTTTCGCGATGACGAGGAAAAGAGAATGGTGTGGAAGGAGATTCAAGTTTGTCAGTCGGTCAGGCGAGTCGAGTCGAGTCGAGTCGAGGCAAGACTGGGGAATGGTAAAATGGGGGGGAGGGGGGGTAAAAGAGACCAGCAGGCCAGGCCAAATTGAGAGAGGGAGGAGAGGAGCAGGCGACCAGGCACAGGCCAGTGAGGAGGGCGTCTGGAGTGGGCAGTGGGCGGGAAAATGAGGAGAAAGTGGAAGTGCGGAAGATGGGAAGGGGCTACGGATGGGGGACGGCGCACTAACTCCCAGCTGAGCCTAGCCGAGGCCAGCCAGACCGGGATGAGCGCCTTCCCCCAGGTCGGAGCTGCATGGACATTGGGTGAAGCGGCCAGCCAGCGGCCCAGCACCAGGGAAGGTGGCAGGGACCAGGGGCGGTGGGGGTTGGCCCTGGGACTGGGACTGGGACTTGGAAGGGCAGCTGCCCAGGTCCAAGGCTCATCACCACTCTCACCACACAGTATGTCCGTCATGCCTGTCCGTCTTGGCCTCTCTTGTCTTCTGTCCGTCTGATGGGGTGGCGCAGACCAGCATCAATTGAGTGACCAGACTAGACTACTGTAGATATCAGCTTACCTTCTTCTTGCTACCACAGCGTATTCTGTAGTCTATAGTCTCATGGCTTGGGCTCGGGTGGCTTTGCTCTGCGGGCTGAAGTGGACAGTCACCAGTCAGTCGGTCAGTCGCCCACCCGCTCAGGCAGGCCAAGTCCTTCGTGCTTGTGCTCGGCCGTCCCATCACGTCTACGGTGCTTCACCGTCATTTCACGAACCTCAGTCGGTCGGTCGGTCAGTCAGTCAGTCAGTAATCCTCAATCATCAATCACACGCCTGCCCCAGGCTGGCCCGACCGAGTCCCGACTCCCGTCGGCATTTCGAACCTAATTGAGGGAAAGATATCGAGACGAGACTCAGCTGCCGGCATTGCTGTTTTGTTGTGGATAGTCTATTCCAGAAATAAAGAATGGAGCCCGTTAATTGCCCCCGGATGTGCCAGAGCGTCGGAGAGTGTCTGCCTGTTGATGGAGTTGATGGCTCGCTCTGCTTCAGGTCTCTCCCAGACGGGCAACTATCTTCGAGTGAGGCATTCGATCGCAATCTCTCGCGCCTGTCTCATCTTGCTTCTGCCACTCATCACTGTGGGCGCACGCTGCGCTGCGGGTAACGTTGTATTCTGGGGTTCGTGCTGTACTTTTAGACTTTTGCTACCGAGGCGTCTATTCCGCCCTCTCGGAACCCGACGGCCCCTGCTAACAGGGCGTGGTCACTCGTACGCGTAGTTCTGACGGAGCACACTCTAACGCATCAGATGGGGTACGTCGCTCCTGTTAAAAGCTGACATTACCCCGGGTGGGCTGAGCCTGAGCCAGCGCCTGTTATTGGCCTGACCACCTGGGCAGCATGCATGGCATTTCGCGTGTCTCAGTGGCCCACAGGGCTCTCGTTGGTGGCACACAGTCTGCACAGTGGGAAGAATGGCTGCTGAGTCGGGAAGCCACCAGGCGAGGCTGTCCGAAAGCCCATGGAGAACAACAGACTGACTGATCTTGTCGTTCAGCATCTCGTGACATGTGTCAATGAGAAAAAAAGGAAAGGACTTCTTCATCAGGGGATCTTGGTCACCTCGTGCTGCAGTGGAATGCGGAATCGCATCCCTGCAGCAGCAACACGACGAACCGCCTGTCCGCCCTGCCTGGCCTGTCTGTTCCCACTTCCCCCGGAGCCCGAGAGCACCTGATTCCGCTCTGCTGTACCCCGTACTGGTGCTGTGCCGCTCGTGCCTCTTTCGTGCACTACTAAGCCTACTCGCCGTGCCGAGGTAATAGTCAAATCCCACTGTGTAGGATATACGTACAGAGGGAATTCGTACTACGATACATAAGCTGTACTGTATGACCTGCATGTAACGCATACGGGATATTATGCCGTGGCGATGACGACGATAGCCTGCTGCAGTCAGTTTTGCCGCTTCCCCTGGTAGGGCTGGGGAGAAACATGAGATTGATGCGAGGCCGAGCTGACGACATTACGAGACAGACCCTGTGGTGCCTGGATCCCAGGGCTTCGGTATTCTCTTGTGTTTTTTCAACGATGCCAGCAAAGCCGAGGTTTTGCCCCAGCGACCCGGGAATGAGCCTGTCTTGTCTGGGCCGCCTCCCTGCTGATTGCCTATATTCACCAGACACACAGCTTATTAGCAAATCTGCCCTGATCTGATGGGGTCTTTGCGGGTCACACAACGTTTCCGGGACTCGAACGAGCAGCCACGGAGGTGTCCATCTTCAACCAGACCTCTGTTCAGCTCGACCTGGTCGTCAGGGATTGGTTCGCGTCGAAGAGACAACACACACACACAGCCACGACCGCAGCCAGCTATGGGAACAGGAATGGCAACTGCGGTGGCAACAGCAACAACAACGAAGAGTGGTGCACCAGCGTGGCAAGCATTGATCATGCTGTCTTAACTGTACTGCAGCACTTAGTAACGTCCAAAACCAACAGGTGATTTGAGTTGTGGGAAGAAAAGGCTTTCCCCAACAAGGTCGCATTAGTGCCACCTCCCTGATCAACCAGAAACCAGCAGCCTGGGATGGCATGCTTCCATTGATGCTTCCAAAACCTTCCACCCACCCACGTCACCCTGGCCGCTGGTCAGCCCGTGCGTGCCCGTCCAGTAAAAAAGCAATTGGTGCTGGCCTCGCTGGCCCATATTTGTCACTAGCCCTCCCTACTCATGCAGGCGGTCCTGCAGGTGTTGGCGGTCTCCCCGCTCCATCGAATCACATGGGGCTGCTACTAAGAGTAAGCCAGCTAGCTGTCGTCGAGTGAACACGATCGAGAGGGTTGATGGATGTGTACACGAGGGCGAACAATGGACGGCGAGGCTCAGATCCACGGTTCTGCACACATTTCACAACAATGAACAAACGTGATTACGAGCGGCATCTCGATGACGGAACGCTCCGGGGATCTTTTCTTGTCAAAGACAAGCACAAAACCACGACTCGTGCCGTCTCCGATCCGACGGGTTAACAATCATCCAGTGACCCAAAATGAGAACGGGGGAGCGACCACGTCACCTGTCCAGCCCTTTGTTTGTTCGGTGAGGCCTGAGAGGATACCGCAGGCGGACAAAGCGAACAGCGAAACCCGCGACCGCCCAACTCCTGGCTGGCCTGCGAGGATCGCCAGATTTTGGGATGAATTCCAGAAGGAGGTTTGGGAAGATTCCAAAATAACCTTCTTCGGCCGGGTAAACAATGGCAGACAGAAAGGACTCGGCGACGTCGAAGGCATCAAAAACCTCGTCTGATCATTCTGCAACGTCGTACACAGCACACAGTACTGCCTGTCTGCTGCCAGGCCGTTGTTCTAATGTCAGACTGCTCCGTACCAAAGTATGGGGGTGATTGGGTGGGTGAGAATGGGCAAGGGTCCTCGGTCGCCCAAACAAGCTAGTCCTCCCGGATCCGACGACGACGATCACAGAACAGAGTTGATGCGGTGCCTTGTCTTGCCTGCCCGCCCGCCTGGCTGGCACAACTTGAAGAAATGCTGAAGGGGAGATGAAACCCACCTGAACCGGGGCGGAAGCAACGCCCGCTTGTCATGCAATGCCAGTCAAGATCGAATGTGCACTGATCGCAGACAGCACGGGACACTTGCTTCTCTGGCTTTGTTTTGCTTCGTCAGCCAACACGCCAGACGGGAACAATAGAAAACCCTCGCAGATCGGCGGCCCCTTCCCGTTCGAGCATGTCCAGCCGGTGCTACCTGCCAGCCAGTCGCCGTGCGCAGGTTCTAGTGAACCGTTCTCGCCCGTTTTTTTGGCACTTTCCCGCCCGCGCGTCAAATCTTCAGCGTCGGAGTGCGGGATTGCAACACTGGCGACGCACGCTGGTGGCCTGCAACATTTTGCGACTGCCGGGCTGGCCGTCGCGCTAGCCACCCGGATCCTACGGTTGCTTTTTTGTTCCCGCCATACCTAGGCACCCATAGGCCATAGGGGCAGCTGTCAGAGACGGCCTGGCTGTTTCACCAGCACGTGGGGTACTCTTTCACCACACCGAGAGGGTCCGTGGTGCCTTTTTCTTTCTCATTTCTTATCTTAGTCGGGAACGTAGGCGAGGCTGCAGCCAATAATTCGCGGAAGTGCCCCAGCCTGCCTGGCATCAAAAGATTCCCCGAAGATGAACCCCGAGTAGTTTGTAGCTAACCAAACTACGCACGTCCGACAATCGCTGCGCCTGGCGTCTCGGGCTTGTCGAGCCACGCGATCGAGATGGCTTGCGCCCCATCCTCCCTGACCTTAGAGAGAACACGCAAGCTCATAGCCAGAGCCCCGAGAACCTCGGTCGTGGCTCGCAGCTAAGCTGCCTCGACCGCCTTGGCTTCGGAGGTGTCTACCGATGCAGGAGGTGCAATGCACGCACCGCGCAGCCACGGCGCGGCTCGAGGTCCCTTTCATGTAAATGCATGTGATGTGCGGGCCGTGCAAGTGACGGAAAGCTGTCGCGTGCATATGTCAGCGTGCAATACACGCTGTGACGAGACGCACTGGCGACACGGCACAACATGCACGCGCATCTCGCGCCGGGGTGTGGGCGGGCGTTTGACCGTTTCCGGTGGGTGGGCGAAGGTCGGCCGGGCCGTCAGTGGGGCCGGCTGCCCGGCTGTGGTGTGGAGGAGGATTCATTCAGGGGAGACCAGACGCCAGTCTCACTTGTGACGACGGGTTTCTGATGGATTGTTGATTACCTCGGACGATGGGCAAGAGGTCAGTCCGATGTATAGGCTGTGGTCAACGTAGCTGGCGGCATCTCGATCAGTATGGTGGTGAGCAGCTTCGTGTGCTGTGCAACGTCAGGCTGGACATTGTTACCACGTCTCACGAAAGAGACATCACTTGTGCAAGCCCATAGTCATATCGAGCCTTCAGTGTAGACATCAAATGAATTCAACCCGAATCTTCAACGCTGCCCTGCCCCATAACAGTTATCCTGCCACGACGGGCATCCCAATTCATGCAACCAGCCAGCCCGTCCTTCCGATCCAACGCCAGACACCCGAAGCCTAAAACAGTCCCATCGTGAGCCACATATCTACTACCCCATATCACCTCTTGTGTATCTTGGGCAGGTACTTGACCCAAGGCACGCAGTTGTTCGCGTCCCCGTGCTTCCCATAGTCCTGCGCGGGCACGAACTGGCCCGTCTGCAGGCTTCCCTGCACGAAATAGACATACCACGCCTCGTGCAGCTCGTCGCGGCGGCGGCCCCCGCACCGCAGCACCACCTTGCCGCCGCTGAACTGCTCGAGGATGCCGCGCACGTCCTCGAGCGGGTAGTGCGTGCGGGCGCTGGGCTCGATGCCCGCCAGCGACAGCGCCGTGTACGTGTCGAGCATGCGGAACAACCCCGCCGCCCGCGAGAAGTAGTCGACCACCTCGCGGCCTGCCGAACCGTCGTCGCCGTAGCACTTGGGGCTCAGCGTGTTTATGCACGTCGCGTGCTTGTTGTACTCGTGCGACCACAGGTGCGCGTTGCTGCCCCGGTTCGCGATCCAGTACCGGTCCATGAAGGCACGCAGCTCGTCCTGCCCGTAGTACGCCAGGATGTCGGTGATGTTGCTGTAGTGCGGCGCCATGTTGCAGTATGCGTCGTAGGAGCCGTCGCAGAGGTCGGGCCTGTGGGCGAGGGGGTGCTGTCAGTCTTGGGGTATACTCTCTGGACAGGGAAGTGTTGGCTTGGGGGTTGCCTCACCATAGCCCGTGAAGAGTCCAGTCTTCCTCTGCTCCTCCGGCGTGCACCTCGCGGTCCCAGAACTGCGTGAGGAGCATACGCCCGCCGGGGTATATGAAGCAACACGAGTCGTCGCCCGCGATCGGCGTGTTGTTGTGGCAGCTCATCGGGCCGTCGATGGGGCAGGAGGGCGCACCGCTCAGCGGATCGTAGGGTGTGACCTCGCCATTGTAGCCATTGCCCGGTGTGGATATAGCCTGGCTGACGCCCTCGATCACTGGCTCGAGGAGATTCGAGAAGGGGTTCGAGACGTCCTGGAGGAGGGGGACCTGCGACAGGAGGCTGCCGGCGTAGGCCAGCGCCGAGCGGATAGATGCCGATGGAGACATGGCTGCTGTTGTGTATTCTGGGGAATGTTCTGATCCTGAGGATCCAGAGTGTAACGTCGGTTCGTTCTACATGAGAGGAAATGATTCGAGCCACGGTTGGGTCGAGACTCGGGGAGAAAGGAGCGTTGTTTGCAGCGCTGGGCGATGGCAGTGCAACCGAGTGTCGTCAGGGTCCAAGAGCTGGGGCAGCTTGTGACAGCCGTTCAGGGATCGGCATGCGGCGTCTCTGCCCGCTGATTGGGCAGCTTGGTCTGGGGCAGAGCCACCCCTGCCCAGCCGACTCCCGAGATTCCCCATAATAAGGTACACAACACAGATAGCAACCTCAGAGATGTCACAGCTCGCTTCTAATCTGTGTTCAACCGCAGCAAACACTGCAGGCTCTTTCACAAACTCGACATTGATGCTTGTGTCTCTGTTACCTGAGTGTTGACCAAGGAACAAACCTCCCATTACTTGTCGTCCTTTGGTTCGAGGCCAAACGTACCTCTCGTTGGAATCGTTTCCACGAAAAGAAGGCAACCGTCTACTTCGTTCAATACACCTATCAAATATCAACTCGATGACACTTAATGTATTAAATTCAACCATAACGTGCGTCTGGGCCCATGGCAGCTGTTCCGGTCAAAAATGAGGTCACTCGGAGGTACTGAAAGATGAGAGGGGCAGGGAGACAGTGATACAGGAAAACCCAACGGTCTGGTTCAGAGGCTGGCTTGTCCCGCCTGACAGCTCACCGTGCCATTCAAGCCACCACCGTTAGACAAGCGCACAAGCTGAAAGCAGCAAACAGCCTCTCTTACACCCATCCGTGGGCTCTCCCGTCGTTTCGTGTAGGACTGCCAGACCTTTGCGCCGGGACGATGGTCCACCTTGGTCTCACCAGCATTTATATTCTCCGAGCTCCCAACCTATCACATTGATTCTGGTGCGACTCCTTTTTTGAGCTGCCTCACTTGGACGGACGGGCCGACCTCCACGATGCCTGTGGAGCATGCTTTCCCGGAACCTCTGGTATACGAGCCAGCATCGGGGACACACAAGCACACCGTAATCCTCCTCCACGGCCGTGGCGGAAGCGCTGATGCGTTCGGTCCGGCGATTCTCAACACCGCCCTCCCTCTCGCAGACACTAGAACACGCCGCGGCTGGAGGACGGACCCTCCCGCCCGTGATGGAATGCCCGCCGAGCCGGCCGACCACAACCGTCCCACAACGCTCGCCCAAGTACTTCCACATGCCAGATTCGTCTTCCCCACCGCGCCCAAGCAGCGCGCCACCGTCTACAGGCGCAGCATCATCCGCCAATGGTTCGACGACTGGCACCTGGGCTTCACCGCGGACGAGGTGGACGGCCGGTACGACCTGGGCCTGCAGACTGACGGGCTGGGCCGCACGGTCGCATACCTGCACGGTCTGGTCGCCGAGGAAGGGGAGCTTGTGGGTGGGGCCCATAATGTCATCCTGGGTGGCATAAGCCAGGGCTGTGCGGCGAGCCTGGTGGCATCATTGCTGTGGGAGGGAGAGGAAGGGCTGGGTGGTGTTGTTGGGATGTGCGGGTGGCTGCCCTATATCAGCCAGATAAAAGAGCAGTTGAGACTTGGAGTTGGAGGTAATGAGAGAAGCTCTGGGAAGGACAAGGATTCGGAAGAAGAAGCCGGCTTTGACCCCTTTGACAGGTCAGCTTCTCCGGGTTGCGATGCCACATCGCCAGGCAACATTGACACTGGATGGTGTGTGGCCGCAGCCCTGGATTGGTTGCGGTGTGAGCTCGATATGCCCAGGAGACAGTCGGCGGCATCTCATGTGCTCAGGAGCAGCAGTCCAGCTATGCTATGCCATGGGCGAGATGATGGGAAGGTCGAAGTCGCCAAGGGCAGTGAAGCCGCCGAATTCCTCTCCGCACTCGGTATGGGACATTGTTGCTTCAAGGAATTCGCAGGTGTCGGGCACGAGTTCTCGGCGGGGATGCTCTTTGGCATCGCTAAGTTCATCCAAGATGTGCTAGGCGGGTCATCAAGTTGAGATGAGATGGTCGTCACATTTTGATGATCCAAGATCTTCCACTCCGGCGAAAATACCAAATTGCGAAGTTGATGAGCATCAATGGGGAAACCTCCCACAGTCTCTGAAAAATATCTCCCCATACGCTTGACTTAATTCTCGATGACATTATTGGCCCTCGTAATATTTTCTTTGCCAGCAGGAATTCGCTGCAATAGCAAAGAGGCTTGGGAGCGAGGGCAATTTCGAATCTCTAGATCGGAAATGGCTTGCGGACGAATTGAGCCCTATCCCAGCCCTGGAATCAGAGCGAAGCGGTTTACAAGTTGTGAATACCTTCTGCCATCACCTGCAGATCAGCGTCACTACCTCCAGACCTTGCGAGACTGTCAGAGGTCTGAGAAGTTTTCTTACGTAAATGTATGAAAATTGCTCCGGACTACTTACAAAGCCGTGCCCTTCTTCGTCAAGCTATAAAAAATCAAAGTGGATAGGGGCAGCTCTCAGTTTACTCCTTCCAGAAACGCGTCGAGGAAAGCCATAATATCAATGCTCTGCGAGTGCCAATTCCATCACGCAAATCCAGCAGCAGAGGTTCGATTAAGTCCGCGGCGTCATGGGCTGAAGGACATGCTGACTTCGTCCCAGTTCCGTCATCAAATGCGGTTCCTGAAGTTGAGTCACACGAAGTGGCAGCAGGATCGTTGTTTGTTCGGCTGCACGAGGCGCTTGACACCATTGTGGGAAATGGGCATGTGCTCACCCTATTCTTAAGGCGCCAGTAATAAATGGACGCTTGTCGGACTGGATGTGGATGCTGACGTATGCGCTGCCAGGGTGGATGTGAAGATTGTTACTCGCCTCGATCTCTAGCAACGGTGCAGAACATGTCCCTCTGGTTTCATCACATCAGAGCAGTTGTCACCTGATGCGTTTCTCTACGAGGTTCTCTTTGCGAAGTCAAGGTTGTAGATACAATGGTCTCGAATGGTTCGCCAGACGCCGCCTTCTCAGGTATTTGCAGGGCTTCCCTTGCCACGTGCAATGATCTCCCGCTCCAATTTCATCCTGTCATAAGCGCGCGACATTGGACATTCATATGCGTCGTCAGTGGACCAATAGATGAGCCTCATCACTGTCCATGGGTCCCTGTCTTCACCCTCGAGCACAAAATGCAGGTCGGCGCCTCTCTTCAGATACTCGAGTGCTCGCTCGTAATCGCCAGCTGCACATGCCATGTAGAAGATGGTCCAGGGACCAGAGCGATCGGAATACTCCAGATTGATATCTGCGCCTCGGTCCAGATACTTATCAACCAGGTCGTCTCTGCCTGCAACTTGGGCCATATGCAGAGCCGTGACACCTTGGGAGCTCTGTGCATTGATGTCGACACAGTCATTGTCCAACAGATAGTCGATCGTGTTGTCCAGCCCCCAGCGTGTTGCAACATGGAGAGCGGTCACCCCATGATATGCCCCTACGTTGTTAGCATCGGCACCTCGCTCAATCAGCAGCCGTGCAGTCGACTCGTGCTCATTGCATAGGGCGTAGTGCAGAGGTTTCCACTCTGGAATGGAGTCTCCAGGATCCACCCAGCAGCCCCCGTTGTCAACTATGCTGTCGTCGTCGTCGTCGGGGTCTCTCGAGTAGAACTCCAGGGGGTCTGGAAGCCTTCGAGGGCAGTGGAGCAGCTTGCTATCGCAGCAGGAGCACAGCTTTTCTGACGTCTGCCCGACATCTGCGCCGTGGTCCAGCAAGTAGCCAACCATGGAATCATGTCCGTGAAATGCGGCCCATGCAAGCGGGGAGATTCGTGCTTCAAAACGAGGCTCCATGAATGCCTTGGTCTTTTCGAGGCCATGCACTCGGAAGAGTAGGCCGATATCAAGGGGACTGCCAAAAGTTTTTTCATCGCGCATATTGACATCGACGCCATTCTCAACAAGCCATTTCAATGTTCCGTGTTGTTCATTTCCGATGGCCCAGTAGACTTGTGGTGTGTTGTCAGCTCGAGCTGATCGGATCCCTTGCTGTGGTGCTTTGTTAAACGTATTTCTGCGTGCTACTTACTGGCTAAGCCGTTTTCTTCCTTGATGTGTCTCTCGTACGCGGTAGAAATGGCGATTTTGTGGTTGCGGCGACTGGTGCATGCCAGCGAGACAAGATCCCGAGGCGACAGAACCCTGTACTGCCAATTCCCACATGCAGAAAACCACGACTGTTCGATAATCCCGAGGAGGAGCTCGTCTGGCAAGCGATCGAGGCAGGCTCCAGGATCCTGAGCCATGGTCGTCCTGTTATGAGGGAGGGCGTTTGTCGCAAATCTGAAAAGGCGTTTGCAAGTTTGTAGAAAGAGTTGATGTGGAAGAATGGTCAGATACAGACCGGTTGACTAGTCGACCGAAGGCGGGGCCGATACTTAAATGTTGGTGCTCAAGCTTCAGGATTTGCCTGAGGCTGCACTGGTGTGCAAACAGGGAAACAAAGAGCAGAGCTTGGTCAGTGTGTCTTCACAATGCTTTCTGTGTAACTTAGGGCATTCACAGAGCCGTGTGATCTTGCGTACAGTGTTTGCATTGTAGCTTGGAAGAACGAGCTTTGCTTGGGTGTCCATCGCGGCCACAGCACCTCAAGTCCTTGATAGCCAACCTAGTATGGGACAACCTCTTCTACAGGACAACCTACTATAGAGTATCCTCCTATAGGAGAAACTCCTACCGAGTAGACTTCCTCAAGAATCCTCTGCTCGGAATGTCTTTGGTGGAATGATTTCTTACAAAGTGACCAGAGGTAGGTGGCCACATGGGCTCCCCTATGATGCTTTTCTGAAGTAAGGCGGTGTTGTGGTAAAAGTGTATGTGATATAACGACCTGAGATCTAACCTGAAAACCCAGTCGAAGTGGTCTGTGACGGAAGTCCCATGTGAATGCCATGCTTGCTGTGCCACAGCAGTCCCGATCTGAATTACCTGGAAAAAGCGGTTTCGGGCTAGTATGGAGTACAGACCCCTTTGGCACCTACTGCAGAAAAGGTAGTTAGGAGTAGATTGGCACCGTTTCACCTTATTCCTGGGCAGCATAGGCACAGCGATGTTGTCAGAATCCAAGGCTTAGTTCGCGCCTCGATATGCATTACTATGTGACAAAACATTATCATATATACCATCATTAGATCGGCCCAAAAAGAGAAACGCCAATTCATGCACCGAATTCATCTCCCACTTTTCAATGTTCTTCCCAACATCATTAACCACTCGTAATCCCAAACCAGCAGCCACCAGCTTATGGCAGACCGCAGTCGGAGGCAGCAACCTGGACGGCGGTTGCCTCGACGCGGCCGAGGGCGGCGGCCTGGCCGTTGGTGAGCTCGTTCATGGCGGCCTGGGCGATGTTGAAGCCGGAGGCGGCGTGGTCGATGGCCAGGACGTTGATGGTGCGGCCACCGTAGCTCAGCTGCCAGCAAGTTCCGCACTAAGGGGGTCCAGGTCAGCTTGGTCGTTCATGTTCTGTCTCTGCCTGGGGGAATCAGAATTGAACTCACGCTCGCGGAGTTCCAGCCGGCGATCTGGGCGGCGCCGCCGACGTGGGGGAAGTGGGGGATGGCGCCCTGGGTCTGGTAGCCGTAGCGGTTGATGAGGCCGTTGTTGCCGTCGGAGCACGAGACGGACGTCATGGAGCGGCCGGCATCATCGTAGCCGGTGTCGTAGGAGACTGGGTGGGTGTGTTAGTGAATTTGTACGGTGTAGCAGGCGTGAAGGGTGTATGCATGAGACGTACCGGTGACGGCGGTGGCAGCAGTGGCCAGGGTGAAGATGCTGAGGATGTTGGCAAGCATTTTGAAGGTGGTTTGAATTAAGTGGTTTGGAGATGGTACGGGTATGTTTCGTGAAGGGTATGGGAGCGAATGAGTTGTATTAATGAAGATGGTAGTGGTGATGATGATGATATCTTTCGAACCAGACTCATCAGCAGCGGCACTCGAACTTTATATATACAACTTCACTCTCCACCCCGGACTCCGAGCTTGACGTTCCCTCGAGGAAGCCTTCTGAGCGCAACGTATGATGTCTCGCTCATCCACCGAGGACCACCGATACTCTTGGCGGCCGTCATCCGCTACTACGGCGGACCCATCGCTATAGTGTGTGTAGTCAGTCACCCTGCCCCGGCCGTAAGCACGCACAAAGGCACGGCAAGGCGAGGGAAGATGCTACTGCAGCCCGATTATCGCTGGGCCCCGGGCGCGTTAGCTCGGGCAGGGCAATATACGGGTGGGTTATCTGGCGGTGCGAAAGTTCGTGTTGGGTGCGGGCAGGTGGGACACGATCGACACTGCGACTCTCGTATCCATCCTCCCGAGGTCCAGGTGACCTCAAGTGTCCAGGCGGAGAAAAACAAGTGGGAGCGGTCCAAATTTAGTAGGCCAGCAAAAAGGCGGCTGGGGGGCCCTGGGGCTGGCCTAGCTCCTAGCTACGCCTGGCAACGCCTAGCACACGGGCAGTTACAGCGTGTAAGGATCCCAAATGTATCCCTGTCACGCAGTTCATGATTGGCCCGTTTGTGGCGAAGTCTTTCTGACCAAGATTTCTTGCTGGAAGAACATGTTGAGGAACAGTGGGTTTCTCCATAATTATCGAAGATCTGTACTTTTCACAGCCAAAGTATATGGCTAAGTTACCTCCTCCAAAAAAGGTAAGGGCTGCATGCATTTGCAGGGAAACATATGGGATCCTTACACGCTGTAGCAGCCCCCTTCGGCAGTCACCGGCAGATCTGCACGATGCCTGCAAAGTATAATCTGGGGCCACCATACCACACCTTAAATCCAGTAAGCTCTTGGCTCCTCCGTGCTGGGCCCCGCCGCCGTTGCGACCGTACAGCACTTTACGATGGGAACCAGCACACAGCTTCCCCAGATCGCGCCTGCGGCGGTGAACCAACATCTGGAGACAGACAGCAGACCGATATCCTTCTCTCCGCGTTTTCGGATTCTCGCCGTCTTATTTTTGAGCATCCGAGCTTTCGGATGGGGTAGACAAGGGGCACTAGAGACGCAAAGAAAAGGGTAGGCCGCTCGCCTACCGTGCCTAACCGTTCCACAGAAGCAACGCGACCTGCATGAACTGCAACCTCGTGAAAAAAAAGAACCGGGTCCGCTCCTCACCGTACTCGTGTCCGTCCCGACGTCCGACAGCACCGAGTCCTCAACATCCATGAACCCGACGTGAACGATGTTGAGTTGGGAATCTAATCAAGACCTCAGGCTCTTGACTCAACGCCGAATTCTCGACTCCGTCGTGACTCCGTCGATGTTCTCGTCTCTTCTCTCTTCGTTGAGCCTTTGTGGAGCCAGCAGCCATGCCAAGGTGCCCAGGTGACTATCAGCTCACAATGGGCCTGCATCAGAACCATGACCGCTTGGACAAATCTCTAAATTATCAGGGCAAGAGAACACAGAATTGAAGCGGCAATAACTGTATGGAAGCTTTCTTTGTCCATTCAAAGGTGAGCCCGTATGGAAGCCAGGCCACCTCATCGGCAGGGAGGCCTGGGACGCGTCAACCCAGAGTCTGGAGCAGCTGCCATCATACTCTGTTACAAAGCACAGTTCGCCCGCGAGGCTGGCCTGCAGGAACCGTGTCACCTAGTGAAATAGCACCTTGAACGATCGGCAGACCCGACTCGCGACACAGCAGCGAACTGCGTGCATCCTTGATTCTGCCATCTTACAGACATCTGGATGCCAATACCCATCAGTCCTCCCGCCCGTGTCACACAAGGAGCCTGTCAACAGCTCCTAGACCTCGAAAATCGGAATAGCACGTCCATTAGCACTGGCCATGCCAAGCTCAAGCTCGAGACCATGTTTCCTTTAATGGAGGGCTGGAAGTATGGCTTAGGGACTGTTTTCGCTGGACGTAGTAAAGTGATGCTTGTGGTATCGAAATGATAGAATGGGACAATGTGAACACCGTTGTGTGCATGTCAAAGCCATTGCAGTTTCGGACCTGTAGCGTTAGAGCGTGGGCAGATGACCAAATTATAAGACAAGATCTGGATCCATTTGATGCAAAAGTTGAACTAGGCTCCCAACTCGTTGGAGACCCAAAAAGGTCTCGGTGTTATTCATAGCCCGGAACTAATTATAGGACACAATGCAGACGGAGTACCAAAGACGGTCATTCCGTTGAGTATCTTGATACCAGGCTTTTCATAGATAAAAATCTCCGCAGGTAAATTCAGTCAACCAGCTAGGCTGGAAGAGGCTCTTCCTCGTCGCCAGCGCACGACACAGAACTCATACCAATTGTATTTAGACTTCCGTTGTCCTTATAAAGGCACAAGGCGAACATGAATTGATAGTGAGACTTCCGCTGCCTCAGGTGCCTAGTGACTCAATGGATATGGAATAGGTCTCCTAGACAAGCATCGATCATGTCCGAGTCCGCTGCTCATAATCAGGATTATTGCATATTCCTCGCATTTGAAACGATTCGATGTGAGAAAGGTTTGTGGAACAGCTTCGTGTTGTAGTCCCAACATGCACCAAAATTCCAGCATAGCGACCGCCTCTCAGACTAGGGTAAAGGATTCCTTCGTAATCTTACTGTTTCCCACCGCCCGCGCTAATTCGCCGTTAGTTGTTCCCGCAATTGGATGACTTGGTCCAACCAGCAGATATTTTGAAGATCCGAACTTCCGAAGCACAAGGGGCACCTTACAATCAGGCACCGCACAAAGGAGGTCACCTGCGGCGGCCCTGGCCTCCATAACGCCAAAGGAACCCTTGCAAGTTCTGAACATTGAACATCCTGCAGTACCACCCGCTCCGTTCCGAGTGAGGCTATAAGCCATGTAGAGCCTCTGGAGTTCTGCACTGGACTGTCTGTGATACCACGCCGCAAAAGAACTTGCAGACTCAACGCTAAACGTCTTCTCAAGAATTTCCTTCTCATTGCGCCCATCCCTTGTCTCGCCAATCCAGTCAAGAAAGCCTGCGAGATAATCAGAGTTGTCGTGATCACCACTAGCTTCATAACGACCGAGAGAAATGCGGTACTCCTTAAGCTCCCGGAAAAAGGACGCAAACAATTGAAACTCTTCTTCGTTGTCCAAACTCTCCGCACGACTGTACATCGAGAACATCGCGACAACTAGACCCTGCAGTGAAGGTGGTCTCCGATCGCCTCTTGTGCCTTCTTGATTCACGAGAGCGCTTTGCCATATTGGTATTTCTCCCTGGGCTAATGCCGGGATCGGCTTCACACTTTCAATTTTGTCAAGCTCGAAACCGTGGAAGGTCAGTTCTTTCATGTCTTCAGAAAATTGAAAAACAGATAACGCGAGGGAGTCTAATCGGCTGTCTGGGTATTGGTACGCGACGACTCTCAGCGACAGTCGTGTCCAATCAGGAACCCAAGAAGGCAAGTTCATCTTCGTCGAAGACTCTTCTGTCAGTAATTTGGGAATGCCCGCCGCAAGGAGAAGCTCCAGGGAATTGTGTTCCTCCATGATTTTGGTCGCCACGTCGATGAAAAGATCCTCTACTCTGCAGCCATAGTCCGGCGCTCCAAGCAGCCTTCGGTCTCTTGCTGACATAAGGCCCATGAGGCCATAGATATGGTCGTGTGGTCTGGTGGCTTCTCGCATGCCGTAAGCGAATAAAAGGAATTCGGCATCGCATGTCAGGTGCTTCAGTTTATTCAGATCCGTAAGAAGGTGCATGGGGGACGAAATACTGCCGGTGGTCTCGTGTTCATCGGACAGCTGTTGAAAGACGTGGAGACAGATCCCCCAGCTGTTCATCTTGCTTCCGGAGACCTCAGCATCGCCACATTTGAAGACAACCTTTTTTGCTAGCATCACCTCCTGGACCACCCAGACTCTATACCACCAGCGCCTCTTCAGCAACTTCAGTATGGCTTGGGTTCCTCGCCTTGAGAGCCGTTGAATTGCTTCAGTGAAATCTTCCCAGTAACTTTCGCTGTCTTTCACGCTCGAACCGCTGCTGGTGCTGGAAGACTGACTGGTTAGAGAGGGGCTAGGCTGATCTATAATGTGACGTTCGTCTTGGTGCTCGTTCTCATCCACAGGAACAGTGCAAGTGGCTCCAGATCTGGTCAGTGCACCAGGACTTGAAGGCTGGAGACACGAGGTTGTTGCAGCACTTTGAGCTGGAGGAGTGGTGAGCTCTCCGAGTCCTTCGCAAATCCTAGCAGGTGTATCATCTCCCTGCTCTCCATTGATCGTCAGGCTGCTTGGGTAGCCTGGCCCCTCCTCTTCAATCAATTTGCATTCTGAGGTTTCTTCGCTTGTCTTCCACTCCACCAAGTCTTTTCCTAACAGTTCCATGGCAAGGTCGCTGTCCTCTCTGGCACTCCCCAACCAAGCGACGACGAGCTCAGCGCCAGAGTAGATCTCTCTCATCATCTCAACCTGGTGGTTCTTCTCAGCTAGGTCTTCTTGGTTGATGCATAGGGCGTCGACCCAAAGAACCGCAGCACATGAAGGTTGTCGAATATGCCGCAAGGCTGCTTCCAGGTTGAGGGTAATCTGCGTCTCAACACCATTCACAATGATTGGTGTCGTCCCTGGCGGGTCGGCCCAAACGTAAGACAGAGCCGTGTACTTGAGACCACACTCGTCGAAAAAACTCTGGGTGAGCTTGCACCGGACAGGAGCAAAGCGGTCGGTCGAGGGTTCTAGGATCAGGAGTCGGAACTTGCGGCAATCACCTTTCAGCGAGGCATATATAGATAGGGCCATGGCAGAGAAAAGATCGTCTCGGCTTTGAGGCTCAATAAAATTTGAGTATTGCGTAGTCAGAAAGTTGGTCCAAGCTTCACATGAGTGTTTCTTCGCCCTCAGCATCAACGGAAGTCAATGTAGCCAGATCGTTGCTGTATTGGAGCGGGGGCGTTGCGTGTCAGCTGGCACTTTGTCAAGGTCTAACACCCAAGGGACTTGTGGATGCAACCGTAGACTGCAGCCTGCGTTGGCCGTGTTACACAACACCCGGCTATTCTATTTCTAGCCTGGCTCTTTTTATACCTGTGCCACATATTGAAATGGGTAGTGACCCTGCTGTGGCTGTGCCTTAGATGCGAAGAATGCGTACTGGGGCAGTGGACCCGAGTTCTGTATTGTCATCTAGGCAAGAATGTGTTGACTCTGAGGGCCAGAAGCCACTGAGAGGCGGGGGCATGAAAAGGATGATTAAATCCCCCTGACAAACATAAATAATCTCCACCGCTATTCACCAACAACTTATCATTGCAAGTCTGAATCAGAACGCCACAGTGTTTCCTGCCAATATGCGGACTAGATCGAAAGTCATCAACTGAGAAGAGAGGCTCAGTAACTGGAAAGTTCTGTTTCGTCACCGATGACTTGCCGACTGTTCGTCCTCTGCAGCTTTCTGTTCACCAGCTGGAAGTCTGCCTTGCCCCACAGACCTTGGAAGGCAACACCAGGATGAGAAATGCTTAGAAGGATGACGGCAATGGCCACCATGGCTCCCTCAAGCACCAGGAAGGCAACCTCGTCGTTGGCAAGGTCACTGTCCAGGCCCATGCTAAGCTCAGCGAGCCGGTAGCAGGTACGGATGAAGATGCAAAGCGTCGACGCGGCGAGAGCTATCAGTCACAGTTAGTAACTGGCAACAAATGATACAGGAACTCTATTCATCTGATTGTTGAAAAGGTAGAAAGCCATACCAAAGATAAAGACACGAAACCCCCTCGTCTCACGCAACCCCAGGTAGTCACCATCGACCTCCTTGGCCGTGGAGTTCCTGTTCCTCCACACGGAGCGGGCATAGTCGGACGCCAGCAGCACAAAGGCGAGCATCCCCGCGACGTGGAAGGCGAGCCCCGCGCGCAGGACGCTGAGCCCCGTGTCGAACGTGTCCTGGTCCAAGGGATCGCTGCCGGCCACGAGCCCGCCGCCGGCGGCCTGCAGCACGAGGGCGGCGAAGTCGCAGAGCACGAAGGTGACGGTGTAGGTGCGCGGCTGGAGGCGCGAGTTGGAGGCCCCGAAGACGGGGATGATGCGCGCGAGGCTGAGGTACAGGGCGGCGCTGAAGAAGGCCGGGCCGATGGTGATGGTCACGATGTATCTGAGGGCCAGGGTTAGCTCAGTTTATTTTCTGTGCCTCTCTCCCCCGTAAATGTAAGGATACGAGGCTAGGACAGGGAGCTTACTGCCTGAATACGTCCTCGCCGTTGTGTAGCTTGATTCTGGCTACGTAGGCGATTATCTCCAGGACGAGGCCCAGGATCATGCTGACGAGGAATCCCCATGTCTTGTGCCGAATACCAAAATAGAGCTGAGGTAGTATAGCGCCCGCATAGACGGCGAGAAAGAAACAGCTGCCGGCAAGATTGTATAATGCTGTCATTTTGGCTAGCTGCCAACTTAGAGACAGGCAATGAAGACTTGTTGAAAAGGATCGTTTTCGGGGCCCGAGGAGAAAAACAATGGTGAGCAGATGAATGATACTGAACCGGAAACATGAAAGTGAACGGTGGTCATACACGGCAACGCCATCAGATGGGAACAGGAAAATGTGCTTGTATGATGGGTTGTGTTTGATATGTAAATATCCTCTTAGAGGGATTATCGCATTAAGAAGATCACGGGAAGCGTAAAGATCCCATTGGCTGACAGGCGAAGTGGCCAATCAAGATCCTGGTTTGCGACGACATGCAAGATGGTCGTTATTATGTGGCGAAGCACAATTGTGGTGTCGTAAGATTTCCCAACCGCCCGACAATTGGTGATGTCTCCGATTTCCTGGACAAAAGCATCTGCAAGGAAAGGGAGAATCCAATTACCCTGCTCGATAACGACAACCACCACTTACTCCTCTTTCTTCATCTGCCTCCCGCTGCTGCCTGCACCCCCCACACCCCCGCTATCATTTCGAACCTCTCCCCCAACAAAGACAGCAATTAACATTATGAGATCATGGCACGATCCTCCAAACATAAACGATCCACCAATGGCTGTGGAGTATGCCGGTCCGTCCATTCCTAATCATCATCCCAAAGGGTTGGCAATGAGAAAATGGCTAAAGTTCCCCTTGGCGCAGAGTACGGCGTGTCAGATGCGATGAGACTCGCCCCAGCTGCAACCAGTGTACCAAGACCGGGCGCACCTGTGAAGGTTATCCGCCCAGTACGACTAGACTGGCAAGTACCCCCGCGAGGGCCTTGGCCCCTTTGCAGGCCACCTGCCCGGGGTCTCTGGCATCGCCTCAGAGCCATCTAAGCGCGCCAGCACAACGCGCGCTGCAGTATTATCGGGCCAATACGGCGAGACATCTGTCTGGCTACTTTCATGATGACTTTTGGACCACACTGGTGCTTCAAGTCGGACATCGTGACCAGTGCGTTAGTTGCGCCCTGGTCGCCCTAGCCTCCCTCCATGAGCATTTTCATACTGAGGCGACCGAGAGGTCGTCCTTGACGGCTGGACAGGCCGGAGGAACTACATCTCAAAGTGGGGGACCTAGTGAATTGTCGCTACCGATGCACCATGCCGTATCGTATTACGCCGAGGCGGTCCGCCGCCTCCAGGCGAAGATCTCTAGCGGGGGCGGTGACGAGGTCGAGACGACGCTGCTCTGCTGCCTCCTCCTCGCCGGCTTCGAGCTGCTCCGGGGCTATCACGAGGCGGCCCAGGTCCACCTCCACGGCAGCGCGAGCCTACTTCAGGCGTGGCAAGACCAGCAGAAGAGCAGCCGCGGGGGCTCCTTGTGGTCACCCAGGGGCTATTTTATCCGCGAGAGGCTGGGGCCCTTGTTTCACCGTATGGCATTGCAGGCGGTCTTGTTCAGTCACGTAGGACCGTCTTCGCCGTCTTCATTGCAATTCGGAGGCGATGGTGCCGCCTTCGTGTCGTTGATGGAAGACAGACACGGCGGCAATAACAACAAGGAAAGGACTAGCCCGGATAGGACCGGCTTCCGCGTCGCCAGCCCCACCGAGGCACGCGACACGCTGTACCGGCTGATCTGGCAGCTGTACCTGCTGCCCGAGGGGCGGCAAGATCCATCAAAGGGTGCCCAGAGGAGGAAGCGGGCCAGGGATAAGGGTCGCGACAGCTTCATCAGGAGTCTGCACCAGTGGCACGAGGCCCTGTCCGACTACCTGGAGAAGCACCCTATCGACGGCTCGAGCGCTGACATGCTGAAGCTGTTCCACGCCGCTGCCCACGTCATGATCCCAACCTGCATGTCGGACGACCAGATGGCCTTTGACGGCTTCGCCGCCCAGTTCCACGAGATAACCGACCTGGCGGAGAAGCTCCTCTTCCCACGCTCGCCCTCCTCACCGCCGACGCCGTTGTCCGCAGACGCGAGTCGAGCGCCACCACCACCCAGGCTTCTCCCTTCACCTGGAAGCCAAGATGTCTCGTACTTCTTCTCCCTGGACATGGGCGTGCTGCACCTCCTGTACTACGTGGCGATCCGGTGCCGAGTGGCCGCCACGCGGTTCCGGGCGCTAGAGCTGCTGCGGCGCGCGCAGGCCCGGCGCGAGGGCGTGTGGGACGGCGCGGCGACGGCGCTGGTGGCGGGCCGCGTCGTGGCCATGGAGGAGGAGGCGCGGCAGCAAGACGAGGACACGGATGACGGTAGCAGCAGCTGCATCCCGGCGTGGGCGCGCGTGGGCTCGGTCTGGACCGAGACCGACCTTGAGAACCGCAGGGTTGTGTTGCGCTGTGGGTGGCAGAGGGACGTGACGTCCAGTGAGGAGGTGTTGGCGTGGTGATAAGTTTATGTATGGTCATCCATTTGATGTAGACTGATCATGGCTATCTATACCAGTCCATGATACAGGCTTACAGGAAAGCATTCTAGATGGAGCTACAATGTCCACTCTCGTTGCAATCACTGATAGCTACTTCAATCAATAGACTTCCTCACTCACAGAGGCAGATGTAAACTCTATCCGTCTCTCTAAGCTGATCATCGGAGTGACCTGCATCTAAGCTATATTGGGCAATACATGTGTATTCAGTTCCGTACTTTCCCCTGTTATTACTTCTTCAAAGCTTGCGATACGAAGTCCGACTGGATTTTCATCAGCTCAGGGAGGTTCTCCCCTTCCAAAATGTCCAAGTGCCCTCGTCCAGGCTCCACACGCATACTCTTGGGGCACTCCAAGCTCTCAAAAACCTCCCTGTTGCGCTCCATCCCCACCAAGGCGTCGTCCTCAGGCACGACGAGCAGCGTCGGCACCCTTAGGTGCTCGGCCCACAGGCCCGCGGGCCGCCACATGAGGATGCGGAGGTATGACTGGATGGTGGTACGGTTGACGTGTCCCGGAGCGAGCTCGGTGCGGGTGGCGATGGAGTCGTCGCGGGCGCCGAGGATGCGCAGCGCGGCGGCCTTCTCGACGCCCAGGTCGAAGCCGGCCGGGTTCTCGCCGCGGGCCTCGTCCATCATGGGCACGTAGAGGGGGGCGTTGCCCTTGATGCGCGACTCGCGGTCCCGCGTCACCTTGGCCAGCACCCTGGGGAGCTTGGCGCCGTCGTACCGGTACTCGACGGCCGGGCACACGCCGACGGCGAAGCGCACGCGCGTGTCGAAGCACGCCGTGCACAGCGCCACGGCGCCGCCTAGCGACATGCCCCAGACCCCCAGGCGCGCCGGGTCGACCGAGGGCTGCGCGGCCAGGAAGGTCAGCGCGTCGCTCAGGTCCTCTGTCTGCTTGAAGGGGTCGATGTCGTTGCGCGGCGTGCCGTCGCTCTGCCCGACGCTGCGGGAGTCGAAGAGCAGGACGGTGAAGCCGCTGTCTTGGAAGTGCTGCGCGGCCGACGGGACGCCGACCATCTCCTTGACTGCGTTGAACTGCGACGTAAAGGTCAGTCAAGGGCTTTCGACGGGACTCGGTAAGACGGGGAGGGTGGTCACGCTTGACTCACTCCGGGGAGCATGGCAATACCTGGACCGCGTCCTTGGCCGTGGCCATGGCTATGGCTGACGAGTAACCGTCCTCGAAGAGTGACACCATCTGCTGTCCGGAACTCGACATTCTTCTGGCTCGCCATTGTGTTTGGATTTGTTTAGGCGTGCTTTCTGACACAAATTATGGATGCTCTTCTTCCACGACTCTGGCAAACTGCACTTTAAAGCTACAGGTGAAAACAGTAGACTTGTTTGAATTCACTTCAATACTTCTGAGTATGTCTCGATCTTATTTATTTTTTTAAGAGGGGGCGGGGGCGCGCCTACTGGTTCAATATATACATGACTACCCCCATCGCCGCAGGAGGAAATATTGCCTCACTTATACTAGCGCTCACATGTGAATGACTGATAAGTGTTCATAATAACAGTCCAAGAAAATCACGATGCTAATCGACAGATATTTCACAGACTTGCATGAAGTGATGAATATGCATCAATAAGGGTTTGGTTAATTGCTCGGATCTTACGGATCTTCCCCGTGGGATTGTATGGGGACATATGCAGTTCTGATTCCTACCAAAACAAGGAAGTTATATGGACTGTTGGCTGGAACGAATAGCAAGCCAAGTATCTATAGGATTTAGGATTCTGGGCAGGCAGTTAATCAGTCATCCCGCGGGAGATTACGGGGTACGAAGGAATTCTAGCTCCTACCGGTGAGCGACTCCGTGTTACATCGAGAGAAGTATAGGAGCCTCAAGCGACCGCCCATGAGTCCATTTTCCACAAAATATCTGACGTCTTGTTCAGCTTTGATGGCGCGCCTTTGCTTAATTTGATAAATTTGTTCGATTTCTTTTCCAGTATTATTAATGGAACAGTTGCAGTCTCCAACGGCAAATTCCTCACGCCATGGCGACTCCTTGGTTCCATCCGGACTCGTCCGCCCTGAGCCTTTTGCGCAGCTTCCTCTCACAGTGCTGGCCCCCAGCACCAGCCTTTGCCCCCCAAGACCTTATTGCCCAGGGCTCAGCAGCAGGCCGCGTCTTCATCGTCACCGGGGCCAACTCCGGAATCGGGCTTGAGCTAGTTAAGACCCTGCACCTTGGCGGTGCCATCGTCTACCTGGCCTGCCGCTCCGCCGAGCGCGCAGCAAAGGCCATCGACGAAGTCAAGAGTGCCTACCAAAACACCACCCACGCGGATGACGCCCCCGAATGTGGCACCCTCCACTTCCTGCCCCTGGACCTCGCAGACCTGCCCTCCGTCCACGCCTTCGCCGCGGCGTTCGCAGCTCGTGAGTCCCGCCTCGACGTGCTCTTCCACGTCGCCGGCGTGGCCAACGAGCCCCGCGGCACCACGACGGCGCAAGGGCTCGAGGCGCACCTGGGCACCAACTGCGTCGCGCCCCTCGCCCTGACGCAGGCCCTGCGCCCGCTTCTCGCCGCCACCGCCTCCCTCCCGGGAGTGGCCGCCGGCTCCGTGCGCGTCGTCTGGACGGCCTCGCTGTCGATGGAAACGTTCACGCCCCGGGGCGGCGTGGACTTTGCCGCGCTCGAGCACGACGCGGCCCTGTTGCAGGTCCACCCGTGGCGCGCGTACGGCGTGTCCAAGTGCGGGAACTGGTTCCTCGCGCGCGAGTGCGCCCGCCGGTTCCGTGACGACGGCGTCGCCAGCGCGGCTGTCAACCCGGGGCAGCTCCGCACGGACGCCTGGCGCCACGTCTCGGGCCCTATCATGTGGCTGATGAGGCCGACCATGTACGATGCCCACATGGGCGTGCTGTCGATGCTGTATGCCGGCTTTGCGCCCGACGTGGCTGCCGGGGGGAATAATGGGTGCTACGTGATGCCGTGGGGGCGGATCATGCGGCGCTGTGCGCGCGAGGACATCGAGGAGGCGTTGCGTGGCGGCGCGGCTGAGCGCTTTTGGGAGTGGTGTGATTCAAAGGCACGGGAGGTGTTCAAGAAGGGAGTATGAGCCTTAGTTACAAAAGTTTTAAAATTTGCTAGTAACTGCCAAGTGATCGAACTCTGCATGACTCTGCGTTGCGTCTACACCTGGTGTCCACTCGGCTGCGATAGTCCACTCTGTTCTTGTTGATATTGTGGTGGTTCTGAATGTTGTTTTTGCTGTCCTTGTTGTCGTGAAGCGTTCTTCTCCGCTATCGTTTCGGGCGTACTCTTGACCTCCAACTCGGTGTTTAGATGGTATGCGCGGATGAAGAGCCCCGCAACCAGAGACGCCCCTGCAAACGCAACATACTGGGAAACGGTGAACTCGGTTAGAAGACTGGCAATGACACTTAAAAATGTTGCACAAGCTTACCATAATCCACATGTCCTTGAGTGAATTCGAAATGGCCTCTCGCACAGCTCTTTGCTGGCTGCCAGGAAGTCCTGTGATGACGTCTAGCTTGGCTAGAATCTCTGAGCCGGCCAACTCCCTGGCGAGCTCTGGGCCCAAGGACGCCGCTAGGTTTGAGAATTGGTTGACCATGCGGTTTTGGAATACCACGCCGCCGACGACTATCGAGACGGCCGTCGACATGGTCCGGACAAAGCCCATGGTGGCTGTGACGGTGGCAACGTGCTCGACGCCCATGACGGCTTGGACCGCCAGCAAGGGGCCCTCGAAGTTGAAGCCGACGCCCGTACCGGCAACAATTTGGTAGCCGATAATCTTGGCCCATTGGGGCTCTGGGCCCAGACTGATGAGAAGTCCGGCACCCACGCAGAGCATCACGCCTCCCACGTAGACGGACGGCATGTACTTGCCAGTCCACTGGATGAAGGCTCCGGTGAACGCGGCCGAGATAGAGACGGAGAGAATGTATGGCAGCAGGTAAAGCCCCGAGCGAAGGGCCGTTGTCGCGAGGACGGCTTGTAGATACAAGGGGAGATAGTATGCAATGCCTATGAAGACGAAGCCATGGCAGAAGCATAGGGCAAAAGCCGCGGCGCTGGAGCGAGTGTTGAACATCTCGACCGGTATGATGGGGAACCTGGCCCATTTCGCCTCGTGCAGGACGAAGAGGGCGCCGCAGATGACGCCGAAGACGATCAGGCAGATGACAGTGGCCGAGTCCCAAGGGTGCGTGTTCCCGCCAAAGTCAAGGCCCAACAGGACCATCAGGACACTACCGCTGATGAACAAAGTGCCGATCCAGTCGATAGAGCGCAGGCCATCGCGCACCGAGGTCTTGACGGTATCAAGCCGGAGGAGGAAGAATATGAGGATGGAGACGACGGATCCAATGGGGAGGTTGATCCAGAAACACCACCTCCACGTCAACTGGTCCGTAAGACGCCGCCAAGCACAGGTCCCAGCCCGCTGGCCAGGGCCCAGACGATGGAGACGAGGCCAAAGTACAAGCCCCGGTCCCGCAACGAGAACAGGTCACTGATGCAGATGTTGACCAAGGTGATCAGCCCCGCGGCACCAAGACCCTGGACGGCGCGGCCAAAGAGGAAGAGCGGGAAGGTCTCAGCCAGCGCGCACAGCAGGCTGCCGGCGATGAACAGCACGGCGCCGGCGAGGATCACAGGCTTCCGGCCCCAGACGTCTGACAGCTTGCCCCACGACGGCACGCTCGCCGTGTGCGGCAGGACGTAGCCGCTGCCGACCCACTGGTAGCCGTTGGGGGAGCGGAAGAACTCGGTGATGGCGGGCAGGGCGGTGGTGATGATGGTGACGTCGAGGGCGGCGACGAAGACGGCGGCACAGAGCGACGCGACGACGACGGTGGTCTGCAGCTTGCTGCGCTTGGAGGGGTTTCGCGCCCCAGCTGGAGCCGCCCCAGAGCCTGAGGTGATGGGCTCGGGGGTCTGGCCTGGTACCACCAGCCCGAGTGGAGGCCCTGAGGCGTTGGCCAGTGTCTGCTCGGCCATGATGACCCGAGGAAAAGATAGGGAGAAGGTGCTGCCAGGGTATTCGTGCTATTCTGTCGGAACTAAACCGGCGGAGTGCAAGCTTGAAATCTATAGCTGCAACATGGATTTGTCACGCAGGCGTGAACGAAGGGAAGGAAGCGGAGGAAACAAGGCGGAGACAACGAGCTGTAACTGAACAATATCAACCCCACGAGAACGATTATTGGACCTGATAGACGATGTAAGATTTCCATGGGACAAAATCCCCAACATCATGCCATGCCAAGGGTTGGCAGTTAATCCATTCAACGACCAATGATTGTTGTTTCCGCTTAGATGCATCTTACATATGTATCTATCGTATAGTTGCATAGCCGAAAGATCCGTAAGATGTGCGCAGGTGCGTGAACTAATTCACGCCCTGGATGCCAATCCATGGCGGCACAGCTGACGGGCCGTCCGGTATCCCATTCTCCGCGGACAAGGTGCTTACCCACTCTCACACCAGTAGGTCAGACTATTGAATCCTCACGTGCCCACTTACCAGATCAAGGGACGAGACAACATTGGCTTCTTCGCCAAAATTTTCCCAGTGCCTCTATTTGGCAACTGATCGTGTGCGCCCTGGAGGATCCTGTACCCAGTTGCCTCATCATCCGATCCGGAAGTTTGCTTGTCCGCCAGTCCTCCTATCTCCAGCTCTTGGCAGGTCAGCGAGGATTCTATTCCCAGACTGCCTGCAGCGATCAACACGTGGGGTGATGAGCGTGGCAGGAGCCTCAGCCATGTGCTTCATTCAGGGACATGTCACATAAGTGAAGCAACGTGGGTGCAACCATATGGCCACCCTTGCGATTTTGCCCACCCCCCCTCCTCCTCCCCCGGAAACTTATACCCTAAACACACACTTTTCTACCCACTTAAACCAAATTCGTACGTAATTTAAAAGAATTTTTAAGTTAAGCTATACATACAATTTCTTTATAAATCAAATAAATATATACTTTTAATAATGTATATAAATTATTATGCCTTTAATAAGTGGTTTGCATTTATAATTTATATAAGTTATATTACATAAAGTGTTAGCTTAGAAAAAGTTATTTTGTTAAAAAACAAATTGAATGCATTAATTACTTAATATACTTCAATATTTAGAGCCTTATCGACTCTCGATACATTTTCTTTGAAATTAAGGAGTGGGTTCCATCAGGCAATTGGTCACTTTACGAGTTGTATCAGTTCTATCCACAAGCGTTGCGAAATGATATTCAGCTGGGAGTCATCTCGCGTGCCTTAAAATCTTGGCCCCATTCATTAGTGCTGGGCAAATCACCGTGGTACTTCATTCCTATTTCATAATCTGCACATTCAGTACCAAGGCTGACTGCAGGAGACTGAAAAAGGCTGCCAATATGGATGGATTCTGTGGCGGAACCTTATCACCATTTCAGTTTCACCGCTGCCCCCATGTACGACTATCTATCTGACGTGAGTATCTAGAATCCTGAAGTTAAATTCTGTCCAAGAAAAACCCTAAAGCCAAATCCTATCCTAGAACAAAAAACCCCTGGCAGAGCGAAGAAGCCCCCACCCCTTCAGCTCCAGCCAACACCATCCGAGCGAGGCTACGGCAACGGCGGAGCACGTCAGATGCACAAAGATGATGTAGACGCATAGGAAGATGAACCGCGGGGCGTGGAGGTCCCACACCTCCTTCCCGTCCCCCATCCAGGCGATACACCCCATGAGGACTGCGCTGGCCGCGCACATGATCATGGTGTGCACCCCCAGGTTGCACACAAACGGCCCGTAAAGGGCATCGTAGTCAGAAGAGACACGGAAATTGGCTTTCTCCGGCGCAGAACTCCGGCCCTGGCCCCCCTCGGCTTTGGAGAACTTGGCTTCGTCTTCGGCGATCCGGACCTTTTCGGCCAGGAACACCAAGGACGCGAGGGACCACCATATTGGTCCCGCCCAGTTGGCCATGATGGTCTTGATCACGACGGGCACCAGGCTGTAGCTGGTGCTGCCGGCAAAACCGGGAGCCAGGTCGGCCGAGCCGATGGCCTGGGTGTTGCCGAAGGAGAAGTAGGAGCTTTGAGCCAAAAACGCACAGGTGATGGCAATCTGCTCGTACGGCATTTCCGCCAAATGAGGTGCTGTTTGATAGCGTCAGTTGACGCAATGTTCGGTGTTAGAGGGAGGAAGGGTTTCATCAAATGACTCACACAAAAGGTCTATCTGTAGGCCAAAAATCAGAAACAGCGGCGTGTTCCACACGCGGGACAAAGTCAGAAGATACAGCTGCAGCAGGCCGAATAACGCATACAAGACGTCTAAGCACGTGATGCGATTAACTGGTTAGCCAGAACTCGTCACAATCGATCTTGTTCCCTATGTTTGCCCTGATCTTACCGGTGAATTTCCCTGTATGCCTTCCGGAGCATCTTTTAGCCAACACCAAAACGGCAGCGAATTGGATTGCCGTAAATAGCATGTTGTGGGCAAAGTCCACGTCAAGAGCGAACAGCCGAGCCTCGACGTGGGCAGGGATGAAAGCAAAACTGCCGGGACTGTCTCGGGCTGCAGCCGCGAGCTTAACAACAAACGCGCCTAGGCCCAGTAGGACAGCGACGGCCGAGAGAGACTTTGACCCCGGAAACACTCCTCGCAGCCCTGTTTGCAGCGAGAGGATGGCGGAAACCATCGTGACTGCGATGAGGCCCCAGTTCGCAGCGGATTGCGGTTCAACCACTGCTGCGGGCGATCCTGGCCCAGCTGAGTTCCACAGCTGACTGAGAAAGCCCAGGAAGACAACAGCTGCGAAATGAGGAATCCCATGACGGCTCCGCCTAGGTTGAAATTAGACTTCTCAATTTCGACTGCAGGTCAACGGACCAGGCAAAGAAAAGACAAAGGGCTTACACTGGGCACTCAAAAAGAATAATCGCCAAAGCGCCGTACTGCCAAATCTCTTGCTCTTCGACAGCTCCCGAAACGAGTGCATACCCGTAAGAACCAAGGATCCCAGCCGCAGGCAGCCAAAAGGTGATTACTGGATCGAGGTGGAACTTGGTAGCACGCACGGCTAACCCAAGAGCAAGTAGTGTGCTGAAAAGACCCCCGGCCATCAGGAGATGCTGCAGGTTCCCGGATGCCCGGGTCAGAGCTCTCTGGTATTGTCTGCAGATCTGGTTTCCGCTTATTAGAGGCAAATAACAACAAGTTGTGCCATTTTCCTGGTAGAGATGGAAAGACTCACTTCGAGTAGTCTGTGTGTATCAGTCTCATCTGTGACTGTGTTGTTGCCGGGGCCCGAAGGTGGGGACTTCTGGGCCACTTCGGGGGAATGCAGCTCATGGAGGCGTTTCAACTGAGCCTCATTGCCCCTGAGCACCTCCAACCGCTCTTCCTCAGGCCAAAGCCCGAGGAAAGCAGGAATGAAAGCGCCCACATTCTTGCGGGGGATTGGAAGCCCTAGCAATCCGGAGAGAGTGGGCACGAGGTCGGCTTGCTGCACCACGTCATAGTACAAGTATCTACCACCACGGGGCTGGGCTGGTGCTTGAAGCCGAGTGTGATTTACGGCAGGCAAACTGGGAGAGGCAAACAGCAGAGCCGCGGCGGTTTCGCCGGGAGTGCAGCCTCCGTGGTTTCCCTTCTCGTTCATACCGTGGTCTCCTGCCAGGATGAAGAGCGTCGAGTTCAAGTGCTCTTGCTCGCGGACGGACGTGTAGATGTCTTTGACTACACGATCCATTTGCTCTTGTTTAAGAAACATATCACGGCTGCAAAGAAGAGATCAGTACTTGCGCGTCTTGTCCGTTCTTGTCCTCTCATGTCTTACCTGTATGGGCCGCGGAGATGACCAACATGGTCGACACCTGGGAAGTGGAGGACCAGGGCACTCCAGTCATCTCTCTGAAGCTCGGCCATGGCACGGGACGTGATGTTTCGATCTCCAGTCATTGAGTCCTAGAAGCTGTCAGAATCTGTGCCATCCCAAGACCCAGAACTGGAAATACCCTACCGGAAGGTAGAAGGTCGAGACGGTGTCCGAGCGGTCAAACATGGACGGAAACAGTGCAACCAGGTGTGTTCACCATAAAAGGCCAGCTTCCGGGACGGGTCCTTCGCCTTCAGGCGATGGAGCCACGAGTCTTCGTGAACCAAGGTAAGAGCGTCCTCGGAGTCGGCAAGGTTCAGAAACAGATCCAGAAACGAGGGATTGGCGCCCGTGGTCATGGACTTCAGCCTTGGGACTGTGAGACTGGGAGGGTCGGCATGGCTGGTAAATGGGAGTGCATGGCCTGAGCGGATGAGACTTTCCGAGTTCAATTAGCAATGCAGTCTCCAAGTCAGCCATGTTAATTGTAATCTTGACATACCTCTGTGTGAAGCTGAACCCCGATGCGTTGGAGAAAACCATATCACTACTCTATGGTCAGTGGTCGAAAGACAACTGAATACTTTGGGAGACAGTCAAATACCTTCTGAGCGCATCGATAACCATAAAGATGACCCGGTCAAACCGAGCGTCTGGGGGTGATATCATAGCATCCCCGGGGGAGCTGGCCTGTGAAGACAGAGGCACCTGCGGTATAGGTCGCAGCAGACCGACGCTGAAAGTGATGATTCCAACCGCAAGCAAGAGGTTGTAAGCAAGAACGGAGCGCAGCTGGAAGCCGCCAGAGGCGGAATGGGATGACATTGTCATGGTCTACGATGTTGGCAATGTTTGTTCGTTTGTACGGCTGTTGAAGTTTTGAACTCCACAATTACATTCTGCTCCAAGCTTATAAAATACCAAGTGCTTTCTGCGCCCGCTTTCCCATGGAGCCGAGACAGCCCGGATTACAGAAACAGCTGTAATACCTTGTGTACCTAACATGACCTGGGTGCCACATGTGGAATTAACTTTTCTTCCATTATTATTTTTCGTTCTGAGTAATATTCATTTATCAGGTACGGAGTATCCTGAACACGAGGAAGCGCACTGGCCAAGACTAAGCGACTCCTTTGAGGGATTCCGTGCCACACGGTGAGTTAGTCATGAATCCTTTTGACGTAATTTGCCCGTTGAGTCGTTATCGCCAGCTTCTCTAGTCAGCATCAAAAACAAGCATATCGATCCAAGACGGAATTTGTCAGTCGAGCTGTTATCGTCAGGTTCACTAACATGCACATCGATCCAACGACCCACAAGTAGTTATCCTCTATCGAACCATTCAGTTCCCATGTCGCCCAGCCTCACACCATCTCGCGCCTTACCGGTTCAGCCTGCCCAGGTAACTGGTGTGGGGGCTGACAGTGTCTGTTACTTGCTCACGGACTACAGCCTCCTTTGAACCACGATGCTGGGATGTGCCTGGCGTGGTGTTATCAATGATTTAATAAATTCTAGCTAGTAGGAGCTAATATCAATTTGGAACTATATGAACAGACATAGTAAGGAATTGAATTTTAATTCAGTTGACGAGTGGGCTTTTTTTTTGTATTATTTTTAACATATTGATAATTGAATACGGGTAAAAACTTGAAAGTTTTTATGCAATCGATGGGCTATTGAAGGGCTTATAGCGTACCTAGGTGAAGATAGTCCGTCCGTGATTCCTACGAGCGTTGCCCAGACGGCGCATTTGAATGGTTGCAAGGAAGATGTTCTGATAGAGTCGTCCAAGGGAGGAGGGTGACTCTTCCCGGTGGCCGAGATATTGTATATAAAGCCCCTCCAGCCTCGACCTTGTGGACAAACTCAAGTCCACATCAGCTCTGCACTTCTCACTTTGCATCTTCTCTCTTCCCCTGGATCTTATCATTGATTTGTCGCTCATTCAATGACTCTCACCATGTCCAGCACGGTCAATGGACTGCAAAACGGGCATTCTGGGGGAACCCACGCCAACGGTGCGATGGGGGACCAACCCCTTCAAGACCCCATCGCCGTCGTTGGCTTTGCCTGCAGGCTCCCGGACGAGTGTGATACACCACAAAACTTTTGGAAGTTCCTCGAGCGCGGCGGCGTTGCTAAGAACGAACCCCCTCCATCCCGCTACGACATCAAGACACACTATGATGGCACTCGCAAGGAGAAGACCATGGCCTCCCCTGGCGGCATGTACCTGCAAAACGTCGACGTCCGCGACCTGGACGCGCAATTCTTCAAGCTGTCCCGCCTGGAAGCCATCTCCATGGACCCTCAGCAGCGACAGCTCCTCGAGGTTGTCTATGAGGGACTCGAGAACTCGGGTATCACCCTGAAGCAGCTTGACAACCGGCCCATAGGCTGTTTCGTTGGATCCTTTGCCTGTGACTACGGAGACATGCAGGCGCGGGATCCCATGGACCGGGCACCCGCCACGGTAGTTGGTATCGGCCGAGCTATGCTGAGCAACCGTATCAGCCATTTCTTGAACATCAAAGGCCCAAGGTGTGTATGAAGGGGAAGCGTGTTATATATTACGTGCTAACCACCATCAACAGTATGACCATCGATACGGCCTGTTCCGGCAGCTTGACAGGGCTTGACGTGGCCTGTCGCTATCTCCAATCTGGCGAGATAGAGGGAGCCATCATTGGTGGTGCCAACCTCTATATGAGCCCCGAGCACGTTATGGATTGGCACATGGGCTCCGGCGGCACAGCCTCGCATTCCGGCAAGTGCCACACGTTCGACGCCAAGGCCGACGGCTACATCAAGGCCGAAGCGATCAACATGGTGTATATCAAGCGCCTGTCGGATGCCGTCCGCGACGGCGACCCCATCCGCGCCATCATCCGCGGCAGCGCCGTGAACAGCGACGGCTGGACCGCGGGCATTGCCAGTCCCAATTCGGAGGCGCAGGCTGCTGCCATCCGACGTGCGTATGAAAGCGCAGGCATCAAGGACCTGTCGCTCACCGGCTACGTCGAGTGCCACGGGACTGGAACAAGAGCCGGTGACGTGATCGAGGTGAAGGGTGTCTCGTCGGTGTTCCGCGAGTTCCAACCCAAAGACAGGAAGCTGCGCATTGGATCTGTAAGTTTGACCCTGTGAATCCATACCCATGATACCAAGGTACATGGCCTTGCTTGTCGGGAGACTTGACTGCTAATCGAGGATTCCTGTCTCAGGTCAAAAGCAACATCGGCCACTCAGAGCCTGCCGCCGGGATATCAGGTCTCCTCAAGGCCATTCTCGCCCTGGAACATGGCGTTATTCCTGGCAACCCGACATTCATCGATCCAAACCCCAATCTAGACTTTGAAGAGCTGCGCGTACTCCCATCGCGTACGGCCATTCCGTGGCCCGCCGACAGGATGAAACGGGCCAGCGTCAATTCGTTTGGCTACGGAGGTTCCAACGCCCATGTCATCCTCGACGCCGCAGGAGGTTTAAGCAACCATGTGTCGTCGTACGAAGCCGGGTCGGAGGGCTTCGACATGTTCGACGACGAGGACGAGGTAGTTGAAAGGCCCTATCTTGTGGCGCTTTCTGCCAACGACGCGCCGTCTCTGCAGGGGCAGCTTGCCCGGCTGGATAAGCACCTTTCAGACCCTACCGTGCGCGTGAAGATGAGGGACCTGGCATACACGTTGGCCGAGAGGCGAAGCCGTCATTTCCACCGCGGCTTTGTAGCTCCGTCGTCAAAAGCCGACCTCGGATCCGCGGTGCTCACCAAGGGGACGACGCGGGAAACGCCTCCCTCTCTTGGATTCGTCTTCACCGGACAGGGTGCACAGTGGTCCGCTATGGGCAAGCAGCTCCTTGAGACATACCCGGTAGCCGCAGACACAGTACGGCATCTGGACCAAACTCTCCAGAAGCTTCCCAGCGCTCCGTCTTGGACCTTATGGGGTAAGCATTGAATTAATCTCTTCGCCAAGCTTGGCCTGGTACAAGATACTAACGACACCTCTTCCCAGACACTCTGACCCAACAATTGACGGGGGATGAGCTGAAGTCTCCTGAGCTATCGCAACCGGTTGTGACGGCGCTCCAGCTCGCGCTCCTCAGCGTCCTCTCCGATGCTGGAGTGTCGCCGACATCCGTAGTCGGGCACTCCTCGGGAGAGATCGCGGCAGCCACAGCCGCAGGCTACCTCACCCCCGAGCAGGCCATCAAGATTGCCTACCTTCGAGGGCGAGCCACCACAAAAGTCCGTCCCGCCGCCCCTCTGGGCATGCTGGCTGTGGGCCTCAGCGCCGAGGGCACTAAACGCTACCTCGCCGGCACCGAGGCCGAGATTGCTTGCATCAACAGCCCCGAGAGCGTCACCGTTTCCGGCTACAGTGCAGAGCTTGCCGCGATCGAGGCCGCTATCAAGGCTGACGGAAAGTTTGCACGGCTGCTGCAGGTGAAGGCGGCGTACCATTCCCGGCATATGCTCGAGGTGGGCAACCTTTACAGGCAACTACTCGTCGACCAGGTCGAGTGGGACGACGACGCGCTCCTGCCCGGCGTCAACATGGTCTCCTCCACGACGGGCGACAAGGTTGACGCCAAGCTCGGACCGGACTACTGGGTGCGAAACATGGTGTCTCCCGTCCTCTTCGACCAGGCCGCCGGCCAACTGATCGCGGCCGACGACGCCGTAGACATGCTGATTGAGATTGGCCCAAGCGGTGCCCTTGCTGGCCCCATCGGCCAGATCAAGAAGCTTCACAAGTCCACGGCCGAGTACCACGCCGCGTGGAAGCGTGGCGAGGAGTCCCTCCAAGCACTTCTGGGCATGGCTGGCTCGCTCTTCATCGCCGGACACCCGATCGACATCACCAAGATGAACCAGGACTCGGAGACACAGGCGCCCTCGTTCGTGGTGGACCTGCCCAACTACAGCTGGAACCACTCGGTGCAGTACTGGGCCGAGAACGAGGCCAGCGCAGACTGGAGGTTCCGCGAGTTCGTGCACCACGACCTGCTTGGCACCAAAGTTCTGGGCACGTCGTGGCAGTCGCCGACATGGAAGAAGATAGTCAATGTGCAAGAGGAACCGTGGCTGGCAGACCACATGATCGGCGAGAGCGTCATCTTCCCGGCCTCGGGCTATATTGACATGGCCATCGAGGCAATCTTCCAGCGGACCAAGGCCCTAGGCCGCATCTCCCCAGATTCCAGCGTCAATGACCAGACCTACCAACTCCGCGACGTGCGGTTCGACCGCGCCCTCGGTCTTGACAACAAGGACCAGGACGTCAAGATGTTCCTGAGCCTGACGGAGCGGAAGAGCACGGCATGGCACGAGTTCAAGATCTGGTCCATCGGCCCGGACCGGGAGTCAGACCAGGAGCACTGCCGGGGCCTGATCAGCATCGTGGCCTTCGCGCCCGAGGTGGCCGGCGAGGACAAGCTCGCGCCGCTGCAGCACAGCACGCCCGCGGGCACGTGGTACAAGGCGATGCGCGAGGTGGGCTACAGCTTCGGCCCCAGCTTCCAGAAGCAGCTGGCGGTCGAGGCGGTGGCCGGGCGGCGCAGCAACCGCGCCCTCGTGTCCCTGGACCCCCCGGCGTCGGGCCACCGCCAGTCCGACTACCCGCTGCACCCGGCGAGCCTCGACTCGTGCTTCCAGGCCGGCTCCGCCTCGCTGCACCGGGGCCACCGCGCGGGCGTCTCGCAGCTGCTGCTGCCCGCCGTCGTCGACGAGCTCACCATCCCGGCGCAGGCGTCCGCCCCCGTCAAGGGGATGGCCGTCGCGAGCGCACAGTATATCGGCAAGGGCCGCAAGGCGGACGCGAAGAGGTACAAGTCCCACGTGGACGTGTACGACGTCGACAACGGGCGCCTTGTGTTCCGCCTCAAGGGCTTGCACTACCACGCCCTCGACTCTGCTCCCGAGACGCAGCTGCAGCACACTTTACCCGGCTGGTGTGGAATCCTGATGTCACGTTCCTGGCTGCGGAGGGCTTGCGCGAAGACCTTGCCGCGGTCTCCCAGCCCTCCCCAGTGTTGACAGGTTCCGCTGGTGCGGTCCAAGCTGCGGGTCGGTTGATCGACCTCGTTGCGCACAAACAAGGTTATGTCCGGCTGTTGGAGAAGGCACACGGCAACAGCTCATCGAGTCTGTGGCTCGACAGTATCAAGGCCCTTGCCTCGGAGACATCCCAGATCGGGTCCGAGTACTGCCTGTCTCTTGCTACACAGGACGGCGGACTTGAGGCACGAGCCAAATACGGCGCTGCGGGAGGCGTCAAGTTTGTAGTACACGATGACCCGAAGACAGCTGAAGAGGCTGGTGGTCCGTTCGATGTCGCCATCATACAGGTATGCTTCCTCCAAATCATCTCGTGAGTGACGGTCTACTAACATGATGTCATCAGGTACCGGCTTCGCACAGCACCCAAGATGTGCAACTTTTGTTGCAAGGTGATGATATCGGCGATGCCGGCCTTGTGGTCATCATCTCCTCTGAGGAAACCGGGCCCATCGCTAATGGCCAGTCCAACGGACACACCAACGGCCACGCCAACGGCCACGCCAACGGCCAGAATGGGCACCAGAATGGATACCAGAATGGCAAGAATGGACATCATTTGGCGCCTAAAATTGCCGGATTCGAGAGCGTAATTCCCCTTTCCACTGGCCCGAGCGGGACTGCATCTCCTCATCTCGCCTTCGTGGGAAGGAAGCCGCACGCATCAGCAGCTCTATCAGACGGCCGGGCTGCACATGTTGTTCATTTTGAGAAGCCCAGTGCGGAGAAGAAGTCATTGATCATGAGGCTCTCGGACTTTGGTCTTTCGGTCACGCAGCATACGGAGCTGCCGGCCGAGGTGCCTGACGGCAGCACCGTGGTGGTTCTCGACGAGGTCTTCACGCCCGTCATCCCACGCGTCCGCGACGAGCAGCTTGCCATGCTGCAGGAGCTGTTCAGGCGCAAGTGCCGCCTGCTCTGGGTCACGTCTGGCGGGCACATGGCCGTCACCAACCCCGAGCACAGTCTCTTCGTCGGGATCCTGCGCTCCCTCCTCGCCGAGGATCCGACCTGCCTCGTCATGACGGTCGATATCGAGTCTTCCACCAGCGATTCCAGCGCGCAGGCCATCCTGCAGACCATGCGCCACCTCGAGGCCGTCAACGACGTCGAGTTTGTCGACCGCGAGTGGGTCGAGCGCAGCGGCGTGCCCTACGTCAGCCGCGTCGTGCCCAACTCGGTCATCAACAAGGCCGAGGAGGCCGACAAGTCGGCGGCGGAGCCGGTCGTCAAGCACCTCTTCCGCAACGGGCCCGTCACCCGGCTCGTCAACACGCGCGTCGGCACCCTGGACGGCCTCGTCTTCGCCGAGGTCGACGACCCGGTCGGCCCGCGGGACGTCGAGGTGGAGATCCACGCGGCCGCGCTCAACTTCAAGGATCTGGCCCACATCATGGGCTTTCTGCCCAGCAACGAGGACCGGCTGGGTCTGGAGTGCGCTGGTATCGTCTCGGCGGTTGGTGCTGAGGCCAGCGCTCAGTTCAAGCGGGGCGACAGGGTTGTTCTCATCCGCAGAGATGGTGGGTGCTTTGCCAACCGCGTCCGTAGCCGGCTCGAGGACGTGAGCAAGATCCCGGACTCGTGGGGCTTCGAGGAGGCCGCAGGAGTTGGAGTCTGCTTCATGACGGCCGTCTACGGGCTGATCGACCTGGCCAACATCAGAGATGGCCAGACGGTTCTCATTCACTCGGCAGCAGGTGGTGTCGGACTGGCATGCCTGCAGATCTGTGCCCAACACTCCGTTGAGGTCTACGTAACCGTCGGTACCGAGGAGAAACGCAGGTTCATCCGCGAGGAGTTTGGCATCCCCGATGACCACATCTTCACCTCTCGCTCTATCGCTTTCGCTCAACAGCTCATGGATGCCACCAAGGGCCGCGGCGTCGATATAATCATGAACTCGCTGGCTGGGGATATGCTTCACGAGTCTTGGCGCTGCATTGCCAACAACGGTACCTTTATCGAAATTGGCAAAAAGGATATCCTGGAGCGCAACACGCTGTCCATGGAACCCTTTGACAGGAACGCGTCGTACCGTGCCTTCGATCTGTCCACCCTGTGCAAGGACCGCGCCATTGCTCACAGGTAAGTTGTGGTCCGGCCGCTGATGTCGTGCAATCAGGAAACCCGACTAACATAATGTCAGACTTACCGACTACATCTTCACCAAGGGCCAGGAAGGTGTTATCAAGCCCATTCATATCTGCAAGACGTTTGAATGGGGCAACATAGTCGATGCCCTCCGTTACATGCGCGACGGAAAGCACATTGGAAAGATCATCATTTCCAGTCCTTCCCGCAACGCTGTCAAGGTCCCCGTGAGTCCTGCCCACTCTATCACGCTTGCTTGTGTGTATGGTCACTAACGAGAACGGGTATTCAAGATCCGACCCATGGTCACAAAGACATGCCTCAAGCCGGATGCGCCATACCTCATCGTGGGAGGCTTCAAGGGACTCTGTGCTTCTCTTGCCATCTACATGGCCCGCGAGGGTGCGAGACACCTCGTCATCATGGCCCGGAGCGGATACGCCGACGATCTGTCACAGGCGACCATTATGCATCTGTCGGCGCTTGGATGCAGGGTTGACCTCGTCCAGGGAGACGTTACAGTCATGGCAGATGTTGAGAGGGCTGTAACGGCCGCCGGGAAACCCCTCGCAGGCGTCATCATGGGAGCCATGGTGCTAAAGGTATGTAGTTATTTTTCTTGTAGCTGCATCGATAAAAAAGCTGACGATACTCCAAGGATGGTATGTTCGATACGATAACGGGCGACAACTTCCGCGCCCCCATCGACCCCAAGGTCAAGGGGGCGTGGAACCTCCACAACGCATTGCTGGCACAAGACACGCCGCTCGACTTCTTCACCCTGCTCTCCAGCATCAGCGGCGTGGGCGGCCAGCGCGCCCAGACCAACTACAGCGCAGCCAACGCCTTCCTCGACGCCTTCGCCCACTGGCGCCACGCACAGGGCCTCCCCGTGTGCTCCGTCGACCTCGGCATCATCGAGGACGTCGGCTACTTCACCGACCGCGACGCCATGGCGGCACGCCTGCGGATGCAAGGCTGGACCCCGATCAACGAGGCCCTGCTGCACCGCATCCTGCGGCTGTCCCTGCTGCAGCAGACCGCCGGCCCCGTGGACCGCGACACCGTCGCCAACCTCATCACGGGCATCCCCAACCCGCTGGGGCCCAACAGCCCGCAGAAGCCCGTCCACCGCTTCAGCGCCCTGCGGCCCCGGACCGACGCGGGCGGCGCGGCAGCCGGCGACGGCGACCTCGCCATCCTCCGGGCCGCGGCGAACAACGAGCAAGGGTCCGACGGCGACGGCGGCGTCGACAAGGCCACGCTCCTCGCGGCGGCCGTGTCGGCCGTCAACGGCGTGCTGACCATGAGCCTGGGGCTGAGCGAGCCGCTGGAGCCGACGCGGCCGCTCAAGACGTACGGCATCGACTCGCTCGTCGCCGTCGAGCTGCGCAACTGGGTCCGCACCGAGCTGGGCATCGAGCTGAGCGCGCTGGAGATCGTGGGCGCCGTCACGCTGGTGGCGCTGTGCGAGGTGATTTTGAAGAAATTGCTGCGGTAGAGGCTGTCACCTGAAAGTGTTTTGATAGAAGAAATGGAGTTGCTAGGTTATACTGCAGTGAATACAATGCCACTTGATTCAATATTGCGAGTCATTGACTAGTTTGAGTCAAGTAAGATATGGCACATTTTGTTTTTGGAGAAAATGTGGAGATGATTTAATTTGTTCAACTAAAGTTCTCAAGTATAATTTAGATGTATAACGTCCCCGGCCCGGATTCCGGCCGCCCCCCGATTCCGGCCGCCTTTCCCACACAAACTCACACTTTTCAAACCCATATAGTAAATCCAAATTAAATCCAACAACCCTAAACCTAGGTTTAAATAATATTATTTTAAAAGGAGATTATAATAAGAATACTTAAAAAAAATCTATTATGGTTTTATTATTTTTAAAATATTTTTTAAAAATTAAAGGCTTTAAATATTAAGGATTCCTAATATTTTATATGAAAATATTAACATTTACTTTTAAGTAAATATTTCTTTAATAAAATTAAATAGAATTTTATTTTTTAAAACATAAGTTAAGAAGTTAATATATTATATAATATTAAAAGATATTATATTAAAAGTTATAAATTTATTAATATATTTTATAAATTTATATTTTCTTATATTTTTTTATACAAGGAAAAGATAAATTTATTAATATTTCTTTATTAAAATTTTTAATATAAAAAAAATTTAATATTTTATAATAATAAATTTATTATATATAATAAAATTTAATTATATTTATTTTATTAAAAGATTAAGTATAAAATTAAGAAATATAAGTTGTTAAAAACTCTTTATATTATATATATAAATCTTAATATTTTTAATAATTTAACTTTAAAAATTATTTTAAAATTATTAAATTAAATTTATATTTTTAAATATATCTTTATATAAAACTATATTTAAAATCCTTTATTTTGGATCTAGGGTTAGGGTTTTGGGATTTAATTTGGATTTATTATAGAAGGTTAAAAAGTAGGTATCTTATAGTGCCAGTGCACCAGAAAACGGCTGGCCGGAATCTGGGCCGGGGACGTTATAAACGATAGACTACTTCTATTCTTTGAGTTCCTCTACTAAACTAAACTAGAACAACAATGATTATCCTAGTGGGACAGGAGCCAATGTTAGTTGTAGGCAATTACAGTCAATTTAGCTATCCATAAATTCGGACAGTGGCTTTTCAATCTTCTGCATACTAGTAGTGTTATGTCAAAAGCCACTATTTAGCACCAAAAGTCTTGGTTTATTGTACGTTTTCATTTACTTCAGGTAATGATTGTATAGCATTTCGTGAGCATTTGGCTACAGTGTCTAAATTCTAACATAATTTTAGTATTATCGCAGAAAATGGTTGTATTGCACCAAATCTTCAGAAATCTCATCTCCAATCGGTATCTTGTGCTCAGCGTTGTTGCGCTCCTCGAGCAGGGTGTTGCGCCGTTCCAGCAGTTGCGCAGGTGTCCTCCCATTCACATCCTTCAAGTCACAGCGCGCCCCACTGTCCTCCAGCAACTTCATGGCGCCGACTTCGCCCCTCCTGGCGGCGAAATGCATCGGCGTCCAATCGAACCAACTCGAATTGGGGAAGGACCTCGTCCACGTCCGCGCCATGCTCCATCAGGAGGCGCATGGTATCGAGTTGACCACAGCCTGCGGCGGTATGTAGTGCACCGGTCTGAGCGACAGGGAGACCGCGTTCCAAGAGCATCTTAGTCATGCGCGGACCTTCAGAAAATGCAGCGCGAGACAGCAGAGACGAGTTGTAGGTGGCAAGTTCCCTCGACGGATCAACAGGACGGAATGGATCCGCCCCAAGCTCGAGCAGCGCAGCGACCACATCGGGTTTCCTTAGCCTCACGGCCTCGTAAAGTGGCCAAAAGCCGTGGTGGACCGGGAAGTTGACGACGTTGGATGTCGGGTTTGCAGATGCTAGTGCCTTGAATGCAGCACCACTCCCACTCATGATGACCTTGTTGATTATCCATCTCGTTATAAGGTCAGGGTGAGTGCCTTGCTGTATTGCGAAGGCGGTCAATGTGGACAAAGCTGCAGCTTGGCCATTCATGGCTGCTGCTCTCAGGGCCCGTTCGAGGTTTGACATTGGCGTTACCATGACCTCCCGGACATCGTTTGGACCTTCAAGTGGACGCATTTCAGAAGAAATGGTGTCCGGCTTTTCGAGTATTGTCTTGATCCATTGTGGCTGCGATAGCAAGCTCTGGAGGGCGGTGTCATTGCCGGACGAGCTTGCTTCTATGAGAAGGCGGGCGGGGTCCTCGCCTATGGGCACATCGCCTACTTCTCTGGACGATTCAATCATGGCTATGTGGTGGTGGTGATCACGAGGATGATGATGATGATGATCAAGAGTGGAACGGAAAATGGAGCGGAGCTGGGACTTTGCCGGTATATAAGAGGTCAGACTAGTCACGTGATGGCTGCCTAATTTTCAAATGCGAATAATAATTATTATATGTGGCAGTGCCGCAAGGGTGCGATGAATGGGTCAATTGAATGGGCCCAGTGACTGGCATTTGGAGAGCCTGCCTCTTACAAAGATAAACTGCTGCGTTTTCTGCAAAGAAATCTACTCCTGAGACTACTTTTCTTTCTGTACAAACAAACAGGTGAATCACCCGCTAGTTGTCTCTTACATTGCATTACGTGACTAGATAGAATGATTACATATAATCCTACAAATTTTCTTTTGTATTTAAGAAGGCTGTTACACAAATGAAATGTCTCTTAGAGCAAGTTATATAGGTAACGTAGATGACTTTCGCTAATTAGAATGGCCTCTCTGAGCATGCTGGCAACTTGAAAAGAGTGCCAAGATGAATTGCAGGCTTTAACATAGTTGGCGAAGGAGCATACAAAAGATATGGTTGATGGAAATAGGAGACTTGCACACAGTTCTTTGAATCCTGGTTTAATGAGATTTTTATTATCATGCCAATTGAGACAGAGCGTATATGTCTCATTGCTCTATCAAAAAGGAAAAGTCCGCAGAGAGAATTAAAGATGGGGGGCTCCCTTTCAATGGGCATTTGTTTGCAAGTATTGTGAGCAACAGCTATAGCGAAGCCGTGACTAGAAAACAATAAGGCTTGAAGAAGCGGCCGAGAGGAGTATCGAGAAAGAATGAGTGAGCTTCTCACGACTGTGAGGTGGCGAAAACGTTATAGGTCTTGCACAGTTTCCCGTCTTCAGTCTGCGCCCAATCCTCGCTGCCAACGCACTGAGGACACCAGAGGAGCCCCTCAGGATCGTACTTTTCTTTGATGGTGCGAAGACGCCCATAGTTGGGCCCGAAGAACGACCACTGCCATCCCGATTCGAAAGCGTTGGCCTATGGTTGCGGCAAATCAGCAGGGTTCTCGATACGCAAGGCCAGCAAGCTTAATGGACCAGGGGACGTGAGTAGACAAATGGGAGTGGTGAAAGAAAGCGGGCAGCGAACCTCATTCAGATAAGCACCTGTGCTGGGTTCAAGCCTTCTCAGTGCATTCAGCTTGTTGTATGTCACGTCGTTGACGATTTGTGACACGTGTTCATGCGGGAGCGAGTCTGGCCACGACGTAGAGGTTATCAGGTGGACAACGCTCTTGCGCCACGCCGGGTTCAAAGCATTATCGACAGGGTCGTGACCAATCGTCATGGTTCCTGACATGGAAGGATTCGGAGTTCCATCCTAAGCGTTTGCCGTTAGCACACTTTCATGTGGTTGCAGATGGAGAAAGAGGTCTTACAGCTGGTGCAGCTGCTTGGGTGCCGACTTGCATGAGAACCTCAGCGAACAGGTCCTCATCCCCTGTAACGACTTCGCGGCTGATCAGTCTGGAGGCAGAGATGGCGTTTCCTCCTGCATGATCCGGCAGAGATGATCGTATCAAGAAGGCCGTAGAAAGACGGGATAGGCACCACCTGAACGGAACCATTTACCGCTGCTGCGTTTTCGGTAAACAGTTGTTGAATAGAAGACGTGATATTCAAGGCAGTTCCATTGGGTGCGTTCCAGAGAAACAAGGAGCCGGCAAGTGAAACGGTCTCGCTCGATGGGGGGCCACCGATGGTGTAGTAACCCGTGACGCCTTGATCCTGAAGCGCCGGAAGCAGAGTATGCAATTTTGCAACGACCTTCCACCAATCCTTCGTCGATGTGCCTTCGTTCGCAACAAGATTGAGACCCATGAGCGTCATTTTGGGGATGGGGAACGCCTTCATGGTCATGTTCACGATGACACTGAAGGTGCTGCCTCCGCCTCCACGGATAGCCCAGTAGATATCCTCGTTCTGGCATGCGTTTGCTGTAAGGAGGTCACCGTTGGGCGTAACTATAGTAGCCTCGAGAATGTTGTCTGCCCCCATGCCGAATTCACCGGTCAGGTAGCCGTGCCCACCTCCAGTGGCCCATCCGACAACACCGACGTCCTATGAGCCGAGAGGTGAGTAATTGGGGACTCTTCGTCGGTATCGAATGGACGGAAGCTACCATGTTTGTGCCACCGACGGCAACGACATTGTTCTTCTCAGCGAACTTGAAGAGTTCTCCATCTTGCACACCAGCTCCGACGGTGATGGCCATCTGACTGCCCTTCCATGTAGAATTGATCGTGCACGACGAGGGCTGGAACTTCTCGTGAAACACAGTCTGCTTCAAGTTGTGAGTCCAGATACTGGTATATTCAAATCAGCAAGCATCCAGCGATTCTATTTCAGTGGGACAGGAGGTTCTCACGAGATGCTTCCGAAACCCGTTCTTCTGTCACCAATGTCAGCCTGTGCACCCTGCGATGTAAAATCGGAGCAATTCTGTTGCACTCACCTTGCAACACCGCTGTGTCCATTATTCTTGATGATGACCATGATGTTGTTCTCTGCGAATGCAAGCGTCTGTTGAAAGTCGCTCGAGTCTGTTGCGTTGACAACGTAAGGAGGCAGAGAGCCGAGATGACAACCCTTTTTTTCCAGCATTTGGATCACCAGTGATACTAGTTCCGTTCGGGTATATTGGTTGACAGTCCTTGACTGACGCGGTGCTTGCAGAAGCGGCTGAGTGAAACTTCCAGGTCGTCCAGTTGGAAAGAACGTTGTTGCAGGACTCCTCGTTGTAGTTGGGCTCGGACGGGTAGCAGACGGATGCAGGTGCAACGGTGCGGATAAGTCGACCAGAAATAGTATCATTGAATGATTCCCATTGCGCTTGCGACGGCCAACAAGGCTCTGAAGGAGTCTAAAACCTGCGTTAAAACATAGTCCTGCCGTAAAGCGACAGCAACTGTCATGTCGCAAGACGGATTCAAGACTCCAAAACTCACGCATTTGCATACTTCTCCGAGAGTTACACCACTCAGAAGCATGGCGTTCCAAAGAACGTTAACGATAGACGGCATGCTCAAGTATCGAGCAGTTGAAAAGAGCGTGTAGAAAGCGAGTTGCGATTCCAGGAATGAGCCCATTCACCAGGTCGTCACAGGATGATATTTATGATATTGCAAAAGGTATGGCTAACGACAAAGAGGGTTTCCGCCGCATTGCTGTCGTCACTTCCGGCTCGACCCAGTAAGGGGCAGGAGATACAACGATAGGGCTACAGGTGAGGTGCCGATTCTCCTGGTTCAACCTGACAAGATGGCAAGGGGATTGATTGAATAGTATTCGTCACTAGCAAGCGGCGACGCCATTTTACCAAGCACAGCCATGGAGAATTTCAGACCGTAAGTGAAGTCAACAAGAATGAAAATGGCACTCATAGGTCAGAAAATGGTAGGTTTCCAAGACATCATTGATTCTGCAAGACCGAGAGCCTTGTTTCACGTCGAAGAAAAGTATTCAGTACTAGTAGCAAGATCCTGGTGCGAAGAGGTCCCACTTGTCCTGCAGGTGGGGGGAGCGAAGTCCCTCAACCAGGCATTCACGGATAAAAAGAAGTTGCTGGATTTTGCACTGCAGCTTTTGCGACGGAAAGCAGCCTCCATTTGAGGTCATAACGATTCGATGGAAGAGGCACTTAGCACCCTCGATGCTACAGGCCACGGCAGTGCTCTAGGGTCGCTGGCAATGTTTTCCGGTCGCTGCCGATGCTGAAGCTGTGATCTGCCGAAAGTTTTATGCCGCTTTGGGGAGGGACAAATTTATGAGGACCTGTGCGGTCAACAACATGTACATCGCGTGCGTGCATTGGTATCGGAGAGCTTGATGGCCTCTCTCCTGTTGATACAAACCTGTTTCGGCTACATCACAAAGGTGACTAAAGACACACGACCTCGTTGGACCCCAGCATCAGAAGCATGTGAGGGGCCATATCGTGGTCTTTCCTGGACACCCCACGCCTCCGAGCGGCTGCAGCAGACCGACACAGCTGTCGAGCGACGCTGGTGGCTGACCCACCTAGTTGCTTCTGCCTGTCGGCATCCTCCGCAAGGATTCTCAAGCTGGACGGTAATGCATTCGGATACCACAAATTTCTGAGGAATGCCTGTGCAAAAGTTCGGAGTGGGACAGCGTGCAGATAATGGAGGAGCTGTGCAGACAACGAGGAAGTGCTTTCCCCCTTCATCTTCGAAACTACTCCGTGTACGGCTGGTTCCCCTCGTTTTCTTGGAATGCAAAACATTTCGACCTACACTTTTACGCGGTATTTCATCAGTTCAGCGTATTTTCAACCACCCACGAGCAATTCAGGATTGTATTTAGCCTTGAAAGTGTCTAGTTGCCACAAAGCGCAGCCCGCAATCTATGAGTGCTGGTTCACTTTCATGGACTTACTCTCTTGGCTCTTTGGTGCTCCCTGCTCGAAAAATGCAAACCAAACTTCACATGCACACCATGGATGATCCCCATGAAGACAGTAAGGTCGCACTGGGACTGCTAGGAGAGCTGCATGTGTGGCTGATAATAAATCCTGGACCAGACTTCCACGATACTCATGATTCTCAAGATGCAGACAGGCTTCCAGCCATGAACAACGTGGACTTTGGGGAAACGGACGTGCCCTCCTCTCAATCTCGAACAAATGCACCAACAGGACCTCGAAAAGACCTGGATCATGTCATTATTCCCAGCCATCATATTCGCATGGGAGATCTCTTGATTCTCATGGGACGGTCGTGTCGGGTCATCAGAATATCGACTTCTTCAGCCACTGGTCAACATCTCTACCTTGGTGTTGATGTGTTTACCACGAAGCTGTACAAAGAATGCGCCACAGTCCAGAATCCACCGCCTGGTATTATCCTGCAATTCATACGAGACCCAATCCTGAAGCAGTATCGCGCAGTGGAAACACTGGAAGTCCGCCTTCCCTATGTGACGGAATTTGAGGATGTGAAGAAAAAAGTCCCAATCTTGGACCAGTCAAATCTATACGAACGCAACCACAGATGTCTTATAGCTAAAGGAATGTTCGTGTGGACATCGAGCAAGGCAATTCTGTTGTCGGAATCGTCTCTCTGGCTCTGCCGTAGGTTTCCAGCGACTGATTGAAGCGACCCGTTCCCGTACATCCAGTCTACGATGATCATTCCCAGAATTGGATTATTGAGGCATATTTCAGCCTCCATGTTTCGCGTTGTGAACGCGATAGATCACGGTCGGGTTTCGCCTGAGCAGGCCAGGCTGACCCATCCGTGACCACCATAAGCAGCGACAGATTGATATCAGGAGCAGGGCTCTCCCCAACCCTTTTTTCCGTTAGGACACATCAATTGTACAGTATTGATTGGAGTGTCCTTTGTATATCTGAGAATTAGGCAGCCGCTACCTTGGCTCGCAACGTGTAACGAATATTGACCTGGGGTCGAGCGAGATCTTGGCTGACTCACGAATCACGGTGACTTACTTGGAACACATGTAGCCACTTGAACATTTTTTTTGAAGGAATGAGGCTGGGAGGTTTCGTTCCACGTTCCATACGGGCGTAATTACCTAGGTAGGCCAGTAAGGAACACACATAGGTAAAACAGGGCACGGAGAACCCCAATGTGCTGTGATGTCACAACGTATGTGATTCCCAGAGGGGCCAGGGCCTGAAGACTTCGCCTCAATTCTTCTCACAACGCTTTGTCTGCTGTACGGTACCGTTTTAATTCAGCGGCTGAGGATACCACGTCATCAAAGGGGCCTCTGGTGAGATATACTGCGTTCAGCTGCCACTCAGGTGCTGCTGGACTACGCAGGTACACTGTTGCGTGAGAGAAATGCCCAGGCAGAATATCCTGAGACACCTCCTTGCTGGTCGTCTGGCAAGCAGCTGCTTATGCAACACAACACAACACAGCACAGCACAACAAAGCACAGCACACAACACAACACAACACAGACCTGCTGACCTCAATTCCATGAAACCTCTGTGCATCGTAACAGTTTGGAAATCATTTAGGTCCTAAAACTTGGTGCCTAAGTTTCCCACTTCCCACCTCAACTTCTGGCTCGCCTTCCCTTCATGTAGTAATCCCATTCAAGCTGCCAATATTTCGAATTGTCATTCAGCACTCATCACCTTGAACTTCTTGCTGCTGCAGAAGTATCACCATTCATCCATTTCCGCCTTCAGAGGTTGAATCAAACTCGATACACCTTTCCCGACGATGCGGCTCCCGGCTTGGACCAGGATCTGGACATCCAAAAAGCGGATCTCCTCATCACTCGAAGCCATTCCTCTGAACAATCTGCAAGCAAATGAAAAATATCGGAGATGTACCAGCCAGAATCTTGATCAAGCCATCGTCTTGGCGGCCGATATACCTATCTCATGCCTCCCTGGCAGCGTTCTCAGTCGTCTTCTTGGCCTGCCTCGCCAGTATGCAAGCGGTGCTTGCGATATCCAATCGTCACGTAGGCCTGTCCGGAGACCACGACACTTTACATCGTGTCTTCTGGTCGTATAGTCCAACAGCTATCCTGACGCTTGTCGCCTTGTTCTGGACCCGACTGGAGATTCAGACCAAAACTACAGCACCTTGGTTCAGTATGGCTCAGGACAACACCGTGGCCAGTCAATTACTTCTTCTTGACTACATATCGCAATTTCAGCCGTTATCGATGATTTCAGCCCTTCGATATAAGGATTACACAGTAGCAGCTGCTACAGTGACGTCGCTCCTTATTAGAGTCCTGCTCGTGCTTGCAACATCTCTCATCACCTTGTCGCCAGTTACCTACCAGGGGGAGGGGGGGTCTTTGTATGGGTCACGCAACGCAATCATGTTTTAAGATCCAAACAAAATTTTGGAATTACAATGCAATACTAGCAAAATACTATTAAAATATTATCAAAAGTTAATTATATTAAGGCTTTAAATTATATTAATATTAACTTTATATTAAGATTAACTTTATATTAGCCAATATCAGCCAATATTAAAATAAATCTATATTAAAAGCTTTAATTTAAACCTTATTAACTCTAAACTTATTTCTATTTTTAAATATTTCCGTAATTTTATAAACCCTCCTATAGTAAATAGTTAAGCTAGTAAAAAATAAATAAGTAGTTGGGTTGGGGATGAGGAAAAAAAAAAGTTTTTTTTTTTACCTCTATATTAAGAGTTAACATAATGTTAAGGTTAACATAATGTTAAGGTTAACATGATGTTATAATATGTTAAGAATGTTTATATATTAGTAATGTGTAAATAATGCAATATATAAATAAAAAAAGCATGTTAGAACCTTGATTGCATGTCACTATTATATCGCTATTCCATTGACATCGTGGTGTGATGTTGACAAAAACCCCCCCTCCCCCTGGTAGGTAGAGTAAAGTGCGCTAATGTTGGCCTGAGTCTGAAAAGCGAATTTATTGACAGCCCGGACGGCCTTATGGCAAATGGATCTTTGGCAACTGCGACTTGCGCTATAATGAACTTTAACACGTCCCTGCCACAAGGAGTATCTCATACATATGCTTATCAGCTTATCGAATCAGATCTACTCGATACGCCTTCGACTCTCAAGACTACAGTGGATGGCTTCATTGGAGGTCTTGAGTGTGAGCCAGCTAATTCGTCAGTGAATGATTGGATTTGGAATTCCACATCTGGCAATTATGTTCCACTCGCGGCCGGCTCATGCACTTTCAATTTCACCTTTATAAATAGCATTCTCGACCAGCCCGTGGATGGAGCCCAGAGTGTTAATATTATGGGCGGTTCATGCAATGGCTCTGATTCCAACGATGACCGGAGGTTTGGCATCATCGCCGCCGTTCTTGCCAGTGGAGGAGAAGGCATTTTCACAATCGCGAAATCGAACTTCTTGATGTGCACCCCGACATATCAGATCTTGCCGCTAGACCTGAGCGCACAAGGACCAGACAGACTTCTCCGTCCATCATCATCATCCGGGCGCAACTCCGGCGTTCTCAGCAACGTCCATCCTTGGGATATCATGCAAACTCATCTCGATGGAATCACTCAATCGTGGGAAGAACTCAGCTCGTGCGGGGCGAACATCTCTAATCAGACCGTGTGGTTCGATCCATGGGGATGGCGTGCATATCAATTCGCGAACAGGTCTGGTAACCCTCCTACGCTCACTGAGATCTTCGAGGACCCGAAAGGGCTCACAGAATTCTATTCGAATTATTATCAGCAATACAGCGCCCTTTTAGCACATACTTCTCTCATGCAGCCAGCGTCAATATCCTCTACGGGATCAGTAGATGAGGTGACGAGTCGATTTCTAGGTAAATCAGTCCAATTTGTACTACACTAGTATAACGATGACCGGGATTTCCAGCTAATCAAATCTCAGTGCAGGGACTAGTCGCAAATTTCATGACCGGTATTTTCGTGGCATGCTTAATGATGGGCATATCAATCTGGATCATTAGAGCTTCGACAAAGTTAGCACTCCCACAGAGCCCTACCACAATTATAGGCCTTGTAATGTGCTTGTCGTCGAGCTGCGCTATGGTTGGGACCTTGAGCGACATAGGAAGCAGTGGAAGGGACACTTTAAAAGCTGTGCTTGACAGGTGCCATTACAGAAGCTGTTGGGATATGGACAACGGCAGTTTCGAAGTTCTCGTCGAAGAGCGTCTCCTACCGAACGACGATCTGGAGATGTCGCCTCCAGAAAACTCTGTCTTCAAGCCCACAACATTGAAGTCCTCAGTTCGCCTCACATCAGCTACAATACTGCTAGCTACCATTGTCTCTTTAGAAGTCACGCTGAGACTGTCCAAAAGCGGCCAAGGACTCGGCGACGTCCCTCTCAACAGCAAGGCCCTCAGCTACTTGTGGACCGCACTACCTGGTCTCATTTTTACTCTAATCAGGATGTACTGTTCATCAGTAGACTTCGATACACGTTCCTTGGTCCCACTGCTTCACCTAGCCAGAGGCTCAAAGTTCCAATCATCTCTTAGTCTCGATTTGGTCAACAAACATACTTTTCTGCTACTCTACGAAGAACTGAAGACGAAGAGCTTCGAAGCACTAGCATCGACGTTAGCGGTCACTTTGGCATCCTTCTTGACAATCTTCTCTACCGGCCTTTTCACCTCCGCTGTCGTCACCAGACACGGATCAACCGAGCTGATCGTAGCCAGGCCAATATGGTATAATACAAAAGGTACCGCTGCCAAATTTGGATGGTCAGACCACTCACTGGAATCCGCAGCCATCATCCTAGCCAGCAATGTATCTTATCCATCTTTCACATACGAGGATCTGATTCTACCAACCTTGGAAGTGGACCGGACCTTCCTATCCGCCCACTCAAATACTTCAGCCATCGAGTTCAGCACTACTCTTCTCGCTGTACGATCGTCCTTTGCACAATGCCGCATTTTCAATGGCTCCCAAATTCACGTCAGTAACTTATCATTGTGGCACGACTCTCCAGTTTCGCTACACATTGACTCGGAGGAATGTCATTCGGATGTGCTCGGTGGTACATGGAACTTATGGATTACTCCAAGAGTTCCTGACGGTTACTTTGCGGTTGGTGGAGGAAGTTGGAAAAATAGAAAGTGTCAAGGGTGCAGTCAGAGACTCTGGGCCTGGGGCCAGTGGTCAAGCTTAGTAGAACAGCAGGGCGATTCATCTGAGGTATTATACGTCTCAGCACTGGCTTGCAACGAGTCCGTGGAAACTGTTGAGGTAGAAGCTGTGTTATTTGGTCCTGATTTGATCATAAAACCGAGCCGGCCCCCAATACCGCATCAGTCGGCTGCAAGTAGTGTGGACGCGCAAGGCTGGTTCCTACCAGAAAATGATACGACGGCCTACGACCCCTATGACGGCCTCCCACGACTGTCCACAAATACGGGAGATAGTTCATTCGACACGTTTTACACATTACTTACCACATCACGCTATGCGATCCCACTGGAGATGCTCGGCAACAAATCTCACGCTTCGACTGTGGCGGAGGCGATCAAGTTTCATCACAGAATCATAGCCGCTCAGAGCATTGCAAACCTATACCACGTCCCAGAAAACATCAGAACCAGGCGCGACTCGACGTACAAGATAGTCCCAGGCACCAACGACACCTCCTCGTATAATGCTACCAGCTCAGTACCCTCGGACCGCCCGCGAGTGGTCCAAAACGAGTTCTCAACTCGGGTCCTTCAAAGCCTGCTTGTCGGAGCCCTCATCTGCCTTCTGGCGAACTGGTATCTCATACATTTGGCTGGAGGATGCGGCGTGGTTCCAAGGAGTCCCAATACGATCGCTAATGTTGCCGCACTTCTTGCTGACGGCAACCTGATCGAGCTCTCGCGCTCGGTCGACTCCCAGTCGCTTGACTTGCAAACAATCAGAGATCACTTGGGTCGAGATACTGTCTTCCGGCTGGGCTGGTATGACATCTCTGGGCGCGAAGAGAAGGTCTATTGCATTTATGCCGATGTTGGGTCTCGCATTGTTGATTCATCGCAACACGTAGATGAGTCTGAAGAAGGGGCGACTCAGGATGATGCTAGACTATAAGATTGCAACTCGTTGAACACCGTAGTAAGAATTCTTTCGAAGCATCTGACTAAAGGACGATCAGTACTATAGTTAAGTCATATACGGGAACGTGTGCTGAAGTGGTGTCTGACTTTCTCTTTCTAAAAAAACTGTTAGAAACGCCAGATCCTAACATATCATGGCCAAGTTACCCTTGCCAACTGCGGTTCTACTCTTACATGACCATTCCCAACCAAAGCACTAAGATCGTCGCGCCATTCCTCGTTGTCTGCCAGTAGCGATTTGCATCCACTCCTCCGCTTTTGCTCCTTATCCAGCCAGCAATTCTCAGGGAATCCGCCAACAACCCAATTCACAGCTGCTGCCCGCCGCATGGCCAAGTGCCAAGAGAAGGTGGAGTCACGCACACCGATGAAGTAGCCGGCGTGCTCAAGAACCAGCATGTCTACTAATGCCTGCTGATCCCAGGCCATGTTGCGGAGCGCAGCGCCGGCGGGTGTATCCTCCGGGAGGAGGTCGTTCTTCGTCACCACAGTGATAGGCGCGACGTCTTCGGCCAGTTTAGCGATGCCGGGCTCGTCACCGGATGCGACGTAAATGACCATCTTGTCTGTGTCTGGCATGTCCGTAGCTGCATGGCGTGTGCTGCCGCCCTGACGTCCTCGCAGTCGCTGCGTCACATAGTTGATCTGGTCTTCGTATGAGAGCCAGTGGAAGTCGGTCGCATCCTTTTCGACGCGCAAGTGGATCCCGACGAAGGCATTGGCATGCACTGAAGGCTCGTTCCTGGTGCGAAAGGCTATGTGGGTGCCGAATCGCTCCTGCATGTTTAGCAGTGCCGAAGCTGCTAATATCTTGGCGTCGTCCAGCGGGCGTACCAGCTCGCTGAAATGGCGGACAAGTGAAGGGGGGTCGTACGACGTGGGCCATGTAAACATGATTGATCGAAGTGGGAAGGCAACTGGCGACTCGGCAGATGGCGGTTTGCCGTCGGTTGAAGATTCGATCCACTTGTCCAAGGCAGGGGGCCATTGTTCCGGGGCCGTGGGCACAGCGAATTCGGGGGGCATGCCTTCTTCGAGATGACTGTCGATGTGCAGGTCGAGGACGGGGGATATTGCGGGCAGACGGCGCAGTCGCGAGTCTTCATAATCTGCCGGATGGATGACGAGTTTGGGACAGTCTTTGTTCAGCGTCCTCCGCATATGATGTTCGTCAATCAGATATTCAAGCCCCACTTGATCGCTTGTCATGAAGTTGGTGATATCGTCAGCGCTGCGACGGCTGATCGTTGGCAGTTTCATTGATACTATGGCAAGTACTTAATGTCGGGGACATGTTTATGTCCAAAGAGACAGTGAAAACAGTCGTAGCGGCTTACCTCTGGCTTCAATGACATAACGGATGCAATGAAGAAGGTCCAGGCGGCAGTTGCCAAAGCCGCCGTTTAGACCAGGGCACTCGATAATGACATTCGGGTTCCACACCCTGTTTCCTTGGCTGCAAAGAACGGCAAGTTCACCGGCTGTGTCCTCTCCAGTGATCTGTTGACGGGATAATTCTGTAATTGGCTGTTATTCAGTGTCCAAAACCAAGTCGGATCTCCTTGTTCAAAAGGACCGATAGCATACTTTGAAGATTTCCTTGCTGGAAATTTGATGCTGGTTTTTCGTCAACCTCGGCCGAAAATGGTTCCGGGTTGAGTAGTTGTGTCACCAGATGCTCGCCATCGTGACAGTTCAGATTTCGGATCCGATCAACCGACAGTGAAAAGAGAATCAACACAAAAAGAACGATGGCTATTCTTGAGAACGCCTTAGAGATAGAAGGATGTGGTCGGTTCTGGAATATTGACAGCCCTTTTGAAGGAGTTGCTAGCACGGCCATCTTGCCAAATGAAGTACAAGCGGAAAACCTTTGTATTGTTTTGGTCCGGCGTGTTTACCGTGAGGTGGGAAAGAAAGGGCCACAAGAGGAAGAGAAAACAGCGACTGGACCTGCTCGACAGGAGAGGGGGCGCGGGTAAGGAAGAAAATCAGTCGCTCCAGGAACGAAGGGACAGCCATTCCATGCATGCCCCTCAAGTACTGGAACTCAGGCGTTGTCTTGTGGCTGAGAGGCGGGGTACGAGGTGAACAAAAGTAAATAGTCTGAGAATATTATGCATTCCTTGTGTCAACTTTGAGTCAGAATTCGACGCCTCGCGGAGATGGCTTATGCGGAAAGCAGATGGCTTGCGCGGAAACAAGACACGCAAGGGATATGGGTGTCTTACTCACGAAAACGCGAATGGTAATGTTCCCCTACCCGCAAGCTCAAGAACTTCGCATTCATAAGATTACTCGGATTAGCAAAAGGAGAATCTCGATCAAGCGTCACTGCAAGCAGTAGGTATCTCAGACACAGGCTGAATACATCAGCGAAGGGATGACATTTGGTTAGGAGGCTAGGTTTGGCACTGCAGCCGCGTGAGGTTTCGTTCACCCACATCTTGTTCGTCTGGCAGATTCAAACCGTTATCGAGCAACGCGCAATAGGGTGAATCGGTATGGAATTGTGCACGCAGCATAATACGTTTAGTTTGTGGCGTCGGCCTCTCCCCCAGGCACCTTCCTGCTCGCGCACAAGAAAGCTGCACTTTGTCCTCTTCTTACGAGCAGCGCCCGCACCATGAATATTCGGCCCGACCCGCTGTGCTTCCCCGTCGCCCGTTTTGTGGACGGGACAGTATGCCTTGGGTATCCCATGGTCTTGCGGTCGTTGATGAACACTCTCACGATGGCCTGCGCGAAAGTCTCGCCGATTGCTTTCACCTCCTTGCTTCTGTACTCCACATGCTAGGCATTCGTCTTCCATGTGATTTGTACCGGAATGCCTTGTTCAGGGAAGATTTAGAAACGAACCAATACGAGCTTTTGTGCAATTGAACCGTCTAAAGAGCTTTTGCATAGAATGCCGAAGGAGGGTGTGGGGAGGCAAGACCAGGTATAGCTTGGTGAGCAATGGAAAGACGCAGCCGATGTGTTGTCAAGTGCAAGTATGTCGCATAATCGATTCTCCATCATCCACATACTGCCTAAATACCATTATTTCAACCGACCCATACCATCTCAATGTCGCATAAATCCGTATACATCACAGAATGCTTAGCCAACGGCACAGGTATAACGATCGTCCTTACCCTGGCCGAGGATGGACACCACGTGTTTGCCAAGGCATGAGATCTCTGAGGAGTTGTTTATCTCACGCCAACATCCTCCTCCTCGACAACTCATTCACCCGGTCATCGCCATGCTGCACAAGTAGAGTGCTTCACAAGTAGAGTGCTCTCCTGATCCGAGCATGCATAGTCAAAGGGGACGCTCAAACCTTGTCTGAAGCCCTGCGGCTCGAGAGATCCCACCTCGGCGTCAGCGTTTTGATTATCATGGGCGGAATCATCGGAAACACACCTTTACCATGCCACAAAAGTGCAATGACGGATGAGATTGACGGCTTGGATTCAAAATTACCTGATCTATTCAACAAATTGCGAATACAATCCGTCTCCCTGCAAAAAATTCCTCGCAACAAGAAATTAAGGAAAAGCATGTATTAGGAAAGGGTATTTTACTTCTTTACCCTTCGCGTTGAGTATTATTCTGTCTTCCAATAGATGGCTGTAGTCTCAGGCTGGCACTGGCAACGATATTCACATGAAACCTCTCAATCACATCAAATGTGACGCTAATAACTGACTGCTGCACAAAGAAGGGATCGGAAAATTTATCTACTCACCGTCTATTGGTCAATCCCTTCCTGGCAAGCACATGCCAGAGCACTAACGCCCACTTCCTCATACATACCTGCTTCTGTGTGTAATTTACGCACTGCATCCTGGACGAACCTAATTCCTGCCATAGGAATTGCAGAGAATGTAGTTCAATTCACTTTCACGCCTGGATCTACCTCAGTGCCCGTATCCAGAAGAATTTGTTCGAAGGCATGAACGGCCAGATTGTTTGCATGTTTAGGCTTAATGAAGGGCTGGGTCGGATGAGCGTTTTCCCACAACGCCAGTGGAGGAAGAATAGAAGTGGGCAAAGGATGAACCCCTTCCGTTGCAGCTATGAGAATACACCACCGTTCAAGATCTTTGCCTCCTCTCACCGATCAAACTGCAACCCTCCGGGTATGTACGTCTACGGTGGAGCGGCAATAAATCACCACATGTTCAACGTGCAAGCGTAGCAGTGTTTCCTGCTGAGCAAGCGGCTTGCTGAAAGCCGGTTTTCATCGGGGCAAGTCATACGCAGCAGTCTGGTAAATGATTGCCCCTGTGATATCAGCTTGCATGACGCACAGAGGCAGAGACATCTTGCATTTCGAGGTCAACGTCTTACATTCGCCTGCTTAGGCCCGGAAAGACGGGTAGTAAGATTGGCGCAGTCGAATTAGTTAGGAAACAATCCCAATATCGGTTTCCGGTGTATCAACCCAGTTCGGAAATGCCCCATCATGGGAGGACATGGGTCACACATGGAATACGAGAAGGCAATTTCTGGTAGAGGCCATTCTCACGGCGAGCAAATGTCGTACTGTCCCGTGTTCCGTTTCGAACTCAGAATAGGGCGGCACCCACCCACAACCCCTTTGATTCTCGCTACGATGCAGATAAAGTGAGTCTTGGCTGAGCTCAACAAAGAGCCATCCGCGTTACCCCTGCTGCCAATGTTGTAGTACATCAAGGGACAGGTTGCAGCGCGGTACTGTGAAGATTCCATTGACGCTCGGCGGGTACAACAGTAGTGCTGATTCTGATTCTCGAGACCGGCCGGGTACGAGTTCTGGGCGGGCCAATGACGAATCGTGGCGGCTAACTGACGGCAGCGACACCAGCCACGATTTTGTACTTTTCGAGCCGCTTCCGTAGGCACTCAGCCAAGAAGTGACACCGTCGGAGGGCAGCGGCCAGGGGGCAGACACCGACAAACTGCTATGATTGCATGGTCGCCGACTGTATGAAAAGCCCACTAGTTCTAGTGAGAGCACCGGAGAAAATGTGACGACTTCGTCCCGCTCGGGACATTCGCCCTGGAGAACCGAGGCGCCAGACCTTCGTGACTGATGACCGACCAACTGACCGAGGCCGCACATCTCGTGTTCCGAGACAGACGCCGCTTGGGACTGGGGGCGTCGCGGTTCTCTCACGCGCTGAGGTCGTTTCTTCGGAATTTATCGCCACAGCCTGATATCGCGCTTCGACCGGTCCGCAAGTGCCAAAGCCTTCGCTGTGCCGTTGGCGAGCGTTGACGCCGCTTGCACGCGGTCGGCTCGCCCTTCCGGCTCAGTCTCGCTTTGGTTGTGCCAACAGGCACCCATGTACATGGGCCGCCCGCTCGACGGACATACCCGTGCTGGGTAAAGAAGCAACCACACCTCTTATCACTGGAGTCGATTTTCGATCATTCGAGTATCGCCATGATATAACCATTTCGTTGCAGGTGGTTCTGCGTGGGAATGTGCCGTAGGGCCAGGAACAACAAGAAGCCCCTGGCAGACACTGCCGAGGTTCTCCGAGATCCGGCCGACCCCAGAGAAAGGGACCGAGCTTGCCTGGTGCGTAGGTGGGCAGGACTACTGTGTAGTAGCAGAGCCAACGGAGATCCTCCGTAGATCGATGAAACGCCATCCAGAACCACAGTGGTTCACTGGCATCCGTCCGGCCGGTTGGACTGTCAAACGGAGGACCCCTGCGTTAGTTAAGACGACAGCTGCTGTTGAAGGATCGTCAACGGGGGACGCATACACGAGACGTCTGGAAGAGTGCCATGTCTCCGATACTCCGCGGGGATTCGCGCGCAAGTCAGCTTTCGGAGTTCATCCCACAGGACGCTTTATCCCGAGCACTCGTCCCGAGCACTCGTGATTCTCGTACGCTGACTTGGTACGAGGCACCTGGGCAATGCAGGGAGCGCATGGCAATGGGCAGGCAAGGCAGTCGGAGTCCCCAACGACGTGGGGAGGGAGGGCGGACCTAAGAATAACGGCTCGCAGACGCTGGTTCGGACGCATGCGACGATAATCAAAAGGCGGGGAGGATCGAGGATCGCGCGCACCACGCACACTCACTCACACATGCTCTCTCACACACGCGCTGCACAGCAACACACTGCACTGCACTGCACCGCACCGCACCGACCGGTGTGCCAACCAACGTTCGTCATACCTTGGTACCGATAGACAATGCCAGACAATACCAGACACACGGGACACTATAGACGCCCAATCACAAGCGTGAGGCTAGCTTAGACACTGCTGTCAATCAGTCAATCCAGACACAGAGCCAAAAACCAACGGATATCTACTATGGGCAGCTGTTCTCCGAAAGGGGCCAAGCGCGAATAGGCTGGAGGGGGAAAGCGACCATAACGGAGCGGGGCATTCCTTTCTTGTTAGTTCTGGCACTCGGACTACTCTATTGTGGCTCTGGGCTCCGGCTCGATTCTTCCTTTCATGTGGCAGCTGCTGCAGGGGCCGGGCGAGGGAAAAAGAGGCAGAGCTTGGCTAGGCTGTTTTCCTGGCGCTCCCTCTCCCCCAATGCAACGGTCTGGCGTCGGTTTCCAAGGTTGGCAGGTTGGCAGGTTGGCAGGTTGGCAGGTTGGCAGGAGGCGGCACAGACTGTCGTCGGCAAGTACGTAACTGCGCGGGCATGCACAGCAGGTGGTGCACGTCGACGGAGGGAGGGTGTCACAACATGGGGGCCAAGGACAAGAGGGAGGGCTAGAAGCACCGCGGCTGGGTAGTAGATGAGGTGACTGGTGAGACAACACGCCGGGTGCCCTCGGGCTGCCACAACAGATTGGCCGCCTCGGATATATAGGACAGAGGCAGGATGCGCATGTGCTTACCATCCAGGCGGGTCCTAGAAAGGACCTTTTGTTCCCCCCTCTTCCTGAGCGCTGGATACAGCTGCTGTCAGTCATCAGTCATGCAGTCAGTCTGCCTGTCTGTCTGTTGAATGTTTCATTCTGGTTTTGTGTCACCGCGGCGCATGCCTTGTTGCCACTTCCTCCTCTGGCCCCTTATAATACCAGATAACCTCCTGCTTGGATCGATTTCGCCATCGGCCGCAACCCCTTGACCTTAATGCTGCAACATTATAACATTACTCTCGAACGCTATCCTTTCTTGCCTGCTCGATATCATGTACGATTCGAGGAGATAGACCGAGATTGCCGTCGTGATACCCCGCAGTGCGCAGTGCAGCCGGCCGGACAACGGTCCATCGAGTGCACTGCAAGCCATCGCGGCCAACCTTGCAACCCTCGGACTGGAACCGTGGCATGGGCCCGTGGAGCATGAAGGTGTGAAAAGTGGGAGGATTCAAACCATCAACAAACTGGCCCGGCTTGGATGGACATGAGGACATCCGGTCATGGATCCGAAACCTACAGCCCTGAACCTGAGTCTGAATATATGCAACAACCCTGAGGGATATACGGATCAGCAGCAGGCCTCCACACCCGAAATCGATCAGGCCCAATTGCATCATCTGCCATCGTCTCGTCATTTTCCTTGCCGTCCGTCATCCAGCCACCAACACCTCGAGAGGGAGAAAGGCGCATTGCACGGTTCATCACGTGGCCACCAGGTCCCAAGGGCGAACAGGGAAGAGATTGCCGACGACGCTGTGAAGGGCCTGAGAAAAAAAAGAGGCCAGTCCAGCCTGCCACTCACTGGCAGCCTGCAAGGAACGATAGCCGATTGATCACCAAAGTGACACCACTCAGGCTATAGGGGTCCCACCCCGGGGAGGCAGCCCGGAGTCCAATTTTGGGACCTGACGGCCTGCAGACCGGGACAGGGCACCGACGCCTTTTTTTTTGTTGCTGACGGGAGGCAGGGAGGGAAACAGCCGAGGGGAGGGGAGGGGGCTGCATGAATCGCAAATCATCCTTGACTTGCACGCGAGCAAGCAGGCACGCCCGTACGACTGACAAGAAAGACAGGCAAGAGCGGCCAACAGACGGAGTGCACCTGCTGCAGCAGCAGAGTTCGACAGCGACCGAGATACACGCGCAAAAAAACAAGGCAAAAAAAGGCATACGAACAATCACGGTCACAGGCACAAGCACGGGCGCAGGATTGGAGGAATCGGATCAAAGAACAATCAAATTGCCTGACTGAGTTGACTGCATTGAGTGTGCCCACCACCGCTCGGTCACACAACAAGAAGACGGGCAGCACGTGGGATTATCCTCGTCGACTACCAAAGCGACTCCCCCTCGACCCACGGGCCTCGTCGGGGCAAGCGGACGACCACTTCCCAGCCCAATCAGGCTGCCCAGACGGGCTGGACGGGTACAGAAATCTCCAGGCGCGAAGACCTTGACTGTGGGGACCATTGACTGATTTGAATATCTGGGAGGTGTGGGGCGACCGCCAGGGCGCCTGGGAGTGCAGTCGAGGGGAGAAAGATAGGGTGAGAAAGAGGAGGGGTCTGCTGCAAGTGGTACCACCCATCGGCGCATCTGATCCTCTAAGCACAAAGAAGCTTAAGCCGGGCGGCCGGGGCAAGGTTTGAGGTTCGAGAAGGAGGGAGAGATAGTAGTGTGCGTTACAAGAGAGATGGAATACGCTTGGGGCATTGCAGCCAGCAAGACGCCGTTTCCGGCCGAGTTTGCATCGGCGGCGAGGTCAAAGCCCAAGGCTATTTCCACGTCGCAGCCGCAGCCGCCGCCAGAGACGATCACGACCACGCCCACGACCACCTCAACCTCACCCGCAAACCCCTCGACAAAGGCCCAGCCAGCCAGCCCGCCGCTGCCGTCGCCCAGCTCCACCAGGACGAGCCGTCTGCGGATTCCTGGACACTCCAGGCCGCCCCTCACCCACGCCAACCAGGCCGAGCCGCGCAGCCGCAGCCCCAGGTCCAGGTCCAATTCCAGTTCCAGTTCCAGGTTCAGGTCCAGGTCCAGGGATCAGGGCTGCGCCGCGGCATTGATGAGTCCGGACAGCTCGCGGTCGCCAGGCCTCCTCCCACACGAGCTGCTCTTGCGTGTCTCGTCACAGCCTGCCCCGTCCGCCCCGTCTGCACTGACACACGACGACCGACGACGCCCCGCCAGTGCAACCATTGCCAGCCACCTCCACCGGAGTCGCAGCCGAAGTGGTCGCAGCAACAGCAGCAGTGCTACTACTGTTACCACCACCACCAACACCGCCAGCGGCAGGCCAGATCGAGACGCCGCCCAGCCCAGGGCCCAGCAGAGACCCGCTTCTACTTCGGCGGCTGTTGGCAGTCGCAGTGGGACGGCCACCTCCAGGGCCTCGTCTCTGACTGCTCCTGCTACTGCTACTGCTCCAGCTGCTGCCGCTACTGCTACTTTCCAGGACAAGCAGCTGCCCGCCCTGCCGACCGAGGCCGCCCCCTCGTCCTCAGCATCATCCCCCCGGCGAGCGCCAGAGAAGGCCAGTGATGCGATTGACGGATATGATGACAGCGTCTCCACGTCCTACCCGGGGCCTCTAATGAGCCGTGCTTCCTCCACCCTGTCATACGCAGACGGAGCATCCTACCGGGACTGGCAGGGGGACCACAACTCTGCCGTCTCGGCTACGGCTCCTCTTCTGTCAGCAGCGGCAACGTCAGGCCCTTCATCGCAGCATCGCAGACCCCCCTCCTTGAAGCCCAGCTCCACCGCGGTGTGCGACGCTTCCAAGAAATCCAGGAGCCCCCTTTCCTTCTCCCGGAGCCGCGCACAACACCAGCTCTCCCCTCAACACCACCACCACAACCACCACCAAACCGCCACCCCCGAAAGCGGTGCCAGCCACAGACTGGTGCACAACCACGAGCTGAGCCGCAACCCGCCGAGCACCCACTGGGCCAATGCGGCATCTTCCTCGGCCCCGACCTCGACCCCCTCCGCGAATGACCCCCCTGCCCGCAAGCGTGACCGGAGACAGTCTAATCATGCCACCATGGTCGGCACTGAGAGCATCATCTCCTCTCGCACCGAAAGCGTGGCCGAGTCCGTCGGCGGCCGCACAATAATGTCCAGCGAGCCGCCCTACAGGGAGGGAGACGGCTCGTCCACCGGGTCGCTCCCCCGGCCGAGCAGACCCTTCGTCACCAAGAGCAATGGCCGCACCTACCTCGCCGACCCGACCCTGGCCTACCCCCTGCCCGTCGACCTCCACGAGCTGCACCGCCAGTCCCTCCGGACCCTCCTCCTCTTCCAGCTCTTCGGCGGCCCGCTGTGCTCGCCCTTCTTCAACAACAAGCCGCCCACGCGCGTCCTCGACGTGGGCTGCGCCTACGGCTTCTGGAGCATGATGTGCCACTCCTACTACTCGCGCAAGGGCTTCCCCAACGTCCACTTCACCGGCCTCGACATCGCCGCCCTGGGCGGCATCGCCGGCATGCCGCAAGTGACGGGTCCCCCCGGGGGCCCAAAAGATCGCGTGTCCTCGACCTCGACCTCGTCGTCCGCCTCCGCCAGCCACTGGGCCGAGCAGCCACCCGACAAGAACATGAGGTGGAATTTTGTGCAGCATGATCTGCGGATACTGCCGCTCCCCTTTGGTGAGGAGGAGTTCGACGTCATCGTGTTCAAGGACATGTCCATGTCCGTGCACACGGATCACTTGCCGCTCATCATCGATGATTTCATGCGCATCCTGAAGCCCGGCGGCGCCCTCGAGGTCTGGGAGTGCGACCATCCCATTCGCATGCTCCGCCCCCACGTGCCCGACACGCCCGCCACGGGGCCCGGCGCCGCACCGCCCCCGACGCCCAGCACAGAAGACAGCGCGGCCTCGGCGCCTTCAACCGACGGGAAAGCTGCGGACAAAGCCGCTGCCGAAGACGCCAGCACCCCGACGACCCCCGCAACACCAGCCACCACCCACCACGGGAGCAGCAAGAAGGTCGACTACGAGAAGGAGGTTGCGGAGCTGGGCGCGTACGTGATCAACAACAACACGCCGCTGTCGGGTCCGCAGAACAACTACCTGATCGAGTACAACGGGTGGGTGAGCAAGTACATGGACGCGCACAGGCTACTTACTTTCCCGTGCGCCCAAGTCAGCGCCCTCATGATCCAGGAGCAGCTTCTGACCAACCGCGGCTCGAAGCGCTTAGCCATCCCGCTGTCCGAGGTCCGCTGGGAGCGCGAGGGCGTGGGCGGCGTCGTCACGAAGGACGGCAAGAGCTACATCGACACGAGCAAGGCCATCGGCAAGGCCGCCGCCGCCGCCGCCGCCATAATGGGCGGAGGCAGCGGGAGCGGCAGCGGCGGTGGCAAGCGCGGGTCCAGCGCGGCCGGCGGCGACGGGGACGACGGCGGCGGCGGCAGCAAGAAGGGCAAGGCGCTCAGCCCGGGCCAGCTCGCGCTGCGGCAGACGGCGCTGCAGACGGTGGTGCAGCTCATCGAGGGCCTGGAGCCGGCGCTGCGCGAGATGAGCGGCAAGAAGCCCGACGAGTGGGACACGTGGATGGGCAAGCTCATGAAGGAGCTCCTGGAGCGCGACGGCACCAGCTGCGGCGAGTGCCTCGAGGTCGGCGCCTGGTGGGCGCGCAAGAGGCAGGACCCTCCTCCTTGAGGCGGGGCTTTGATCTATTCATAATTGGGGAACGGGGAGGTGGTGGAATTTCTCTTTCTCCTTCTCATTCCTCTCCTTCTCAGTTGAGAAGGGAGGACGGATGGAGAAGTGGAAGATTATAAGAAAGATTGCCTGTGGTGTGTCTTTGTGGGCGGGCTTTTTCGATTCATTTTTTGGGACGTCGTGGTGTCTTTTTTTTGCTTTTTTCCCATCCACCCGCCACTGTTGGGAAATAAACACATATGCGCGAGCTCATCATCTATCTATTATTACTTATCCACCCTGCATTACCTCACCCTCGCGGCTGCACCAGTTCGACGCCCACACTTGGAAGTAGCTATACTGCTTCCCGAATCAAGAAGGCCCACCCCACCACTCGCCTACGCGCCCCCCCCCCCCCCCGATTGCCCACGCGGCACCAGTCCGAAGCTCGATCACGCCTCGCCGTATCGCTTCCTCAGTGTCCGATACCGTTTGAGGTAGTACCTATATATCACCAAATGAATCACGGCAGCGGTCAGCGCATCTTTCTACTACGTGCTCGTCACATTTGATACCTTGTTCTTGAACAACTAGAAGGGAGTGAGAGGAAGGCAGGAGACTGAAAGCAAGGGGAGAGGGGGAGGGTTTGGGTCTGTTTCAGTCTGGCCCGGCCGCTTGGCCACGTCGTGTAGGCGGCTTTTTTCGTATTTGCGTGTGTTATTTGCATGTGGGTTGAGCAGGGCGGTAATCCCCTGCCCTGCCGGTTGAACATGTATCCAGAGAGAGAAACATTGTGCATTGTCTGTGTTGATGGCCGAGAAGACAGGACGAACTGGCATGCCACAGCGGCGGTATTATGGGGGCCGACGCATGCTTGAATGCATGCACGCTTGTACGTATATAAAAAAAATGTGTGTGCATATGTACGTTCGTCCACATCGAGACACTGGGGAGGGTGTGGGTTGTATGTATGCACAATGTGATCTGCCGGTCCCAGGTGGGAGTAAAGATCCAGATCTTGCATTCCAGCCTTGTCCTTGCTATCCTGCATGCATGCATGTTTGCGTTGCATTGCGCCGCGTGTGCGTCGTGGTGCGGGTCGAGCAAGATGTGACCCGCGGCGTTTAATTGTGACGGATCGACATTTCGAGCCGCCGGGTGTCACGCATCACCTGACGCGAGGGGGGGATCTTCGTTCGCGGCTCTTGCCCTGGCACTTGCCGCAAAGGGGTATCGGCCCCTGTATGGTGTGTGTGTGTGTGTGTTCGTGTTTTCGGCTTGGGGGGTGCGGGAAGGTGGGATGAAGGTCGTGCGGTTCGAGGGGTTGGTTTCCCTGGAAGATGGGACGGACGGAGACGGATTGGCAGATGGACGAAACTCACAGCGCCTCGATCTCTGTACATACAATGTCAGCCGCTGTGTTGACTCCGTACCGTCTACATCGAGGCCGGGCCCTTGCCTACCTTTACGCACGAAATCTGCCCTCTTGATGCCGTCCTTTATCTTTTCCTCGTCGCGCAGGCCGGCGTTGGCCATGAAGGCCCTGTGCAGGCGCGGCCGGAAGAATTGGTAGCCCGAGGGGTAGTCACGGCCGAGGTAGAGTAGTTCTGCGTTGGATGTTGCGAGGTTAGGCTGATTCTTTTCTCTGCGTTTATGCAGAGCAATGTAGCTGGTGATCCAAGGTGGGCGGAAGGAGAAGGTGGGAGGTTGTGGGTGATTGAGATCCAGGTAGGTAGGGTACGGCAGATGGGCGGAGAAAGGGTGTGTGCGCACGCTTGTAGATGGCAATGACTTGCTTCCTCAGCTCTGGGTTGATGGGAGCCGACATTTTCTGTCTCGATTGGCTTCGAGAGGGGGCATTGTTGGCCTGGCAGTTCGTTTGTCGCTGGACAGCAATGCTTCTCGCATGTGTTGCAAGGACAGCATCATGCACCGAGTGCACCACTCCCGAGGTCGAGGAAGCGGAGCCGACCTCGGCCATGGCCATGACGTAGATCTTATCTTATCGGCCAACAGGGGCCGCGGTCTACCGTTTCCCCCTCCACTCAAGCACGCCTTGTGGTCGACACGAAGCCCGGGCATTGCGTTTTCCAATTGCCTCAATTGACTAGGACTACATGTTTTTGGGCTATCATTGTCTTCTGCCCATTGAGTTCGGCCCCCTGGTGCAGCTGCCACAGCCATTTTCGATGTCTTTATAGCACGACATAATTCCCTGTCACCATGGTTCCCCGACCTCGCCTCCGCCCGCTGTCCACCATCAGCCGAGGCTGGCAGTGCCCAGCTCTTACCCCAGCTCTACCACACAAGCTCGCCCGCCCATTGTCAACCTCGTCCACAGCCCCCGCCGATGCGATCCCAGACCCGCCTCCGCAGCGGTGGCTCTCCGACCTCCACGCCCGCCTGGGCAAGTGCATAATGTTCGGCTGCTCGCCGGCGCAGGTCACACGGGCAGGCGGCATCCTAAATGCCCTGGCAGCAGAATGGAGGCGGCTCAGCGCCGGCAGCGAGGGCTTCCTGACGGGCGGGCGGCCCGGGCTCGAGGGCCAGCAGGTCGTGTGGGGCGAGCAGGACAGCTTCCGGCACGTCAACAACGTGCAGTACGTGCGCTGGGCCGAGTCGTCGCGCGTCAACTGGGCCACCAACTTCGCCGCCCGCGCCGGGGACCCGGCCCGCGCGCGGCAGTGGGCCGAGCTCATGACGCCGCGCTCCGTGGGGCTGATCCTCAAGAGCATCCGCGTCGACTACAAGTTCCCCATGACCTACCCGGACCGCGTGTCCGTCTACCACCGGCTGCGGTACGCGCCTTCCTCACAGCCCTCGCCCTCGTCGCTCGTCCTCGACGCCGTCGTCTTCTCGCACAGGCACCGCCGCGTCTCGGCCAGGGTCGAGGAGGATGTTGTCATCTATGACTACCGCGCGGCCAGGAAGACGGAGATGCCGGCATTCATGCGCGATGTCCTGGAGGATACGTTTGAGCAGCAGCAGGCGGAGAAGGTGCGTGCCAGGAGGCGCATATGGGAACTAATAGGGGACGTTGAGGGCCTGGAGAAGGAGACGTGGGACCGACCTGACGCAGTCGAGGACATCGGGGGCGCCGCGAGGGCCAAGTGAGAGCTGAATGAGAGGCTGGCATCATGAGGCCGTGGCTGAAGAGGTGTCGTGAGCGTGTGTCTGCCTGCACAAGCTCTGTGCCACGCGAACGGTGACTCACGCCTTGGGTTCCTTTGTATATTCGCTCCATGGCCTCCGCTCCGTGCATCCCGCTCGTGGAACCCGTGGGAATAATGGCGGATTTAGGGCGAGCCCTGCCGTAATTACATACATACCTTCTTGAGCCTCATCATGCGGATCCGCTCCGCGCTCACCAGGCTGACGGGCGCACGACAGCCGCATGACGACGCCTGCAAGCCATCTGCCGGAGGTTGGGCCGAGTAGGGCTGGCTCAAAGATCTCACCCACCGCCTCTGACCGTCTCCGAATTGCCGTACATACCGGCTTACTGTCAAACCTTTCTTTTCCTCTCTCCCCCCTTGGGATGTGCGTCGCTGGCGGCCGCTGACTACTTACACCTGCGGCATAAGCCTCCGCCCTCCACGTGTAACCAGCCACGAGTTGTTGGAATCTAATCTCACCTTACTCCTCCAGCGCCGGGATGGCGTCCAATCGAGCTTCGCAGACGGCTTGGCCCGCTGGGGGCGGTGGGTGACAGCCAGCGTAGCGCGGGCTCGGAATGCCGCTTGGTTCTCCAGCTCTCCAGCGCGGGACCCCTGAGTGGGCTTGGGTAACCCTGGACTGGCAAGCTTTCCTCCACGCTTTTTTGCTGTGCACAGTTCGTAGGATGGGGGTTTGGGGTTGCACATGGCGGACCACAGATGGTTTTCCATTGCCGTGGACGCATCTGGAATCCTGGAATTGAGTTCTGCGTGGGTCAAATCATCAAAGGTGTTGGGCATGCCTTCCACCACACCATCTTCGTCGGGATGACCTTGGATCGCCATGGGTTCTTTTGTTTTCGGTGTTGTGTCGAGATCCTATCAAATCGTGAGCCATCCTCAGAGTGCCTGAAAGTAGCGGACGGAGAGAGTGTGTGGCTGCCGAGACCCGACCGATTTGCAGTGGCAGTCACACTCCATGGTTGACATCCCGCCGGAGTCCCTGTATGAACTGGACAGTAAGAGTGCTGGCCGGAACTGTTAAGCAATATGACGAAATTATCGGCTGGTTTCTCCCCGGCAAGTTCATAAATAGATTACTATGTGGACATGGTCAGAAGACGCATCTAACTGTTTCGTATCCGTTCCCTATCACGTACCTAGGATTGCTGGCTCGGGCTGCTCACTGTCTAGTTGCTCACTGTCTTGGGGCATCCTTTCGTATTTGCTGCGGATTCCACCTCAACGCCGGGTCCAGGTGAGCATGCCAGTGATCCGGTCTTATCCTCTCAAACCGAGCGAGACCAAAGCTTCTCTGTCATCATCCTCGTCAGCTCCGCCGACTAATGTTCGCTTACTCGTGTGGGTAGAAATACGTACTCTTTACTTACCCAACCGGATTTCGGCAAGTGCAGCAGTGGTGAAAATGCAGTTCAGAGTTGCAATAATTGGGAATTGGGAAAAGAGCATTGGTCTCTTCTTGGTCATGCTTTAGATATTCACCGCTCTTGTAAAGTTTAGTTGTTCTCTCTTTCGCTGTGTTGCAGGATCGCTGAATCCCGAGTTATCGACGGGTAGGTGCGCCGGGCCTTACTAACGAATTACCCCGTACGTAGGGCAGTGGTTGATGCTGAGGCAACTTTAGTGATCTGACCGCGCTCCTGTATGCGCACGTGGGCATCACGGAGGCACGTGGGAATTTCAAATGGCGAGCGCCACAGTCTTGGGCAGTGATGGAATAATAATTACAAGAAGGAGAGGTGTGGCACCTGCCCAATTCTAAATTCTCACAAATACGGGCTCGCCGGGGATCTGTCGGCTGTTTTTCGCTTTGTCAGTCATCGAGAGCTGATTCACCGCTCGTAAGCACACGCAGCCCAGAAAACCAGATCTCGCTTGCGTGGTTATGCTGGGCGTGGGCTAGCTGGGCGAGCCGGGCAATAGGCTACCTAATCAGCCCCCCTTTCCCGCCCGATCCAACCCTGCCGGGCTTTGGATACGTCCTGCATGCATGCATGCGTTTTCAAATCCCATTCGATCACTTGCACCAAGCCATCCCGGGGCGCGCTGGACGCGATGGCGGACACCCGGGAAAAACGACATCTACGTCATTGAGGATGAGTCCTTTGGCGGATTACTTATCACCGGCTCGCTCGCTGGTGAGATTGAAACGTGGGCAGGGGTCACATGGAATGGGCGCGCCTGGAGGCTGAGCTCTCTTGTTTTGGGTTACTCATGCTAGGGCAACCGTTGACGCCGCGGAAGAAGGGAGATGGCTTTTCCAACTCCGTACCATAAGGTGACTGTCATCCACCCGTAATCTGGACTCGGCCGCATCACGGCGTTTGGAAGCTCTATTTTCGGGTCCACGGCAGATCGCCTTTCCCGAAGTCAAAGCCCTTTCCAGCCCAACACTGCATCGTAAGCAGCGGCATCGTGGTGGTCCGTAGACATAGGACGGGCCTGCTTGGAAGCTTCTGCGCCCTTCCAGGTGGACGGTAAGATGTGAACAGCTGTGCGACGGTCGAAAGTGGTAACTTGATGACTGTTTACACCGGCTTCGTATAAATGTGTACGCCTTCGTTTGTAAACGAGGATGAGCTCAGGTAATGTTCCACGACAAGTCATCTGCAGCACCAGCCCTATAGAATACCGCACCTGAAACATAATTGGACGGACGAGACCGCCTTGACTAACACATCGACATGCCCTCGACAAAGTATGGCAGTGGGTCTGGCGGCGGCAGTGACCCCTTCAAGAACAGCACCTCCGGGTCCATGTCCAAGAAACTAAAGGAACCCAAAAAGAAGAGGGGCGACTCCAAAAACAAAGAGGAGGAGCACGCATCAGTGAGTCAACTCGATACGCTAAACAAAATCATAGGCCATGACGGAGTGACATAGGATACTAACAAGCAGCCACAGAGACGCCGAACACAAAACCGCGCCTCCCAAAGGGCATACAGGGAGCGCCGGGAGAACCGCCTCCAGGAGCTCGAGGCCCAGGTCCAGGAGGCGGAGATGCTCAACCAGACCCTCACGGCCGCCTACTCGGAGCTCCGGGCCGAGATGGACAGCCTCCAGGCCGAGAAGGCGCAGGAGCAGTACTACGCCAGCATGGCGGCCGCGCAGGCGGGGCCCTCGTCCTATGACGCCTCGTACGGGACCCCGGCCTCCGGCGGCGGATCCGCAGGTTATGGGCAGCAGGCGGACCCGAGCTTGTGGGCCTATGATAGTAATTGGGTTCCTGAGGAGTGGGATGATGGGGGCAACGGGGGACAGCAGTACTGATGAAGTGACTGGGGGCTTCGATGGTTTGGGGACGGGCAGGGCCGCTTGATTGGGCTCGACTCGGCGAGTGTATGATTAGATTAGAACTTTAGACTTGATACCAAGGGCAGCTAGAATCTAGAACAGGTGTTTGTGTACATCTGCTTACTACGAGCCGCACTTGCCATGAACACCGAGCAAATGCTGCTGTTCTCCGGAAGTCTTCACTAATAGTTTGCGTCTATGAAACCCTTACAGTCTGTACGGAACGAACATGTCCCTTAGCAGCTGAGACAGGTTATGACTCCATAAGTGTCGACTTTCGATGATCTGTCCGTGAAAAAGACGAGCAACTGTGTAGTAAATTCCTCTGTACCCACTTACCCGTAACACACACACACACAAGCTGCCGGAAAAGTCAGCTCCGTGCTATCCCATCTTCCGAAGGTGACGGAATCATACGTTACCTTGATAGCTATACTTTTTCTCATAGTAATTTACTCCGTTTATTTTGAGCCGTGCCAATTACGAAGCACGGATTACGACATACGAGGTACAAGATACGAAGTCGGTCAATTAAGAGCTGGCTCGGCTTCACACGTTGGAATAAGACATGAGATGTCCTATCCTCTTTCCCTTCGTATAATATTTTCTTGTCCGCCGACTCTCAAGTGGTCCAGGTACAACATGAGACCTCAACGGAATTCCAGCTCAGTCTTATAAATTTAGCGCCCGTAGCTCATTACAATCCCGATTGTAAGCACACATGACTCCTTTTGAGATGCACAGAACCGACTACCCTAAGTCTCTTGCATCAGAAGCCGTGGGACGATTAATATTTTGTTTTCATTTTTTTTTGTCAAAGTTGCGGAGTTCCTATCCGAAACTGCGTGATCGCTATTGTTCACCGCCGCTTATAGTCAGGGGGGATCTATTTACAGCACTGCCTGGCCCGCATTTTTGTGAAGGATTCAAGATACCCACCCAAGGAATCCGGGGTTGTTCAAGGCAACGCTCTGCTGACCGGCATTCCTAGGCAAGAGAAAGTTTTTAAAAGCTTGATAGATCAACATCAAGAATACTTGATGGCATATCTGAGCGATAGTTATTTTCAATTGGCTCAATTGGTAGTGGTTCCAGACCTAGATCTCATACATGTGTCAGGTGCACAGAACCTCACTTGGCATGGGACTTGCAGGACGACGTTGATGCATAGGATGGATGCATCGTCAGATATATCATATTTCAAAAGTCACGAAACAAGATTTGATGTCTGCTATGTTGTGGCCATATCTCAATTTGCCCGATTTTCCCTGTTACTCCTACATTTGTGGCCTGTTCTCTCTAACTCTGCCCCTTATAGAGGTCATAGCGGCCACTGCGCCAAATGCTCGCAGGATCAGTGCAAAAGGCCCGTGACGCAAGACCCTAGCCAGACAGGATTCCAGGCTGAAAAGATCGATGAAATTGGCAAGAGCCAACTAACTAGATGAGCCGCCTAGAATGTGCACCCAATCTCTGCCGGCATTTCTAGAAGCCCTGGACCCGGGGAGCAGCCGAGTAAGAAGATCTTCGCGAGGCGCGGGACGAAGGATCCAGACTGGGGGGGCTTGTGCAACAGGGGTTTTAGGCAGACCAATTTCCACAGGTGTCATTCGAGACCGTGTTGACAAAGTGGATTTCAGCTGAAGGCGATCCTTTCAATGCATTCCGAACTTTAGTTGAGGCCCGTCCGGACTTTTTTTCAAACCCACCTCAAGCTTTTGTCTTTCTCACACATACGACCAAGCACCACGGGGCATAAATTTTTAAAGTCTAGAAATTCGAAAATGGACAACACCAAGCCCGAGGCGCAGCAACAGCCACTCTCAGAGACCGAGATCACATCGGACTCATCAGCATCACCACCACCACAACAGCCAGATATTTCACCTGGCGTTTTTCCTTCCCCACTGCAGACCTCAGTCTCATCAGAAACACGCTCGCGGCCACGGACAGGCAGCTCACCACCAAGAAGACCCGAGGCTGAGACACTCCCGGCAGATTCATCGCGCCACGAGCGCATGCCCTCAGTGAACTCTTTACCACCCAAGGAAGGGCAGTTTGGCGTCGTATCAAGCAGCGGACAACTCGTGTGCGAGTTCAGGCCACAGCCTGGCGGGGAGGGAGGAGCCCCGAGGCCACAGCAGGCACCAGAACAACAAATCACAAGGGCCTCGTTCGCGGCATATTCAGAGCAGAACCCACCGGCGATATTGTCATTATCACCGCCCCCAGAGGTCAACGCCCTGTTCAGCCCTCCCGCCGGCCCGACGGTGAGCACGTTAGAGCTCGCGGTGGACTACAGCAGCTACCCAGAGGTGTACATCCCGGAAGCAGACCAGCGGCAGCAACAAGAGGGGGAGCAGCGACCAGACCTGCCGCCGCGCAAGGCCACCGCCAGCCCCCCGGTCCGGCGCAAGTCCCTCCCCATGGACTACCCCAGCAGCGAGTCCTCCCCGCCCCCGCCGGCGCCGGCGTACTCGACGCCCGCGGACTACCAGCGGATCGGGTACGCGGGGACGCTCGACATGTCGACGGCCGTGGCGACCGTGACGCCGCTGCACATGCTCGGGGACCAGCCGGACACGGTGGACTGCCCCTTCTGCATGAGGCGCGTGGAGACGTCCGTGAAGAAGAGGGCCTCGAGCAGGACACAGTGAGTTTTCCCTTCCCCGTCCGAAGCTTCTCCTCCTGGAACAGCTTGTGAAGGAGGAGTTGTGGCATTGTACTTAAGCGGAGGCTAACCCTTGAATTCTAGCACGTGGGGCGCTATCCTGTTCTTCAGCACCCTCTTCGGCGTGGTGGCGCCGTACTGCTGCGACTGGTACGTCAACGTCGAGCACTACTGCAAGAACTGCAGGCGGAAGGTGGCGCAGAAGAAGTTCGACAGCACCGAGACCGAGGCGCTCGGGACGCGGCCCGAGCACAGACAAGTGTCGTATTTTCAGCCAGCCGAGAAGCCGGAGAAGAAGAAGATGTTTCGGTCATGAGTCGGAGAAGGGACGAGGTGGGGGATTCCAGTGGCAGGCCAAAGATGGGGATGAAACGGTCGGATTGACATCATTAATTGTGAGCTTGTCGATAACTTTTCGATTTCGCTACAAGCAAATTTTGAAGAGCTAGATCATGTACATTCTACATACTACATACCCCGAGAAATTTTACTCGCCACCATGCTCAAAGTCGAGCCATCCAAACTGCACGTCCTCGCTCAGCAGCGTCCTCATCTCGGCCTCGAAAAGCTCGTTCGACATGGCGTCTGCGTCTGCACTGGGGACCTGAGCAACGTCACCACTGCCCCAGAAAGACGCGGTAGTAGCCTCGTCCGGCCCCTTTGTTCCACTATCCAATGACGCCGTGAGCCTCGGGTCGATGATAGACTCATCGAGAGCAGCCGAGGGGGTTGCTTCCTTGAATGTCACCCCTCGTGACTGCGCCGGTTTGCTGTCCGGCCGAGCAGAGTACCCAGACCTCATTGACGTACCACAAGACGTGGGCGGCGAGTCCCCGGAGGAGCTCCCGCTCTGGCTACTCCCGGACCCGGAGGCGCCAGATGATGACGACAGCGGGCTCGCGATCTGCTGCAGGCCCTGCTGCCACCTCGTGCTTGTGGGCCACGCCCGGTGCAGGTCACCCAGGACCTGCAGGCACCGCAGGGAGATGGCCTCTGCGTCGCCGGCCACGCGCGGGCACAGCTGCGGGTACCGCCACAGGTACGAGGCGAGCGACCCGCAGATGTAGACGCAGAAGACCAGGATCGCCGGGAAGCCCTCACCGTGTGCGCCACCGCGGGTGCTAGTCATACGCAAGGCCGCGAAGGCGTCGATCTGCTCGTGCAGCTCGACCACGCCCGCAAACAGCTCGTCCGACATGGCGCGCCAGAATCCGTCGGGCGCGCCGCCATTGGCTGTCATCTTGCTGCCGGGGGAGACCGCCGTGGTGTCTGCACCGCCGGTGCTGCTGCGATTGCTGTTGGCGCTGAGCAGGATTTCGTCGAGGTAGATGCGCCGCTCGACAATGTTGCTGACGCGTAGGACCATGACCACGGCTAAGTATGCCAGGTGCAAGCCCTCGGAGCGCCATCCGCGCAGGTTCCAGGTCGACCAGCGGTGTCGCTCGGGCATTTCGGCCTCAAAGCGGCGCAGCTCCTGAGTCAGCACCTGGTACTCGCTACCGGGCTCCCAGGGTTCCGTGCCGTGCGTCTTGAGGTCGGACCGGCATGCGCGCCGGGCCACCTGGCCCCAGAGGTTGTGCGACTGGATCAGGGTGGCGAAGAGGCAGCGGTCCGGGGAGCGTGCGGACTCAGGCTGGAGCTGGGCGGGGAGGGTGCCAGGGAGTACGGAGCGCGGCGTCGGGTTGACGCCGAAGGCGAAGTCGTGCTCGTCGCACGGAAGGCGGGCGGTTATGTCCTCGAGGGGGAAGGGTGCCGGCGAGCTGTAGCCGGCGTGGAGGTTCTCCTGGCTGTGGATCATCCAGAATGTCCTCCGGGCTGACTCTGCACGGATGACCTGCTCGGCAGGGGCACCAGGAGGCAGAAGGTATGACTCCTCTCGGTGGAGCTTGAGGATGGAGGCCATCCTGACGGCGACGCCCATGTTGACGGAGCTGCGGTCCTTGTCGCCGTTGCCCCACTCGGCGATGGCCAGGAGGAAGAAAGCTTGCGTTCGCTCGAGCGAGGGCTCGTACATCTCGGAGGGCACCATCATCCTCGCCAGCCTGAGGAAGTTTTCGGTCGCCCGCTCTGAGCTGCCATACTTCTGGACCAGGACGGGCGTGAATCTGGCTGATATGCCGAGTATGCAGCTCAGCAGGAAGGGGCTGATTGAGCTAGCATTCCGGGAGATGGCCTCGATGAAGATTGCTTTGGGGAGAAAACCGAGCTGGAAGTAGGAGGTGACGAAGGAGCGGCAGCCTGCCACGATCTCTTCGTGCGAGGGGAAATAGGGACTCGACGACGACGACGGGCTCACAGACGACCCTTGGCGCCGGCGGCTCATGCTTGCGTATGAAGAAGGGTTTGAGAAACGTGGTGTGGTGGTGTTGAAAGAGGATGTGTGGTGGTGACTGCTGGGGCCAAATGGAGTTGTTGGGCCCGGTCCGAAGATGGGGGAGTCGACGGGCATCGACAGTCCCGCGGGAAGTGGCTGAACAGCAGGAGCTGACAAGTTGAGGGCGGCGGGAGTCCCTTGGGAGGTGGTTGACGACGATATACTCAACCTATGGGCAGGTTGCCTCCGTCGAAAGTCCCTGTCGACGTCCTTCTCCCCCCTCCTGGGAAAGGAGCACTCTGAGGCCGTCTGGGGGCCGGCAGCACGGCATGCGTCGCAGGGCGGGTTGCTCTCCGGGCCGTGGAGACACTTGGTCCGTAGCCTTCGGCACCGGCGACAGGCTACTGTTCCTCGGCGTCGGGGCGGAGGGGGTGTCTTGTGGTCGTCTGCCGCGCTCTTGGGGGTGGGAGGCGACTGGTGGGAGGGAGAAGGGGACGGGATTGGGTTTGCGACGAGTATGCTGCTGCCGCACAGCTCGGCGGACGACTCTCGCTCCCCCTTCATGACTGATGACTGGGTGACTGAGGACTGACGGGGAGACGGGGTAAGCTGGCTGGCTGGCCAACTGACTCGGTGCTCAACTCAAGTGTCACGGGGGGTGAAGAGGGAGGAAGGAGATCAAATCAGACAGGACTGAGAGGGATCGCCAGCAGAGAGCATCAGATGGAGGCTGGGTCGGGACACAAACGCATCACAACGCAACGCAACGCAACACAGCACAACCATCGGGAGACTCTTGACTCTGGGGGAAAGGGATCGTGAGGATGAGGGGATGGATAGAGAGTCAGACAAACAGACAATAGACAAAAGAGCAGACAAACCTCGATCTACCTCAGAGGGGGCACATCATGGGGATAAGAGTGACTCGAGCCACCCGCCCTCGGCCACCTCTCGCAGCGCTGGGGCTGGGCTGGACTGGCATTGCTCGCTCACAGTCGGCATGACACCGGACCGGAAGTGGAAGTTCGGGGGTTGATAGGCGGTCGCGCAGCAGTCGCGATAATGGGGGCACCGTACATTTTTGCGGGGCCCATCCGGGAAGGTTCATGCGGTCTCCAGTCGCCCCTTCCTAGTCGCTGGGCCAAGGTCGCTGAAGGAAGGCGCACCATCCCCACTCATTAACAACCCCTCCTCTCACTATCGGGATCTGCAACATGGGGGAACCACGCAGAAGCTTATCTGATAGAGGGAAAACTGCTCACGTAACCCCCTTCCTGCCCGCCCTGATTCGCCCACCCACAGCGCGATATGTGCGACATGCGATAGCCACACCCTGTACCCCGGAGGGCGCCGGAGATAGCTGATGACTGGAAATAATAACAATGACACTGGCCGTAACCCCCTCGCAGCAGCAGGGTATCCCCTCTCTGACTGGCTGGTGGCCTGCACGAGTAGTCTGGACCATGAAACCGCCCGAGGGGGGGAAGAGGCCCAGCAGGTATAATAGCAGCAATCAATTCCTTCGTCGACCTCTCCCTCCGTGATCGCTGTTGACACCATCTGGACCCTGAATGACACTGATTGGAACCACCCCGCTCACACGTTACCCCAGACTCCACCCCGATATGGGTTACTTACGTACAATTATATCCCCTGCACCTCCCCCCATGACGTTGAATGACTTACTGATTTCCGATTTCCAAGCCACCCGGGAAAGTCTGCGAGACCCAAGACCTCGGGAGCGGGAAATGGCTGAGCAACTACCGGTTGTGTCGGCTCTCGCTGCGTTGTTGTGCTAGCCCATGCGTGTGACTTGACTAATGCAGCCCTCCCACTCGGACAATTTCCCGAGAGTCAACGTCCTCAACGGAAACGACATGTCTTTGCACGGTGCCCTATCAGACCAATACTGAAAGGTGAATCTGCTGCAGTCCCTGTATTTGTACAACCATTAAAGTCTATGTACTCACTCCTGTAGTTGATCTAAGGAATGTCTACTATGGGCAATTGCCTCACGTAGGCAGGTTGTTATTACTTCGCCTTCGCCCTCTTCGCCCTAGTTGGCTGGCCCTCACCCTCATCTTCATCCCCAGCCTTCCTCTTCTTGGCCGCCTCAGCCCAAGACGGCGTAAACGCCTTGTCGCTCTCCAGCCGGGCGTCCAGCCGGGCCCACTGCTCAGGCGTGCCCATGTCCTTGGTCACGCGCCGCAGCGTGACGGCGAACCGCATCGGGCTCCGGCAGTCCACCGCGTGCTCCATGTGCCGCTGCGTGTTGGGGCCCCACATGATGACGACGTCACCGTGCTCGACCGTGAAGGAGAGCAGCGTCCTCTTGGCGTAGGACCTCTTGTTCTGGGGCTCCGCCATGTGCGCGTCCATGTGCTCCTGCAGCCGCGCGGTCCACTCCCCCGCGCTGATCTCCCCGCGCTCGAACGCGGCCCTCAGCTCGGTCCTGAAGGCCTCCTCGGTGCAGCCCGTGGGGACGGGGTCGACCTGGCCGCCCTGGGGCTTCATCCAGACCCCGTCCTTCTTGGACCGGCCGTAGTCGAACTGGGGCTTGATGCAGAACTTGAAGGTTGCTCGTCCGCCGAGGGTCCAGGTGCCTGGGGTATCCAGAGTCAGCTGTTGAAGTACGATGAGTTGGATATAATGGCAGATATTTCTTCTCAAGGGGTTTGGCTTTATGTTTGGGAGCTGCTTACCGATGATGCTGCCCAAGCCAGTCTCCCCATCGTCGTGGAAGCTCATCCCCATCTTCTTCGACAGGTACGCCGCGATGTAAATCTCGTTGAACTCGCACTCGTCGTTGTCATCCCCAAAGTACTCCCTCATGTATCCATTCGCGGTCATGAGGGCATCCCTGACGACACCAGGTGCCTCGTTCAAAGGTATGTCACTCAGCGCAAAGGGCAGGTTATAGCGCTCGCCATAGTTCTCGACAAAGTGGTTCGTCAGGTTCATGCCCCCATTGGCCGTCACGGACCGCCGAGCGAGACCCAGCGCGCCCGAGGCAGCATCCTCCTGGACCTCTCTGAAAAGCCTGTCCGCCCTGGCGACGGCCTCGCTGCCCGGCTTGGGCCGGAAGATGGTGGCCCGGCAGCCCCCTCCGAAGTCGAGCTCGTGGGCGACGTGCGACTCGAGGTCCCTCGCGCCTTGGTATCCGAGCAGTGTATCTAGGGGCTTGTCGGCTTTGGCCTTTGTCTGCTGTCGCTCGGCATCCAGCAGCGCCGGCGTCACCATGGGCGGCGGGGCGTGGTAGCTGAAGGGGTTGACTTTGCCCTCCGCGTCCCCGCAGTCAGTGTTGCGGCAGTACCAGCCGTGGTACTGGACCCTCGAGTTGGCCAGTCCGCATTTTGGGCATGAGAAGCCGGTGAGCAGGGCCTCATTCCTCGCTGCAAGGTTCGCGGCAGTGACGGATGACTCTGATCCCTGAGAATCGGGGTAGTTCTTCGCGATGAACTGGTCGAAGGTTGGGTAAAGGTTGGGGTAGGTCTCCTCCAGTGGCTGGACCACCAAGGCATCATCAAGCCTGTCAAAGCGTTCTCCCAAGAAGTCGTCGTTATAGACGATGTTGTCTGGCCGGTTTTCGACGAGTTCGCCGTTCACGCGGAACCACTTTTCACAGTCTCCATTCAAACACACGAAGTGTGACTTGAAAAGCCTGAACGAGATCTGTCCGCAAGTTCCACAGGCCTCCTCCGCGGCCTTGGTCTTGAAGTCTCGCTCCTCCAGGCTCGGGTACGGCAGCGCACCGTGGGCGGCATTCGACCACCAGCTCCGCTCGGACAGGTCGATCTTCTCCAGCCTGACCATCCACACGTCCTTGGTGATGCCATTCTCGTTCACAGCCGGCTTGGGCCACATGTGGGTAACGAGGAACCACGCGAGAGCAACGCAGTCGAGGCCCTCGGGGATGGGGCACGGAAATGTCCTCACACCATTCGCGTCCGGCTTCCAGGCGTCTCTGCTCACCGCGACGCCGACCGGGACACGTTCCACCAGGTTGTGTGCTGCCTCTCTCTTCCGGTCGGCAATGTGCCTGTCGGTGTTGTCTGGGCCGTTGATGGACGTGATGATGACCTCGGAGTCGAGGTATCGTCCGACAGGAGGGCAGCCGGCGATGTACAGGCCGGTGCAGTATTTCTTCTCGTGCCCGTTTGCTTCCTTTCCGTTCCTGGGATCGCCGGAGTTGGTGCTCCAGTACCCGGTCTGCAGGCCGCGAAACCACTGGGTCGAGTTGGCAAAGTCCGCCCGCCTCTGGGCAAAGTGTTTGGGCTTGCTGAAAGCCGTCCAGGTTTCCATGTTTCTTCGGATGATCTTTTCTCCGTATGTGAGCTGGGCATTATATTTATTTGTCTTGGTGGGGACAAGTGTCTTGCTGGTCTTTGTCGAGTCCATGTCGGACGCTTCCCCTCCGATGTGCTCTTGAGTTGAACACGGAGGGGGCATTGGGGGTATCTGTGTCAAGGCGATGGGAGGCGGGCCCTTGACGCGCGAGGAAACGGACTTGTTTCCCATGGTCCTCGGCCACAACGTGACGAAGGAGGAGAAAAGATGGCAGATGATGAAAAAAGATGCACGGAGGATGATGGATGACAGCCAGTGGCAGATGAAGACAAGTTTGCAGAGGAGAGAAGAACAAGCTTGGACTTTCGTGCTTGACAGTGTCCCAGATCGAACAGAATCAGAAGCCTGGTCGGAGCAGGTTGCGCGACTTGGTACGTTGTTGTTTATCGGTTGCTTTGCCAGATACGCGACATCAACGCACCGACCACATCAACAGTTGCAAGTCTCAAGTGAAGATACAGATTCTTACGTCATCCACAAACTTGCAGTGAATGTCCTCTCGGTAGAGATCAGACGAACATTACGTTCTATGCATGTCACCTATGATTCAGTCCTGCTTCGAAGGTGGCCAGAGTGGGAAAACTGGCAGTCTTTCAGTCCGGGACACAGGCTATTCGTCGACTTCAACCGATGGACTGTGAAACGACCCTTGGGACATTGACGAGTTAGAAGCTATCCAGGTCGAATGGAATTCCTCGTGATGGATATACTACCAATATGATTTCTGGAAGAACGCAAAGGCAAAGTGACGAGACCTAAGTGTCCGAGTAGAAAAATGGCAGATTGAGCTAATTTCTCTGTTCATGAGCTACGAAGGATCTCTATACACAGACGGTTTCTTTGCTTACTTGTGCTATTTCTCTGAGTATCTCTGAAATGGGTGAGCTCTGCTGCGACTTAGAGAGGAACGCACCAGCAAGTTGTAAAGATAAAAGACTCAGGATCATCTTCAATGAGGGTTCTCAGTAGATATCCATCATGCTTATACTCAAATCCCAACTGTCCAATGCAAATGACATGTCATTTGCTTGAGCCTTAGATATGCACCATAACTACCGGTAATTATACTCGAAGGTGAGCATCGAAGTCAGGAAGCCTACCAAAAAATTCTAGATTCTTACACATTCCACAAAGATTTGTTGCTATATTTAGATCACTGCGAGAGCAGCATTTTAATGTGACAAGAAGGCAACGCACCCAATATATCAGATCCAAGAGGCAAGTATGTTGGGGTTGTGACTTGGTTTGGTTCAGGCACATGGAACAGACCACTATTTTGCCAAAGAATATGGGCGGACTGAAACGCGAATTTCGCAGTTGGAAATTCCAGCCACGCCGGGCGTGCTGTCAGACGAGCTACATGAGTCCGAGTATGGCACAACTTGATGGTGTTTTCATTTACGAGAACCGTCCGGATCTTGCATGAAATGCTCGCACTGGCCCAAAATGGGCCTCCAATCCGGTTATGGGACCCCCGTCTGATTCTCACCTATAAAAGAAAAAGAAGAATAAGATAGAAAATAAACAAGAAAACAGCAAAAAAAAAAAAAAAAAAAAAAAAAAAAAAGAGTGATCCGCCTTACCTTGCGTGAGACGACGATGTTATGTCGGTGCCTTCCAGCCACCCCTGGACCTGCCAGCCAGCAGCACAGAACTAATGTTTCAACTCAAAATCACATGCTTGAAATGGTTTTCTCACGCTCAGTATTACCTGTCATTAAGGGGAAATTTTGGGATCGCCAACAGCTCCAAGCATCCACCCCCATTGCTTCACTCTTCCGCCTCCTCCACACACCTCGCCCATACTCAGAATGGCATTTCCAGATTGGCTCAGAATGTAAGTCGCTGCCCCGTATTCTACTCTCTGCATTCCAATTTCCGAGGTTCTGACACGTCAATGTAATATTTCAGTGTCCTCCTGGTGCTCAGCTTCGCATCATTCCTGCCTCAGCTCCAACTGTTATGGCTGCGCCGGGACAGCTCGGGCCTTAGCCTTTGCTATGTTCTATTCAACCTCGTGGTCGCGACGGAGCTATTCACCATCGACCTCGCGATCCTCGTAAGCGTCGATGGAGGCGACATCTTCGTGCACGCGCCAGCCACGACCGGCGATTGGTTGAATCTGGCTCAGTTTGGAACCGTCTGGGTCATGTGGATAATGGTGTATGTCAACCCATCGTCCAGATGTCTATGTGGAAAGAAGTCACGATTCTGCTGTTGTAAAAGCGCTAATTATGAGTTCTCGTCTCAGCCTTATTGCCTGCATCGTCTTCTACCCTCGCGACCAACCTTACACCGTGCCCGCGAGCGTCTCTGTCATCTACACATGCTACCTTCTCATATCCTTGGTGCCTATAATTGCAGTCTCAGCCAGCGCGGACCCCAAAGAGGATCGCAAGTGGTTCGATGGTCTCTTCACCGGCTTCTACATCCTCTTCTTGAACCCAACCATCACCGTCCTTGGTGTCGCCTCTCTATACCCACAATGCCGTGCGATCCTTAGGCGACCTAGGGACTCAGGACCTGGTGCGTTGAGTCTCGTGGGCCTCGCAGCGCAGGCAGTCCTGTTCCTTCTTCTGGGCTTCAGTTGGATGGGTCGCTTAGAGTGGCCCTATCCAGCCTTTTGGCGGGCATTCCGCAGCTGGTGTCAGATGGTTGGTTACGTGCCATTTGACCATATCATATTTGCAGGCGTGCAGGCGATTTTGTTATACATTGCCGTACGGCACAATGGTTGGCATGCGGGGGTTGATAAGGCACATCCTACAGGCCCGCTGCTCTGACGGCGTTTTTCACCTATCTGAACCTATGTTGGTAATTCCATGGGCAGAAAATCTTGATCCTAGTTCTGGCAGGTTTTTGTTCTATGTTTGATAGTGCGACAAAGAACCCAGCAAATGCGTAAAGAAATGGTTGAGTTGGCCGGTTTTGTTAACACCCCATAAGTCTCGATATGCCAGCTGGCACCAGCTGATCCTGAAGCCGACCTCGGCCAGTCCCCTGCAGTCTCGATGGTGGATTCTGTCCGAATCTGACTTCATCCAAATCCACTCAACCGCCAAATCTCACCGTCAATTAAACGAGACTTATGTAGAGAGACACGTGCTGTCTAAACTCAGAGAAACTTCTGCATTAGCGTGCCTTATCCTTTTTCCTGCATTTAGAAACATATAGACGAAATCGCGGGGCCCATTATCAATCGTCACAGCTCATCGGTCAGCCCCCCGGCGGGATCTTATCAGAGAGCCACTCCTAAGCAGAAGAGCCTCGTCATGAAAGACGACGAGAATCCCGGTCTTATTTACGAGGCCGAGGACGGCCCGGACCCGCTTCATTTCTCATATACCCCTCTGGTGCTGATTCACGATGGTGGCGGCACATGCTTCTCTTGTATGCAGCCCCTGATACCAACAGCGCCCAGAACACCTGGCCCTGTCTAATGTCTCAAAAACGGCACAACCCGACATCACTTGTCTCACAAACAGCTAATGACGATTTTGGCTAGACTACTGCTTGAATCCCATCGGGCGTATCGTCTATGAGATCCACAACCCACACTTCTACTCAGCCAAGCCATGGCCGGGCGGCATCCCAGAGATGGCCAGGCACTACGTCGGGTTGATGCGCAAGGCGGTGCCGCGCGGCCGCATCCTCCTCGGCGGGTGGTCACTTGGCGGGCTCCTCTCGCTAGAGATGGCGCGCGTACTGGCGGACGACCCGGACTTTACGGTGGTTGGCATCGCCATGGTGGACAGCATCTGCCCGGCCGCGCGCACGACCAAGACGGGGCCCGCCAAGGCCGCTGTCGTGCCGTACAAGCACCAGTTCGGGCCCAACACGAAGGAGGAGACCATTGAAGGAGTCGAGAGGTGCTTCGTAGAGGCGAGGAAGTCGATTGAGACGTGGACCATGCCAAGGTGGGATGGCTCCGATATTGAGGGCGGCGACGGGGCCCAAAAGGGAACTAATGGTGAGGGTTCGGGAGATGGCCAGGCGCGTCCTGACCTGCCATCGTCGGGTATTAAGTGTCCACGGACGATCCTGCTCCGCGCGAGGGAGGCGGTGCCGACGGAGCCAGGCGAGGTCAGCTTCGTTGACACGACGCGGCACAGCAGAAGCCTTGGCTGGGATGAGTATCAAAAGGACTTCCTTGAGGAGATTGTGGATATTCCAGGCCATCATTTCTCCATTTTCGCCTGGGAGCACATCGACGAAGTCTCGCAGAAACTGATGGACGCGTGCAACACTCTTGAGAAGATGGCGTCAGTTACTGCATCATAAGCAAGCGACGGAAACAAGATTTGACTTCGGATTTGGTTGAATATATTGGGCGGTACATATATAGATGGGAAGACATTACACGACAGGGAACATATCACTGTAGAAGCAACGTCGGCTCTTTCAAGGCGCGAGATAGATTCACCTAAGCGATTGGCATTTTCTGCTGCATGACACACGAGGCACATCTTGGTAGGGTCCAGAATACGTATTACAAATTCTTTCAATGTGAGGTGTCACGGCCGGTACTCTCGTGGCCACAGACCCTGTTGCTTGATGCCAGCCGAACCTGCTCCAAAGGACTACCTAGGTTGTCTTCTAATTCTCGAGGCGGCAGGAGCTAGAGGAATGGGAAGGAAATGACACGCTACTTGGTCCAACTGCGGCCTCGTTCCACAATTGTGCGAGGATGAAAGGTTGCCGCACCTCGGATAACACTTGACTTGTGCGAAAACATTGAACTCAAGGGCAGCTGCCAAGGACAGGCTGAACAGAGCCACAGTTGGGCCCCTTCCCAGATTGGACCAGCTTTGCCGCGCCTTCCATCATCGTTCCCGGGGAGCAGCTCTGTCCTGTGCAATGGAGGAAGGAACATGGATGCGGCCATGCGCATGAAAGCTCCGCGCCCTGCATGACCCAAGGCTCTCTTCTTCCTCTTCTCTTCCGTTCCTTTCCATGGCATCCTCCCTCGGCTTCACCGCCATTCGCACCCCATCTTCCAAATCCGTCTCTCTTCTCAACGGACCCTCCAAACCTGGCCTTGACGGATGTCTGACCTCTCTTCTCCTTCTCGACATGCGTTCATGACCACCGCCCTCGATCCACGCGAACATCGTTCTCTTCTCTGCAGCGTGCCTGGCCTCAGTCTGCACAGCACCCAGGCTGCTCAACGCCTTCTGGATCAAAGCATGCTCGTCGTCGTCCCTTTGATTTGATGTTAAGGTAGGAACCCCCTTGGAACCAATCCCGTGGTGACAGTCTGGTGGCCACTAGCCTGCGGGGAGGTTCAGCTGTAGGGTTCGATTCCTTAGGCCCTGTGAATGGTACCCAGGGGGGTCGGGTTTTTCTCGTCTTTCTTTCCGCACCTACCAGCTCCCCGCTGACAAAAAAATTGACCGCGGCAGGATTCCGGTGATTTGAGCCTGGGAGCCAAAGTGCACTGCTCCCTGTCTTGGGTAAGTCCGTCTTCCACGTTCACGCATTCTTGCGCGAGGTTGTTGCCGAGTCGATGCTGACTTGGTACCCGAACAAATCCCAAGCTTCGCGCTTTCAAGAAACGGTCGAGATCGCTTGATGGCATATTTTCGGCTCATAAATGTGTGCTGGGGATGGAACGTCGTGTTCATTTGAAGAGTGACGTGAAGAGATAGAAAATGTACATCTTCTTTGCTTTGCCACAGTCCCTCCATCCCTTCGCTTGTGGACAGCCATGTTCTGTCCTCTCTCACAAACGAGCTGACGGCTCAAAGTATGCTGGTAGCTCTGCCCCCGTCTTGTCCACCGAGTTCAAGCTCAATCAATCGAAGCCCTTCATCCAGATATACACCCTCTGCGATACCAGGCAAACGCCAAGCCGCACTCCGAGCTGCAGCATCGGCGCGGACAATTCCCTCAACACCTGAATGCCCAGGGACCCAGCGTATCTCAACTTCAACTCCGAGCTTGCGGAGGTATTGTGATCTTGTGACAAGCTTGCGCAAGATAGGGTTGCTGCGCAGCCGTCCCTCGGTGATATTGGTGTATCGAAACCCATCTATCCGAAACAGGGCTGCCTGGCAGTCTGAGAAGATGACCACTTTGGTCATGCTTTTGCGTTGATCGTTGTCAAGCAGTAGCATGTGCGACAGGGCGATTGCTAATCCCTCCGCCACAGCAGCAATCTCCGTGCTTTTCGACTTGTGTCCATCCGCGAAGCAGAAAGTCCTCTCCTCCCACTCCTGAGCCTCTGTCTGGTAAACAACCGCAGCTCCCGCAGCCTTCCCTGATGCTGGGGCTTTTCGTTTTCGCTTGTCCTTGATGTTGGCGAATCTCGAGCCGTCTACAAAGAAGACCAGTTGCCGCGGCCAGTCAACAGGCTCGGACTTGCTGGTGTTAGCAGCCGTGAGGGTGGCATCTTCTCTGGACTCGATGATGATCTGCCCGTGGAATCGGAGCTCTGCCGTGGTGTGTAAGAGGGCGAGTTCTCGGTGCAGGTTGGCTTTCTTGTTTTCTTTGGCTAGGCTTGATATGTGAATCGCGGTTTCTCGGCTGATGGCTTTCTCCCTGCGACTCGGTTTCATTTTGTGAGAATGGACCTCTTGTTTGAATTCGGTGAGGGCTCTGGCTCGAGCATCGTCTGCCATGTCTGTCGCTTGCATTCGTGATGGCTGTTTTGTTCCGAGCTTGTGCAACGAAACAGGTCATAACATTTTTGGTCTCTGCTGGGTCTAAATGAACTAGATATAGAAACCGTCAATTCTTTTTTAGAATACCAAAATTCGAGTCCCGAAGTTCTTCTAGCTGGACAGCCTAACACACCTAGTTTAAACAAGTGCCCAGCAAGGTTCTTCACTTGTGCCTTAAACGTCCACCAGCAAGTACCATCAAAATCAATGCAAATTTCGTTTTCATTATTTTCTACTGCCTTCATGATACACCCCGAAGAGAGTTCCTTTGCGGATGAAGTCCGAAGCGTCGGCTGTCGTGTGACCTTCGGCGCCTCAGGCCTCCCTGAGTCAAACAGACTCCAGATATAATCCACACGACCACTCAGAAAAAACACATACGGCCATAGATATAGGAAAATACGGGATCCCGTCCGCTCTCCCTTAGTCAAGCCTATAATCGCTGGATTACTCGTCGTCGCCGTATCGGCCTCCTTACCCTGTAGCCACAGAGGATAGCCTCCCTACCGTACACAGCAGCGCTCGCCCAGCCCGCCCATCCAGGTCTGGCTGTGCCTACCTGGCCGGATTGAGGCCCCCGCTGCTGTCCGAACACCCGCTGTTTCACCGTGGCCTCGTCTTGTGGTCTCGCGCTACCCTTATGTTATCACGGCCCTCGCGTCCCGGGCTGCCCGCGGCCCAGTTGTTGGCTGGCTAGCTTGTCCGTTATCAGCTGAAGGGGCGCAGCAGGCCCAACAGTTGCGGCGTTACGGCTGACGGCCAACTGGCTTAGTTTTCTTTTTCTTTTTTCTTTCTGCTTTTAAGACTACGGTTTGATATATGTTGTAAATAACCTTATGTGCTATGCTCTAAACCATGATTACACATTAGCCTCCCAAAGCGCCTAGTAAAACAGTGTTTCACCCGTCTTTACGCACTTGCTGATGAGAGAACCTTGGCGGTATGCCCTTATGTGCCTTGCCTCCGGAATACCTTGTCAGCTTACACGCCTCTGCGCACAAACACTACAATGCAGTGTGAGATCGTTCAGTGAATGTGAATTGGTGCCTGCACCTCTGCTCTATCTAGTCCGAGTCATACAACGGAGACGTGCCTGACGTCCGCTATATTACATATATTCTAGTAGCCAAATAGATTATTTCGCGTCTACCTTCTTGTTTGGCCTCTCTGGAAAAAGCATATGTCCGACGTAGGCCCCATTGGAGTCATGATATATATGTACGGTCTGAGACACGCCCCTTTTGGCTTGGTCATCCGTAGCCAGACGCACTGTGGCGTGAGACTTAGGGTCCGGATGACTGGTATGTCTAGGATTCCTGCTAATGGGATCAGTATTAATTTGCACACAACAGGCGGAATCTGAATGGGACTGGATTCTCTGATGCTTAGAAGGAAATAGGTCATACTTGATAAGCGCATGCTTAAAATGGAAACAATCTTTCTGCTTAGAAACAACCTCTACAAGGGTGAGGGTCCTGTTTCTAAGTGTCGCATCCTTAATCTTTTAACTAAATACAACCGTCCAACGAGGAATGGGAGACATGGTAATAGGATGCAAAGCAGATATTGCAAAATAGCTTGAGATTGAGTTTTTTTTTATGGGGGGTGGGGCGATATCAATGATGTTCTGAACATAAAATTGAGGAAAGTGTGTTGCTAATGTTTACATTTTATCTGTTATGATCCGGGAAACTGACCTTTTTATCTTCGTTTATCTTATAATCTCCGCCATGGGTTATGCGGAGGAGACTCTCCAGCAACAAGCCTGATTCAGCGCAACGTGGATAATGATATTAATTTTAGTTCAAGGGCTATTAAGAGGCCATCACAACTACAAGCCTGATCCAACGCATTGTAATAATGATACTAATTTTAGTTTTAAGGATGGGAAGAGGCCATCGTGATGATAGATGTTGGTACCACTGTGCCGCACTGCGCCTGCTGTTGGTACACTGGCCAGGGCTTGGCGGCGCTGTGCCCGGCGATTAAATGCCTCTAAAAATGGAATAAAAGACCGCGGTCCACTTAACTCGGAAACCTTCTGAGTTCCACGAACACAAGCCTCAAGGTATCGGCCATTAAATTCAACCTTTGGACCGTTTTCCATCATGCCGTCTAGATATTCTTTTTGCTAATAGGTCGCCCGTATTTTGGTCTTCAAAAGGCCATCTAATGGCCGGCCATAACGCCGCATTAGCGCATCCGCAAAGTGCTGCACGGAACGCAGAGCCCCACTCGATGTGGTTCCACTGCTGCATTGTAAGCTCTCTGTCCGCAGCGAGCTTCACCCGGCGTGCACCAATGCTGCTCATCTATTTAAAAGCCTCTGCAGATCGAGTCCAAGTCCTGACAATTGCTCAGTCGATAGATCAATGTTTCGCAGAACATCTCAAAGTGCTATCCTATCCGCCCGATGGAGCTCGGAGCTTTCTGGGACCTCTGACGCGTACCTTCGATACGTTTCGCAAATGGCGCACCATCCTTATGCCTGCGACATCGACGCAGAACCTCTACACCGTTATCGCGTAGGAGGCTATCATCCACTGAAGCTTGGTGATATCCTCAACCAAGGCAGGTACAAAATCCTGCATAAAGTCGGATGGGGCGGTTATTCAACCACATGGGCTGCTAGGGATCGAAAGTAAGTCACATCGAAAGAATATTCGAAGATTTGGATGAGACGTTTCGGAATCTATACTGATCTGAGCCGCAGAGAAAATCGATACGTCGCTGTCAAGGTCTCGGTGTCGCAAAAGAGTGACAGTCGAGAATACCAAATCCTACGAGCGATTTCAGCGCTTCCTAGAGGCCACCCGGGCCGAAACCATGTGATGCAGATGTTTGACCATTTCGAAGAAAAAGGACCCAATGGCACACATGGCTGTCTTGTTCTGGAATTGTTAGGTCCAAATATACCCGATCTGATCGACTTCTCCTACAGCGACGAGAGGTTACCAGCACGTCTGGCTAAATCTGTCGCCTGCCAAGCGTTATCAGGACTTGATTTTCTCTCAACACACCAAATTGGACATGGAGGTAAGTTTAGCTCACAGAGATTAAGTGTAGCCCTACTCGAGCTCGTCTAATGGCCTGTCTCAGATCTACATACGAGGAACCTAGCTTTCAAGATACCTGATCTTGATTCTTTTACCGAACAACAGTTTTACGACAAGATTGGCAAGCCTGAAACAGCTTTAGTGAGGAGAAAAGACGGCGTGGCACCAAAAAAGACCGTACCCAATGTACCGTCTTACTTGGTCCGGCCTACTTCTTTTACTAGACATATCCGTGAAGCCTTACACGCCAATCCATTTGTCAAAATTATCGACTTCGGTGAATCATTTCAAACGCCGAATGCACCTACACGGCTTCATACCCCGCTAGTAGTGAGGGCACCAGAATGTCTCTTCTCCGATCGGCTGAATCATCGTGTTGACTTGTGGAGCATGGCCTGCTTGGTAAAGTCGTCCTTCGAATTCTACAAGACCGTTTATACTGACATGTATAGTTGTTCGAACTGGTCACTGGGCAGCCACCCTTCGATTCAATGATGTTGACTCCCGAGACTCTCATTCCACAGATGATAGAATTCTGTAAGGACGAGATGCCAGATCTCTGGCTGAAAAAATGGCGGGAAATGAATAAAACCAAGTCCAGTGATGACCAGCCCTGCACTCTACAAGAATGGTTGGAGGAGGTTTATTTCGTCCACGACCGTAACGCTGAGTTTACGAAGCAGGATATTATCAGGGTCGGTTACCTCATCTCAAGAATGCTCAAGTTCAGGCCGTCGTCTAGGGCACAGGCAAAGGAGATCCTGGTGGATCCGTGGTTCAGCTCTTAGATGGAAGTGGCACTGCCCTTACGGTTTTCGGAATTCTTAATGAATTTACACTCTCTGCAATTTTCTTTGACGTCCTGGTATCCGAAGCTATATTGAGTGCGGTGCTTCAGAGAATGCGTTTTATGCAGATGGAAATAACATACCACAGCTCATGGTCATTCTTGATTCGCCCGGGCGAAGCATTCATCGTGGAGCAGATGCGGAGCAGAAGAGATATTGTGAGTGTGCAAATCTCAGAGATATTATGCCAGACTGTCTTGGTTGGCAACCAAGTGGGCCGCTACATCAGCCTCGGCACTGAACCGAAAGCTTGAAATCTCTTTTAAATCTTTGTCTGCGGAAGCTGACAAGAGAAGAAATATGTACTAAGATGTGGCTTTTGAGGATATACCACGGTCCTAAAAAGATGGGCAACATCCCTCCTGATTCAGTCCTGGTTGACAAATCAAGCAGAGTACTTGCCGTCCCATTGCGGCCATCGCCATCGCCACCCTCATCCTCATCCATAGGTTTCGAGAAATCAAAAATCTTCCTGCGACTGTCGTGCAAGCGAAAATTGTTGATCCATCCAAGCCCACTAGTCTCTCGCCGTCCAGTTTGGGCTCAAGAATTATGTCCAGAAAGTGCTTGAGAAACGCAGCAGGACCCAGAAGATCAAGAGAGGTAGGCTACTGCTAAATTGCGCACTTACGCCATATCCCATCGCTCCGTACCTTGTAATCATGCCCGAACTGGTGGAGACTCTGCTAGATCATGGAGCCAGTGTGGGTGAGAAGTTCGAGCAGAAATCTTGTTGGAAAATGCTCTCCGCTGGCAATGCGAACAATATGTAGAGGTCGGCGGCCGGACGACTCTGGCTTAAAGAATTTAATGCATTTAAAAGATTTAATGCTTGAGGGCATTGAGATAATGTAGACAGGACTCGTTGTCTTAGTGCTACCGATCAATGAAGACTGTCTTCACTCATCAATTATTCGCTCTTAGATAATTGTCTAATGAAACTCCACGGCAATATTCGCCCTCGGATAGTATTAGAGGCCCTGAATACAAATCACTAGGTGTCCATTGTATTAGTTTAAGAGATGGTAATGTACATACACGGTATTATTCCAGAGCAGACGAGGAACTTCCTATTGTTCTCGTGTTACAAGAGACTGCAATTTAAATTGAGCATCATCTGGGCGGAGGAAGTGTGGCCCCAAAGAACTATGAAACTTGATCAAAATATCTCCAGGCCTTACTGAATAATTTTCCAGAGGCGTACCCAATGCCTTGGAGACAATGAGCCCACAAGCATATAAACAAGTTCACAACCCTTCTAACTCAGCACCCAGTCTCTGAGCCCTCAAGCTATTCACAACAACGGGTCGCCTATTAATCAGATTCTAGAGTTATACTGGAAGGCTTTTAGGAGCAATTTCAAGCCGTGAAGGCTGAGGCAAAGTCATAGCCGTGTAGCGCTAGCAATGTTTGATGTGAGAACGCGGAAACGGTGTTTCTTGCATACACACGTTGTCTGTTACAAAAACCTTTGACCTTGTCTACTTGCATCGGTGGGGGTGCAGCGGGAGTGAGGCCGTCGGATAAGAAGTATGCACACAATGAACCATGGAATAACGCAACTGATATAGGCTGCGAATACTTTGGCTCACTAGCTTTTAGCTCATAGTAGAAAGTACCCCAAAGCTATATCAGTTGCATTATTCCAGGGATTGAACTGTAAGAAAGGCCGGGCCAACCGGACCCGATGAATCCAGCTGAAGAGCCAACCGATATGAAGCAAGCGTCTCGTTCCCGTAAGCTCAATTTTCTCGTTTCTCCTCCTCTTTCTTGCCCTGCTGGTTCGACGCATTTCCTCTGCGACGCTTCTCATCGCTTTCCACAATTGTGGCATCATCGAGAACGCCATCTATATATCATTTACTTACGTCCTCTGAACATGGCGTACAGCACGCTTCCCACCATCCCACTCGTCATCTTCGGGGTGATCGAGCCATTCCTGCTGTAGGATTCCCCAAAATCGTAGCTCCTTGGCAAAGGCGTTTCTCAAAGGCATTGATACAGCCGCAGCGGAACGACATGCTGATCATTGGACCGCTTCAGTGTTTGGGCATATATCGTGAACAGAAATGACCCGTTCCAGTACTACGCCGACCAAGTCCCGATGCACAACCTCACCCAGGAGGAGGATTTCCCAGGACAAGCACTGTCAGTCACCCTGCAGCTCGGCAACGTGCTCCTCCTGCTTGCAGCTATGGCGCTCGTGTGCTGTTTCTCGCCCAGCAGCACCACGGCCAAGTGGTACCTGATCGCAGTCGCATTTGCCGACTGGGGCCACATTTACGCCTCCTATCGCAGTCTCGACGCCGAGGTCTTCTGGCATCCGGCTCAGTGGAATGGCATTGTCGCCGGCAGCATTGGGGTGAGCGTCTTCTTGAACTTGGCCAGGTGGTTGACCGTTGCGGGATCGCTTGGGCCGTTGAAGGATACATTTGACAATGATGATGTGGCAAAGAAGCAGGTTTGAAGGAAACTCTGACCTGCTGATTATGGATGCGAAGGACTGACTGATGGTCACTTACCACCTGCCATTAACAACTCCCAAGAAAGTTCCTAAGACATCTGGATCCTGCTGTACGAGGAAGCTCAATTCGGCGAACTTCGTCTATCCGGACTACGAATCGTCTCGAATTGAGCATCACAGTATCTCAGACTTTCCAGAGTTGCCGACTGTCTTGCTTGCAAAAGTCCATTTATACCAATATTTCTCGGCTACTTAGCTTCAGCCTACCTGAACCAATCATTGTACGGATTTGAATCCAGACCAGCCCTGCATTGTCCTTTTTCCAGCAACGTCCACAGAACTAGGAGAGGTCAGCTATGGTCTATATGTATGAGCCAGATTGTTGTTTGTGGATGGCGATGTGACTTGGAGTTCCTGCTACTATTACGCTCGATGCCTCTAATCGTCAGTATGATCCTCTCTATCCTGAAGAAGTAGTGTCTTTATCTCTGTCTCAGCCATTTTCGCCCATTCCACAGCGTCCAGTCTATGCAGAAAGTTGTACCACTGGGTCCGCGCTCTCACGTGTTGCTGCTCCAGCCCGATGCCCCCGTCGACAAACTCCTGTCTTGTCTGCGAGAGGTCGTCGACGAGACGCTTGATAAACTGTAACGCTGCAGAACAATGCGTGAGACAACGGGCCTGTAAATGCAGATTCAGGATGCCGTAGAGGCTCTCGAGATGGTCCTGCAGGGAGGAGGAGTCCTGATTATAAGACCTTTTCATCTCGTCCCACGCCGTCGTCCCGAGGGGTTTGCGGTGAGGGCCCCAATTACCGCGCTCTCGTGAGCTTTCCTGCGATTGGTCTTGCGACGGGCGAACTTCCTCACCCGCGGAGTCGATTGAATGGGCTCGGCTTTGCGTTTCCTTGTCTGGTTGCAACCCCAAGGCGATCTTTAATTGGTGCCAGAGACGTCCGAATATGCTCAGGCCAAGAATGATGCCGTACTGTTTGAATGCCCAGAGGATTCGTTTCTCAGAGAATATCCAGCTCAGGGAGGTGAAGAAGAGATTGATCAGAACATGGAGGCCGGCGAATCGTCTACTCGGTGTCGTTGTGGTGTCAGTCTTTCGCCCGCCCTCTGCGTCAAGGTCACTGCTCCCTGGAAAAGACAATACAGATGGGGATTGGCCGTGTATTCCACTCGAGAAGTAGTAGCTATGTATACGGCCTGGTGGTAGATCCGCTAGGTTGTCGGGTCCGAGGCTTCCATTGTCTGCCGATCCAGTGGCAATTCGGTCTATATGGTTTGCGGGTTGCTGAGAAGGATCAGTATGGCTCACCCAGAGTTTGAGAAGTGCTCCGCCTCCCACTGAGGTAATACGTGCGCGCACCTGAAGATCCAAATCGTCCTCTTCCCACGCAGGCTTCACCCAGATACGCTTCATCGTGTTAGGGAAATTGCTTCCGGCTTTTTGTCCAACAAGATTGAGAGCAGTGCGTTGGTCCAACTCGGCATTGTCAAATTCCCAACGCCCTTCCCAAGATCTCACAAATTCTTGTCTCACGCATCCATGTCTTAGTCCTCTCATCCAAGATGAGGCAGGTCCCCCAAATCCATGCCTCTGTCCTCTCATCGAAGATGAGGCAGGTTCACAATATACATTGCTCGCCTGATCAACAGCAGAAATATCATCATCATCTGAAGACAGCTCTGATCCTGGATTTGAGTAGTATTCTGCCAAGCGGCGGTCGTAATGAAAGATTTGCAGGTACCTCACTTTGTCAGGGCGATTTTCTGATAGCTTCGGATCGGTCCCCATGGACTGTCGACGGGGGCAAATGCGGTTCCAGAAAACGGCCTCGTGCCATGGCGAGATGGGATAGGCAAAATCCCCATTTACCACACGAGCTTCTCCCACAGGCCCATCTTCAGCGGAGTCAACACGGGGTTTTCTATCGAAGAGTTGCTGAAACCGATGTATGTCAGACGGGCAAGTTCGAATTCGAGGTGGCATAAATAAGCACAACATGTACCAAGTTTACCCACAAGAAGTATGTTCGTGACATATTGGGTTGTAGACTGCACAGTGAGTGCCAGGAAGAGCCGCAAGATACTGACAATGCCGATGATGAATGGTATGAGCTGGCCCGTAGTGGCGATATCATAGATGCCACTGATTGAGTTCCAGTGCAACGTGATTTCGATAGCGATCACAGCCCAGGCAAGACAGCTAATATTGACCAGAAACAGTATTTTGGTCGACACCATGAGCCTATATGTCTATCAGTACCTACTTCGGCTGAAGCACTGCAGTCAACATATCAAATTCTTGATGAGTGCTCACTTGCGAAGGCTTTCAAAGACTGCTTGCATCTTTTCTGGTCCTGCTGGCTGTTCTGATCGTTTTCTGAGAAGTCGTAAACCAATAAGAGGCGGATAAGTAAAACCCGGTGGTGAAGGCTTGCCCATGACCAGCAGGTACAGCAGCTGCCAGGCACTCCACCACACGAAGATTGCATCCACCACAGGCATGATATAAGCGAACAAAGACGGCCTGTATACTCCAGCAGATTTCTGTCCGTTGAAGTACGCCCAAAAGACCGTCATCGTCATGAGCGCCCACATCCTCAGGACACGATGTAGATGGTGGCCGTGCGAATCTGAAGAAGACCGAACTGACTGAATCACTTTTACGTGAACTTCAGCAAACACGCCGCTTGCCATGGCACAGAAGACAAAGAAGCAGAAAGTTGTAAGCAATTCCCTGCCAAGTAAGAAACTATAAACCGCAAGAACGACAGAGGACTGGGCCTTATAGAACGTGCTGATTGCGTCGGAGACCGCCTTGGGGACAACGATGAAGGTGAAAGTCGGACACGCATCTTGGACGAGTAGCTCAAGGCCTCGAAACCAAAACCAGACAGCGTATGCCGATATCGCCGTGGCCAATGCGAGGCGAAACGAAGAACCCGCAAGAGAGAATTTCATATCAATTCGGTGACCCCAGATGGACAGGATCGAGAAAATGAAGCCGAAACATAGGTGAAGAAGAACGAGACACTCCGCCGGACGGATTGTGCCTGCCCTTGTGGCAACCAGCGTGGCGGCCGATACGGCGACCAGGAATACGCAGTTCAACTCGAGATTTCCGGGAATGGCTGCATCGAAGAACAAGTGTGCCAGGAGGGTCGTGATCCACTGGAGGTAGATGCCAAGCCGGATGCCTAGTCCGTAGAAGTCTGAGTTTCCATCAAAGCCGCAGCTCACAGTATCGTTGCCCGCGGCTCGAATGACGAGGCTGATTCCGTGCTGTATTTCTGGGACTGGGACTGCCTTGGCGAACATTTTGTAGTAATTTTATCGTATTTGATCGGAAAATATACACCGTGAGCGACGAGGTCGGCTTGCATGGCCACAAGAGAGATATCGTTAGTGACGAGGTTGGGTTGTGGGTAAGGGTAAGCAGACTCAGGCGGGGCCAGCGCCACAGCGTTCAGCAGGCCACTGAGAGGTTATTTTTGTTATGTCATATCTCAGCTGCTTTGTCCTGAGGCACTCCTCATGTGCTTGACAAGCTAGTGGCTGAGACGCCTTCTGAAAATTAGTAAGGAAAATGTTGTGCTACAACAACCTGCATGATAGCCGGCCGCAACCAGGTGTCCACGGCTGCTAAGAGGCGAAATCGACCAACGCCTAACTACCGAGCAGTTCCTAAGATCTTGCAGAATGCTCCATTGCATAGTATTTTGTTAAAAACATATATTCGAAATTTACACGGGATCAAATTTCTCAGCTGAAAATCTTAAGTGAACTCATATTTTGGCACATACTATCTTGAGACGCTATCAAAATCCCCGGGACAGTAGCACTAATCTAGATGACCATGTTCACGCATAGAGGGAAGCCCTGCCACCACATTCTCACGGAGAGGCTCCTGCGGCTCTAATTTATTATTATGATCCACGACTGTAAGTCTTCGTTCTAGATGGAGACTTTTGAATGCCCCGTTTGAGTTGGCCCCCGACGGGCGGCTTGGGATCGGGTGCCCATCCTGCGCGTATTTTCCTCCGTTGCTGCTGCCACTGCTCTCTTTTCGCCTCACTCACCCCTGAAGATATATCCAGCTTCTGTCATGTTGACGGGTCCTGAAATCAAGCTGGTATCTTGGGACATGGTGCAGTCGTGTTGGCGTCTTGGGGGCCAGGTCGCCACGCGAACAGGGTAGGCGTGGAGTTCGTAGGAGCCAGCCACCTCCCTCCATGCATAGAATCGTGTCATTGGCTCCCCAAAGGACGAATCCTCCAGCCCTGTGGAAGCTGCCCTGCCACGTTGGACTGAACTCCTCATTGGAGGGCGCAGGCGCCTAGGCGTCCACTGCCTACTGCGGGCAGGTGTGACTCGGTCGCCCGACCCTTCGCCCACGTTATAATGGGGCGAATCCTACTCCCTCGCGGCACAACAGCCTCTTGTGTTCACCCTTGTTTCGACCACGAAATTGCGAATGCCTTGCGCTGCCATCGAGACCCGCCATCTGACCAGAGCCACTTTTCAGCCGACATAAGCCATCATGCCCAGCTGGCTTCGTAAAGCGCACTCGATGTCGAGGGCCGAGGGGCGGACTGGCCAAAGTGGAAAAAGCAGGACGACGAATCCAGACGCCAACAGGAGGCCAGATGGCGAAAGGCCGCTGTTGAAGGCATCCACAGACTACGGAATGTACCATCCAGTGGCTAAACACGGCCAACTTGACTTGATACCAGTTTCGATCAAGGTTTACAATCTCGACTGGGACGAGTTATTGCCGGTTCTCAAAGATGCCTACCCAAACCAGAAATTCCCGGAAAATGTGAGCTGTGTTTCAGTGCATCCTCCACCATGAGCATATGTGCTGACTTGAGGGGCTGGGGTAGCAGATGGGGGTCGAGGACTATTACCAGATTTTCGTACCCAGAAAGCTCACAGCCGTAAGTGGACAAAGTCCTGTCCGCAGCGCAGGTCTGATGCTAATATATGACAGGAGGAGGACAAAAGGATTGACCTCATCAGAAAGGAACATCGCAACAGGGTGAACCACGGCTCCGGAGGGAGGGTGAAGAGGGTGGAGCACAGCCCAGACGGACCCCGAAAACCGCTCGCTGGAGGGCTGGGCGATGGTGGGCTGGGTGATGCGGCCACGGGCGGTGCCTCCTGAGAGCATGTGGCACTCTGGTCGCCAGTCCTGCCAGTGGCTGCTTGTCCCTGCAGACCGGTGAGACCCGTAATGGCTTAGTTCGTGCAGTAATAACAATACTGGCGCGAACACCGAGTCTTGTACCACCACACCACTGCATCATGCGCTCAGCCGCAAACAACCTGCCGAGGTTGATTCAGAGGCGGCAAAGGTCGAGGTGACAGGGCGTAGTCGAGGCTCAATTGCCGGAGGCCCAGAGGCGTAAAACAGTTCTTTTCTCGTCAGGCATACTGCGATTTCCCTTAATTCGTCGCAATTCCTCCATCTGCGCCAGCTGGATGTGTGCGTATATCGTATTCCGAGACTCAACTTCTTATTTGCTGCGCAAATTGCACTAAACCTTCCATGCCTTTACCAGCAATGCAACTTCCACCGGCTTTTGTACACTCGTGCCTACAGCACTGCAGATTCCCTCTAAATGTTGCCTCAAAAACGGCTTATGGCTCAGCCCTGGTCGCATACTACGATCGTTTAAACAAGCAGGCGCCAAGACTCTTCATAGATCCCGATGACGAGTCTTTCGTTATACCATTCAAAGAAATCACCAAGAATACGAATGGAGAGTGGGTAGTCACGAAGTTCAACGCCCTGGATGGCGAGAAACTTAAACAGAAGCTCGGAGACACGACCGAGAAAGACCCCAACAACCCGGCAAAATTAGTGGGCGCATTCGCGACACGGCCAGATCCAAGATGCAGAATCATGTCAGTGGGTCTAACTGCTGTGTTAGATATAGAAACTGACATTGTAGCTTTACACAGTTTCGTCGTCTCAGAAAGTGCATTGGCACCCCTCAATCTTACCCGAGATGCCCTCCTCCGAATCCTTACATACCACCAAGTCATGCCCGCATACATCGATTTCCTCCTGGTATATGGGACGCGAGACGAGGACCGAGAGCTTAGGTTTACTGGCTTTCGCTCGCGCACAACGTTGCAGAACCCGCTTCCGGGTTGTACGATCGCAGACCTGCACCGGAGTGGGAGGCAGCACGAACTCTGCTATAATCTCAAGGCAGTGGCAGTGAAAGAATCTGGGAAATCCCAACAGCCTCGCAACAGATGGAAGATACGGCAAGCTGCTATATATCACCGGTTCGACCTCGGTTCTGGAACTGCGCTGTGGATAATCGGAGACCCTCGGGAAACGGTGAAGAACGACCTCAAGGACGTCCTACCGGAGGGGCCCGTTCCCAGCGAGTTCAACTTTGGGACAGTGCCTGATGCATTCATGGCAAACCTTGATACCCATATAGTACTCGTCAATTGGGCTTCATCCTCATGGAGATGGCATATACAGGACCTGGAAGAAACCATCGACGACATGACCAGGCCTGCAATCCTCTTCGACTATGAGAGCCGCGACCAACCAGAGGTTGCGCCCAGAGCCGTCACACTTGTCCAAGAGTACGAAGACAAGGTGAACGAAACCCTGATGGTCATAGAGGCCAACCTCAAGATCTTCTCGTCCCTCTTGACCTCTTACACAGCCTTGGTCGAGGATAAGAACTTCCCCCTGAATGAAAGAGACGCATGCAAAGCTGCGGTGGAGGTATTCAGTACCAAGATAGAGGAGTATGCCTACGACCTACGTATGCAGGCCGATCGGGCGCGAGTATTGTCCAAAGTGGCAACTGACCGCAAGAATATCGTCCTCCAGCAACTTCAAACACAGACTGCCATAAAACAGGAAGCTCTCGCGTCGAGCATGTGGGCATTCTCGAACAACAGCCAGAAGGAAACGATTGCGATGCGCATCATAACAGCCATCACGCTTCTTTATCTCCCGCCCACCTTTGTTTGCACATTCTTTGGCACAGATGTGATCAAGTACCAGGATGACGGGAAAGGTAGTGTTTACTTTTCCATTGAAGCGCTGAAAAGTTTCTTCTACGTGACAATCCCTTTGTGGGTTATAACTATTGTTGTGGTGTATTATTTGAACAAGACAGAAACGAAAAGAAGAGGCCAGTCGGCCATGCAGATGGTCGAGAAATATCCTGTGTTGTGGACGCCAAGCAGCACCAGCACGACATCTGGAGGTCTCAAGGAAAAGGGATAGTGAAATCAACCAGGGCACTATATTTCAGGATTAGCAGACCAGGAATTTCATAGTGTCTATACCTATCTCTCAATACGGTAGTGAATAGCAAATCGGTTCTCAGCATGATACTTCATTCTCAAATCCAAAGCCGTAATTATTCGGCAAGAAAGCCTTGACGATCAACACTTCTTGAGCTAATAAGTATTGGTAACTCCAAATGCCCCACATAAGACATGTGTCGAACATTATTTTGCATGGTTTACAAAAGTCACGAAGTCGAAGCATCGCGACAGGTCTCTGGTAGGCGAATGACTTCAGGATGACTAGTTACTTCCCTGCTGCACCTAGGACACTCCTACCTATGATGGGATATTACCACCCCTACACACATCCATATTCATCCACCATCCGAACGGCGTAGCTCAGCTTTCCTGCGATTCTTATTGAGCATCCATTCATTACTTACTCTAGACTCAGCTGTGGCGTCTTGTGGGTGTGGTGGTGCCATGTCGGGTTGCAGCCTAGCGCAGTCGGGTACATTCACTGTAGTGCAAGCCCGCCAGCCCTGTTGCGAGCACGCAGTGGGAGAGCTGGGTTCTCTTGTGTCACGCTGTGAACCACAGTATCACTGTGTGAGGGGGCCGACTTCCTGGCCACTTGGATCGATCCGATGGTGTGCATACGGTAGACCATCTGGGGTTACACAACCCCTCCTTCAGGTGGAGGTGTACAAACCCCTGAGCTTGATAAGCGAAGGACCAACAACTTGAGCCGCATTGCATATTGGGGGATGGGAAGTAGAAATTGTAGGGTTCAGCTGGATGGCCTTGTTCTGAGCAAAGGTGCAATTTCCTTTTCTCACCTCACCTCACCTCAACTCACCTCAACTCACCTCGCCTTACTGTTCGAATTACCACCATTCAACTGAGTCCTAGCAGCCACTTCCCCCCTCCCCTTCTCTCTTTTTCATAACATGCCGGCCTGAAACTAAATCAAAACATGAGGAAGTGAAATTGAAAAGACAGGTATCAACACTCTTCTACCTTGCTCACTCCCATGCATTGGGGCTACAGTGTCCCGTCCCCTTCATAACAATGAGCTCTTCAGACACAGAGGACTTTTACCGGAACTCAATCGCGTCGTTCAAGAAACTGCGCAGCAAGTATGAAAGGCACGAAGCCAGTGATATTGGGGGGCGGCCTTTCATTCTTGTCAGTGCTGTGGATACTGAGATGAAAGCCTCCAGTGGCACAGCACCCAGCCTCCTCATGAATCTTCTCCAAGCATCATATGGCAGGCATAATAACAGTCTGCCAAACCACAAGCCAGGCCAGGTGCACGAATTCTTGCCTATATTCTACAATCTTCTTGATCTCGACTGCGGCCATCTCATCGATCGCTTCATTTACCACACACCGCCACTACAACTCCCGATTGAGAGGGATGTCTTGGAGAGAATGTTCCCTAGAAATGGACAAGACCCTCTCTCAGGAGATTACTTTCAGCAACTCGCTGGACAGATCTACAATCAGCAATGGCACTGGTGTGCGCTGAAGTTCGGCTACCATATGGGCTCCGAGATAGAGCATCACGAGCATATTATCCCGATTACGGCAAGGAGAAGGATAGAGCCTGCTCGAGATAGAGCTCAGAACATAAGTCACAAGACAACTCTTTGGGTAGTCGAGATTCCAATGGAGTGTGTCGACGATGATCTGAGAGAAGAGTTCCAAGAGGTCAGTGAGACTGACTTCGACCGTGAGTCTGGCGGGATGAGTGACATAAAAAAGGTGAGTTCTTCTTTTGCAGCTCCATTCCTATGCTACTTTGGCCCACTCTATGTTGCTTGGGTCGAAGGCTCTCTACACTGACTCTAATGTGTACTTGTACAGAATTACAAACTGGTCATAAAGCAGTTCGAAGACTACGAGAGTTTTGATCGGGAAAGGAGAATACACAACTGCATTCGGAACCAAAATGGCATCGTCAAGTGCTTTGGATGGTATGAACACCGCGAGAAGGATGCCGAAGCAGATCCGATCCCGTACTACAACCTCGTATTGGAGAGAGGTACTCAAGACCTCTATAGCGCTTTCCAAAAGGAGAACCCTCCCATTACTCACGTTGAAATTGAAGCGTTCTGGTCTTCTCTATTTGATGTTGCTGAGGCATTGGCTTCCATTCAGAAGATTGACGAACCTGAAGGCATTTTTATGAGATATGTGTAAGTCTAGGGGCATGAGTAAATCATTTCGTGTGTCCTAAGCTAATGAAACAAAGCTGGCATGGGGACATAAAACCGGAGAACATACTCGACGTCCAGGGGCGCTTCAAATTGGCTGATCCTGGTGAGGCCTGTCTTGTGCCGGTATCGAAACGCGAACACGGCACGCATGTGGATCAAAGAGTATTGAAAGCACAGGTTCCAGGAGGAACCAAAAGTTTCGGTACGGATTTATCACTCAGGTAACTTGATCTAGCACAATGCTGACTGTGCTTTGCGTCTAGCTGCGCCAGAGAAGAACACATACACCACAGAGCCGACGCGAGAGATCCCTTTTGTCACTCAAGGAATCGACATCTGGTCTCTTGGCTGCGTGTTCTCCGTAGCTGCTACATACGTGGTGGCTGGAAAGGAGGGAGTAAAACAGTACCGCCTCCTCCGGCAGAGAGCGTTACGCAAGCTCGGCCTTGGTATTGGCGACCCATTCCATGACAACTCTGTGCTCCCAGAGGTCACAAGATGGCACCAGTACCTAAGAACTTGTGTTCGAACACAAGACGACTATACGGCTAAAGTGTTGGATATTGTGGACCGTTCGATGCTGATCATACCGGGTGAAAAGCGGATTTCTGGATCAGACCTCCATGTCTCTCTAGCACGAATCCATGCTCACGCAACAGGCCAACCCACGAACAGGGCAGAACCACCTGTAGATATCCTTGAATTCCTTGACGATATGATGGCATCAACCGCAGACGATCAACCCCCGACCCTCGAAGACATCCCCAGAACAATTTCCCAGAGCGGCGCAGATATGTTTGAGGAGGCCCTGCTGTATCGATCTCTTAGATCTGAAGGCCGAATACCGCTCCCCAGGCACGCTGGCTCGCCTCAGGCTATCCTTGGACAGTATCCAGCGATTGCCGTTGATCAATCTCGAATGACTTCATATGGGGACACGTGGCTCCCTCTGCGCCCAGGAGCTGACACGGTTCGCCCTAGTCTCCCGAAGATTACGACAGTACTGAGTTCCGAGGAAGCCTCTGCTCCTGTCAACCCGCCGATCACGTTTTGGGAGGTCGAAGCCGAGCTCGAGCAGCAGAACAAGAAGTCATCCGGGCTTATCAAGAGTTTGAACCGAATCTTCATTCCTAGCTCGAAACTGATGAAGGGCAGAGACGAAAAGCTCGCCAAACATTTCGTCAATCGAGACCTTGTGAGTACATTAATGAATCACGCGACATATTGCATCCCATCTTGATAGCCTTTGCCATGAGTGCTGACATTAAGTACCAGGTGTATCTCGTTGACAATGCTTCGACGATGGCCAACTTCTGGAAACATGCGACTTACTTGCTCAGAGTCATGGTCTGGCGATCCCTGAAACTGGACGAAGACGGAATGGAACTGGTTTTTACTACCGGAAAGCCTGACCTCGGCCTGAAGCCAAAAGGCAAGGGGCATAAGCAGAAGCCGGAGGGCTTTGTGAAGAAGATGGACGACGCGAGGCCAGATCCCGACGGGCGAGTCACAACTAACATGAAAGTGAGCCTGGAAATGATTCTGGGTAAGCATATGAAGGACAACTCCGATGGGGACACATTGAATAGGGGCTTGACCATTCTGGTCTTGACTGATGGTTTGTGGGCGGCGAACGACGACACCCACGTTGATGAATACCTTGCGAATTTCATCAAGACCAACAATGAGACTCGGGGATGGGATGGAAACTCGCCTGATGTCCAAACTCGCCGCCGCCCTATCGGTATACAGTTCGTACGCTTTGGACACCATCCGGAGGCGATCCGCAGACTGCAGCGACTAGACGATGAGTTGATGCACCGAGTGGAGCTGTTTGACAAAGAGATACCGTAAGCACAATCTCCGTTTCACACTATTCACTCCGAGGTTTCTAACTCCTTTTGCAGAGACATGGTAGATACCGAGAATGCGGACGGTGACTTCTACAAGATGTTCTTGGGTAGCATGTTGGAGGACATGGACAACAAGCTTATACAGGGGGGTGTCGGTGCAGACTCGCTGTCTGTGCACATGGGAAATCCGGCGTCGGCGATCACTGTTGAGTCCTCAACACCCAGTTCAAGACGAGCTTCCAATCTCTTCTACCCCCTCCAGAGCCGCACATCGTTTAGGTATCAAAACGATCCAAGCACACATACACTTTAGTCTAGAACCGGCCCAGATGGTGGGTCGAGCCGGAATTCCTCGTTTGGCAATACTACAAATCCGAGGTCTGTGTTTCAAGACTGAGAGCCTTACCACAGTCAGCCCGGGCCAATCTCGTACCTGGCATGGGTCTCCACTGAACGGTCAGGAATAATGAGGAGGATGTTGCTATATTATAGGTTATGATGTCTTTAATGAGTGCTATGAATAACGATTTACGTCTTGTACTAGGGCCTGAAAGTGTAAAACCACAAGCTGGGAGGAGGAAAAACCCATTATTCTCTCATTGGTTGGCCTTTTTTTGTTATGAACTGGTGTCTATCCTTAGAAAATGGCTGAGGGAATGGCTGACCAGTAAAAGAAATTATGTTTCACCTGTTGGCTGGGTCACGTATTGCAATACGACGTTTGGTTGGTGTAGTGGTTAATCGTTGTTAATTATGGAAGGAAGGAAGGTAGAAGGCTTGATTGTGCTAGCTATTTTGTATGCAGCGTTAAAGCTGCTGCCTGCTGGGCATCCTAATGGGCTAAAACTGCTTAGCCTTAAATAATCTTTTATATAAATAATACTTATTATTCTTATATTAATAATCTTTATTTTATAAGTATATATTATTTTTAAAAAGTATAAAAGAAAGAAAGGTATTAAGTTAAATTAAATTTAAGGTTAAAAGGCATTTAATTAATTATATATATAAATTAAATTGCAAGTATATTATTATTTTACTGCATTATATTATTATAAAAGGTAAATATATAAAAAGGCTTAGGTTGTTATTAAAAGGTTAAAGATTAATTAATTTATTAAAGTATATAATTAATAAAAAAAGGTTAATTAAGTATATATATATATTAAAATGTTTTAATTATATAAAGTTAAAAAGCTTAAAAGATTGCAATTATTATATAAATATTTTATTTACAATATATTTTATGGATTTATATTTTTATTGCTTATAATGCCTAGGTTAAATAAAGATTAAATTAAATCTTTAAATTACTAATATAATTATTTAATTTTTAAATAATTAAAATTTCTTAATTTAGCTTAGCTTAAGCTTTATTATATTTAATGCTGCTTATTAAATAAAGAAATTAAAGAATGTAATTAAAGGATAGGTTGTTAAAATAAGGGTTAAGTAAATAAAGTTAATAAGTTATAAGAATTAATAAATAAGGTATTTAAATAAAGGGAAAATAGGGTATAAAATAAAAATTATTAATTAAGTTAATAAATAGCAATATTTTTAATTTTAATATATAGGTATTAAATTATAAAATTTAATTAAAAATGCTTATTAAATATAAGCTAGCAACTTAAATACCCATGGGATAATAGTAACCTTTATTACTTAAATTCTTAATATATAAGCATTATTATAAAAATCTTAAATATAAAGTTTACTCTTAGGAGGGATATAATTTAAAGTTAGCTAATTACATTGCATTATAAGGTAATTTATAAGTAATTAATAAATATAAATTAAACTTTTATATTTTTATTATGCATTGCCTTTAATTAAAAAAGTTATTTTATTATTCTTTACTAAAAACCTTTAATAGTTTTTTTATCTTTATAATTACATAATATATATATTTAAATTAATTATATTAATATTAATATAATAACTTTATAATATATAATATAATAATAATATTTAAGGTTATATTGGCGCGGTTTGCTAGTAAGTTGTTAAATTATGCTTTAGTAATTTAGGTTTAAGCCTTAATACATTATGATTTTCCTAACTTTTTTTGCTGCATTTAAATAATTACCTTATCTTTTTAATTATAATCCACATAGCTTTATATTTTAATTATAATATTATTTATATTTATAAAGCGTTAAAGAGTGTTATTAAGGGTACTTTTTATAAAGGCATTAGCTAGGTTATAGTTTTTAGCAATTTAATAAATTTTAAAGATCTTATGCTTTTTATATAATTATTAAAGAATTATAATATTAATTATAAGGCGCTTTTTTTTATTATATTAAGCTTAATTAAGCATTTATATAAAAAGTATAAATTAATATATATTATAAAAGGAATTATTATAATGCTTAAATATATAATAATTTAGCATAAAGTAGCTATTAGCATTATAGCTATATTAAAGCCATTAATTATGCTATAAATTTTTAAAGTTAAAATACTTTAAGTTACTTTTTAACATTTAATTAAGGATTAATAAATAATATTATTTTTAATATTTTATTTAAAAGCTTATTAAGTTTATATTTTATTTATAAGTATAATAATAAAGTTAATTTATAAGCTAAGGTTTTTATTATTAGCAAATAAGCTATTAATAAAGATTATTAATTTAGCTTAAAATAGATTTAAAGGTATATATTAAAGTTTATATTTTAAGTTATTAGCTTATCATTATAATTAGCGATTTAGCCTATTATAGTTCTTATAAAAAGGCTTTTAAATTTAAGCTATTATTAATAAGTTAAATATTGCCTTAGGTTAATAAATAAAAGCAAGGTATGCTTTTTATATATATTATTTTATATATTATTAAGTATAATTATTAACTTTATTATTAATAAGTATAATCTTCTTACTTTAGCCCTTTTAATAAAAATATAAAATGCCTTTATTAAAGATGCTTATAATTATATTATTAAAAATAAGTAATTTATTAAGGGTAAGTATTTCTTTTGGCTTGCATTAAATATTTACTTCCTTAATTTTTTATTTTTTTAGCTTTAAGAATATTGAAATATTAAGGGATAAAGTATTATTGGTTTAGCAAAAATATTCTTTCCTTAATTTATAATTAAAAGGTATAAGTTATATACTAAAATAATTATACTTAAATTATTATAATGAAACTTATAATAGGTTGCTTATTAATATATATTGAATTTAATAATATTATAAAGCGATTTAATAACTTATATAATGGTTTTAAGAGGGTATTTATTTTAAATCTTAGGGAGTAAGTAATATAAAATAGGTTGCTTAAGCTTAAACTTTAATTAAGGCTATATTTAAGTAATATTTTAAAGCTTTAATTAAAAGCTTTATATTAAAAAGAATGGGGTTAAAGTAATTAAAAGCGTTTAGCTAGCTTTTTAAATAATTAGAAATTATATAAGGATATTATGCTTATTTTTATTATTATATTTAATGATAATAAGCTATGATTTTTTATATAGTTTTTTAATTTTGCTCTTAATTTTATAAATAATGCGTAATTTAAAGAGCTAAATACTTTTATGCATTTTAGGATTAAAGCATTTAAAGTAAAAGATATTGTTGCTAATTAATTCTATAATCTCCTTATAATTAAATTCTTTAAATAGGTTATTTAGGGTATTAATTATATTATTACGTTAAAGCTTTAAAGAGAGATTATAATTTTTAACCTTTTGCTAAGATATATTTTTTTTAATTTATTTTTTAATTTCTTAAGCTATTTATATTATTAAGGTTATAGCGGTTTTGGTATTGCTAGGATTGAATTTAATTTAAATTAAATAGGCTTATTAAGAATATTATTTAAGTTAGAAATTAGCTAAATATTATTTTTACCGTTTTTATTTTAATAATATAGTTAAATTAGTATTAATTGGAAGATTATTAGGTTATTTGAAAGGTTTAATATAAGGTTATGTTTATTAGTGCTAAGCAATTTATATAATCCTTGCTAATTATGCTTTTTTTGCTATATTTATATATTACTTTATAATAAAAGATTTAATATTTTTCTAGTATTTAGGTTATTATAAGTATTTAAAGCTATATTAACTTATTGTTTAATATAAACTTTACATAGCTTTTTTATAGCTTTTTAAATAACTATTGCTTTTTTAAAAATTAAAAGAGTTAATATAAAGCTTTTTATAAGTTTTAAATATGTATTAAAGATAAAGAATATTAAAATAATATTATTAGGGCTAATTATATTATTTATTATCTTAATGGCTATTTATAAAATAGCTTTTTTAATATAAGTTCTTAAGAGTTTAATATAAAGGATGTTAAAAGCTTATTAAAATAAAGTATAATATTTTTTAATCTTATTAATAAATTAATATGCCTTTATTAATATTTGCTTATAAGTAATGCTTATAATTTATATAGTACTTTGGAATTTTGCTAAGGTAAAGTTAATTTTAGCGTTATAAATAATATAATTTAAAAGTTTTAAATAAGTATTTATTTAATATTGCTAAATAGCCTTTTATATATTCTTTATAAAAAGAAAGATTAAAAAACATTTAGCTTAAAAAGAAGTTATTAAATTAATAACTTATAAAATAAATAAAGTAAATAAATATATAATATTTATAATAATCTTATAATTAAAATTAACATTATTTTAAAAATTAAACTTAAAACATTATAATGCTATGGAATAAAGTTAATAATAATAATAAAACTTAAAAATTACTTTTAAAATAAAAAAATTAATATTATTATAATTAGCATTAATAAAGAGGCGCAAAAGATAATTAATTAAAGGGTATTTAAACCTATAATAAAGTTATTAAAGCTTTATTTTTATTAAGAATATTGCTAATATATAATTACTTTTTATATTAAGGAAAATCTATAGGTATTTTTACTTCTAGGTAATTAAGAAATTTTTTTTTAAATATTTATCTTTTTATTAAATTACTTTATTAATAATATTTTAAAGAAAAAGAAAGTTTTTATTTATATTTTAAATATAAAGAAGGAAGAGAGTAGGCTTATTTATAATATAAAATATTAATAGCCTTATTAAAATATTAACTTATATTATATTAAGTAACTTAATAAGTAAGCCTAAGTTAAATTATACTTATGCTTTGCTAGCTTATATAATATTTAAGTATATAAAAGATACTTAACATTATAAAGCTTAAAATTACTTATATTTAACTATTAAAAATATTGCTGTATTTATATTTAGCATAATATCTTAATATTATTAATAAAAGTATTAATTTTAAATAATAAATATCTTTATTATTAAATAATTTTTAAAGTTAAAGCAAAAATTAAAGTTACTTATATTATTAAAAAAGTTATAAAGGAAAGCTTAATTTATTAAAAAGGTATACTAAGTATGCTTCTTTTTGCTATTATTAATAGCTAAAGTTATTATAATATTAATAGCTTTAAAGTTAAGATCTTTAAAGTTAATAAGGAATATATTAAATTTATTATTATTAACTTATTATTTAATATCCTTATATATATAAATATATATAGCTTTAGTATATTATTAATTTTTAAGTAAATAATTTATTAATTAATATCCTTTTTTATAATATATAAAATACTTCTTTTTCTTACATTATATATTATTATTATTACCTTTATTAAGCTAATATTTATTATTATAGCTATTTTTATAAAGTTCTTTATTATAGCTATTGCTTTTAAATTAATAGGGCTGGCTTAAGCAAAAGTTTAATTAAAAGCTATTACTTTTAAAAAAAGGTTAAAAGTACTTTAAGCATTAATTATTATTATTATATTGCTTATTAAGATAATATTACTTTTTAATATTTATAATAATTAAATTATTATTATCTTAATTATTATAATTATTAATATAGCCTTATTTATAAGCTTATTAATTATTTTTTATAATTATATATTATAATATAAAGTTTTAAGCCTTTAATATTTTAATATATTATTATAAAATAAAGTAAAGCTATTTAATATTTATTAGCATTATTAAGATAATATAATAAAATTTAAAAATGCCTTATATTACTTATAAAATTATGTTTTATAAAGGGTTATTTTTATAAATAATATATTTAAGTATTTTATAGCAAAGCTATATTTTATTAATAAGCATTTAAAGAATATTTATATAACTTTTATTTAAGTTTCTTTATTAAAAAGTAAAGAAAATTAAAGTATTTTAATTTATAAAATAGTTATAATAATTATTATTTATATTAAAATAGTTTTTAAGTTTTTTATATACTTAAATAAATAAATTCTTTTAATTAATAACTTAAATATAGTATATCTTTATTAATTCCTTAAATATATATAAAAGAGCTGCCTTAAATTATTAAGGCTATATTTATAAGTTGCTATAAGCCTTATAAAAAAAAGGATTTTATTATTAAGAATATTATATAATTCTTTAATAAATATTTTATTTTTATAATAATATTTACTTAAGTTAGCTATTATATTTAGGTTAAGTAAAAAAATTTTTATTTTTATTAAAAGTAAGAGGGTATAATGATTATATATTATATAGAAGTTATTAGTTAAAGGAAGGTTGCTACCTTTTCTTAATAAATTAAGAGGTTTTAAAGGGTTATTATTATCTTTATTGCTATTATTAAGTGGGTTGGGTGGTTTAGGTAGTTTAAAATTAAGAGAATTATTATTATTAAATGGTTTTTTAGCTTTTATTAAAGTATAATTAAAGTTAAGGATAATATAAGTATTTAAATCTAGCTTTAAATTTAATTAATTTTAAATATAATATAATATTTTTGCTTTTAATTTATTAATTATTTAAAATAATTTAATACTTTAAGGATATATATTAATTTCTTTAAGGTATTTACTTTTTAAATATAAATGCCTTTAACTTAAAAAGTTTTTTTAATAATGCATAGTAAGTTTTTATTAATTTATATAAATATTAGCTTAATTTAGCTATAGAAATTCTTAATAAATGCTTTATATATTTTATTATTTAATATATATATTATAATTTAAATTTAGCCTTAAATATAAGTATTTAAGTATTATTTATTATTACGAAATTCTAGGGGATTTATTTATATTAAAGGATTAAATATCTTAATAATGCTTTTAAGTATAAGAGTATGATTTATTATAATTAATATTAATAAATTATTTTAATTAATAATATTGCTTATTATATTTATTACATTATTATTATTTCTTATTATTTTAATAAAGTAATAATAGGGGTATATTTAATTTAAAAAAGGGAGTAGTGAAAAGGGGAAATAAATAGTGTTAAGGAAAAAATAAAGAAGTTAAGAATTACTTTTATAACTTAGCCGTTAAGAGGTAAATTAATTTCTTTTTTTATATTTATTTATATAATAAAATATAAGTAAATATATTATTAATAAGAATAAATATTAATTTAGTTTTTTTAATTATAACTATTAAATTTAAAAGTTATTATTAAGGTTGTTTAAGGCGTAATAAATGCATATATATTAAGGATAGGAGAGTTTGCTATAAGTTTTTATTATAATAATTATTTTTTTATATATTAAGTATTATTATTATTATAAATTACGTTATGTAGATTTATAATATTAATAATATTAATTAATATAATTAAAAGGTTATTTCTTTAGGCCTTATTAATTTATAATTGCTTTTATAATTATTAATTAATATTAACTAGGTTATGTATTATAATATAATGTTTAGTTGGTATAGTAGTTAATTGTTATTAATTATGAAAGGAAAGAAGGTAGAAGGCTTAACTATGCTAGTTATTTTATATACAGCGTTAGGGTTGCTGCCTGCCGGGCATTTTAACGGGCTAAAGCTGCCTAGCCCTAAACAGTCCTCCATACAAACGACACCCATTATTCCCACATTACCCATAAATTAATACCTAATTGTGTTTCGACTTCTCCTGGTCTAACATCTTTAAAAATTGGTCTGTTAGAAGTTGGAAAAGCAACATTCTATCCTCAAGTCTGAGACCTGCACTAAGCTGCCCTCCTCCTTTGTGCCTGAGAAGACCTTATGCTGAGCAAGGCAGATTGACATTTTTGAGACGCCTGGTGATACCATCAGATTCACTGGCATCAAGATGAGCAACGCGTTCCAACATGCAACGAGATGGTTGGAATCAAACAGTGGCTTCGGCTTTGGAACTCCCATCAAATTGTTGTCCCATTTAATTGATTAAAATCAATGATGCTCATGGTTTGCTGTCGTCAGTCCCCTGTATCTTTGAACAACATCAATGAATCTGACAACATGCAGTTGACCAATAAGATACCTAGTTAGGCTGGAAGTTGGAAGACTTTGGATGGTGACGCCTGATGGGTCGATGGCCACAATTTATGCTGCCATGACACCGATTGTGGTGTGACAGGGGTTTCCACTCAAACCTAGATAAGATATAGAAGTCTGCCACCACCCTATTATTGTAAACAGTGCAGGGAGGACCCCAATAATGCTGAGTTTCTGTTCCAGTCCTGTGAGTGCAAAATATCAATCCAAGTGGAGGCATATTTTGCACACCAAAGCTGAAGGATCGATATCTACAGATACCAGTGTCCACCACTGCATAGAAAATCATTGCATCTCAAGCTGACGCGACTTGTACCCAGCAAGTTTTTGACATCAGTGCTTAGAGCAATATTATCATTGTCCCATTGCATGATCACGTTTTGCTAGGCCACATTCTCCCCATTCTCCAAGATGAGGAACGTGGAATGTTGGCAGAGGTGACTGCAGATTCTCTCGATATTCTAAACCCACTACAAATCTAGGTGGGTACCTATGTATCCAAACACTCCACCCATAGCTTAAAGACTGCTCCCTGGAAGGTATACACAATTTAGATGAGAAAGCCTGGTCTGCAGGGTCAAACCAAGCCATCATCACATTTCAAGATATACAGCTTGCCAGTAGAAAGTGGATGGTTGCCTTGATGTTTCTGTCTGGGTCACACATTCTGCTTGAGTCGTGACAGGTCATAGTGCAGGTGTGGCAGCAAGCCTGAGCCCAAGTACCAGCTTCTTACTCGCTGGGGCATTTCACTTTGGGTGGGCCAGTTTCTTGTTTGCTGGGTCCGGATGACAACATCAAGCACATGAAGAGCTGTGCAATGTGAGCAAGTCAGGGTGAAGTGGGCATCACAGCCCCTTTTCTGAAGCAGAGGCGACAGCACCCTCCGAATGCAGTCAATTGATATCTGGCCTACTGCAGCTTGCTCCTCCCCCTGAATGCTGGAGGCTGAAGTGGCTCGAGGGGGATTACGTAAATTGTCACGTGGCAGGCAGGAGCTCGGGCCCACTGCTGACTCTGCCGGTTGGGTTGGCAGGCTGGGGTGAAGTGGTCTAGGCTAACGGGTGATGTTGAGACATCGGCAGAGAGAGGCAAAACCAGAAGAAGCTTATATCTATCACAATCCAAAGTATCCATTGACCATCTCATACAGCATTGTCGACCACTGCAGACATTCATTACACGGGTGAGTGGTGATTCCCATGCCTGGCCCAGTCACCAGCAACGCATTGCCTGCTGCAGAGGCCCAGGGACTGACTGGCTGACCTTCCCCTCCATCCAACCTAAACAAACACCCCAGCCAGCCCACCTGCCCATCCTTCGAGAGCACTCCTCCGTATCCCAGAGCCTCAGCTGGAAGTTGATGTGGACTTGGTCGAAGCTGACAATCCTCTGCGCTGCAGTGTGTGACTCGACTACCCGCTCGATCAAAGCAGAAAACATCAAAAAACAACATCCATTGCCACCAGCCGTTTGCGCCGTTTGCATTGGCCGACTGCCATCCCCCTGCTGTGCTGCTTCCCTCGATGACAACGAGTCAGCTGTGACAAACACGCTGGCTCCCTCGGCCGATACCGATACGGATACCAACCGCCTCCTGCCCTCGGTCCCGCGAGGGTGAATGGGGTCTTGACCTCGAGGACAAGATCGACCGCCAGCTTCGCTCCTCCTCTCGCCTGCGAGCTTCTATGCTGGAGTCCCAACACGTCGAGTCTCCCATGCGCCGACACCGATCCCGACGTTGCTCCTTCGAACCCGAATCCCACACATCGCATGCCCTCCAGAGCTATCTTCAGCACCCGCCTCGCCGACCCTCCCTGCCCGTGCCCGGTCTCTCCCTCGGCGATCACCCATGGTAGCTAAATGGCAGATGGTTATCAGTATCTCCAGCAGCACCTTGGCAACCTCATCTACGTACAGCCCACACCGAAAAACCCGCTCGCGAACCAAACTCTCCTGAACACCCTTCTCAGCCACGTCTCTCCAAGCCCGCGTCCCGCCTCCAAGTCCCCAGACCTCGGCGCTCACGCCCGCTCCTCCCAAGGCATGTACAACTCGGGCCACCAGCCGGGGCCCAACTCACGCCTCAATGGCGGGCCTTCCGCCTCGTCGCGCGGCATGCCTATGCTCTACAACCACCCCTCCAATCCCTCACACCAGTACGGTCACGCCTCGCACCATCAGGGGATACAGCCTGACCACTCCGGCCATGCTGGGTCCATGGGCCACGCCTCCGGTTACTCGAGCGGTGTGATGCCAAATGCGAGCCCATACTCCAATAATAACGTCCCCAATGGTCATCCCGGTACAACAAGAGGCGGCCAAGCACAACAGATCAACGACGAATGGGCAGCGCAATTGAGGGCGCATAAGGATTCGCAGAGAGCACACGCGGCCGTGGTCGACCAGCACCAGGGGCACTACTTTGCTCGTCTCAAGGCAGCGGAGAACAGGGGCATCGGTCCCACCATCACAGCAACGTCAACTACAAACCAGGTGGAGGGCGATGACGATGCAGGGGTCAGGCGCCCTCACATGGTCGAGAAGACGGACGAACGGCAGGATTGGTTTAACCTCGACATGAGCGGCCAGGGGCTGCGCAACCTGGCGACACCGTGTTTTAATTACAGCTTCCTCAAAGAACTGTACCTGGCCTCCAATAACCTGACGCGGATCCCCGAGGAGTTTGGTCAACTCAGATGCCTGACGTTGCTCGACTTATCGCACAACCAGATCCACGAGATCCCGCCCGAGATCGGCATGTGTACCTCGCTCAAGCAGCTGTACCTGTTTGACAACCAGATCCGGTCGCTTCCGTACGAATTGGGTCATCTGTTCAATCTCGAGATGCTGGGCATCGAAGGCAACCCCCTCGAACACGACTTGAAGCAGGAGATCATAGAAAAGGGCACCAAGAGCCTCATCAGCCTTCTCCGCGAACAAGCCCCTGGTAAGTCAAAGTGTCCGGTGCCAGCCTTCGCACAATAGCTCGCTGACACAGCAAACAGTGCCTCTTCCTCCGAATCCCAGACCTGTCATTGTTCTCAACCCCGACAGTCCCCCGACCCTGGAGCGCATCAAAGTCTTGACATGGAATATCCTCTGCGAAAAGTATTCGACGACGACCATGTACGGGTACACACCGACCGGGGCCTTATCTTGGGAATATCGGAAGGACGCCATTCTGCAGGAAATCCGCGAGCGGGATGCCGACGTTGTGTGCCTGCAAGAAGTCTCGGTGGACGCGATGAACGAGGTCTTCAGCCCAGAGCTAGCTGCCGATGGCTACAAGGGAGTGCAATTCTCGCGTTCGAAGGCTAAGATCATGGGCGGCAAGGAGGCCAACGCGGTGGACGGATGTGCGGTCTTTTACAAGGCCAAGAAGTACATTCTCCTGGACAAGCAGATGATCGACTTCCAGAACATCGCCATCAACAGGCCCGACATGAAATCCCAGCATGACATCTTCAATCGTGTCATGCCGAAGGACAACATAGGAATGATATGCTTCTTCGAGAGTCGACAGACAGGGTCACGGATGATTGTGGCGAACGCCCATCTCGCCTGGGAACCAGAGTTGGCTGATGTCAAGCTGATCCAGACGGCCATTTTGATAGACAGCGTCACAAAGCATGCCGAGAAGTATGCCCGGTGGCCCGCGTGTCGAGACAAGAAGTTCATCCAATTGGCTCCGGAGGGCGAAGAACGCGAGGTGATGCCCGAACCGGCGCCGTCCCAAGAGTACCGGAACAACACGGACATCCCGCTCTTCGTTTGCGGTGACTACAACTCCACCTACGACAGCTCTGTCTATGAGCTTCTGTCCAAGGGGCGAGTTGAGCCTAACCACCCGGATTTCGGCGAAAGGCAATACGGCAACTTCACCCGGGACGGCATCGAGCATCCTTTCAACCTGCGGTCCTCCTACTCTCAGCTGATGCACTCGGCGGACCAACTGCCGTTCACGAACTACGTGCCCACGTTCGAAGGCGTCATCGACTACATCTGGTACTCGAGCAACTCGCTGGAGGTAGTCTCCCTGCTGGGACCGCCCGACATGGAATATCTTAAACGTGTGCCCGGCTTCCCCACGTACCACTTCCCCTCCGACCACATGCACCTCATGGCAGAAGTGGCCATCAAGGCGAGGAAGGACAAGAAGGTCCTGCCGGAATCTTCGGACTTCTCGGGCCGATAAAGCACATCATCCCTTCTGCAGCAGTCGTTGGGTGTGTGTTGGCCGCCCGTGTTGGAATCTTGCGTTTTGTTTGGTTTGTCTTGAAGTGGAAGTTCAAATCTCCCGGTGTTCTGGATCTGGTTCAAGGAATTGCGGGTTGATGGTTTCGGGAGAACGGAAAGCAAGGGCCTCGGGGAGTGTGTGCCGGCGTTTGCGCCGTGTGTGAGAGTGTGTCTGTGAGTGTGTCTGTCAGCCAGTCATTCGGGTTGTTGGTTCTGGCGCGATCTACTGGCGGTAGAGGCAAAGGAGCTGGAAGATCCCATTGAAAATAACAGGTTTCTCCATCTCAAAGAAAATCCACAATCACATGTTTGGCTGGAACCCCTTTCCTCTGATTCATTACTGGAACTCGGGAGTTATCGCCCCGGTGGACAGTACATGGAAAGGGTCGCCGGCGGTTCCGCAGTGTAGGAATATAATCCCCATTTATGGTTTTCTCCCCCTTCACTTTCCTCATCCTCCATCGGCGAGACTGTGGCTTTCTGCTGCAGCAGGCTGTGAGTACGGGCTTCAGGAGCAGGAGGGTCTTGGCTTTTTGTTCTCTAGACGACAGCGGACAGGACGCGCCTGACCAGCGATATGTTCAAGGGGGATTTACACCGGAACGGACAGACGTGATGGATCGGTAGAGGAGCAACGGGGTTTACTCACTTTGGATCAAGTCAAGGGGTCAAATAAAGGCACAAGCATGGACGGATTGAATGGATGGATGGAGGGATGGACATTACATCGTTACACATTTGCATGCGAAACGGAAAGGCACAGCGCGGCAGGGGGCAGGAAAGGAAAGGTGGACATTCCAGTCTAAGCACATGTTTTTCCTCAAGAGATCATCGAGCGTTTCCTTTCTCAGGCCAATCAAGGTATATGTTTGTCTCTCTGTGTGTGTATGCGGGCGTGTGTTTGTGTTTCATTTAGAAGTATCTTGGTTTTGGGGGCTTCAGGTGTCCTTTCCTTGTTCTTGGCTTCTTGTAGTATCTGCTCCTTCGACTTATCCCAAATGACATAATTCGAAGGCTCTTCTTCGCTGCTGGCTTCTTCTTGGTGCTGTGTTGCAATTTCAAATCTTTGGTGAGAACTCGGAAGTCGTTCCCACTTGTATATAGTTTGCCTCCTGGGTACCTTGTTGAGTGGCAATGGCACAATATAATAAGATGAGATTAGTTCCCTGTATGCTGGTCTTGATACATAAATTACATGGATTGCCCAATTGTTCCTTATCATCTGGAACACGAGTAATATAATTCTTACAAGTTTATAGAAACAGGAGATTCAATGCTTCAAACAGTATGGTTCTCATTGTTGACTGACCATCTACCAAGTTGCTTTCCGTGTCTGTCGTTGTCTTGAAAATCTTTTTGGGCCTTCTATTAAAATGGGGAAATCTGGCCAGCAGTGTCTACAACCTCAGGGAGATGCGACTTTAGAAACTTCAACACTCGAGATCCAACTCAAGCAGATCCAAAAACAATTTGCCAGTATGGTATGAGCTCCTGTGGGTTTCCGCGCGATAAAGACCCAAATCATCTGTAGCAAAAGGGTTGGTCCTGCACGGATGAGCCACTCACGGGCAGCTTCAATCCTGCTGAGGAATAGTTGGAAAGGTAAGCAGGCAGCAGACAGACCAATGAACAGTTGATTTAAAAAATCACAGTGTGGCCGAAGCCTTTTTTGAGAGTCTGAGATGTGATAGCAATAGGATGTTGAAACTCCACCGCATAGGAGGACAAGGCCAGACAGGAAAGACGGAGCAACCAAATGAGGAATACTATCCTCTGGAGGATCTGGTGAAGTCTCTCCTGCACTGTCTTGAGCAAATTGTGGGCCATCAGAGCGACTTTCGATCCGAGAAAGCGAGCGCAGGATATCTTATCAAAACACCGCCATGGGCACGGCTGGAAGGCTTCGATTTCATGGACATCGCAAGTGGGAGCCGTCAAGTTTCATCCCGCGGGATGAAACTACGGTACGATGGAAAAGGATGGGTACGGCTCACGCGTGCACTGAAAGCACCGACAATTTTTGGCAAGCATTTTGGTGAGATGCTGGAGCCAGCCGGCGCTGATTCAGACTGGACTGTATGTGCCGTATGTCACTGGAACGATGTCATGCCACCAAACCGCGACCTTCTGGCTGTCCAGATGGAGTATCTTCTAGATTCCGGCGAAGAAGATTGTGGGAGACTGCGCTTTGCCGACGGGTTGTGCGTGGATCTTCCCTCATTGCTGTTTGAGCCCTGCCTACGAGACAGATCCACTCCGATGTGTCAAGACAGTGACAGGATCCTAAAGTCGCAGCGAGCGTCAGAGAGTGTAAAGGCCCCGCCCTCCCTTGATGCCCGTTTCAAAGCGAGATTCTTTTCAACAGAGTGGCTGAATATGAAATGGATTTGGGGACAGGCAGAGGATAGAAACACTGGGATCGGCCCGAGCTCATCGACAAAATTGGCAGAAGCTGGCGCTATTCTCCTCGGAATGCCTGGAGACCACACCGAAACAGGGAACCAAGGAAAAAGCGGACTCCTGAGAGGCCTTTTCCGATATCCATTCCAATCCCAGCCATCCGTACAGCCCCAACAAGTCAGGTTGTCACCACTCCTCAGTAATGATAACACTGCGGACAACTGGGACTCGACCTCAAAGACCTCGCGTTCTCAAACAGAGGATACGCCGCTGACTCTTCCATCCAGCTCAGGACTCTTACTAAACTGCCCTGGGGACCTGCGTAGCCCGGGCTCTTTCTCGTCTGCTTCCTCACAGCCTTCAAACGACGATTTTCACAAGCGCAAAAGGGCTCTACAGCGTCAAGAACAGAAGACTTAGCATGAGAAGAGAACATCTTGTGAAAATTTTGAATTTGGATGTCGGAGTCATTCACGAACACGATAAGTAGAGTAGATACATGGAATGCTTGACAGTTTGAGTCATCCAACCTTAGAAAATACACCAGGCTTGTGTATGCGTGCGTCTTGATTTGGCTTCAATGGCTTGACCAAGATTCATTACCAGCTAAGCCTCTCTTAGGCCTTTTCTTTCACAGCCTTTTAAAGCAAAGTCAAACCTGGGTGGAGATGCGGACTGGCTGAGCCAAACCGAAGCGACCCTTCGTGGCGGAACATCGACTGACACCTATATCCGGGCTTTCTGAGATTTCAGTGATGGTGTCTGTACCCCTTGACCTTTCTGCTGGCCGAATTCTCGGTAAATATCGGGCAGGAAGCTCGCCAAGTTGGTGAACTCTGTCTGATCATGCAACAATTGTTCGTAGGCGACTTTCTCGCCCGCTGCTGCACGTTTGATGCCCATCAAACCACCGATCCAGTCCACGAATAACTTCAGCCCGAAGACATCCACGTAAACCTCATGGGCAAGGTAATACCGACTCCGGAGCTCCAAGCCATCATTGGTCTTCCTCCACAGGTGGATCATGTCCCCAACTTTCAACGGGAGATCCTTATCCCACAGAAGCCCACAGACGGCAGCCTCGTACCCTGTCTTCTTCAGGTCCTCCCAGGTTCCGAGGCCAAAGTAGCTTGGCTCCTTGAACTCGATCCGCAGCGTCATGTGCTGCGGGCCAATGAACTCGCTGACAGTGTGTGTCGAGCCGAGCCACTTGTGGCGGTGAGATATGTCCTCCCTCTCGAGGATGGGTAATCTCTTGCCAGTGATCGAGTCTCTCTTGACCTCAGGCGTGAAGTTGCTCGTTGTCCACCACGAATATGTGGACTTGACGTCGCAGTGGTTGTATGGATACCAAAGCGCGTACCTTTCACCCTCGACGCTGTGCCACCAGAACCACCAGTCGATCATCTCGCCGGTGCACCCTGGGAACTGCGTCCTGGAGGTCACGTAGCCTGCGCCGTCTGGGTAGACATACCAGCCGTTCTCGACGGCGTGGTCTCCCGGCTCCAGCAGCTTGCGGATCTGCGCGAGAGGCAGCACGTCCCTTTCTGGGTTGCTGATTGGTCGGGGGATGGCGTCGAGTGCCTCGCGACGGATATACAGCGGCGAGTCGTGGAAGTAATGTGAGTAGGGTTTGCCGGCCATGCGCTGCTGCATTCGCGTATGTTGCTGCTGTGTGGCGAGTGGGTAGTAGGTCACTGGGACAAGTGACGGGTCTTTCGACCTGTTGTCTCCATCATGCCGTTTGCTAGTGGTGTTGTTTGACGTGGAAGCCATTCTGTATGCTACGATCAAGGCCAAAATTGGCGGGAGGAAGTTTGTGACGAAGTAGTGTCACTACATGGCACCGAGGATGAATTTTATAACTATGGATGTGGAACCGCAGGTCACTAATAGCTATTGCTCGAGGCAGTCCGACGTCGTTTCTCGCATCAACTAGCCAAGACAGGTTACTTCCCGCTACCCGACTGTCGGTTCTGGCTTCGTCCCAACTATCTCGCCGAGGCTGGGTTGGAGAAGCAATACATGTGAGTCGTCCGTAATGCGGGGAACGATCGTCGAACTTTCCTAGACACATCCTTGCTCACCATGTCTGCCTGGAGACTCCTTGTGCCTTCGAGGCCTACCACTTTGCAACTCAAGTGCAGCAATGGCAGTGGAAGGACGCTCGAGCATTGTACTTGTCCAATCGCCGAGATTCGCTGCGGATCTATGTTGCAAGCACCGCTTCAGCACCTGGGCAGACAAGACTGGAGCCTTCCAACCCGCGCCAGAATAAGAGGACGCATAAATGCCTTGGAAATTGTAAGTATGTGGCAAAATGCCTGTTGGCATCATCACAGCCTCGCAAAGTCTCGTGGGTATTCTTTCATAGCCTCGATGAGCATGCCTATTAGTCGTGCTGGACTCTTGACCGCCTCCCTCCCCGGCTAGCCTACCAAACAATAACAACACCAGAACAAGGGGAGAATCACTTGGTTGCTGCTTTCGACATGGCATCAGGCTGTTTACGTTTTGAAGTCGTTGGCTCGCAGATCCTGAGAATAGTCCCGCCTGTCACTACGGAAGCTCGGGCAAAGATCCGTTGATTTTCGAATGTCTGTGATGAGTATTGTCAGAGCATGATGATATGCGAGAAAGCCTTGACTATACAAGCCCATCATGACCAAATGTGACAAGCCAATACGACATTGGTGGAGTATCTCCTTATCCAGCAATCCGGACATAGCATGGCTCTAACTTAGTTGGACTCAAGGCGCTTACACGGGCTGTCTACGGTTGCTTCCGGACCCACAACCCCCAAACTGTTGCCATGGCGCTCACACGCGTAAACACAGCGTGGAAGTGTATTTTGTCCCAGGGCGCTCCTTGCGGAAGCCGGTGACATCGGTTCTCCAGGTAGTCACCCGATTGCCGATCCTCGAGGCGCGGTCAAGAGGATTTTGCGCGTGATGCTGGGTCAACCGTGAGTCGTAACCGCCGGCCATGGACCACCGGGAGTGTTTTACCGTGTAGTTCTCCACTCGAGCGCTTCTGCATGGGAGTCCTGAGTCCGATGGCCTGACCGGATATTCTCGACACACAATCAAGCTTCGGCCGCCAAGAGCGCCGAGTACGCCGAGGCTGCCGAGACCGCGAGCACTCCCTCCGTGGTAGCAATCCGGTATCTGAATCCGGGGTAGGACAGCCCCTGAGGATCGTTTTGCTTTTCTCCCCAGCGATGATCCCTTTCTGTTTGGGAAACATTCGACCAGGTCATTATCGCGAAACTCGCCTCCTTGGCAGCGGTTGAGAAGCCGTCCCTCCGCGTTGGCACTCTACTTGCAGAACATCTCATCAAAGCGAACACTTGGCTCTGAGATGCAAGTACGCGGCCAAACTAATCCAGTATTCGGATTGCCTCCGTGACAGTCGCGGATGGAAACACATGACCACGGCTGAGACTTATATAAACACCACCGCTGTCATCAAACAACTTCCAATGTGCCGACAACCAGCCACGGACAACTCGCCAATATTAGAGCAGCTGATAGACTTTTCACCATGATTTCAAAGACCATCATCATCGCGCTCCTCGCAGCTGCGGTCAAGGCCCAGCAGGCTGGCACCCTCGACCCCGAGACCCATCCGAGTCTCACCTGGCAGAACTGCGCCTCTGGTTCTTGCACGAACACCAACGCCGAGGTCGTCATCGACGCCAACTGGCGATGGACGCACACCATCGAGGGGAGCGATGGCTGCTACGAGGGCAACGAGTGGACCGGCGTTTGCACGACTGCCGATGACTGTGCCACGGGATGTGCCCTCGAGGGTGCCAAATACGAAGAGACCTACGGGGCGGCGACCAGCGGCGACGCCCTCACGCTCAAGTTTGTCAATGAGCACCAGTACGGAAAGAACGTTGGCTCGCGGTTCTACCTCATGAACGGCGAGGACAAGTACCAGATGTTCAACCTGCTCGGCAACGAATTCGCGTTCGATGTCGACCTATCCACCGTTGAGTGTGGTCTTAACTCCGCTCTGTACTTTGTTGCTATGGAGGAGGATGGTGGTGTCGCCTCGTACCCAAGCAACACTGCTGGCGCCAAGTACGGAACTGGCTACTGTGACTCTCAGTGTGCCCGTGATCTCAAGTTCGTCGGCGGAAAGGCCAACGTCGAGGGCTGGCAATCCTCTACCAGCGACCCCAACTCTGGCGTTGGTCCATTCGGCGCATGCTGTGCTGAGATTGACGTCTGGTAAGTGCAGCAGCCGGGGTATCCGAACGAGAACACGATGAAGCTGATTGTTCATGAATAGGGAGTCCAACTCGCACTCTTTCGCCCTGACCCCTCACCCATGTGAGAACAACGAGTACCACGTCTGCGAGACAGACCAATGCGGAGGTACATACTCTGAGGATCGCTTCGCCGGCCTCTGCGATGCCAACGGCTGCGACTACAACCCATACCGCATGGGCAACACTGACTTCTACGGCGCCGGCAAGGTTGTCGACACCACCAAGAAGTTCACGTACGTGCCAACCCGGACTGGAAGCGCTGTGTATTCTGAACCTGAGGTATGGACTGACAAATTGCTGATAGTGTCGTGACCCGCTTCGAGACCGACAAGATGAGCCAGTACTTCATCCAGGACGGCCAGACCATCGAGATCCCAGCACCCACATACGAGGTAAGTCAGGGATCAATGTGCCCTCAACTTATACCTGCCCAATGGGTCTAACGCATCGCATCTAGGGCATCTCCGAGACCGCCGACATCACCCCCGAGTACTGCTCCAACCAGCACACCGTCTTCGACGAGTTTAACCGCTTCGAGGAGGTCGGCGGCTTCCCCAAGCTCAACGAGGCCCTCGCCCTTCCCATGGTCCTGGTCATGTCCATCTGGAACGACGTAAGTCTAGTCCCTTGGTAGCAATGCGCCCCCCCCCCCCAAAGAGGAGCCCTGATCTGACTGTATGTCCTCACAGCACTACGCCAACATGCTCTGGCTCGACTCTACCTACCCACCCGAGAAGGAAGGCCAGCCCGGTGCCGCCCGTGGCGACTGTCCCCAGACCTCTGGAGTCCCGGCCGAGACTGAGTCCGAGTTCCCCGATGCGTAAGTCATGTGTCCCTGCAACATCAAACCAGTATGTATCAGAATCACTAACACCCCATACAGCCAGGTTGTCTGGTCCAACATCCGCTTCGGGCCTATTGGCTCTACCTACGACGGCCCTGCCTAAATGGCTGCTGGAGATTGAACAACAAAAGACTGGCTTTCAATTCTATGTACATTCTACACAGAAGTCGCCGTGGATGGACTCCCCTTGGATTTAACTCTTTCGTGGCTTCCTTTACATATCAACTGTTGTCTTGGACTATCTGGGCGGTCGTTGTGGGAAATTAGAATGTACTTAGACTTGTAGCAGGGCTTGCCCTCAAGATTTAGTAGTCCTAGACAGATATCTACCAATCGCTTTCCGATTTCCTAACATCTGGCTTACAGAATCCTCTTGGTCCTTGGAGCACAATCTGATGACCTGCAAGCATTGATGTTGAGTATGGCAACAATCACTGTGACGGATTCTACCATTGTTGATGTATAATTCAAATTGTGTTATTGGAGCGACGGCTCGCTCATGTTTTATATCCGGAGGCCCCCAGGGCTTGTCTCCGTATGCAGGGAGCCCTTTAGAAATGGCGGCAGACTGAAATGACTCGCTGCACCGATGCAAGCAACCGTGGATGCATGCACGGCACCATACTATGAGCACGCTGAAACCAATGGAGTGTGTGTGTGTGTGAGTGTGACAAAATGCATGCACATGGAAAGTAAGTATTTGGAACGGTACATGGCCAGATCGCCGTTTTGGAACGGCCAAAAAGTAAGGTCTGAAACATCCAACGGAAAGGTGTCGTTTAAAACGCTCGTCCTTATCGCCGTTAGCATTACTAAACGCCCCTGGCGTCATGGCCGTTAGAGTTGACGACTTCCGCCCCGCAATCCATATCGACCGCTGACGCTCACCCCCAATCCTGCCGGTCAAAGGTGTTCTTTTTGGAATCGGTCTGGACCCAGGTCAAAAGCTGACGATTTCAAGCGAGATATCTACGTCGACTAGCATCTCACTCTTGGCCACCACGTTTCCCCAATCACTCCGCATAGCCCAAGACGCTACCCGCAATGACCCTGATCAGGTTCGGGCAGAAGCCCCCAAACAAAACGCTCAAGGGCCACAAGCTCCTCGTCGCCCTGCCATCGTTCAAGCCGTCGAAGGAGGAGGTCGATGCAGTCAAGAGTCTCTACCCAGACTTGGAGGTCCAGCTCGGCAGCGTCAAAGATGTCACCAAGGAGGAGTGGAAGGACGTTACGATTCTCGTGACGGGCTACAACTCAGAGGGCCTGCCGGACAAGGATGATGTCCCGAATCTCGAATACGTCCAGCTCTCATCGGCTGGCGCAAATCTGGTGGTTTCGGACCCGCTGTACAAGGACACCGACGTAGCCTTCTGCACTGCGAATGGCGTCCACGGGTGAGTCTACAGCAACCCGAGAGGTGTCACATCTCTGATGCGGAGCCAGCTGACAGTCGATGCATGAAGACCACAAATATCCGAGTGGATCATTGCCACATTCTTGGGCTTTCAACATCATCGTATGTTGTAAAGAGTCACCGTGCATCTGTTTAGCAATCATCTAACTGCTCCTCAGTCACCTCTTACCTAGACAAACAACGAGCGGGCAAATGGGACAGGGGCACCGAGCCAACAATCGATGCCGTCAAGAAGAGAGTGTAGGTGGACCTGGAAGCCAGCAGGACCCTCAACCGCTAACCAGATTACAGAGGAATTCTGGGCTACGGAGCCATCGGGAGGCAGACGGCCCGCGTGGCCACAGCCCTAGGAATGGAAGTCCACGCCTACACCCTCCACGAGCGCAAGACCCCGGAGTCAAAGCGGGACGAGACATACGCGCCCGCGGGGCTCGGGGACCCTGAGGGAATCTTCCCGTCCAAGTGGTTCTTCGGCGAGTCCAAGGAGCAGCTGCACGAGTTCCTCGGCTCCGGCCTGGACCTGCTCGTCGTCTCGATGCCGCTGACGGAGAAGACGACGGGGCTGATCTCGGCGGCCGAGTTCAAGGTTCTCTCGGAGAGGCAGACCTTCGTCTCGAACATTGCCCGCGGCCCTATCGTCAACACGGGGGACCTGATCGAGGCCCTCGACAAGGAGCTTATCCGCGGTGCGGCGCTGGACGTCACGGACCCGGAACCTCTACCTGAGGGCCACCCCTTGTGGAGCACCAAGAACGTTGTCATCACTCCCCATATCAGCGCTGCTTCGGAGAGCTACTTCGAGCGGGTGTGGGCGATTGTGAAATTGAACTTGCAGCGGTTGAGCCAGGGCAAGGAGCTCACGAACAAGGTGAACCGGAAAGAGGGTTACTGATTGTGAGATGATTACTGAATGAGCATCGTGCCTTGCGTGAGTACGTATGGTATTTCTGTAGCGCTGTGTGTGATGGGGAATACGGGTTGTAAGGGAGGAGTTTACTTTATCATAGACTTCACTTCAGCGTACAGATAAATGGGAGATTGTCCAGTGTATGCCGCAGACAACAGATTAAATGAATCAAAGATTTCGTCTCGTGGGCGGGGACTATATGCATCAAACAGTTGATTAAGTGATTAACTTTCCTGCTAAGCCTGTCATTAATTACTCCTCGCTTGGTTCCGGGTCAGCAACTGTTGACTCTATGGAAGCAGACAGGTCAGTTTCAAATCCTCTTCATAACAAGATTCGAAGACTATTCGTTCAACTCACTTCTAGAAATTTGCTGCGCAGGATCCAAGGAGTCTTGGTCCTTGGAGCTCTCTCCTTGCCTTGCCTGAGTTTGAGGCTGCGAAGGCCCCTTTTCTTCCCCCTCTTCCGGATCTTCATGTAGAGTTGATGGCTTCCTCTTCCTCCAAAGGCCGTCCTTCACCCTCTCCCAATTTTCGGCCGACGGCTTTTCGGGGGGCTTTGGTATTGGTATTGGGTCCGTGCGATGGAGTCTGGTGGCAACGCCCCCCGTAGAATGCGGTCGCGAGCGTAGCCTAGTAGCAGTGGGTGACATTTCCGGCATCGGACGGCCCCCGCCGGCGCCGGCGCTGCGAATTACACGGACACAAGTGCCGCTGGGTGAGTCGCCGGAGTAGCTGCGGCGACTTTCGCCCGTCCGGACTGGCTGAGGTCGCCCATCAGCGTCGATGATGAGGGACCGTCGTTTTGTCGGGGATCCAAGCCGATCCCCATGGGGCGAGCCAACGGGACTGTCACGCCAAGATGTGCGTCTCCCTAGGGGCTGGATATCATCATACGCCTGTGTGGATGATGGTCGTGACCTCGGCCTTGGTGATACGGTATGTGAGCCACTCGGACCAGGGTCGATGACGACCCTCCTGTTCGCTTTCCTCATCCTCTCCTCCCACGCGTCCCAGACGCCTGTGGAATCATCAACAGACGGCCGCGGGCTCACATATATGCCGGTTGATGCGGGCCTCGAGGGACGGTTTGCGATCCTTGCGTTCTGCTCCTTCGATCTAATCTCACTGTGATCCCGAGATTCAGCTCTTCTGACATGCGAAGACCCATCATCGCCGGTCTCGCCGGTCTCGCTTCTGGATATAGCAGACTCAGGCTGATCAAGCTGATCTTCGACCTCCTGTGGCTCAGCAGTCAAATGATCAGTCTGCTCCTGGGGATAGGCTTCATCATTCTCGCGTGTTGGGTCCTGTTCTCGCATTAGTACGATGGCAGATCTGGATATGGTTGTAAATGGGTTTCGTACCGGTCCTGTCGTAGAACCCCTCCGGCTGCCGCGAGCTTCGTCAGACGACGAGACCTGCGATGTAGGCAGTCTTGGAGGATGAGTTCCGGACATATACGCATCGGGAGATATTAAATCCTGGAGCTCTCTGTATAAAATGAGATCAGTGCAGGAGTTTCGCTGGAGGCTCCCCGTATCTTCTCCATCTTGGTGGTTGGCCTCGCCCCTTCTCGGCTCGCTCCTGAGTTCCTCAACACTTCTCACCCTTCTATTGATTCGTATTTCTTGTTCTGATTCGCCTTCGCTGTCACTGCTAGTGCTCTTGGTCCTTTTCTTTGCCCTAATTGATGTGTCATCGCTGGAGTCCTCATTGTCCCGTGATGGCGACCTGTCGCTGTAGTAGGACTCTGAAGAGGCTGTTGATGCTGCGACAAATCGTGTTCCTCTCCTGCCTCGAATGAACTTCCCGCGAGCTCTTGCCTTGCCTCTGAAGTGTCTTTCGGAGAGCCACTCCTGGTAAGAGCGGTCCTCTGCGCGTCTCAGTCTTTCCGCTTGGTCCCTCAAAGATAGTTCGGCCCGCTCGAGACGCTCTCGAGTCTCACGGTCTTGTTGGGCTCTGGCTTCAAGGATTTGCCTCTCTTTTGCCTGCTTGATCTCTTGCTCAAGTCGTTCCAGTTCCATTTCTCTCATCTTCGTCTCTTCTTTTTGCTTCTTGTTAATCTCCTCTTGTTCCCGCAAACGCCGTTCCGCCTGCTCGAGCCGCTCCCGCGTCTCTCGATCTTGTTGGTTTTTTACTTCACGTGCTTGCTTCTCCTTCCACGCCTGTATTTCTTTCTTAGCTTGGTCTAATTCCCTTTCTTGCCTTTCAGCTTCTTCTTGTTGCTTTCGGTCAGCAAAAGATTCAATACCATGAGGATTTGTGGATGACTGTGGAAGAGGCTCAGGCCTTGGAACATATCCCCTATAAGGGCTGGACGGCCGTGAATGTGGCCTGATGCTCCGATTTCCATGCACTTGGATTGGATTCCGTGAGGACAAATCTAGGCGCTCACGAACATAAGTTTCTGATCGTGGAATATAAGTTTCTGGTCGATAAGCACTGGAGGGCGGGAGGCGATCGAGCTCGGTATTCTGCCATGTGAAATGCTCAGCCACCCACGGAAGTCCCTTGCCCATGTAGAAACTTGCTGGATTTCGTAACCTGGCCGTGCTTTTGGGACCTTGAAGGCTTCTTTTCACCGCTCTTTCGATAAAATCCCGAGCCCAGTAGGTCAGTCCATCGCGCAACACGGTCGCATCACCCCAGTCGTCGCTCTGTCCCAGCTCCTCGAGCAATTTCTCCTTGCCCGGTCGATCTTTGCAGACCAGATAGCTGGACAACAATGTCTCAAGATGCCCCTTCTTGTCACCCTGTATCGACTTTTGCAAGTGTGCAAGTTCTTGAAACAGTTCGGTCGGATCTTGAGACTGGAAAATGAGGAGTTTGTAGCATGCAACTTGGGCATTGTAGTCCTTCAGCTCCTTCGCCAAATTCAGCGCCAATCGTAACGGCTCATTCAAACCTAGGTGCAGCTCTGATGCGACCCATCCTGGATTCTCGGTGTTCCGGGGGGATATAGACACCGGGCAAAAAACAGCCCTCAGTGTTCCACACAATCCCTGGAAATCCCTGGAGGTGAGTCTTGAGGGCCAGCCAGAGGTCATCGTCGCCTTTCTTCTCGCCAGACACTGCGTCAGTGGCATTTGCTAATATCCAGCGGATGAAGGACCGACTCTTCATCACCGCAGGAGAATGCGCTATAATGGCTTCGGCGCGAGATTTCGCTTCGTCCGGGAAGTAGGATCGTAGTTGGGCCGGTTCCAGGAGCATGTCGAGCAGGGCCAAATTCGTCGATTCATCCCCTTCCTCTAAGACCCAGTCGTCGACCAGGGAGCGCTTGATGTCATCTGTCCCCAAGAACAGGTTGTCTTCTGAATCAGAGAATGCCGCTACAATTGCAATATAAAGGTCCTTGAAGTCCCATATGCGGCCCTGAGCAAGAAGTTCTTTGAATAGAGTTGGCCAGTCAACCCATTCCCTCGCAGCCTCTCGGAGACCGCTATGGTACCGCTCAGGGGCTATACGTGCAATGTTTGCACACAATTGCAGGGCCAGCCTCATAATTTGTATCTGTAGCACTCGTCAGTAACCACGATAAGGTAAAGGAAAGACAGATGCTTGCCTCGGTTGACCCAATTCCAGTCCCGAAACGGAGGGTTTCAATCGTGTACCAAGCCTCGCTGAATGCATCCTCATAGTTCCCTTTGCTGTAGATGATAGAGGTGGCCTTCAAAAGCCTCCAATTCTGGCGCAGGAGTTCGAGCTCATCGTAGTCGGGATTCGGTTTCGTGTCCTGAAATTCAGGTTCTCCATCTGGAGAGTAGCTGCGGTCCCTTTCGACATATCTATCTCGTTCGTAGGGCCTCTGGACATTATCGATGGATGGTGAGCGTGAGCGTGAGTGTCGTCTTACGATTCGCACATCAGACTCGAATCTTGCCCGACGCTCGTGACGGCCACCTTCTACCGGGCTTTGAGATCGAGAGCGAGCTCTGGTTTCTCGTCGTCTTTCTCGTGACCGAGACCAAGACCGAGATCTAGACCGGGATCCAGCTCGTGATCGAGGCCGGTCTCTCTCTACCACCACAACTTCCTCACGAAACCGCGACGGTGGCCGATCCTCCTTACCGAATACAGCCTCGGAATTCAGTCGTTCCAAGGCGTGATAATCGCCTTTCTCCAATAGCATTTGGCCAAATTGGACAAACACGTACGGATTACTCAAGTACGGCTCCAGCTTATTTTTGAAGTGATCCTCTGCCGCGCCGAAATTTCCCAGCCTCTGCAGTCGGCAGAATTCCTCCAGTTCCGCTCCGTGATCATCTGTGATCGGGAGCTCGAGGTGAACACTTGCGTCTTGCGGATGGTTGACATCGAAGACAGTCTGAAATAGGCCAGGTACGTGTTGCGATCCCTTTCGAGCCTTCGGACCCCCTTCATCTCCGACAACAGCGGCTGGTTTCGCAGCAACTCTTTTCGATCTCACTGAGGTGATCATACGCTCATCATCGTCGTAGTCGACAGGAGTTGGAGATCGCGGTCTCGGCCTCACGCCGACCATCTGATTTTGAGCACTGTGACGAGTGTATGATGGCGATACATAATGTCGTACTGGACCGGAACTTTCTTGCCACCTGTCGTAGTAATCGTTGTCATGATAGCTTATTGGCCTGCCTGCTCCATCGCGAACCTCGACTACCTCGTAGCGAGGCCTGTAATCATCGTATCGATCATACCTGGTTGGGATACTGCGTTCATAAGAGTCCCATTCGTCACTCCTCACGGTTGATGAGCGTCGAATGGGCTTGGCCTGAGAATGTCTGGGTTCGTAATGATTTCCACGACCGATATCGACTGTCTCAATCGACGCCCTATTGGCTGCCGGCATGCTGTCGTGTGTGTATTGTAGAATGGACCGACTTTCTGTGATAGCTTTCGTATGTGGTTTGTGGTGTTCTCATACACACATCAAGATAGAGCAGGAGAATACAAATAGTGCTCTCTTCACCAGACAGCGGCTGAAAAATTAGCGGAAGTAGCTGTCGAATCCATACCAGGGCTCGCGGCGCCGAGTCCAGCACTAGGGATTTGTGGCAGTGCTGTTTGGTAGTCTCCCGCCACCTAGTCCAAAATGAGTTGATTATGGTGGCACAACCTCTTCAGCTGAATGTCAGCCTTCCAGCATGATTGGAAATCCTCCATCGATAGACCAGGATTGTGCAGTGAGACAGAGTAAGCGGCGTATTTTAGGGGAAACGGATCGTAAACCCTGGCTGATTAGCGGCTGTGCCTTCACACCCACAGCAAGTTGCTGGGACTTTTAATCAACCTTGCCACCCCAGGTTTCAACTGGTCCGGTGAAGATGATGTCCGCAAGCAACGTCTGTCTATAATCCCCCCACAGTCATCCTGCTCAAATGGCAGCAGTACTGGCCGAAGGTGTATGGAATCGCAAAGCTGGTCGATATGACTACAATCGATTCGATCATATTGCCTCAACCAGCGCTTCAGTAGGATGTGAGTTGGTGTTTCCACTTGCCGTGTGCCAGTATAGTTAATACAGACGCTAATACAGAACTCAGATCAATCGATCGGAAAAGTCGGTGTCGATTGTCGTTTTCTCTTTAGAAAGTCCCAGTGGGGGACTTTGGGACCCGCTGAAAATGCGGCCGGTATCATCTATATGGAGCTCGATTTCGATCAGCCATCAGATTGTACGCTGGAATCTGCAACCATTCAGTTGACCTTGGACGAAGATGACCAGGGTCTGGATCCATATCGTGTCGACAGCTTGCCTGCTTCAGAGTGTCCAGTTCTGATTACCGACTACTATGGACCTGGACAGATTGTCGGCACTTCGAAGAGGATTTTGATCAGGAAATTGCTCAAGATCGAGCCGTCCGTCAACGTTGTCGGCAATGGAGGCTCCTTGGGTGGCATTACGACCGAAAAGGCGTTCGAGCATGAGAGTCGATGGACCTTTCGGAGCCACAGGGTTCCGGAAGACAGAAGTAGTCGGAAGAAATGGGGACATAGAATTCTGAGATGGGAGATGACAGAAAACGACATCGAGAAGTCAACTCACAGCAACAAGGTCTACACCGCCTTCGCATACGAGCACAGTGGACAGCCGTTCTTGATGAAGATTGAGATCTCGGGCAAATTGAGGAAGCGGAGTGATCGACTGAAAGCCAATCTGGGCAAGAAATTTGGACCCAGAGCCCGGAAGCAAGAGGACATATCTACCACACTGGTCGGTGCGTACCTCGGCCATAGAAGACCACTGGATGAGCTTGCCAGGGGCTTGGCCAGCGACATGGAAATGAAGAATTACATGTCGTCGCCGCTTGTGGTCCATGATGCGCAACCGGCTTCCTTCCAGCAAGTTACTTATGACGCAACATCTTCAACGAATTCGGTCTTGGAACCCGCTGTCACGGGCACTGCAGATCAGGCAAGCATAGAAGAAATGACACCTCAGCCTGGTTTGAGATTGAACGGCCAGGTTCTCGACATGTTGGAGGATACGCCAATAAGACCATCGCAGGATCGCACTCAGCCGACACTGGAGAACCTCGCTCGGGTTGGAGAGTATTTCAGAACGCCAATCAGACACGAGGTGATCCGCGGGGACATATCTGAGGCATCAGGTCACTCGTCAGCCACCACACTAGTGGCCACCCAGTCTGAGATATCACAGCCACAACGACAGCCGGAGGCAGCAACCGTGCCCGAGGGCCGGAATATGACGGCTGCGATACCGAAGAAGGTTGACGAAGACGCTCTTGAAAGAGTTATGGAGGTCGCATTCTTGCGTCTACTGATACAGTTTGTAATTGGCTTTATGGACCTTTTTGGAACCAGGAAGTCTCAGGCAACACAACATGGGAGAAGTGAAAACAAGAAAAGAAAAGACCGTTCGAAACACAGGAAGAAGGAGCACGAGTCTACAAAAAGTTAACACAAAATGAATAGCTGATAGCGTTGAATACGTTACAGAGAAATCATATACTGATATTTTCCGACAAGAGAGTCCATAAACGGCCTTCACAGGTGTGATTAATCATGACAGTAGCTGGAATCCGTTGAGTAGCCTTTTACTTGCAATCAATCAATGCAGTATTAATTCAACCTGAAATTCTCCAGCCAGGATAAGTGATAGTTGAAACACAGGCCTTGGCAAAGATGCTCCAAGGCTCAATGTGACCTTGATTCCAAGCAAAATGCACGATTTACCTCTGATAGCCAGTGTCATGATATCGTCTCGCACATGACAGATAGCTTATTAGTGAAGTGTTTCTGCCTCAAACAGTCGTCACCACACCCACTTTCCTGAAAGCATTTCAACTCATGTCGATTTTTTTGTTCAAGCAGTTTTTCCGACGTTTGACAGGTCCACATTTGCCCCCCAACCAGTTTGTGGATAGCATTAGGTGGGCCCCGTCTTGCAAACTTTTCCACGGCTCAACCCACCCACATAATTCCACATTCCAGCCCCGTCGACATCTCAACATCAGGTCCGGTGGTGTAGTTGGCCATCACGTTAGTCTAACATTTAAAAACAACTCGATTTCGAGTTGATAATGTGAGCACTAAAGGTCCCCGGTTCAAGCCCGGGCCAGATCATGAGCTGTTGATTTATGTTTTTGCTCTTTTGTCCTGCTGCTCGGGGGTTGCTCTTCTCACAATTCCTTATTTAATTTTGTCATATCGCATCTAGCTGGCTTCAAAGGAACACCAAATGATGACGTGACACAGTCAACTCTCAAGTTGGTCACTAGAAGGTGAGGTGTCCTCCAGCCAACTATACAGGCTGCTAGTGAGACTGTCCATATGTCCAATGGCAATGAGGGCGCAAGTTAAATGTGAAAAGTTGTTAACTTACAACCATAGGTGCCTAACCGAGAGAAAGAAAGAGGTACTACAAGGCTGCGAAATAGCATCACATTTTGGAGGCTCGTTGGGCTCTTTAGGTTGAGGACGGGAGGGGTAACTCGTATATTTAGATACCGGTGATCCCACCCTAGGTCAATACAATTGCTACAGCCGTGAGTGCCTTGGGCATCTACCCACCTGTTGCGTTACCTTGCCCACTTTCCCGGGCAGGTTATGCGTGGCACCGATGCTGCAATGCGGACCTGCCTGGCCTGCTGGCCTGCGAGACTGGTCGCTAAAAGGCAACCCCAGGACACCCACAGCGGCTACTGCGGGTACAGCCAATGCTTGAAGAAGACCTGCGGACACCCCTACCCAGGCTGCCAGGTCGCTGTGCAAACATCATTGATTCAGTGCAGTGGAATATGCACCTGCCAAATTAGGCTAGCGTTTAGTGCGCACCGAATCCGTGCGTCGTTAGCGATGATACGGTGATACAGTAGGAGACCTCGGGAGATCCAATGAAACAGCAAAAACAAGCAATGATCGGCCACAAGGAGTGCGGGAAAATGGTGGCACCTTCTACTTCAGGCACACGACCGATTGCGCTATCAAAAGCACGACATTCTGTTGGGCAAATTATCTACACAGTAGCACGGCATTGGCTGCTTGCAGCTCGAACAGCGTGATATGCTGTATGTATAACAGTCGCTCCTCACTGACGCCAAGATCAGGCAAGTCAATCTCATCCGGGCGAGTACCTTGTGCCAAGTTCGACGACCTGACTGCTCACGATGACTCTAGCCAAGCTCTGTGTAGGCTTGGGCGCCATAGTCCTTGGCGCCACGGCTCTGCCATCTGATTCTCCGTCGACCCACTATGCCATCAAGGAGCGACATTACGTCCCCAAGTCTTGGACGAGTCTTGGCCCGGCAGACGGATCCGACATGATCAATCTCCAGATCGGTCTGAAGCAGAGCAACAAGGGTGCTATCGAGCAACACCTGCTTGAGATCTCGGACCCTGACCATGATCGCTACGGCCAGCACCTGTCCGTCGACGAGGTCGCCGACATTGTCCGCCCAACAGACGAGACTATCGACAGCGTCCACCGGTGGCTCGAGGGGCACGGCGTCGGAGATATCGCTTACTCGCCTGCTCAGGACTGGATCTCCATCATTGTGCCCATTTCAAAAGCCGAGGAGTTACTCCAGACAACTTACTCGAAGTATGAACACGACGGAGGCCACGTTGCCAACCGCGCGACAGAATGGTCGCTGCCACTGCACCTTCATGAGCACATTGATGTCGTCCAGCCCACAACTTCGTTCCTGACACCCAAGCCTGAGCACAAGCCCATCAGGTTTGACTTGTCCGAGCAGGAGTTGACCTGGTGGGAGCACACAGGCCAGTTCAAGTACAAACAGCTGTCTGCATCTCAGCTAGCAAGCGGGACCGCCAATATCTCGGCAGTCTGCAACGCCAGCTTTGTCACCCTCGACTGCCTGCGCACAGTCTATGGCACGATCAACTACACCACACAGGCTGCTGACGACAATTCGATTGCCATCAACAACTATCTCAATGACACAAGTCGGCGTGACGATGCCAAGACCTTCCTGCAGCAATTCCGCCCAGACCAAGTCGCTGCCGCCGACGAGTTCGAGTTCACTATCATCGACGATGGGCCAAACTACCAAGGCCCCAATACCTCCGTCTTTGTTGACGCGGGTGCCGACGTCGAAGGTAACCTCGATGCTCAGCTGGTCCTCGGTGTCAGCTCTCCGACGCCTCTGTTTGCGTACAACACCGGCGGAAGCCCGCCATTCATCCCCTCCCTGAGCACACCAACAGACACCAACGAGCCGTACCTGGCTTTCCTGAACTATATCCTTGCACAAGACGACATCCCAAATGTCTTCAGCTCGTCTTATGGTGACGACGAGCAGACCGTGCCGCAGTCTTACGCCGAGAGGGTCTGTTCCGGCTTTGCTCAGCTTGGCGCCCGCGGTGTCACCTACCTAGTCTCGTCTGGAGATGCCGGCGTCGGATCATCCGGTGACTGCTACAGCAACGACGGCAAGAACACCTACAAGTTCACGCCCGACTTCCCCACGTCGTGCCCATGGGTCACCTCCATCGGCGCCACCGCCAACTTCACGCCCGAGACGGCCGTCACCCGCTTCGCCTCGGGGGCTGGGTTCAGCAACTACTTCGCGCAGCCCGAGTACCAGGCGTCGACCGTCAACAAGTACATCGCCAGCCTGAACGGCACGTACGACGGGCTGTACAACAAGAGCGGCCGTGCCTACCCCGACATCTCGGCGCAGGGCAACCTCGACGTCATCGTCTACGCTGGCGAGCTCATCCGTATCGGGGGAACCAGCGCCTCGTCGCCCACCGTCGCTGGCATCCTGGCTCTTGTCAACGATGCCCTCATCGCCGCCGGCAAGCCGACGTTGGGTTTCATCAATCCTTGGTTGTACAAGGAGGCTTACAAGACCTTTACCGACATCACCATCGGCTCGAGCTACGGTTGCAACACTACCGGTTTCCCGGCTCAGGCTGGCTGGGATGCTGTCACTGGCTTTGGCACACCTGTGAGTAATACCTTGCTTAGCACTGATACGATCGCGGCGCTAACTTGGTAATAGAACTTCAACGAGTTGGTAAACGCTGCTCTTGAAAAGGAGTAGACGTCATTTCGCGGCAAGCTCGAGTCTTGTGCAATGTATATAAAATTCATTTCCGATGTGAATGGAATCTGAACAAGTCTGGCCGTATCTCAAGAGTGGACGCAGCGCTTGTGTGGCTCACTAGGACATACAGCCAAGCTGACGGAAGTCGGTCGGTCACGATAGCAAGCGACTGGCCGCCTCGCCTCTTGGTATGCAGAAGAATTAATTCGATTCTATTCTACCCTCTAGTTGGGTTTATTCGAAGCTTGAAGCTTCTCTCTGCACACGTCCACAACATCGTACCGTTGCAAGAAATTCACGAGTTCTTGTGTTGTCTCTTTTTCGAGGTTAGAAAACTTCCCCAGCAGCAGGTAATTCGCAGAGCTCAGAGCGTGACTCACCGGGGAGCTTAAGGTCTGGCAGTAATGCCCTGATCTCGGCATTTCTCTTTGTGGGTAGCTCAAACATTGGTATTTCCGACCACAGTTGAACGGCTGAATTGTGGGGAACCCTGATCTCGTCGAAGAGACGAAGCCGGTAAGAGATGGTTTCAGGAGATCGATCTGGTAGGTCGTCAAAGAGAGTGCCGAGAGCCGCAGCATCGAGAATGGCAGAGTTGGCACCTTGGCCCATGTGCTATACATATACAATACACGTGTTCAGCCGATGCTTTGCGCCTAGCAGCGAGTAGAGGTATTTCAACCGGCCACATCGCCATCTACTGACAAAGGAGAGGAAATCAAGTGTAAACATGACGAACCGATAGCATGGCATGCGCTGCGTCACCAATGGCGACAAGACGGCCGCGGCTATATCGGGCAGCAGGTGGTCGCGTATAAAGTCGCCACAGCGGCAGAACGTCCAGCAAATGGTCACAGACCGTCCCGAGGTCAGGATGGAACTCGCTAAGGGCAGCCGCCAGAAGCTCCAAGGTCGTCTCACCGCGCATCGTGTGGATCACCATCCCCGGTATATCCTCGAGCGCGTAGAGGACGAGGTTGAGGTACTCGAAGCCATGGCACCAGTACCCCAGCAGGTACCGCTTGCGGTCGGGCGCCACGCTGAATGTGCTCCGGCCGGGGACTTCGGCCATGACGCGTCCGAAGGGGTTCTGCTGCAGTTTGGCCACGGGGATCACGGCGCGGACGGCCGTGGTGCTGCTCCGCAGGGCTGGCGAGGGCTCGCCGAGGATGACGGTCATCGCGGACGAGTGGACGCCGTCGGCGGCGATGATGAGGTCTGCCCCGGCTTGCGAGCCGTCGGCCAGGTGGACAATGCCCTGCTCCGGCTCGATGCTGACTACCTCTGTATATTCGAAGAGGCGGCACGGCAGGTCCGGGGCGTCGCCGCCACCACCACCGCTGCTCGACGGCGGCGACTCCGCCACACGCCTCAACTCCTGGTGCAGGTCAGGTCGATAGAATGTGCCGCCTATGGACTTCTCTACGTGCAGGACTTGCAGCAACTCCAATGTCCTTCCATCGAGGACCTGTGAGTTTTTCGCTGGTAGCCAGGTGTCAGCCGGTGACCACAGTTGTATGAAAAAGCGTCCATAGGGTCGATTCTTAAACAAGAGGGGACCAAGTAGAAATCCCCTGATGCCACTCACATCTACAAACCTTTGCTCTGGCATTATCAAAGCCGAGACTTTGCAAGTATTCCAGCGAGTTTGACCCGAGTCCAACGGCAGCTCCAACTTCACCCGACAAGCCGTACTTCTCGAAAACCTGTGAGATTGTGTAAGTACTTGCGACTGCAGGTCGCTGCTATGTTGTAAGAAAATGAAAGGTATTGCTGAGTGTCTTAACTGTTACTTTGTGCCCGGCCTTCCTCATTGCAATGGCGGATGCCAATCCGCCGATGCCACCGCCGATGACGACGACCGATAAGCTACCTGGAGGCATTGCAACCATTGCGACGGCCCATTTGCCGACTTAAAAGGCTACCTTATAGTCGCACTGTCTGTGCTCCTGCCCCAGTGTACGGTGCACTGATGAGAGTTCGGACTAGTGTGAGTGGTGTCCGACGGCGCAGAAAGCTTCGAGACCAGTTGAATAGGTGCAACGGGATTTATAATGAGCCGGCCTTTCAATAGCATGCCAGTAGTATTAAGGCGACTTCACACGTGTCCCCGCATCTAGACTTGCATGCTTGTTCTAAACTTGTGTCACCCAGATGCACGATCAACACATCCTATACGCCATAGAACCCGCCCCCTAGACCGGTAGTATTAGGCACAGGTGGGGGAGGGCTGTACTAATTAGCAGCTTTTGACACAAGCACTCGGTAGACGGCAAATTTGGCGGCAAGATACGGCTGAACCACTCAGGGTAGTCACATATTGACCCGCGTTACGACCTGGCTCATGCCTCTGGAGTCAAAACAGTGGTTAAAAGCGGTTAGTACAATGAGACTACAATCACCGCAAACTTGTGTCGTACAAGGGACTCAATCGTATATAGATTAGGTAGTGTCTGCAACAGAACGACAGGGGTCATGCTATGTCCCGAGAACCTCGATCTTTTACACTGGCCATCCTTGGGGGGCGCTTGGTGGGGGGGGGGGGCAGCATATTAAGTCTAGTGGCCCACATTCGGGCCACCTCTATATATTACATGTCCTCCTTTGATTCAACTAATTTAAATAGCTAAACTTTTAACACTGTATACTATAATTGAATTAACCTAAGAGGAAAATAGTTAGAAAGTTATACATATTATAATTTATATCATGGGCATGGAAGACTTCGTTGGACTAGAGAGTAATGGGACATTTAATAAGTTCTCATCACACCTAGAAAAAGCACAAAGCCACAGCTCAGTCTGAGTAGAACTTCGATTTTCCCACCAGTGAAACGCTCTACTCAAGGGCTGTACTGTTTAATCACACTGTATCACGCATTTCAGCTACATAGAGGAGAGCCTAGGCAGGACATCCATAGTAGACCTTAGAACCACTTCTTCCTGTGATTCCAGGTATGATCAGAGTCGCAGCTTGGATATCAACGAAGCAAGCTGTTTGACACATTCGGCATCCACCATATCCTTCAGTTTCGCAGCAACACATGTACTTAAGTAGGTACTTCAGTATATGACCATTGAAGCAAGCCGTACCCGAACGTGCACCTGAAATATCAACAGAATCCCATGCTCATCCCCGGGCCCGCCAATGGTATGCCAGCCTCCACATCATCCTCAAAACAAATGCCGACCAAGCCATACAGCGCCGCCCCAGTGCCGCGAGACAGCGTCTTCACTGCTTAGACTTGAGTTGGGCATCCCTGACTTGCTTCAAGCGCTGTCTATAAATTGCTTTCTTCGTGTTGTATACGAGACAACAAAGCAGCGGATACTGGGCAATAAAGGGACAGCAGCGTTACCGGGACACATATTGAGGGCTGGGCTGAGACGACAGACTGAAACTCTGCGGAACTACGATCGGGGCATACCGCCGCGAGGATGAGAAACATGGAGAGGCTTGAGGCAGCGATTTCTGATCTTGCCAATCTGGACAGTGTGCAGGTCGATGAGCCGGGGGACGACAGTGGGTACACAACTCCTACACCCTTATGGGTATACCATCTGGAAAGAGCAGAAATGTCAACTGCAGCGGAACAGAAGGAGAAGTTCTTCACTGTGTCCTACAGGTGGGGCACCATGAGCGAAAGCCACTTGAAGGCATTTTGTCAGGCGGCTGGGAAGACTCTCGGGGGAATGACCGGATGGGTGGACCAATTGTGCATCAACCAGAAATGTGCAGAGGAGAAAGGTCAAGAGATCAAAAGGATGACGAATTATTATGCCTCAGCATCATTAAATCCCGTCTTACTTCAAGGAGTTGAGGGGGCTCCGCGACTTAGATGCCTATACCAAGAGATAGGGCCCAGGACTGCTAGCTTGTTAAGTGAGGCCGAGAAGCGGGAGGTGGGTGGGCTGGTGACGATGGTTGGCAAAGATGACTACTTCACCAGAGTCTGGACCTTCCAGGAACAGAAGCTCGGACGAGAGAGCCTGTTCATGATGGCAGATGGCATGGTACCTGGGATGGAACTGGTATGGAACTGGTCACGTTGATACGTCTCTGGAATTATACTCGGGCTGGAACAGGGCAATTTCTCACCTTGGGCGGGATGACTGTGTTTGGAGGTCAAAGAAGCTTCAGGGCGAACAACACGCGGAATTACATCAAAATGCAGGGTGGCTCATTGCTCTGCCAGTGGGAGCAAGCCTGGGGGGGGGGGGAGTGCGCAGAGCCGAGAGATAGTTTGTGGGCGTTCTTGCCATTGGTGCGTAAAGTGGACTTGAGTGGCCTTGACTACGGCGAGAGTGAGGCCGTCACCTGGAAGAAATTGGCGAAGCAAGGCCTAGTCGACAGCGCTTGGCTGGCCGTGGGTACAGCGGCTCAGGAACCAAGCTGGGCACCTCAGTTGACAACCACAGTCCCACACTTATCGGTTTCAATCACCCCTTGGCCAAGGATCAATGTGGGTGGAGATGGGCTTATGAAACTGGAAGCCGTGGAGGTGACTGATGTGATGACAGAGCAGGGCGGCATCAGCGCGTACATGACGGGATCGCTGATAGTGGCTTTCGCAGCTGAGCGTGATGCTGAGCTGTACAGAAGTGCAAAGAGATTCTGGCTTGTGCTAAAGGACCTGAGCAGTCCGGGGGGAAAGGGAGGCATCATACTTGCAGATGCGAACAGTCACGGACCCAATGTTTACAGAATAGGGTACACAGTGTGCTATGTCGGACTCCCACAGACTGAACATGACAGAGGGCCTTCGTGGGCTCCAGTGGGCCAGTGGGAGGCACTCCCATTGAGCAGTTTTCCGCAAAAGGGATCGTCGCTTGTTTATCTTGATTAGAATGGAGAATTTTGACAATTAATATTTTTTTCCCGATGCTAAATAATAAAGCTATTAATTAATAAAGCTTGTTTCAAAAGAATTCACTTTTATGGCTCTAACTGTTGATCAAGGGAAGTGAGGTGTTTGTGCTTGCCGTTAGCCTGACTGATCTATGCATTCTGACCTACCGACTCTAAAAGTCGTGCCCTAAATGGTGGTGATCTTGATGAATGGAGGCTGGCATGACCCCGAAATTGCAGAACTATCGCTACGGTATAGGATTGGCAAGCACTCCTAGAGAATCGGAATTACCAAGTGATAGACAGAATGTTGTAGATTTCTTTGCTATACCTCCGAGCCCGGCCATTGCGATATTTGAGAAGAAGGGAGGCTCTCGGCATGTTGGTGAGGCATGAGTGGGACCACCGGCGGCCGGTCCGGTCCCGAGGAGGTGGAACGGACAGTCGGGCGCGGGGCATTGATCGACCCGAAGCTGGAGCTCAAGCTGCCGCCAGCTCAGCTCGCCTGGGGCAAGCTCCAATCGCATGGCATCACGGCTGAAACGGATGACGACTGCTGGGTACCTAGAGTCAATGCAATCATCATTGCATCGGTGCCTATAGGCTGGACGTTAAAAAAGACCCAGAAGTCGTGCTCCATTTCTGCTTACCGCTAGCTACCGTATGCGTACAACGTATAGCAAATACGAGTGCTGGATGTCCGACAAACTCACTGCCCGAGTGTCAGAACTGCAGCAAGAACCCTCCGGATCCAACGGCTTGCGTTTTGACGTCACGTCAGATCATCGAGACATCGCGCGCAACCGTTACTCAGGAATTGTAGCTGTGGCTTTGTTTCACCCGGGCCCTGAGCATTAACTCACTCTCCCTCCCCTGAGCCTTTTCGTTGTTTCTTTCCCTCCTCCATTACACACTGCTCGATTCATTGAGCATCAAAAATGAGATCCTTCGCCATTCTCCCGCTGGCTGCGGCCGCCAGTGCCTTCGTCGTCCCGGACTTCGAGACGTTCTCCCAGCTTCCCGTCCACGGGCAACAGCCGCACCGCGATGACAGCTCTTGGCAGGACTGGTTCCCCTCAGCCGACTCCATCTCGTCGTCCGTCCACGATGTCGTAGACTCGCTGTCATCCGGCGTGGAGGAGACCTTCCACGCCGTCAAGGGCAAGCTCGAGACGGAGCTCGAGTCCATCTTCGACGAGGACGCAGGCAGCGCCGTCGAGGAGGTCGACGCCGCGGACAAGCCCCGCCGCGGCGGCCGCCACGAGAAGTCGAACCAGACCATCTACCAGCTCATCAGAGCAAGTACACGACCAAGTTCGCCGAGCTCGTGGACGAGCACGAGGACATTGTGCAGCTGCTCAACAGCACCAAGGCCAACTACACGCTCTTCGTCCCCGTCGACAGCGCCTTCGAGCACATCCCCAAGGACAAGAAGCCCAGCAAGGAGTTTGTCGAGTCCGTGCTGAAATACCACATCGGGCTGGGCTTGTACCCCGCCGGCCGCGTGCTTGTGACACACACCCTGCCCACCGCCCTGGACGAGCCCCTGCTCGGGAATAAGCCTCAGCGCCTCCGGACCAGCGTCGGTCTGCTCTCCGGTGTGAGGGTCAACTTCTACAGCAAGGTCGTCGCAGTCGACATCGTGAGTCCCTCCGTTGAAACCGTACTTGCTTCAGAACATAACACTAACACGTGCATCGCCACAGGGAGCCAAGAACGGAGTGATCCACGCCGTCAGGAGCCTCCTCGTGCCGCCGCCCTTCGTCGGCCGCGAGCTGTCCCTCTTCCCGGGCAAGTTCTCCACGCTGCTCCTGGCCTTCGACAAGACGGACTTCACCTCGTTCATCCACGGGCAGGTGCTCAACGGGTCGACCATCTTCGCGCCGGACAACCGCGCGTTCCAGAGGCTCGGCCCCGGCGCCAACGCGTTCCTGTTCAACACGGAGACGGGCATCAAGTACCTCAAGGCCATCCTCAAGTACCACGTCGTGGCCAACGAGACCGTGTACAGCGACGCGTACTACTCCCAGGGCGAGGACGACAGCAAGGCGCAGGACGACGTCGGGCGCGGCCACTACCACCTCGACCTGCCCACCCTCCTCGGCGACAAGAGGATCGCCCTCGATGTCGCCCGGTGGGCGGGCTTCATCCGGCTCAAGATCAATGGGTACATCCCCATTGCGGTGCAGGACGGCATCGCCAAGAACGGGGTCGTCCACGTCCCCGCCAATGTGCTCATCCCGCCTCACAAAGACCACAAGGGCGGGGAGGAGGAGTCCTCGGTCACCGGTGAGATCAGCGTGGAGGAGCTGAAGGAGAGGCTGGCTGGGTACGTCGAGGGTGAGGAGGAGCAGGTCGAGAAGGCGCCCAAGATTGAGATCGAGCTGTAAGGCTCCTGGGGTACCTTTGGTGGCCACAATCAGCATATGATCAATGATCTTCCAGCATGGTTGGTGAGGGAAAATTGGAAGAAAAAAAACATGACGCTCTCTACGCTTTGGGATGGGATTATGGGTTCTGAGCGAGTGCATTGCAGAGCAACAATTCTGCATACTGGGTTTGGATTTGGCGTACAAGGACAGTGGCGAGGTGGGTTGGGTTGCATTGGGTTGTCTCAACACCACAACATTGGCCGACATCTGGCAGGCAAAAATACAAATCGATTTTGGTTGCAAAGAAACTGTGACCTCATATGAGCGATTGTCTTCCCCACTTACGGTGATCAATCTTCACAGCGGTTGCAGCGAGGTAGGCGAAAGAGCAATTCCTGTCTGGTGACTTGATGTTTGGACGGGGGTTGTTTCGTTGGGGGAGCTCATGCTCTTTTAACGTGTCAGGGTTAGAGCAATCCAGACAAAGACAGAGACCGGGAGGGCAGAGCAAGGCAGAGAAATGCAAGGCCATAAAGGATCTAGGTAAGGTATACTCAATGCAATCAATAAGCAGCCTGCATACAGAGGCCACAGGCTAAAGAACTCATGTCAATCAGAGGATGGTAGGGTTGCAGTCCCAACCGTGAGTGGGTCAACGTGATAACCCTGGCGACTGCACGCCGCCTCGATCGGTCGTAAATAAACCACCTTGCGTCACCCCTGCTCATACCACAATCCACTGACTCTTCCACCGCTCCCCAACCTTGGAGAGCAACGTCTCGCACATCGAACAGGGACACGATGCCTTCCGCAGCCACAGAGGATGGCGCAGACAGGCCCTTGCTGGCCGACGCGCGGGGTCAAGACGGCACAACATACGGGACGGAGGAGCCCGTGGCCGCCGCACGGTCAGCCGCCGGCGGCGTGCCGAGGGACCAGGGGGGCAGCTTCGCCAGGAACCTGGGCACGCTGGACGCGTTCGCCATCATCATCAGCATCGTCATAGGCAGCGGTATCTTCACGTCCCCCGGGTCCATCGACACCAACGTGCCCTCGCCGGGAATCGCGCTGGCCGTGTGGCTGGTCGGCGGCGTGCTGGCCTGGACGGGCGCGAGCACCATGGCCGAGCTGGGGACCGCCATCCCGGGCGAGGGCGGCGTGCAGCCCTACCTCAAGTACATCTACGGTGACGTCTTTGGGCACCTCGCCGCCTGGACGTGGGTCGTCGCCGTCATGCCCGCTACCCTGGCTATCCTGAGCATTGTTTTTGTGGAGAGTATCTTCTCTGCTGCTGGCGTGACGGACAGGGCCGCCAGCGTCCTGCACAAGCTGCTGTCCGTGCTCATCACGGTGGTCATGAACCTGGCCAACTCCATCAGCACCAAGGCGAGCACCCGCCTCAACAATTTCTTCGTCGCGACCAAGTTCGTCAGCATCTTCGCCGTCGTGCTCGCCGGCGTCGTCGTCCTGACCATCCAGCTGGCGGACCCGGATACCAAGGTCGGGGGCGGTGACTGGATCAGGAGGAACTGGTTCGCCGACCGCGACACGGTCGCCCCGGACGGCAGCGTGACCCACTGGCCTGATGTGAGCACGTGGGAGCTGCTCGGCCACTTCTCCGCCGCGCTGTACGGTGCCCTGTGGGCATACTCCGGCTGGGAGAAGGGCATCTATGTTTCCGCCGAGCTGTCCAACCCCGTCAAGCAGCTTCCGCTTGCCATCAATACGGCCATTCCCACCATCATCGCTTGCTTCCTCGCGACTAATGCTGCATACTACATCCTGCTACCCTGGGACGTGGTTTCCACAACGGACAGCGTTGCCGTGGTACGTATGGCCCGTGGACACATACCAAGTCGCGGTGTCTTGATATGATACTGATATCAAATTCGTCTAGACCGCAATCACCCGCCTTCTCGGCCGCGGCTTCGGCATCGTAGCCGCAGTCCTCATCTGCCTCGTCGTCGCCGGCTCCCTGCTCGGCAACTCGTTCGTCGCAGGCCGCATGGCCGTCGCGGCAGCCAATGCAGACTGGCTGCCCAAGTCCTTCGCCGCGCTCGGCCATTTCGGACTGTGGAAGCAGCCGGAGGAGGAGGGCGGCGACGAAGAGGGGCCGCAGGGCTCATCCGACGCGCCCCTCAACGCCATCCTCCTCAACACGCTCCTGTCCGCCCTCTTCATCTTCCTCGGCGACTTCCGCTCGCTTCTCACCTTCAACGGCCTGGGCGAGTACACCTTCTTCTTCCTGACCGTCCTCGGCGCCGTGGTGCTGCGCTTCCGCGAGCCTGGCCTGCACAGGCCGTACAAGCCGCTGCTGGTCATACCCATAATCTTCACCCTGGTCAGCGGCTTCGTGCTCGTGCGCGGCGCCGTGTTTGCGCCTGTGCCTGCCATGGTACTGGTTGTCGTGTGGGCTGTGGGTATCCTGTTCTACGTGGTCCGCAGGAAGCGGGCGGAGAGGCTGCGTCAGGGTAACGATTAGGCGAAGAGAGGTGGTTGCTGTCTTGGTTATACGCTTTGGGTACAGCTTCGTCTGCTTGGTAGCATGCAGGACGGCTTGAACAGCTGTCTGCGACCTACTTGCGTAGTTCGGGGCATGTTCATCTGGATGGCCACAACTCCGAGGCCATCATGTGTTCCGCAATGGAACAAGGTATGTAAATCACGTCGCTAAAGATACAGTTACCATTTTTCCTATGCAAGGGACGAGCCTTGGCAATAGACCTACCGAGGCCAAGGGCATGTGGCTGGAGCTTGGGGCTTGCCAATGACATGTCAAGCGGTGTAGAGATAGATGAAACACACGAGTACACAAAAGTATTGAATTCATGGTATATATCAGGATGCCATCTAGAAACCCATATTCTCATGTCCACATATTCCCCCCCCCCCTCCTCCCCGGGCAATCATTCCGTAACGAGCCAGTTCACAGCAGAGGATTTGTGAACGCCATCAAAAGACCACGAGCAACTAGCAATTACTAGGTCCAAAACCAAAGATTACCTAATGTCGTGCTCCAGGTGTCGCAACAACGAGATACCAAGCGTGGATCACACCTGGCACCCACCCAAGAAAGCCCAAGAGGATGTTGAGCAGCAACTGAGAGCCGCAGCTGAGAGCCGCAGCCGCGCTTTCAGGAACGCGACGAGCGGTGGGAGGAAGACGGCCAGGACAAGGAGTAGTATGTCTGCCTGCAGATAAGGATTTAGTATTTTTGTAGACTGGCAACTGGTGCAGGCTTCAGGTGGATCATGAAGGCTGTGGATGACTTACTGCTGTCATTCTCCCTGACCGTTTTGGTTCGTGGTAGTGACCCGACATTTTGGGAGGCATTGATGCGTCAGTCTCGAGAGATTGATAATATAGAGATTGAAGGATGTGTGGACTGGAGAATGTCACTCGAATTGGGTATTTGTCGCGTCTTGATCAAGGGATGATAACTATTGCCTCCAAGAGCATGAGGAGATCGTTGAGGTCGCCACGGTGCCTATTTATGTCCAGGACCACGAAACCCTCAACATGAACATGCCCTTCCGCTCGGTACGGCCTTAGAAACCAGAGCCTCCAAATAAACCCACAAAGTTGTATCCTACTGACGTCAGGCGCCGCGCCGAGCCGAGCCAGGTAGCGGCCGCGATGCTTGGCCCGCAGTCGGACTTGTCCGGCTGGTACGGAGGCGCCACGGAGAACCCAGGCTTTGCCCAGGACCGGTGTCCCATGCGTATGGGTGCGGTCAGTCCAGCCGACCAACGCTTGTGGGGGAGTGGTCTGGGCCTCCGAGACCTCTGGTGTTGGTACCCAGGTTTTTTCGCCCGCCACGATGGCTCCGGTTTCACTTTGTCGCTCGCCTTGGCGCTCAGCCTTTGCCTCTCACCAAGCCAGTGGCTGTTGTGTATCCAGAATCTGATGACGAATGTCTTGTTGAACGGGCTAGTCGTGTCTTGGCTGAAAACTTTGGGTTGCTTAATTCCCTGTTGCAAGGTGTTGCGAGTGCATGTTTGCCACTTCCTCACGAAAATGCTGTGTTGTACTAAATTAAAGCAGATTCACACGTGTAGCCGTTCAGAAGTCCCAAAGATACTAGTAGCATCTTGGAAGAGGTGGACGTGATGCTGTCAGGTTTTAGTGGAAAATTGACAATTGATCAGGCGTGGTGTGCCTGGAGCATGTAGCAGCTGGATCCGACGTTCCAGCTCATAATCCCAAGTACCTGATCTTTGGGTACTTTTTGCTATCATGGATGGGTTTCGTGTAGGTCCAAAAATCCAGGCCAGTGTTTTAGACGTAAGAGACCCGTGGACCAAACTGCATGTCACAAGGTGCATGTCACAGGGTGATCTCACAATGCTTCGGTCATTTTCAGCCTGACACCATTCACGGTGGCAGGCTGCTTGTGAATACTAATACAGATATCAAGAGGATTCCTAGGTATGTCATGTTTCCCACTCTCGGGCTCAAAAGCCACCTCTAGACACCTCAGAGAATGGAAATCTGTGCATCAAGTTTCATTCTCGATCATCCTCAGCGGTATGGCTACATGGCCCGCCGTTTTGACGGTGAATCGCTTTTTCTTTGTCTGCTGCAGTCATTACCAGCGCTTTCGCTTGCCGGTCTCTTACCTTTTACCAATACTCCAATGATCCGATGAGAGAAGTCCTGCTCTAGCCGCTTGGATAATGGCCCTGTCGGGATCGTCTTTCCCATATAACTCTCAATTGCACCCCTCAGACTGTCTTCTCCATACTCGCAAAATGCTTTGTTTATGTGAGTGGAAATTCTCGTGCCGTATGTGATCCAAATACTCACCAGTCACGTCGTAGACGTTTCGTCCATGGCTGACCCAAACTGGCCTTCGCAGTGGAGGCAGTTTTGCCGGATCGGAATTGACCAATTCCCCCGGGAGATCCATGATCGACCCGTCATTTGAAGCCAGCTCTTCGGGCGTGACCTTCGGTAACGGAGGTGGGATTTTAGCGACTATGAGCTCCCTCCTGGATATCAGGTCTAGCAGAACATCCGGTACATCCACCACAAGGTCGGCCATCACCTTCTCGGACGCGTCCGTCCCACGGAGCGACTGTGTTGCCTCTTGAATCTCCTTCCAGCCGTATACCATCCACGAGTCGATAGCTATGAAGATCCTGTTAGTATTGTCTCCAGACCTGTCATTACTACTTGCATTACCACCTCCACACACGGTCCGATGTCAACATAACATGGGTCACCTTCCGGGGAATACTTACGGGTTAGATCATACACCATTCCGTGTACTATTATCTGATTTATGGCGATTGGCAGACGGGCTTCTTTTATCACTCGTCCAATCCGAAGGAAGTCGTAGTCCGCCAGACACCGTTCGGCATCGTAATGGTAGCGGTTGAAAGCTTCTGTCGCATCTTTGCCCGCCCATTGCTCTATCAGTGTAGTGCCGCCGGGATGACAATCCACAAATTCTGTTCGTCATTAATTTCTGGAGTTCTGTAGGAATTCCGTTGAAGTAGGAGTCTGGCAACTTACCTGTCATGTCATAGACATTGTCTCTAATTATAGTGTACATCCCAGTCTCTCGATAAGTGTGCCAAGCAACCTCCTTGCTTGTATACAGACATCCTGAAGAAGCTCCAGGGCCTTCAGCCGGTCTAGGCTCAGCCAGAGTAGCGCACCTGTACGGCCACAGATAATCGACCACCTGTTCAGGGGTAACGGTGTCGTCCTCGTCGATGGCATGCATGGGGTTCCCACCTGGGTTGGACCTGAGCATGATGCGCTGGGCCGTGCTCTCGAATGGAAATGCTTCAAGCCCTGGGTCAGTAAGTAGTAAGGACATCAAGAAGTTTGCACAAATGCATTCAAGCTTGAAATACCTGTGATATCGAAGACGTCTTGACCGAGGATAATCCAGAAAGGCCTTCCGTGTTCCCCGTCCCTTTCTGCGATTTCCTCACTCCTCATTGGACGGATCAGCTTTCCTATAGGCTCGTGGGATTCTTTCAACTCCTTCTGAAATTCAGGTCGTGCTTTGAGACCAAGAAGAGTCTTCTTGAGTACTGATGTAATGTCAAACGTTTTTTCACTTGCTCTTTTCTCCGATACGGCATCTGCCCAGCAATGTTCAGTGAATGCACAGACATTAAGACAGTTTCTGGTATGTCAGGGTAAACTGCTGATACAAGGGCACAAAACATACCAGTGACATCGTAAATATCAAATCCAGACCTCCCATCGTCAACGAGTGCCCACAGGTCCGTACGGTACCGGTGGTTTCCCACCTCGCCTATGGTGTAATATGTTGCTTGCCACTGCTGATCAGGGGCCGACCTTCGTGCACTCTTTGCGGCCCCAGATGGCTGACCTGTCAGGCCCGGAGACTGCGGCAGGGGGCTACTAGCACGAGAGGGATTTGCTAAATCTAGAGACGGCGGCGCGGACCTCCGTCCTCCCGCAGGAGGTGGACTCGCTGGCCCCGGAGCCCCTGATAGGTCCAGGCCCTGAAGAGCTTGGTTCAGAGTTTGGCCTTCCGTGTACTGCTGAGGCGCCGGTCCGTTGTAATTTGTCGCCGCTAAGGCTGGTGCTGTCCCGGAATGGCCCTGGTTCGCCTTGCTTCTCCAGCCTCGTAGCTCGAAGTTGAAATTGGGTAGCCATTCATGCTCGCCCGTCACCTTGGCATCAGCCTCGGTCTGGTTGAATGCGATCCAGAAAGCGTCTATAATGTCCTTTGGTACGGTGGAGGCCAGCTCCCGCTGGGTGACTTCAGCCTTCAGCTTTTCCAGGAGGGTCGTCCGGTTGCCCAGGTCGCTGCCGGCCGCAATCGGGACGTGTCGTTTCGGTACGGTCGTCTTCAAACTTCCGAACCTTTTAGAGCCGACAGAGTCAATCACCCAGGGCGTGATTTTGTTCGACTGCGCCCACGTGCGAGCAGCATTGCTCGGTGACCAGCAGTTCTGTGCGATGCAGAGGCGCTCTGTTGTGTCTTCCTGATCGCGCCTGGGCATGATCGCCAGCATCAGATACCCGACGGCGTCAATGAACCACCCGACGGGCTGCTTCGCGAGCATATCTCCAGCCCAGTTGACGCTCGACCCTATCATATCACTGAGTGCTTCTTTAGCGGCGAGTTCGTCGCGCTGGATGTGCGCAGCTTGGAACTGCTTTATGCCGTTGCGGAGGTCAGCCTTGCTGTGGATGGAGCCTTTCCATTCCTTTAGGACGTCCTGACGCCTGCATTTTCCCAGTGATCAGAGACAATGGCTTCGCTTAACGGTGGTCAGGGTGTATTGGGCAAATGAGATCTGAGACACGCTGCTGCGTGGGGGGTTCATGTATCGATGGGGTCTTACCATGGCCGTATGTTCTTCCACAATGCCTCGCGGTTCTTAATGGTGTTACGAAGCGTTTCCAGCTCACCCTTTGTTTCCTGATTGAAGAATTCGGGCTTACACATCATCAATTTTTTCGGCGGCTTTGTAGCCGTCTTATTCTGTTTCATGACGTGTGGGATCCGCAATGCCGGCAGCGAGTATTTCGAATAGATGACGTCCCAAAAGTTCGTGGTGAAGAACCCGCTGCTCGTATATAGAGGAATGAAGTATTGGGACCATTGGTCATTTTTATGAGCGTCTTGATTAACTCCCATGCCGTTGAAAAGGAGAAGCTTATAGTTGGGAAAGTCTTCCGCAGTACACACAAGGATTCTTTGATTGAATTCCTGCCTCAAAGTCGGCATTCTAGAGTTCGGAAAGCTGGTAATCCGGCCCCCAAACAATGCCGATTCCCAAGACTGACCGAGCTCATTGCACCATTCACCGACGCCGTTGACTTCTAAGAACTAATACTTGGGTGAGCACGGGTGCCAAACACACGGGGGCCCTTGCTTACCGGCTCATGTTTCATTCCTTCGCTAATAGGCATGTACCAGCAATTGTGAACTCTCCATATGGCATGCTAAGGCAAGTACGTAAGTTGGAATGTCATCGCTCAAACTCCTTCCCATCGAAAAGGCACTATATGACTGTCAGTGGCTTTTCACGAGCTGCGCACGCGATCATAATAGTCACCGGGCCGGCAGAACTAACCTCGACAAATCTCAGCTTTTGCAAGAGACGAATCACCTGTCCAATAAAGGAATACTGGTTTATTGGGTTTGGACTCACCGCCATTTCGTGCGCAAGCTATCTCAAGTTCAGCAGATATATCCGGAGGACCACACTCAGCACGAGGGGCAGACTCACAGTTTTGGCGAAATTGAATCTACTCAACGCCTTCTCGGTCTCAGAAGTGGTAGTATCCAGTAACGGCCGAACCAAACCAGGATTCATCAATATTAGCACATATTGGTATCCTTTTCCTTTAGTCTCATCACGAAAATAGGTCGTCATGCCATACTGAAATCAATAATGTCATCAGGTAATGTCGACCATGACTTAAGGAGTGAGACCGGTATCGCCACAACCCAACATGCTTGCGAAAAAAAGCGTCAAGTACTACCTACCGGGTACTTAGTTCCTCCCTCAGTTCCCACAGGAAGGAAGGAAATAACGATCCTGTCAGCATAGGCGCTGAACTTTCTCAACAGGTCAGAGGCTTCATTTGCGGTGGGATCTCGTGCAAATTTGGCCAGGAATGGCCCTTCTGTCAAGTTGTACGGTTCTTGACCATCCCACATGGACGTCCCTTTCCTAATAGTTGTGAGAGCATGGTAACTATGAGGCTCTTGTCAGCACAGCAGCATCTCAGGACCCCGCGGTGCCCGTAGCCATGGCCACATACAAAGGAAGAGCAGTTGAAACCTTGAAGAAGGTGCTCGCTATTTGGATGCAGGGTGCCAATACGTTCCACAAGACTGTATTATCGACACTCCAGGTGTCTGTGTCTGACAAGCCGGGAATGAGCTGTCCGGCAAACCCCTCCTTGATAGGCTTATCAACATTATACCATCTTTCCTGTGATCGAATTTACAAGGTCAATAACTTTTTTGGTCCCGTTATCTGAAAAGGAGATAAGCGAGGCAGATATGACGGAAGCCGTCTTTCATGCCTTGCGTGTGGATACTGCGGAGGCGGTTTACCTTCTGGAATGCGGGCTCCCAACTCGATTCATCGACTACCAAATCACAATTCTTGACAGGCACAGCTTCGTTTATGGCCAGGGCTTGCGCTGCAGGACATTAGTGGGAGCGAAATATGAGTCGGCTGGGTCCAGGATGTGTGCGAGCCTGGCACGATGCGTGCAGCCCGCCCTTGGTGGCATTCGAGGATCTGGGATGAAAACGTACCAGTTCTCAAGCCTTGTAATTCGACCTTCTGATGTTGCTCCTCCTCCTGGAAGAGGAGGTCAAGCTCCTCGTCGGTGGGTCGAGGTATCGGCGGTTCATCGTCCGGAATTTGTCGAGGGTTGACTAAATCTATGTCCGGAAACCTGTGCCTCTCAGGTCAATGATCACATCGATCCTGTACGATGGGGGACTGTACCGAGGATGGAGTCCCGAAGACTGATTCGCTCTGAAAGGATAATACGCTGAGATTCCGTATTTCTGCGCATATGGCGTTGGCGGAGTGGGTGATGGGGGAGGCACAGGTGGTACCGAGGAAGGTGGAGTGGGAGGTCTTGATGATGCCATCTCGAGATGTTAAATCGAGCTGAAGTGCCTCCTGATGGCGGTTTTCAAAGCGTGTGTCAGACCTCCAGAACTGACTGCGATTACGAGACACAGTGAAGTTGGGACCATCGAAAGTGACCGTATGTTTGGAGTTCTATTGTTGTCTGACCGGATCCGTCAGAATGGGTTCCGACACAATGCCGAGTCCCAACTTTTAAAAGCACGAGATGGTCCTTTGTGCCGCTCTGCGTATTCCCTTTCCGTTTGACCGCAATTCCCATTTTCTGAACCCTAAAGCTTTCTTTGAGCTTTCGAGGAGAGTTCTGTACACCTGAACATTTGCGTGGATGCAACTTAAGCATCATGACAACCCCAGTGTTTCGCTCTCCCACCAACCCCTGAAGACCTTCAGCCTCTCAGTGCGCTCCCTCGCGAGCTGCCTCCCAGTCCCCGTCTTCATCATGCCCTCCAAAAGCTCCAGCTTCTCCTCGAAGTGGTCGACGCAGCCGCTCAGGCCGCGAGCGCTCATTTTTGCGCCGCCAAAGGTGAAGCAGCGGGCGATCCCCACAGCGCCAATCGCGTCGAGCCGGTCTGCGTCCTGCACGATGGCCAGCTCCGGTATGGAGACGATTTTGTCCAGTACCTTCTGGGGGTCCTTCTTCTCGCTGGAGAAGGATACGTGGAGGACGAGATCCTGCACCTTGTCTGCAAGGTCGGCGGGGCAGCCCCTTTCGAGGAGCACGTCCCTGACGAGTGTGGTGGAGTCCTGGCCGGGTAGAAGGTATTTGCGGTCGCCGACATCATGGAGCAGGGCTCCGAGGGTCAGGAGAGTCTTGTCGTACTGCGGTTTGGCAGCTGCATCGGGCTTGCTTTCCTTGTCGAGGATGACCAGCGCCAAGCGGTGAACCCGTTGGATGTGATTGTAGTCGTGTGAAGGGTCATATTGAGACATGTACTCCTTGACGTAGGATGACACCGATTGTATGAGCTCATCGTAGACCGCAGTCACATCCTGACTTGTCAAGAAAGCGTTTGCAGTCGGCACGGGTTCTTCTGGTTCTGCCGTCGAGGATCTTTTCTTCCCCCGAGCTCCCACTTGCTTCATCAGAACCTCATCCATCCTGTCCTATGCGCGGCTACTGTCCGATGTCGATTTGGCGTTTTCAAACGAGGCGTCAAAAATTCTACAAAAGAGGCTTCTGCAACGGAACTCGCGCTTGTGTTGCTGCCTAGATTTACAAGGGAGCAGGGGGAGGCGAAAGTGCTAGACGCGACGCGTCTAATGGCTTGGAAGGAGGGTTATCCAAACCCTGATGATGACCCGACACTGTAGGGTAGTCCATGCTTCCACCAGGTAGATAAACTCCTCCTCCGAGATAAGTAGTTAGCTTAAACTTAGAAAATATAACTACGCCCCTAGTAATTAAAAACTACTTTAAGAAAAACAGTCCCTTATCTAGGTAATTACTTATTATATTTCATAGTAATAAAACTAGGATTAAACTATAAAAAAGCATATTAATTATAAAGAATTACAATACTAGGATTATATAATTCCCCCTTAAGTATTTAAGCTAATATTGCAAATTATTAATATTATATCCTAAATAAGGAGCTAAGGAATTCAAACTATAAACCGCCTATATTTAACTTTACGCATTACTAAATTTAATAAAGAAACCTATTAAATATACTTAACCATATTACTTTAAAATAAAACACTGCTTTTCCAAGATTAAAAAGGCCAATATTAATCATATTAATACCTATTCCAAGATAAATAATCCTATTTCTTAAAACCTAGGCCTTTTATTTATTTTAATAAAAAGCATTTTTTTAAGCCAAGGGCTAATAAATTAAAACTATTTATATATTTTTTAAGATTAAAAGTTATTAAAAGGCAGCTAAAATAAAAGTAGCATTTTAAAAGGAAACCTAGCCTTTTAAAGAAAAGCTTAACTTTAAAATAAACCTTAAAATAAAAGGAATAAAGATTATTAAAAAGGAATTTAAATTAATTACTTAAGAAAGCATAATTAAATAACTTAATCCTAATTATTATATTAATAATATAATAAGCCTATTTACCCTATTCTTCCCCTAAAGTATAGCATTACTTAATTATTAACATAAAAGCATTTTTAAGCTATTCTTACCTATTACTATAGCCTTTAAAAGCAATTATTATAAACTACCATAAAGAATGGCAAGCTAAGTAATATTTAGCAATATCTTTTTAAGTTAATTAAGTAAGGATTCATTAAAGTATATTAAGGATATTAAAATTTATAAAGAAAAGGTATAGCTCATTAATAAATAAGTAAAAAAGAAAGAAATGCAAGCCGTATTTTAATAAGGTCTTAAAGAAAATGCTAAAGCTAAATAATATCTTTAGCTATTATTAAATAACTATAAATAAAATAAAATAAAGCTTTTATTTAAAAAGTAATTTAAGCTTTGCAAAATTAATATTAGCTATAAAGTTAATAATAAAATATTTAACTTTAAGTAATAAGCTAAGGAAACTATTTAAAAGTATATAACCAAAGCCATAAACCTTTCTTATTAATGCATTAATAAGCAGCTAAAAGAATTAACATATTATTTATACGCATATATAGCAATTCCTAAGGATTATTAAAACTATAAGGCCAACCTTTGCATTTAAGAGCGGGTATTAAACCGGCTATTTAGCCTAACCAAGATAATTAAAAATAAAGTATTATTTAATAAATATAAGTTTAAGAATATTAAAGGCTATATCTTAAAATGCATTTAACGCTTAAGGGCAAATAAGGAAAATAAGGCCAAGCTAAAGGCCCAAGAGATAATATTTATAAAGAAGCTAATATTTTAAATTATACTTATAATTAAAAACTTATTGATTAAGGTAGCTAAATTAAAGAGCTTTGCTTAATACTTATAATTAACTAGCATACTTATATTATTAATAACTATATTTTTAAAAAAGGCCGTAAGCTATATAGCATTAATAAGCCAAAGTAATTAAATAAAATTATAAAAAACCGCTGCATTTACCTTAAATTTAATATACGGCATTAACCTAAATATATATTAACCGCCCTAGGCTTAAGATACTTAACAACATTAAAGAAATAAAAGTTAAGGTAAGGAAGAAAGAAGAGCCTTGGCAAGCTCTTATGGTATATATAAAGGGCTGGATTGCGGATAAGGGGATAACTATGCAGCTAATTAAATATATTTTAATTATAAAAACAAAAGGCATAAAGTAAACTTATATCTTTATAATGCTAAATTATAAAATATTTAAAGGAAAATTTAAGAAAACATATAACAAGGTATAAAAGTTTTTAAGCGCTTAAAGATATAGCTAAATGCTATGCAGCTATATAATATAATAATAATAATAAAATATAAGGAAGTGCTATTAGCGATAACATTTATATTATATATAAAACCCCTATTTTTAAAGAAATCTTTATAAGATAATTAAAAAAAGTCCCTAAATAATTAAAATAAGCTAATAATTTTAATATTAGCTAAAGCAGCAAAATAAATGTAAATTAAAAAAGGGGGAAATAATAACGATTATATTATCAAGATTTAGCTACCAACTCCTCCTTATAAATAAGTACCTGCAAAGAGAACTTATAACGCATCTTATTTAATATAAGATAAAACTAAAAAGGTTAAAAAAGGCCGGGAGGCTATCCTGCGCCTAAAGAATTAGCTTAAAGAAGCATTAAATGCCAAGAATAAAAAGAAAGATATCATTTTAATTTAGCTATTTAATAAAAATAAGCAAGGATGATTTAATATTTAAGATTAATTGCAAATAATGGATATTATTATAATGGTAAGGTAATTAATAAATTAAAGTCCTTAAATTTACTTATAAATATACTATAAATTAAGATTAGCTAACTATAAATAAAGAGGACGCTAAATAAATAAAGTATTATTAAAGCGGCGTGCATAATTAATAATGGTAAAGACTATCCCTATAATAATTAGCTAAATTATATTTTAAAATATAATACTTTTAAACATTAAAATAATATACTTAGCATACATTATTAATATAATAAAGAGGGTTAATATTAAAAGAATCTTAATTAATAATAACTTACTAAGGAAGCTAATTAATCCCATTTTAATAAATTACCTTAATTTTAAGCAATATAAAGTTAAAAGGCTAATATATTTAAAAATAATAAATAATTTATTATTACTAATTAAGCATTATATTATAATCTTAATAATTATAAAAGGCATTATAATTATAATATAAGCCTATATTATAAAATAAAACTAAATTTATAACTTGCTCTTAAGGCATTTATAGCTAGTTTAAAACTAAGCTACTTATAAATATAAAACTAACTCCTTTATTTTATAAGGTTAAAGCAACTACATAATTATAATCCAGCTTTAAATACAGGGATTAAGCAAGGCATTGGCCTTTGCCGCTAAAAGCAACCCCTTATCCTAAAGTAAAAGTAAATTAAATAATAAGTATTTATTAAAATTAATATTTAAAGAAAGCAATAAGGCAATTAATAAAAAGAATAAGATACTTTTAAGCTTAATAAATTAAGTAAAGTTATTAAATATCTTAAAATATCTTAAGAGCAACCTAACCTCCGTAATAAAAAACCCATTAAAAAACAAATAAAGAGCTTTATCCTTAGGAAAATTTTAAATATAATTAAGCCAAGGAAAACCAGCATTTTTAAAATTATTTAATTTTTTAATATTAATACCATAATTTTAATTATTATAAAGAGTAAATATAAATATATTATTATAATTAAAACAAGTCCCTTAATAAGAAATAATTTAATAATTATTAATTAAATATTACAAGCGTGAATAATAATAAAATAAAGGGTATAAGATAAAAAGCTATATAATGCACTAGCAACCACCCCTAAAGAAGGCATTATGGCTAACCTTAATAGCAAAGTAATAATATTTAAAGTCCATTATATAAATATCCACGATAATAAAAAATAAATAGTTTTAGCAATTAATAAAATTAATAGTTTAAAGTAAGCCCTTAAAGTAATAATAAGCAATAAAAAGGCTATATAATATAAATATACATATACAGCCCTATTTATTTTTAGCATAATAAAAGGTAATAAATATTATTTCAATGCATTAAAATAATAAGCCTTAATAGCTATGCTATCCTAAACAAAAAGTATAAATACGCAATATTAACTAATAATGCAAGAATATTAACTTAATATAAATATAAGCAAGAGGCCTAAATAAAAAAAGTTAAGCTGCAAACTCTAAAAAACTATCAATCAATAGTTTATAATAATCAACATTTAAAAAGGGGGGGCTATTAATAATAACCAAAAGAAATAGCAAGTAAAGCAGCTAGCATATACTTAATGCAGTTATTTTACCTTTTATTTAAAGAATATTTAACTTATAAACCTAATTATATATAATATTAATCTTATCCTTAATATAATCCTATATTAACTTAAATAATTAAGTTATATAAAAGACATAAAAGTATTTGCTTAGCAATTTTATAGCAAGCTAAGGAAAGTAAAATAGGTTTAACTAAATATAAGTAAATAAGCGGCATATACCTAATTCCCATTAAAAAAGAATATATTTTAAGTAATTATTAATTATTATCCAATAAATAATATTATAATATTACCATAATAGCCAACCCATTAACAACTATATTTTTAAAGATATCCTATAAACTTAATATTTAATCTTTTATTAAGGCAATATTGCTTATAAATATTACGGAATTATAATTACTCCCAAAGATAAGTATAAAACAGCTTTTATAATGCTAAATAAATAACTATTTATAAACTAAATACCTTAAGGGATGGCAAGGACACCATATTTATATTATGCCCTAAGAAATGTAATATATGGAAAATAGCCTATAATTAAAAGTTTTAAGGAACCAGCCCTCCCTTTATTTATCAGCTATTACCTAAAATAGCGGATATTATTTAACCTCTTTATAAATAACCACGCTGCATTTATAAAGACATTTAATAATATATTTAACTTCCTTTATCATTATTATTTTCCTTACACCCTATTTAATAAAATTAATCTCTTACTTTTAAAAACCATTATATTTATAAA